CGAGACAATTAATGTTTATTCAATGACAATAACTTTCCAAACAAGCTCTTCCTCTTTTCTTGTTTCTTTTTTAATGGATCTGACGATATTGTGGAATGACACTCCGACACTGAATCATTGAAAGCATGCAGGTGATCACCGTTAGAACCACTAGTGGATGTGGTTGGTTTTTTCTTGGAGAAAAATTCAGCCAAATTGGTCGAAAGACGTTTCATCTTGGACATTTTCTGTTCTTCGGCGTGGACCGATAATAGGGATCCACCTGCTGGCGATGCTGGTTTTGAAGGTGGAGTTAGAGAAGAAGAAGAAGAAGGCTGATGGCTGCTGCTGTATCCATTACCTTCTTCATTGGCAAGAATTTCATCATTTTGTCGAATCAAGTTTTGTAATTGGGCCATGTCTGTAATTTCAGGGGAAATTGTCGTCCACAATGTATCCACTTCTTCTCTTGAGGTCGTTGCCAGACGAAGGTGTGTGGTACGAAGATGAATCGTCCGATTCGACATTACTAGCACTGATATCAAGAGTTTTGGAGTGTCTCTTGTTGCCATTAGAGTTGGTATGACCACCAGTGGTGGTACTATTGATGTTGTTGTTGCTGCTGCTGGATCCTCCCGTAAAGTATAGGGATAAACGCTTTTTAAGAGACATGGATCGTGAGTTGTTTTCTTGCTGTGCCTTGAGTTTCTCTTGTTGATCCAACAACTCCTCGTTGTGTTGCATTTGCATTTGTAAAGGTCTTAAAAACACTGGTAATTCCATCATGTCTTGTTGTTGCTCTTGTTTGTACTTGGAGAGCCATTCTTCCTCGTCAAAAACTTTCTCCTTCTGCTCGTAACTGGATCTCTCTTCTTCCTCTGAAGCCTTACTGGCAAGGAAAATTGCTTTATCCAATGTTGAGAACCAATCGATGGCTCGATTAAATTCCTTTGATTTCTTGAATTTGAGTTTGAAAACTGCGGAATTGGCTACAGAGAAAGAGCCTCCCTCTTCGTTTGTTCCATGAGTATTTGCATGATCTTCTGATTGTTTATCGCTCTCTCCTCCATTTGGATGATTGATTTTGTAACTCTTAGATCCCACAACTCCACTTCCTGTATAATCTGCTGGAGGTAAAAAGTGCAATTCAAACTCCTCCAATTCATCATCATCAGAATTAGTGATATTGATAGCGGTAGTTTTTGTAAAAGATTGAATTTCCTTAAAGGTGTCATCATGGCAGTTGTTGGCGGCTCCACCCGAATCATGATCCTCACTCCTATAATCAAGAACATTGACTGCTGAATGTTGTCCATCATTACCCTTCACCGTATGAAATTTCGTTAATTTGCAATACTTGAGAGGAATTTTATACAGGATGAATTCATTAATCATGTTTGCAGGATCGGTGAATACAGGGTTATTATTATGAGATGATGTGAGGGCCGCTAAGGAGGTAGGAGTGGTCGAAATAATACTCGTATTGTCGTCTTCATAACAATTATTATTGTGCGAGGAAGAACTATTGACACTTGTTCCACCTGAAAAACTATTGAAGCCATTATTATAAGAAGTATTGCTACTATTCAAGCTTGAAGGTGCACTATTATTACTGATTAATTGAGCTGACAAAATTTGATGTTGTTTAAAATCCTCTTGTGTTCGATAAATCCGCAAGTGATGATTCTTCAATACAAAATATCTCTTATTATACAAATAGGGCCAATGGGTGGTTTTTCGATAACCCCAACCCTCTCTATACGGTACTCCCATAATAATCTGACTACCTTGATGAGTGAGTTGAGGAATAGTTAAGCTCTCACTACCAAGAGCACTAAAGCCATTGGTAGTGATGGAGTTGTTGATGTTCGAGGACAACAGTAAAGAATGGGCGCCAGAAAAATTCGAGTTGTTGTTGAGAGAATAATTCGTGTGCGAACTCGTAGTATTGGCATTCATGTTGGTGAGTTTGTTGAGGAGAAGATTTACAGAGAGACGTCTTTGAGAATTGGATGCATTGGTGGAAGTGAATCGAGAGGAGGCTCTTCGGGATGGATTTGATTTGTGAGATTGTTTTGGGCTTAAAGGAGAGGAAGAGAAGGGCGTCTCATGATGATGATGATGTTGGTCATGATGTATGTTTGTGGGAGATGTTGGTGATGTTGGGGCGCTGTTGGGTCTGGTGGCATCCAACATTTTTTGTTTTGTTTGTTTTAGAGCAAGCATGTTGGCGATATTCAAAGTCTATCAATAGCGGAGACAAGTGACAGGAATTGTTCCTTGCTGATGCAAAGATGAGTAAACGGAAATAAATATTCCTATGCTGTATTAGTGATGATGATCTAGAGGAGAGAATATTCTTTGCTCTCACAACTCACTCCAAGTGCTGTCAATAAAAACTGTTGTTGTTGATTTATTGCTGTTCTCAAATTGATTGATGACAGCGCAACCGTGTTGAACGATGATGATGTGCAAGATTGCTGTTGTGAATGCAAACCAAGCAGATGCTGTCAAAACTGAGAGTGCCGCAGAGAGAAGATGTGCTGGAGAGCGTGGAGATATTCAGCAAGACAGTGGTGTTAGACAAATTTTTTCAGTTACGAGATCCCAAATCGATTGATGGCTGACAATTAATTTCGAGTCACGTTTCGATTTTGAAAAAATATTTTAGGGTGTTTGTGTACTTTGTTGTTACTGACACAACACCAAGAGGGAAAATCATCATATTTCGCTTCTAAAACGGTGAATAAAAGTAAGAAAATTCATTGAACCGTATTGACAGCATCCCATAATTAATTCAATGTAATGCGTTGCCATAATTCAAAATCATTTGATACAGTCCCTCCACAAAGATTGATTCATCGTTCACTGATTTTACCAACACGTACAAGTCTCCTCCTCTCGAGTGAAATTCCTCTCTTTCTTCAATCATTAATTCATGATCTGTCTCAATGCAATCTGTCACAAATGATGGACAAACAATAAGAACTCGCTTCTTAGCCAACGCCAATTCCTCTAACACAGTCGTCGTGTATGGAGAGAGCCATGGCAGCTTTCCAAGACGACTCTGAAAAGTGGTTTCAACAGTGACTTTGTGTGCAAAGAATTTGGAAATTTCTCCTTTAAATTCTGAAATGATATAGGTACCTGGATGTCCTTTTGATTCTTCCAACTTGAAAGGAGCGTTCACTAATTGTTGTAAGACAGCCTTTGTGGTTTGCAGACATTGAGCATAATATGAGAAATCTAAATCCTCTCTCTCCTTATAGCCCTTGGTCTCATGATGGAGAGGAAGACTATGATAACTCACAAGTACGTGATCAATACCATGTTTGCTTTGAATTTCTTCGGATTGATTATGAAGAGCCTCCTCAATCCTTTTCACGGTTGAACGAATGAAAGGATCATAGGTTGGGAATGAATTGACAAAATTTAAGGAAGGAATGGAAAGCCACTGAGATAGGACTCTCATGCATTCTTCATGAATGGATCCAACCGTAGCGGAAGCATATTGAGGGAAGAGAGGTAAAATCATGAGATGCGTGCAATGATGCTCTCGGCGCAACTTGTTTAGACCAACCTCAATGGATGGATCTTGATATCGCATGGCATATTCCACGACCACATCAAATGGTTGTTGTTGTTGTTGTTGTTGCTTCTCCTGTTCTCCGACCACTCTTTCCCTCAATTGCTTCAAAATCAATTCAGTATTATATTTGAGAGGAGAAGCACTGTCATCGGTAAAATCATTCGATTTCCAAATACTCTGGTAGTTTTTGGTCGAGTGTTTGTATCGAAAAGGAACAATAAAGAGATTCACGATCACGAATCGGAGCCAAGGATGAGCATCGATCACTCGACCATCCATCAAAAATTGTTTCAAATACTTGTAGACAGAGTTTGGAGTGGCATCCTTGGGGGTACCTAGATTAACAAGCAAGACGCCAATTCTTGGTTTTTTCATGAGAACATCATTCGGATCCAACTGAGGTTTCAAAAAGGATTTTTCTTCTTCCTTCATGTACAACATTTGTAAATCTTTCATGGTTGCAATCATGATGGTGGAAGGCTTCAAGTCCGAGGGTGGTTTTTGTGCATTCTTTGATTGTTTCTTGAAAAGCTTGTAAGAAGCTACGAGAGCTGCTGCAAACCCAACACCCACCACAGAAGTAAGAGCCACTGCATAATTGGTTTGATCCGAAACTACCGATGAGGATTCAACACCACCTTGCAAACGATTCGATTGGATCGTTTGAGAAAAGAATTGTTTGAACTCTTGCAACATTTGATGAGGATGGATCAACCCGATCGATATATACGTTTGTAGCCACACACCACTCCTCGCGATGAAAGGGATTTTGTTTTTTGAAAACTTTAGAGTCCGAAATTGACGATTGGAGTGCGCTGGGTCGTTACTCCTTGTTACGCAAATTCATTTTCACATTTCTTTACTCTCAAATCTGGTAGTGTAATTATAATGATTCCTCATGGATGGAAATATTTACAATTTTATTCATCTTCACAATTATTTCTATTCACAGAGATACACCTTAATCATGATTTCCACAATCTGAAAAGAGTACACCATGAACCACAGGGAACGTGAGCAATTGAGACAAGTACCAAACAGGAATACACTTCTTGTAAGTACGATCGTCTTGTTCTGTAGGAGTGTTTCTCAGCAGTTCGAGACTTCCTTTACAAATCCAATAAATTCCAAATTCAATACAGAACAACACGCCCATTGGATGCTGGAAATGGAGTTGAAATCTTTGCACGAGACGATCACCATGGCCATGGCATAGATGAGAGAGGAGAAGAGAGCTTTTGCAAAGAACGCCTTTCTTGCAGTTTCCATATCTTTGAAGAGCATTGGAAATGTTTCACGTCCAATAATCTTGTCTCCTTCCATCTCTAAAATCCTGCATGTCAATAATGGCCCAAAAGTAGAGACTCGTGACTGCGAAAAATAGAGTTGAGAAATCATCGATTGGACCACCTGTCATCATCTTGCAGCAAGAGCTTTGCATGCAAAAAGCTCCAACAAGATTACACAAGTTTTTACACCACCACAGTTGATCACCTTTCAAGTGATTGTGAAAAACAAAAGTGATTACCCATACCACACAATACCAAAAGACATCCTCTACATAACCATGAATGAGATAGACTGCAGTGGAGAGAATGAGGAGCAAGTAAGCAAAATCAATGGAACAAAGCTTACGAATGAGAGGTCTCCATGGCTTGTTCTTTCTATCTTCTTCAATTCCAGCAATTTGGTTACTTATGGTGAATGACAAGACAAATGAAAGAGACATGAATGCCAAGGAAAGTGCTCTTTGAATGGTTTCATGCATGTTGTGAACACCAAGACACCGTTGAACAGTCACATGAGTTAAACCATAGAAACTCATTGGAAAGACTGTAATCTTGTAGTCGTTCTTGTTGAACTCGTGATACAGTTGAAACAACAAGAATGGTCTCCGAAGAAAATACCAAACTTCCTCTGCCAGAGTGAACAGAATTACAAAAAATTGCAACAAGCCGCTCCAACGGGAAATCTCGAAAGATTTCTTCTTGTTGCTGTCGTCAAAGACACTGTAAGTGCCAATAATGCTGTTTTTAATTGAAAACATTGTGAATTGTTTTTTTTCAATGATTATTCACGACAGGGTGTGTGGCCTTTAATACCTTGAATTTTGAGGAAGCAAAGAACTTGGAGTCGCAAAAATTCCTGGCCTGCAGTACGATTGTGACCTCCCAACGCAAATATTTGTGTTGACTCAGAATTCACGAACTATTATGAGAGAAGCCCCTTTTGCACGGCACCATGATACATCACCGTGTGATCTTTGCCTCATGATGAAGGTTTGCCAATGTGAAAGTTGAAAACAAGTGTCTGGGAGTTCTTGAATCAAGGAAACAAAATCAGTCTCAATAAAAATTCGAAAAAATGTCTGCATCACGTAGAAATTCTCCAAACGACTATTGTACCTCATCAAGACTAAACAAGATATCCATAGCCTAACAGGTGCTAAAGTTGGATTGGGTAAGAAATGGGACAAAGTATTTACTAAGGAAGCTTATCGATCTATTACTAAAATGTGGATGAAACGAAATCATTTTTTCATGGAAGAATTGAAACTCACCTGGAATGAATTTGAACAACAATACGATTTTAATCCTAATTTCATTGATTTGAACAAGTTTAAACTATACATGAAATACCCACGACCATGAATAATAATTGAAATTTACAACAATATTTGAAATTTACACTAACCTTGATGACAAACAATAATTGAAATTTACAACAATAATTACACTAACTTTGATGACATGAACCACCTTTAACTGTACTAATTGCACACACAGCCATGAATAACGTTTGAATTTTCGAACAAATAAACGCATGGACAGTGATAAAAAAAAATGTCTGCATCACGTGTTTTGAAACCAAGGCTCTTCAAGTCTATGAATTACATTTTGGACAATCGGATTGTGTTTCCATCGAATTTAAAGAGAATCACAGCAATTTATAATTCATACGGAGGAGTGGAAAATACTATTTCAAGAAATGTTGTTGTTAAACAATTCCCAGCCATTGAACACTTCAACCAACAAACTGAATGCAAGAAAATTGTAGTACATAGAACATCAGCGAATGCCAAATTTGTTATTGAGTTGGGTAAGTAATATGGACCATCATGCTAGTATTGGGTGATGATGAACTTAAATAATCAAACTTTATAATCATTTCGTTTTGATTGAATAATAATATTAAATAATTTAATTGTTTATTATTTCCATCTCGGAATTAACAGATGATGGCACACAAGGTCTGATTAGAGTAACAGACAAGGATACGGAACAAACCATTATTGACCGCATCAAACAAACAGCAATGAATTTAACAGAAACTCAATATGAACCCGAACTGGCTATCTTCATCAAAGATTTCGAAAGAAAAGTCCAACAGTATCAGAACAAGGAGTAACCCCCTTCACACAATATTACTCCCTCAATTTTGTTATTTGGGGTAAAACACTCTAGATTCCTCCACCATCATCACTAATAATAAATCCGACACAACAATGAGTTTCAAAACTGTATACATGATGATGAAAGTGGTTGTACCATTTATTTCATACATTGACCACACTATTGCAACAGAAAAGCAAAGTCTTCCTCTTCTCGTAGCTCTTTAGGAACCTTGTTTTGGAAAATGCTGTCGCTCATAATGTTCAGAGAGGATGAATCTTGCGAGAGGTTTTCTAAATCGGGCTTAAAGATGGCCGTAGAATCGAGTAAATATTTGGCAGGTTTGTTCTTGTCAACTGCTGGCAGAGATTTGAGAACGGCCTGAGGAACGACGTCAGGATCGAAATCGTCCTTTTGATAGCTTTCTAAAACCTTTCTTAATTGAGTGGCAGACAACACAGGACATACTTCTTGTCGTGTGGTTGCATCAACAAGTGACGCCTTATTCATGATCATTACATCTGAGCTTTGTCTCAAATATACAAGTCCAACGATTGGGAGGAGTCCTCGCTTAATGCTCTTCGTAGAGCCAAGTCCAAACTTTTTCTCATCAGCCCATTGTTCAAGCTGTGAAACGCACATCTTTAACATGATTGCAGAGCCCATATTACAATATCTTCTTGATCCGGATAAAATAGCGTTGAATCCAAAGCAATTAATGAAGTAAAATACATGTGCAAAGAATTGTTCGGTAAATGTCTTGGAGATGTAATTGTCTTGGAAGAGTTTGTAAAAATTTTCAAATAATTTCACGATTTTCATAGGACTTGAAGTTTGTGACATTTGGCCATGTTTTCCAAATAGTGCTTCGAATAAGAAAGGCAACAGTTGGCGTATCACATCTTGGTAATATTGAATGAATATCTTGTTCACTAATGTTAACAACTCGTTTTTGAATTGAGAAACTGGGCTGTCGAAAGAAAAATCATCCTCATTTGTTGTAGAATCTCCGAAATTAATAATTAAAGTGTTTTTGTGTTGCTTATCTGTATCGAGTACTTGATAAACTGTTTGTAACATTTCCTTTACATCCATTACGTTTTCTTTCGGTGGTAACACGTCATCCATAACACCTTTGCCTGCGTTGATAGCTGAAGACTCTACTCGCTTGAGTAAATCAATTTGAATACCGTGCTCTTGAGATCTAGAAACAGGAAAATCTGTTTGTAGGAGTGTTAATAGGGAGAGTATCACAGATAACCAATAACATTGATTGGTTTGGTTGTTTTCGTTCTTTTGGACAACTTGTTGAAGGGCCTTAGTTATCTTCGAAAGAACTTGATTATTTGCAGGAGTGAAGCTATCCCAATGTTTTAGGCATTTGTAAAGAATTGGAGCAGAAACAGCAATTTCTTTCTCAAACTGCGGCGATTTGTTGATAATAACATAGTCGATAAGAGCTCTTTCATTGGCTTCTCTCTGTAATCTTTCGAGTTTTTCTTGCATTGCTTTCTTCTCAAGCTGTTCTTGTTTGATCTGTTTTTGAACCTCAGCCAATCGTGCTTCATCACCACTGGAGTGTTCATCTCCAGTCATGCTCTCCTCGGACATTGTATTTCTTGGAGATGTGACATTAAGTCCACTGTTGATTTTCTCGTTTCGCTTTGTTCGCTCTTGGATTGTCTGATTAGTTTTTTCAAGATTTTTCAAGAAAGCATCTGAATCCACCTCACTTGTTAAACTCAAATTTTGCTTTTTTCTGTTATTATTCTTGTTAAGAGCATTTCTTCTTTCTGCTGCACTTATACCAGCCAAAGATTTGATCACCGGTTTTTTCACTGGTTGCTCATCTTCAGAGTCTTCCTTTACATTGGAAGAGGACCTTCCACTAACCTCATCATCCAGATCATCCAGAGAATCATGGCTTTGTTTGACCGATGATTTCTTTGACTGCTGTGAACTTGGAATTTCAGCGTCATCATAATGGTTTTGACTTTGGTTGCTTCCTCCGCTTCGTAAATCGTCATCATGATAATGATCTTCATCAAAATTTTGCTCTCCAAATTCTTCATCATCGTCATAAGTCTCTCCGAAATGATCATCATCCTCGTTGTACTCATCGTCGTCACCAGTCTTGTTGAATTTGCTTGACCTAAAGCCTTTTCTCTTTGTGTTATCATATTCACTGTCTTCGGTTGCGTCGGTCATTGTGGTGTTTTCACTTAAACTTGTGAGATCATCAGCACCAGATTTTAATCTAGGCTCGCTTTCAATCTTGACTTTCAACTCCCCGTTGGACGATCCTCCCCATAGCGGAACAGTAAATGTTCTAATCTCGGAGTGAGGCTCCATCTGCAGAGAAGAAAAATCTGCTAAATTAATGGATATGTGTCCTATTTCTCCCTTCTTCTTGTCTCGGACTACTTCATGTATGTACAATTCTAAAAACTTTTTCTTATATTTTCCTTTTGAATTTTTAAACAGTGTTCCTTTGAATTGAATTTCCTCTTCCCAAACAGCCGTTTTATCTTTTACAAAGGCCTTTTTCGTTTCTCCTTTGTGTTTCTTTCCTCGTTTCCATGTTATATACAATATAATACCACTCTTTGGCAGCTTCATCAAGTGCTGAACAGTGATACGGAAATTAAATTTTGCAATCTTCTTTCTCTTAAATATAGCCTGCATTTTTTATGTGATGAAATTTAGTAGTGGTTTGATGACGGTGATGATGAAGGTGAAAGTTGGCCTTCTTTAATGAAGACTTTCCGCGATGAGATGCGATCAATGTAATGCTTTTTAATAGTTCTTTGCCATCTAATAGTACCATGCATGGTACTGAGCCAAGCTGGTTCTTTTGTTATTTTTAAATGAAAGATGGAACAAGAAGTGTATGATAAGGAAAACTGTTCATTATTCACCTGACAAGACTAGAGGGGACATTGCAAGGAGGAGAAATCTCACGACTCTCGTGGTTTGTCTGAAATCAATTTCCATAAATGCTTCAGCTATCACTTCGTTTCACTCACGAAAAAATACCTCTGACGTTAATAGAATTGTGTTGGAACAAAGATCACATCAACAAGTAGTAGACGTCGTCAAAATATTTCAAAACAAGCAAATTTGAACCGAGACAACAACAAATATCACATTCAACATTATCATTGACAGAACATCATGAGTAAATACAGTAGTAAAAAATCAGCAAGGGTCTATCAAAAAAGTTGCTACAGCGCTGATAATTGCGTCATCACAGAGTTAAATAGGACGATACTCGGAGATAGATTATTAATTGACCCTAAAACAGTAGCAATCGACACAAAAAATTATATATTTGAAAAACTTCATGATGAGAATTATTTATTGAGTTCGGTCAAGTACGGATTACGAATTGTCATGCCGATGATTAATCATGGAGGTTTATTTGCAAGATTGGAACTTGTTGATGACAGAAATGATGTAGAAGTTAAATGCGTGAAAAGAGAACGAGCTGGAAAACGAGTATTGAAAGGTAAAACGAAAGAAGAATTTGATGTCACAAAAAACAACACGCTCAAAGTGAAAATGGAGTTTAAATTCCGAGAAACGTCGAGTGACAACACAGTTGAAAAATACAGATTATTAGTACACATCATGTTAGAAAATAGGATATTATTGACATTTAATTCAGAACCGTTCAGAACAGTTGTGCGGGCACCAGTAAGCAGCAAGAAATCATCACGATCAACTCCATTACCTTCATTAACGACATCTCACAATGCCAATGAGGAAACTGATGAAGATTCTGATGAAGACGACGAAGAAGATGAGGTAGCTCAAAAGAAAACAAAGAAATAAATCAAGCATGCCAGAGAAAAGTCAAATTCCATAAATTTCGCAAATTTGTATTTAGAATGATGGTGTTACAGCTGACCATGAATTTCATTAACCTATATTTTACTCGTGGCAAACAACCTTCAATTCGCTTTCATTTGCTTGGCCCTCAAATTTGACACTATCAATACGGAGGGTTGAAATTTGTTGTTGGAAGCCCTTAAATCTTTTAGAGTTTTTCCTTCTTCTTTTCTTGAAGGCAATAACGTAGGCAGATCTTGTATGTTGCTCAACTGTGGCTAAAACGGTAGCATTGGACACTATTGGTCTACCTACAGCACTGAAATCCTTGCCTCCAACAAGCAAAATCTTGTTCAACTTAATTTGCGTTCCAACTTCAATTGGAATTCTATTAACTGTAATTCTATCTCCATTGGTAACCTTGTATTGATGTCCTCCAACCTGAACCACGGCAAAATGCAATTCTCTCACTTCGTTCATTGGTAAATTAGTATGTGCAGGAGGAACATAGACTTGATATTTAGCAGGTGTTTCACCACCAACAATATTGCTGAGACGAATTGCTCCGGTACTTGTTGTAGCTTCTTCCTCTACCACTGGTTCTTGTTGTTCCTCTTGATTTGTATTAATTTCAATATTTTCGCTAATCTTTTCATTCAATTCCTCGCCACCAATTTTCACCTCTTGTTTACTGGTATTAAAAGAAAATACATTCTGATGATAAAAAGCTATTTGTTGATGATGAATATTTGAAGGGAACATGATTCTCTTCATCAAGTTGTTACTACTTGAATTAAAACGGAATAACATGGATGGTGATGAAACATGGCTAGCAGAGGATGATGGTGTGGAGAGGACCTTGCTGGCCGAACGCAGCAGAGAGTTCATTTTTGTTGATGGGCAATTTTATCAAAAATTTTTAATTACAAAAAATATTTTCTTTTTGTTTTCTGCTTTGATAAAAGCCTGTGAGAGACAAAAGACAACTCTCTCGACGGCGTCCTCATACAGTATGGTTCGGAACATGATTGGAAAGTACACTCACAACATCGCTTGTGGAGTTTGGCAACAGTATTTGAGGAAAGAGAATTTTGGAAAGAATATAAGGAATTATCGCGTTTCAATGATGGCAAGGAATAGTTCTTCTTCCTTTGCTGCTGTTCCGAATTTGATAACAACAACAGCTGAGATGGAGGCACCAACATGCTCGATTGAAAATAAGTTTACTTTAGAACAGATAGAGGTTTGTTATTTTGTTTACAAATGAGTGTCATCTTGATGACAACAGACTCTCAGAAAATACCTAAAGCTGAGCTGCATAGACACTTGGATGGCTCTCTAAGAGTATGTAATTGGTGATACATTCAACAATTTTGAACTAATATACACTCTTTTACAGATTCAAACCATGCTAGATCTTGCTAATAGATACCACTTAAATTTGCCAGCAAAAACCGAAGCTGAATTGTCAAAGCATTTGATTATTCCTGACAATTGTGCAAGCTTGGAACAATATTTGGAAGCTTTCAAATTTACGTGTGCTGTTTTGCAAGTAGGTTTTTACATTAGGTGTTTTCTGACAAGGTTTTACAATAATATTGTTGCAAATGATTTACTTAAGAGTGAATGTAAGTCATCGTCATTCAGCGAAAATCTTGCTATAATTATTCAAATTTTCAGATTCATTGGAAAGAGTGACGTATGAGGTTTGTGAGGATGCATACAAAGAAAATACTACCTATTTAGAGATTCGGTTTGGACCTATACTGCATACCAATTCAGGACTCTCCTTGAAACAAGTCATGGACTCAGTTGTTAGGGGCATTGAATATGCTGAGAGAACATTACCTGGATTTACAGGACGGATTATTGTGTGTGGATTGAGAGAAATGAACCCTGATGTTGTTTATGAAATGGCCGAGATTGCAACTAAATATTCTCATGCAAAAACAGTGGCATTTGACTTGGCATCTAAAGAATTAGAATATCCTGCAAGTTTACATAGACGATCATTTCAATTGGTTCATGAGGTAATTATTGAAATTTCAACATTATGTTCATACTTCATTGATTGTTACAAACAATTTAGAACTATTTAATGGCTACATGTCATAGTGGTGAAGCTGCTGGATCTGATTATATCAAAGACGCTATAATTAACTGTGGTGTGCAACGAATTGGGCATGGAACAAAATTATTTCAAGACCTAAAGCTATTAGAATACGTACGGGCCAGAAACATCGCTTTGGAAATTTGTGTGACTAGCAATTTCCAAACAAAAGCTACACCTAGTTATGCAGATCATCCATTGCCATTTTATTTCCGCAAAGGCATTGCTGTTTGCGTGTGTACGGATAACACCCTTATGAGCAATATCACTCTTTCCAAAGAATTGTACAAAATTCAACGACTTTATAACTTTACAAATGAGGAATTACTTAAGATCATGCGATTCAGTTTTGAGAATGCATTCATTTCATATCCAGAAAAAGTAGAGCTATTGCAAACGTTTGACACATACGTTCAAAACAATGTTACCAAACAATAGATGAGGTTTAACAAGGACATGCCAATATTTTCAATCTAAGGTCAATATCTTATCCACTTCAGATGAGAATTCGCAGAGAGAAAAGAACGCCCTTCAATATTGTATTCCTTAACAATGTTGAATTTTTGTAAAGTGTTGTTAAATTTGTTTATTCATCATTTACATATGGTTGAATTGTGACCATGAATGCATCATCCCTCTTCATCATTTAAAACAAGAATGCAATCAAGGCAACCAAAGCAACAATCAATGATGCAACGAAACCAGTTGCTCCATTTCTTGCAGCACTATTACTCAAATAAGAAGAGTCTTCAGACGAACCAGTGCTAGGATCCCAAACAAAGGAATCAACACGTTCAGTGATAGCCATATAAAATCTAACCAAAGCAGCATTGCTATCCACTCGATCTCTCAAAGTTGATTCACCATCTTGACTTGGTTGGAATGGAACCATTGGAGATTGCACAAATTTACCTCTTGTGATAACTGTTGGAGCAGAAGTGTTCCAACGAGAAATGAAATTTTGGAATGAGAAGAAACCTCTTGGAACAGACGCAACGTTGTTTCCACCCAATTGTGAGCTGACATCATCATCAAATTGATTCACAGTTTGATCATCGGTGGCATCGTCTGGCTTTTCCTCATTGGATGGTTGAATTGGTTTATCTCTTCGATTACCTCTGAAAGCAACAATGGTGCCAAAAGCAACCAATGAATCATCTGCAGTGTAGGTAATTCCATTGACTTCCATGGAGACCTTCAAAGTGGATGGATTCAACACTTGAACCACTCCAGTTCTGTTGACCATTTTCGGTGAAGTGAAAGTCACTGCATCTGAAGTAACCATTGCAGAAATCTTGATGGAACAAAAGTTTGGGACTGTGGCAGAAACAACTGCTTGATAGACATAGGAGGTGTTGGCATCATTCAATGGAGTTCTTGTCAATGAATCGACCTTCCAATTCACTTGTCCCAAACGTACACTTCTCACCAGAGTGTCATTACCAGGTTGGAAACCTTCCTTTCCATTTGTTTCCCTGTATTCAATAACTTCATCAAATCCAAAAGCATTACCAACCACTACAGTGATGGGTTTACCACTTTGTGGAGGAGTGACAACTGTCTTGGCATTCATACCAAGCATTGGAAATTTAGCGATAGAAGCAAAGAATTCAAGATCAGCAAAAGCGCCAATAGCAGTAGCGTTTCTTCTATCAATGCAGCCTGCCTTTGTAACAAAACGAATGGTTTGCAATTCTCTCACAATTTCAATTTTTCTTTTACAGACAGCAAGTTTTGGATAGAGTGAAGTATTCACATCGATCGCCAATGTGAATTGACAAAGGAAGAACAATACAGCAATAGCAGAGCAAAAGACAAGTTGAGTTTTCATAATGTTTTGAACTTGATTTTTTTTGTTGAAGGACCTGATTTGCTCCAAACTGTCAATTTTAAAGGAAATTTTTTGATGGAGATGATTGTTGGCTCTGCTCTATAGTTACATGTTCGCGTGAGAGAACACTGTGATTCTTCAGTGACTGCTCTTCTTCTTCTTCTTCGTTGGAAAGAACATTTGAAAGCGAGTTTCAACATTCGCAGTGTGCTCTTTCAAGAGGTCAGAACAGACGAACCATGAATCGACGACACAGATCGTTCCAATTGCTTTTCCTTGGTGATTGTAATTTTCGAAAGATATATCACGACAAGAATTGTAAGTCCTTCAATCTTTTGTCCAATCTATTGATTTCCAAAAAACTCTCTTGTATCGATTCCAAACTTGACAAAGCCTTTGGCGCCTTTGACCGTTACAGAAAAAAAATAACTCGTTTCTCTTGAGAGAGTTATTTAAACGTTCTTCTTGGCCATGACGAGCAAGATGAATTATGAAAATAATTCTCATCAACTTCATGACGGGTTTCCTCAGGATGATTATGAGAAAGATAATGGAAAGGAATCAATACTTAATACAAAGGACTCGGAAGAGGATCCTTATGTTGATTTATTTCATGAATACGAGGATGAGCCTTTAAGGTCGGAAGCCTTCAACACGTTCCGAAAGGAAAAAAGCAATCCTTTTCAAGCGTTTCTGGAACAGAGAGAGAAGAAACTACAACAAGCTAAATTTGCAACCAATTCACAGCTCTATCCAAGACCCAAATCAAGCGACTCTTCAAAAAACAATTCAGTGGATGATCATCATTATTTTAAATCGTTTTCTCAACATAAACCTTCCAAAGGATTGGACGACTCGTTCATTGCTGAATCGGAAAGCTTCTTGGAAGAAATGAATAATTTACAACAGATGACACTTGATGTCAAAACTGTGGACAAACGAAAATCTACAGTGTCAAAACTCAACGATGATCTTCGAAGGAAAACCACTCACAAAGTGGCCCCATCGGAAGCACCAACGGGAAGCTTTCAACAACATGTAAACAATATGGATTTTTCTTCACAAACATTTAAGGCGTTGAACAACTTCAATCAAGAGGAACCTTTTTATGAGACATCATTCAAAAAACAACTAGAGGCCCGAATACGAGCCAGAAATGATGCACATCGATTATGGCGAAAAGGATCGAGAGAGGAGGAGTCTCAAACGAAAAACTACTTTAAGCCAGATGATCTTCGCAAAATAATTGCTGCCAGTGTCAAGAAACCCGAGAAGGAAGACAACACACCAAAAGCATTCTGTTTGGCAGGCTTGTTGGATGAAGTTGGCGAAAAATCAAATCCTCAACAAAAACTAAACTCATCCAGTGGATCGAAAAGATTTTCCAAGTCCATGTTGCACAATTCAAAAGTCACGACAAGTCTCGATCTGTCCAAGTCCAGCAAGAATTCCTCCACGGATGGCGGTAGCAACAGCAGGTCCTCCAGTGCCAAAAAAGTGCGTTTTAATCCTGAGGCAAATCCTCAGCAGAGCAATCAGAGAAGCAAATCTTTAACAAAGAAAGAAGGGCAGACCGAAAACACTTCAAAAAAGGTTTCAACTTCCAACTCTGTTGTGACATCAGCTTCAAAATCCACCTCGTTGTCCAATGCTAAACAAGCACCGCAACAACAACCTCAAAAGGGATCGTTGAGAGAGCTCCTCGCTCAAAGGAAAGGTGTTTCATTAGATAATTATGTGGTCAAACAACCCCCTTCTTCCTCTGCTGCTCGAACATCCTCCTCCTCGCTTACTAAAGCGATTGCCTCTCACGATGTTCAGAGGCCACACACAACTCCAACCTTCTCTACATCTGTACAACAATCTTTCAAACCAGAAACAATTACAATCAGCCTAAAGGACAGCATCAAAACTCTTGAACAAGCATCTTCAAAACACAATGTCAAAAAAATTGAAGAAGACTCGCCTAACAACGACAATTCGGATAAGGTGACAAAATCGAATACAAGATTTGAGCTCGGTTCATTTTACAATGAGGAAGATGAAGATGACTTTTTTGAGGCTCGACGATTGATGCACAGAATATCTATGCTTCGTAACTTTATTGGAGGAAACTCTTCTAAAATAAACGATCATTAAACTCTATTTCTTGCATTTACAAGATTCTTCAATCGAATCAAATAGTGGTTCTGAATGAGAAACCAGTCCCAAGTTGTGTGACAATGAAATCGTCCTGTTTTACTGTCTTGTTTGAACACCAATAAACATAACTTGAATGGCACATCCTTGACGAAGTAATTCTTGTCATTTGTTCAGATAATAATGCATTTCCAAAATGGAACCATTCACCATGGATGAGTTTACATCCACTTGATTCTGAATCATTTTAGTGTAAAGAGATGTACTTCCTAATACTAATGCAAATTGAGAAACACCGCTCGAATTGTAACTGTTGTGCAGTGAGTGGAGAAATCGTTTCTCCCACAAGTGAATCTGTTGGAATATTAGAAATTCGATTCATTTCTCTTGTATTAAAATATAAATATAAATAATATAAAAGGTTTATATTATTTATATCTAAGAGTTCTTTATTATGGTCGAACGAGACAAGAGATAGTCCTTCAACCTGAAAAAGGTAAAGTGAATTTATTCAAAAACTGGTTGTTTTTGGCTCACTGGGGTTGGTTCTGTCTCATCGTCCACAGAACGTGTAACATCAGAAGTTTCATTTCCTGAAACCATGAAGGTACGAGCATTACGGAATGTACTTCCATCCTTAATAGAGAGCTTGTTGTGTTTATATTGAACAACAACTCCTTCCCCAAAGTGCAAAATCCACTTGAAGCGGTCACAAATATGAATTCTATCTGCATGATTATTAGAATTCTTGTTCCAAACCTGCAATACATCTTCCTTAGTTCTCAAACTCAAAACGCATCCAACAACGTTTCCAGTTTCTTTTGGTAGTAGTTCAAGAGTGGTCATTGAAATGAGCTTTTACCAATGTCAACTTACCAAATTGTTCACAAATGGAAGAAAAGATGAGTTGTTCCCACAATCTGTCAATGAGTGTTGATGTTTGGCCATTTTCTCCTTTTCTAATTCTCACCATCCAACATCCACCTGTTGAATTCAATTTGCATTAGTTATAGAGGAAGAGTAAGAATTTTTCTCTTGTACGTACCTTGAGGGAATCTATGTTGTTCAATGATAATGTTGTTTTGGAAATAATGCAGACCCGAGCATTCATGAATTCGAAGTGCCATCGATGAGTTTTGAATTTTCATCATTCCGAGCATTGAATCGGACCAACAAATTATGTGATTACTAAATCATGATGATATATAATACTATACATACGATTCCCACATTGGAACAACTTCATGTCTAAATAATGAAATGTTACTATTCTTTGGCAATTTACTTGGCTTTTGAAGATAGGCATAAACTTTGCAAAATTCAGCAATTGTTGAAACGGTAGCCAACTTGTTCAAACAATCACGGTAATGACTTCCGTTATCTTGTTGTTGTTGCTGGTCTTGTGGATGACCTTCTTTATCCACTTTAGTGTTGGCATACCAAAAGGTCCATTTGGTTTCCAATGGAAAACCTTTTGCTTTTAATTGTTCATCATTATCAAAGGTTTGAGATTTTGGTTTCTTCTCATAAGTAGAGGCTCCCGAAGTGGTGGTGTTGGTAGAGGCTTCTGATGAGACTTGAGCGACAACTGCGGAAGACATTTTTTTGTGTTGAAAATTTTCAATTTCAAGAGCATTGCGAATGGAAAATGGATCATGTTGACTAGTTAATGAAAATTTTGAAAGATTTGAATGGAGTAGTGACGAGAGAAGTCTGAAACCATGGTTTGAAGGCAGTACATTCATTTATCGTTTCATATGAGTACCGAGTTGGAGAAGGAGAGATCGAATTTTTGAGTTTTCAGTGGCCCTTAGACAATTTCTCAATGTCTTCAAGATTTGTTCTCTTTTCACAACTTCTGGAGAATAATGAGAGAGTTGCTTCTTCATGTGAATGAGAATACTCTTGATGAGAGAATGCAGCTCTACTTTGAACGTGGAGATTTTGAGGCTAATATTGGTAAAGTCCATTTCTCTCCCTGCATCATACAAGTTCAATAATTGATTCTCTAGTTGAACGAGCAACTCTAATTGCTGTCTCAAATAGTCACCAAGTATTTGAATGGTATTTCCACAGGAGGAAACTCGTTCCTGACTCGATTGCTGAAGCAATAAGGAAAAATTCTTTTCAAAATCTTCATCTATCCATTTCATGTAACTGAAACACAAGTCATGCGTGATAGATTTTGGAAATTGAGCGAAATTCTTAAAGACACAGTCTGAATAATTGTGAATAAACTTTGAAAGAGTGATTCTGAAGTGATTAAATGGTGCTTTGATATGAAAAATGGTCGTTTTTTCATAAGTCGCCATGTCCTTTTGCATGACTTCAATCATCTCAATCTCTGAAGGACTGTCTTCAAATATTGATTGCAATGCAGCTTGCAAGCTCAGCATGACTTGTTGTAGTAAACTGGTAGATGAAATTGATGGAATGGCTCGTGAAGAATAAATAGGAGAGATGAAACTTGAAACAAATGGCAGTGCATTGTTTCTTGTGAAACGAAGATAGGGTTGGAGGTCTGTAGAGTCTGTAACAAACCCTTGCTGGAATGTGTCGTCATTAAAAAGACACGTAAAGCCAACAATGATGGAGGTATGAGTTTGCTCATCTTCATCAACTATTAGGGTAAAGCAGTGAATTTGTTCGAATACCTCACTGCTCTCTTCATATTCACACAATAAATCCTTGCAAGAATTAGTATCGAGCAAACAAAGATCTCTACATGAAATAACGCTCCACTCCTTCCAATAAGAATTCCAACAAATCAATTTTCTGTGGAATTGTTTTTCATACTTTACAAATAATGTCGTCTCTGTGTTAAAGTTTGTCGAACGCTCTTTAGGTTTTTTTGATGATGGAGTCCATGCAAATGAAACACTGGGAATAATGGGAATTCCAGTAAATGTTAAACTCTTGTTTTCATGTATCAGCACAACTAATCCACTCATGCAACAATGAACCATTGGATAGGTATCTGAAGGGCTTTCATCGCTTGACTGTAAGATATACAAGTTTTGTCCTAGTGATTTGTTAGTGATGGAGAAGATGGAATGAAAGCGATCAAGATCTCCAAAATATTCATAGAATTTCTTAATTTCAGAAAGATAACATCCAAAGTTATGAACCTTCTCTTGTTGTGTGTTTTCCAACTTTGTTACTTTGGGTGCTTTAGGATAAAGTACTGAATATTCAGAATTTGTTGTAAAATTTTCCATCTCTTCATCGAAAACGCCGTTATATTCTTTCATGATGATACTATAAAGTTCCTGGTTGTTTGTGCATGCTTCACATAATTTTAATAAATGCATGTAAATGGAATTTCCGTGATGGATAGATTCACAGACAGCTCCATATTTCAATAAATCTTGAGCCCATCCCAAAAATCTAAAACAATAAGTAATGAGTTTGATTCCTTTTGATACATCGTTTTCTTTCAATATTTTGTTAAAAGCTTTTTGCCAAGCTCGATTAACATCCGTCAAGACGGAAGAAACCAATTTATGTTTTCTAAAATACTTTTTGTAATACCAAGTTGAAACGCTCATTGTGGAGGTACTAGATGAATCACAATTACAATGGATTGGTAATGTCTCTTTGAACCTAACGACCTCGCTCGTATTATGTACACAAAAAAGAATAAATATTGCATGATCCTCAATCATCCTTTCAAATGTAGTCTCGGAATAAATTGAAATGTTATATTCTCGCTCATCTCTGACCTCGCTTATCAAGATTTTCTCAAATTGCTTGCAATCATTGATTGTAAATAATTTCAACATGAACCTAGTTGTCAGATTTAATTTTAAATTTTCAAAATACTGATCCGATAGGATGACAACACAATCTACATCGGAGGAATCGTGATCAAATACTCTATTAAAATAAACTCTTGACCCGAACAAGTAAAGATGAAGAATTGGCGTGCCAACGACATGTTCAATAACGGACAGCATCATTTTTTAATTGTAATTTCAAATGTAGTTGTTACAAAAACGCTACTTGGAACAGTTCTACTGTGCTTAAGAAAGCTAGAGGGTTTGAGGATTATATATTATCAAACACCCAAACAGACATTCTTTAGTCGGTTAATAAAGCACACATAACCCGTTTATTATTCAATAAACTCATTCCTGAATTTTTTAATTGTAATTTAAACGATCCAAAAATTGTTTCTTTGCATTCATCAATTTCAAAGGACCTCATTAGTTAATATCAAATAAGTATTATTATAGAGAGCCATTACTTTCAGTTTTCAAAGTTTTTGCTTTCAGAAGGGTATTTAAATAAGGTGTGCATGTGAAACGCAAGACTCCTCCAATCTTAATTGCAAATGTTCCCTTCTCTGTTCGAATTCGTTCATTTCCACAATTACGAAGAAATCTTTTAATAATTTCAGTTCCTTTGCACACTTGAACAATTTTTTTCATTCACTTTCAAAAAAATAATTCTCATCATATACAGTAAAATGGCCCCAAAGAGAAAAAGAACCATCGAAGACGAAGAGGAAGAATACCAACCCGAAGATGCCGTGGAAGTCATCGGAAGTGATGACGATGATGAAGACGAATTTATGGAAAATGTCGTTGATGATGATGATGACGATACTGAATTCAAAGAAAAAGCCCCAAAAAAGAAAAAGAAGGATGAAGATGAGGATGAAGAAGAAACGGATGGAAAAAAGAAAAAGAAATCAAGCAAAAAGTCATCTACAAAGGAAAAGAAGGAAACAAAGAAAAAAGCATCTTCCTCCGATAAAGATTCCAAGAAAAAGGCATCAGGTGGTAAAAAGGGAAGTACCTCATCAGGGCCAAAGAAGAAAGATCTCACAATCAAGGATGAAAGTGAAGCAAGAAAGGTCGTGTTAGACCTCTTCAAGAAAGCAAATCGTCCCTTTAACTTGCAAAATGTGATTGATCAATCGAAAGGACAATTGAAAAAGGCCATGGCCACTAAGTGTGTGGATAAATTAGAAAGCAAAGGAGAATTGAGTGTGAAAGTGAATGGAAAAACAAAAATTTGGTGGATTAATCAGGATAATTTGGAAGTATTGAGCAAGGAAGAATTGAAAGAGATTGATAATGAAATCAAAGAATTGCAACAAGAGTTAGCAGGTATTAGATCCGAGATTGCACAAGATAACAACACCAAGGCCAAATTGCTAAAGGCTCCAACAACCGATGAGTTACCGAATATTATCATGAAAGAACGTGCTGAGCTAGAGCAAAAGAAGAAAAAGCTAGAGTCACTTCAATCTGGTTCAATCAAATTATGTACCATTGAAGAGAAAAAAGAAGCTCTGAAACATTTAGAGAAATACTTAAAGGAATGGAAATCGAGGAAGAGATTGACCATGAATATCGTGGACACAATCTGCGAGCTCACTGAAAAGACTCGATCTGCCTTTATTGAAGAATCAGGTATCGACACGGACGAAATGGTTGGTCAAAATATTGATGAAATTGGCAAATTGCATTGATCACTTAGTAACTGCAACACCATTCCATCTCAACATTTTGTAAATTATTTCATGATGTAAAAGTGCATGTTTGAGCAAATAGAAGACAACGGAAGAGAAGAGCTAAAAAGAAAAAATGTTACAAGCGGAAGAAAGCTATACTGCTCGACCATCATCCCTCCAATCAAATGATTCAAATCAGCTTTGCAAAATCATCGTGATAAGCGGCAGACCAGCTACTGGAAAGGTTGGTTGAATTCGGAATCAATGACCATTCGAAACAAGACAGATGATCATGTTGATTATTTAAATTATTATTTAAATTGAAATTTAATGTAAATTTAAATAACAATAATTATTTCATACGGACCGTGACCTCTGATCAGACAACGATATGCAATGCACTTGTGCCCCTTTTAAAACAACGCTTTCCCTCCCACAACATTCTATTCCTTGACACCAATACACTTCTTTCCATGAACGAATATATTCCTCCACAACACATTGAAACCATTCAAAAATTGAAGAATAGTGGAAAATTGAAATATCATTTGGATCCTGAAATCATGTCAACTATTTTAAATTCATATTTTTCACAACACAACACATCACAAAACATTATATTATTTTACAGAGGACCTTCATCGGTGCATGTCTGCAAGCATTTGAATTTTGTGCCCAACCTGTATATTTATTTAGATGCCCCTACAGACGATTTAATTCACAGAGTTTGTTTAAGGAGAGTCGATTTAAGGACTGGAAAGACGTATCACCTCGAAGCAGATGCTGCCTTTATTGAGGCCAACCAACACACTCTTCAACTAAGTCAACGCATTGGAGACTCTGAAGATTTATTTAGGGCAAGAATTGACCGATCCGATCGGCATGTTCTTGAGGTGTTTCATTACTATCAAAACATGGGGATGAAAGGTGCTACTAATGATTCCCATCTTGCTGCAACTTGTGTCGAGTGTGGAAAAGAAAAAGGTAAAGAACAAGTGCTTCATGAGGTTTTTACAATTCTGTTGGAATGGTTGCAGTAGAAACAATGCAGCAAAGGCATTCCTTGTTCGTCGTGATTTGAAATTTCAAATTGATATTTTAAGTTTCGTTTTTATTTTTAGATCTTTCAATTTCATTTGAATTCACAAGATCTCGCTCACATTTCTGATCAAATCATCACAAAAAACAACCATACAACAACCTCAATTATTACAATTGAAGCATGAGAAGAGAAGGCACCCGATTCAATGTAAGAACCAATCAGACCGTCAAAAGATGCCCTCTTTGTACCAAATGGCACTGCCATCCTAAAGATGATGAGAATGTCGACTATGAAAATTTCATTCAACGCTACAATTCAGATCGAGCCTTTCGGAAAGAAGTAAACATCCTCTATGCAGAAAAGATCAAGAAGAAGAATCAATCTCCTAATGAGGATGATGAAGAGAATGGAATGGATGGACAAGAAGAAAACCATCCATCTGCAACTACTACATCCAGAAAATGTTCTCATAAAAAGGCTCATCAAGAAGAAATGAATTCAGAAGATGGCCATGAGCATCATCATTACTCCATTCCCGAAGATTTCACTCCGCAAAAATACAAACGCCACATCGGAGGCTACATTGATCGTCATGTCGGATATTCTCGTGCTGACCATAAACACAACGATGACAATGGACAAAAGGATGAGAGAGAGTTCTCTAGGAAAAACAAGTACTTTGTGAAGAATTTAACGCGTTTTGATTTTAAATTGTGAAAATGATGAACAAATTATAAATTGTTCGCAATAAATCTCGGATCAAAGTTAAATTATCAAACCGAGTTCAAATAATCAATATTTGGGTTTACAACAAAAAAATGATTCCATCAAAACTTGCTTCTCATCATGACTCTTCAATTCGTGATGAAATACACTTTCAAAAACTCTTCTCACCCGAATTGTTGGCTCTATTGCAACCTAAAAATTCAGTAGAGAACATTAACAAGGATCATATTTCGGTTCATGATGTTTCCGACGACGACGAAAGATCTCAAAATGCAACACAAATGATACCGAATATTCCACAACTGGGATTGTATTATGAAATGAGGGAAAAGATTTCCACCTCTTCTTCAATTCCTAATGATTATTTGCAGTACAATTTTATTAGGCTTGCTCCACAACTCCTTTCAGAAAACGAAAGGAATAATACGGTTTCTCTTGTTTTTGAAAATCAATTTATTGAAATTTCTAAGCTGCCTAGTCTTGACAACACTCCTGCTCCAATGAGTGAAACTGTTGTGGAAACAATCAAAGAGAAGGTAAAACAAGATTTTGCAAGTTCGAACACGATCACATATTTTGAGCCATCATTGATAACTTTTGATGAATTTGATGAATCTGCAGATTGGATTGAAACAGAAAAGTGATCTCATGGTGTCACCTTAATTTTGACCACTTGAGAGAACAACAACGAGTTTCAATCGAACTAGAATAGAAAATAACGTCCAAATCGTAACGTTATTATTATCGTTTTATCAAAATAGAAGAAATAAAATGGAAGAGAGTTTGAAGAATCACCATAAAAAAAATATCCTTTGTGTTGTGTCATCATCATCGCCATTTTCCGTTTTTATTATCATCATCCTAATCATCACCCTAATCATCACAAATGGAGGAATTAATTCCAATTGTAAATCGATTACAGGACGCGTTTGCTTCCATCAATATGGATAGTTTAGTGCAAATTGATTTACCGCAGATTGCTGTTGTTGGTTCTCAATCATCGGGAAAGTCTTCCGTATTGGAAACAATTGTGGGTAGGGACTTTTTACCAAGAGGTTCTGGAATTGTAACGAGAAGACCGTTGGTTCTTCAACTCAATAAAACTCCATCCAAGCAACAGCAAACGGGAGATGATTCCACTGGACCCGAAGAGGAATGGGGAGAATTTCTGCACGTGCCAAATAAGAAGTTTTACGATTTTACAGAAATTAGAAATGAAATCATTAGAGAGACGGATAGAGTAACTGGTAGTAGCAAGGGCATTTCGGATCTTCCTATTAATTTGAAAATTTATAGCCCAAAGTATGTAGTTGGTATAATGTACAATCGAATGCTATTGTAATACGTAACAACATTATCAACCTCTATACAGCGTTTTGAATTTAACACTTGTAGATTTACCGGGTATTACTAAAGTCCCAGTTGGCGATCAACCAAAAGATATCGAAGCTCAAATTAGAAACATGATTATGAAATTCATCTCTAAACCAAACTGTTTAATCCTTGCAGTGACAGCTGCAAACACTGATATTGCCAATTCCGATGCGCTCAAATTGGCAAAAGAGGTCGACAAGAATGGTTCAAGAACAATTGGTGTACTTACAAAAATTGATATTATGGACCAAGGAACAGATTGTATGGATGTTTTGAGAGGAGAACTTTTACCGTTGCGACTTGGATATATTGGTGTCGTATGTCGATCTCAAAACGATATCAATTTGAACAAATCTATTCGTGACGCTTTGAGAGACGAAGAACGCTTCTTTGCCACACATCCAATTTATAAGAGCATTTCCGATCGAATGGGAACTAAATATCTTGCCAAGACACTGAATCGAATTTTATTGAATCACATCAAAGAAGTACTTCCTGAGGTGAAGAGTAAGGTTGCTGCCTTGATTCAACAAGCTCAAACTCGTCTTCAAGAGTATGGTGTTCCTTTGGGGGAGTCATCAATGTCGAATGGAGCTTTATTGTTGCAATTACTTACAGACTTCTCAACTGATTTCGTAGAGACCATTGATGGACGTAATGCAGAAGTATCAACCAATGAACTCTTCGGAGGAGCTCGAATCAATCACATATTCACAAACAAATTCTATCCATCCTTGTCAGAAATTGATGCGTGTGAAAATTTATCTGATTACGACATTAGAACTGCAATTAGAAATGCCAAAGGACCAAGAACATCCCTCTTCATTCCAGAAGCAGCGTTTGAGATGCTTGTTAAAAGACAAGTGAAACTTTTGGAGGATCCTAGTATTCAATGTGTTGATAGAGTTTTGGAAGAATTGATTGCAATTGAGGAACATTGCGAAAAGATATTTTTGAGATTCCCTAATTTGAAGGAAAAGGCCCGAGAATTTGTCATTGGATTATTGAAAGAGTACGCAGACCCATTGAAAGAATTTATTAGAAATATTATCAAAATTGAGTTGGCATACATCAATACGAATCATCCAGATTTCTTTAGTAATAATAAGGTTGCAGGTGTATTAGGTGAAGCACAAAAACGTAAGTATTCTAGTCTTTTTATCACGAAAGAGAGATAGAACATTTCGCATTCTTATGGTCGATTTCAAACAAATAATTTTTTCACAACACAGCATCTCCTCCAATGCAAGGTCAGCCTCAACTAAACATGTCACAGCCCCAATCAAACTTGCCACAGCAACAAGTATCCAGAAGAATGCCCCCACCAATCAACCAACCACCACAACAACATCAAATGTCACAGCAACAAGTGAGTATCAAACCAATCCACATCGCCCACGCTTACACATACACTTTTCTTGCACATTTTACTAACCCTTAACCCAAAATTTATTGACCATGATATCACATCATTATCGACATTGACCCAACCTTATGGCGACTGATCCTTCTTTTACATATGTTTTCCATTTTTTAATTTTCTTACTAACCATAATACTTTTTTCTTGTATGTAGGATGAACAATATAATGATGAAAATGCCGACAATGAATGGGAACAAGTGAGCACGTATCCACCACCAAAGAATCCCAGTCAAGTCCATGTAAAGCACAGTTTAAGGGGACAAGGCTCTTCTTCCAACAAAGAGCACAAGGATGGAGGGGTTGCCAAAAGCATTTTCAGCTTTTTCACAGGGCATAAGGACGGAAAGGATGAAAAGAAAAGTATGTATTTTATATTTGTCACAAATGCTGATATTGAATTCATTTTTCTCACAACATACAGGTAATGACAGTTCATTTTTCGACAACGTTACAGGAAGCGTTACTGTAAATACAAATAGAGACGTGGAAGTTAACGTTTCATTACCAAAGAATGTACCAAAGACAAGAACTCAAAAACAACAACCTACACAACAACCTCCCCCACCAACTAGATACAGTCCGCCAAATCAAACATACAGTCAGTCAAATCCTCACAATGAGAATGTCGATTATTATGGTCAAGAAAATTTTGAGGTTTGCATTCACTAATTATATTTTTCATGTGTTTATAATCTTGAATTTTTTATTGACACTGTGTTGTTACATGACATGAATTATTATATATATATATATGATTTCACTTTTAACAAATAGGATCCTTATTCAGGCATGCCACAACAAAATCCCACAGCTGCATTCTTGACAAACTTTGAGGAAAGAGAAAAGAAGGAAACTGAAACTATCAAGACATTGTTGCAACATTATTTCGATATTGTAAGAAAGGGTGTGTCAGGTAAGTATTTTAATGTAATACGCAACGAATTCAATGTGTATTCGAATTATTTCTTTGTTTGCCACAGACTCGGTTCCTAAATCAGTTATGCACTTTTTGGTGAACAAATCCAAGGTGAATTTACAAAGTGAGCTAGTTCGCAATCTTTACAAGCCCGAATTATTCGATGAGTTGTTGAAGGAAAATGAAGCAATTGCTCAAAAGAGAAAGGCTGCATCCAAGTTGCTAAGCGCGTTGTTAAAGGCCCAAGATACGTTGAATGAAATCAAAACAAAGAAGATTTAATTAAATATTTTTGCTTTTATTCAAGAATTAATTAAATTTCGGTGTTTGTTGTTCTTTTCAGCTTCTCATGTTCGAAATGGAAGTAAGGATAACCAAGAGACACCACTGTCGTTGTCACCATCTCAAAGAAATACTGGACACACAACAGTTGTCTCTACAAAAATTCACTATTTTTTATCCTCTGTAAATTTGAATTACAACAATTGTTGTTATTCTTGTTGTTGATACACAAAAATTAGTAGTTATATTGCTCAGTAAGGCTCATCACTTCATATTTAGCAACTGCGGTTTAAAGAGTTTACTTCTTCTTTTGGCCAGCTGGAGTCTCTTCTTCGTAGACCTTGGTAACGATACCAGCACCAATAGTGTGACCACCTTCTCTGACAGCAAAGCTCAAACCTTCAGTAATTGCAACATGGTTAATCAAAGTCACGTTAATCTTCTTCTTGTCACCTGGCATGGCCATACACTTTTCACCTTCAGCGAGAGCCTTTCCTTCCTCAGGATAAATCTTCATCTTACCGGTAACGTCAGCAGTTCTGAAGAAGAATTGAGGTGAGAAACCGTCAACGAAAGCAGTACGTCTACCACCTTCTTCTGCAGTCAAAACGTAAATATCAGCGTCAAACTTGGTACGTGGCTTGAGCAAACCAGGCTTGCAAATGACTTGACCTCTCTTGATTTGCTTCTTATCGATACCACGCAACAAGATGCCCAAGTTATCACCCGCTTGTCCTTTATCAACCAACTTGTGGAACATTTCAATACCAGTCACGGATGTCTTGATTGGAGTTGGAGCAAAACCGACAACTTCAACTTCAGCGTTCAATTTAAGGGAACCTTGATCGACCTTACCAGTGGCAACAGTACCTCTACCAGAGATGGTAAAGACACCTTCCACAGGCATGAGGAATGGCTTGTTAATATCTCTTTCAGGTTCTGGAATATCCTTATCAACAGCATCCATGAGTTTTTGGATAGCAGGTGTACCAATTTCTGATTTATCTCCTTCCAAAGCCTTCAAAGCAGATCCTCTAATGATACTAATATTATCACCATCAAATCCGTATTGTTTGACTGTTTCTCTGATTTCTTCTTCAACCATTTCAATCATCTCTGGGTCAGGAACCAAATCTACCTTGTTCAAAAAGACAACAATGTGTTTGATACCGACTTGTTTACACAACAACAAGTGTTCTCTGGTTTGGAGCATTGGTCCGTCATCAGCCGAAATAACGAGAATGGAACCGTCCATTTGAGCAGCACCAGTAATCATGTTCTTGATGTAGTCAGCGTGTCCTGGACAATCAATGTGAGCATAGTGTCTAGCTGGTGTAGAATATTCAATGTGAGAAGTACTGATAGTGATACCTCTTTGCTTTTCTTCTGGAGCTTTATCAATTTGGTCGTAGGCCAAGAAGTTGTTAGCCTTTGGGTCCGTTTCACTCAAATATTTGGTGATGGCCGCAGTGAGAGTTGTTTTACCGTGGTCGACGTGTCCAATAGTACCAATGTTAATGTGGGGCTTGCTACGGTCAAACTTTTCCTTTGCAGCAAATCTGAGTTGGTTGGTATTGATGATGGTTTGAGTGGTGGCTAGGAAGGTGTTAGCCTTGTTCAAAATGCTAGAGGTTTTACTGATTTTAGAGGAGAACATCATTTTCTGTGTGCAAGAGTAAAATTAAAATAATAAACAATTTTATAATTGTACGATGATGAAGGCACTTGCTTCGGATGAGAGAGAAGAAAATTAGATAGGAGAACCAGAGAGCAAGCAGACTACGAGCTAAAATATTTTTTTGGTCAAAAATAATGTAAAATTTTCAATCAATTTTTGCATCAGTCATCCATTCAACAGTTGCTCAGCGACCGGGTCGACACGTTTGTCTCTCCAAGCAAACAACAAAAATTGGGTAAACCAATCGATGATGGAGTAGAGAGTCATCTCTCCACATGTACAAACTTGTTCAAATGTGGATTGAATCAAGCAACTTATAAAGTATCTCAAATAATTAGTGCTTCATTTAATGACTTCAAGAAGGGGTTATAGCTCAGTTGGTAGAGCGTGTGCTTTGCATGCACAAGGTCCAGGGTTCGATTCCCTGTGACTCCAATTTTTTTTGTTTTATACCTTTTCACTTGGATCTATATAACGCAGATTGACGACGCTTTTGTGTTGTTCGGTGTAAATTTGCTTTCCACTAAAACCGTCTAAAAAATATCGTAGTGAATGCTAGCTTGTCTAAGTAGTAGAATTTGTGGCATTTGCCAATAAGAAAAGAAAATAAACAACTCCTTTACTCTCCTTCCACATTTCAAAGACCACACAACACTAAAGAGGTTTGGTATAATGGACTTTTATTACACAACCGCTTGACTTGAAGGGAGGGAGGGTCGGCACTTCATAGATAGCTGTTCTCTTGAAAGTAGATAGATATTTTCCATTACTAGTGATGTTTTGTTTGTTTTTTGTGTAATAATTCATTCTCTCTTATTTCTTCCTTAGTATTTATATCTTTTCTGAATGTCAGTTAACCAAAGTGAAAAGTAATGGATTAAAAACAAAAAATGGAGTCACAGGGAATCGAACCCTGGACCTTGTGCATGCAAAGCACACGCTCTACCAACTGAGCTATAACCCCTTCTTGAAGTCTTTAAATGAAGCACTATTTAGACATAATGTGCATCCACCGGAATAAATTTTTGTTGGTCAAGAGAATGGAATTAATGGGAGATCGACCAAACGAACAAGTGATTTGATTTTAGAAAATCCCGGTGGTGACTCGCCTGCTTCATAAAAAAATCACAATCATCTCTCTCGTCAATACAAGAACAACAATGACTGGAATGAGAAAGCACTTATCCTTTCATTGCTTATTCTCTGTGTTGAGTCAAAACGCTCTCTTGTCACATCCCTCTTTCAGCCAAAAGCTTTCTAGAGGCAGTCTCAATCCGCATCATCATCACCAATTCAAAAACTTTTCAACTTGTTCACATCATTCCTGTGGATTTATTTCCGTTGTTTCTCCTCACGAACCCATAGCTTCGAAACGAGTCATCGAAGGAGCAAACTGATCAACTGAAACCACAATCTCATCCTCCTCATGGGAAGATCGTATGCAAAAAGGTCTTCAAAGCATTCAACATCGAGGCCCAGACAGTTCTCATATTTGGATTGACCATAAGAGAGGAGGAAAAGTTGCTTTGGGTCACGTTCGACTCTCCATTATTGATCTCACTGGTGGTGATCAACCTCTCTCGAATGAAGACAATACCATTCACGTGGTTGTGAATGGAGAACTCTATGATTATGAAAGAATTCGTTCCGACCTCATGCATCGATGTGGCTACAAGTTTAAAACACATTCTGACAGTGAGATTGTTTTGGGTTTGTATCAAGAGTATGGATTGGACATGTTCAAACATTTGAGAGGAGAATTTGTGTTTTCCTTGTGGGATTCAAAGGCTGGAATTATGATCGTGGCAAAGGATCGTTTTGGAATCAAACCCTTGTTTTATACGAAGGATGAGAAGAGCGGAGCCATGTTATTTGCCTCAGAGATGAACGCTTTCTTCGAGATGGGAATTAAGGTGAGTGTTGTTGGTGTTGTTGTTGTTTGTGTGAGGTGAAAAAAGGATTCATTGTTGTATTGATGTATGGATATATACCTCAAATTCGAATTGGATGAATGTATGAATGGGACTGCGCGTTTGGTTTCGTTTGTTTGGGTGTGTGCCTTTGGGTTTGATATGGATGTGTTTTGAACGACATATGCATAGTGTGAGTGGGATGATCAAGATTCTGTCGTGTATCCAGGTTCCTTTGATCAAAGAACGCTTTTCAAAAGTATGTATGTCTTTCAAACAATGGATGAGAGAGCAAGTTCTCTCTCTCTTCTTTCACCTATTCAACACTGATGACATTATCCAAAACAACATATGCACACAAACAAATGGCATACAGACATCTATCAACTTCCTCCTGGACATTATGCAGTCATTCCACTCCATGATGTGAACAGTATGAAAGTCTGTCGTTATTGGGATTTGGATTATCAAGAGAAGGATCTCGTTGCAACAAATAGAACTCAAGAAAAAACCGAATCACAAGTCATTCGTGAAGTGAGACAGTTATTGGATGAAGCCATTCGTCATCGTTTGAAAGCAGATGGTGGGAGTCTACCTTTCGGGTGGCATTGATTCCTGTGCCGTGTTGGGTCTCTCGAACAAGATCCTTAAGGAACATTTCAAATCGGATGGTTCCATTGATGCCTTTACCTTATCATTCAAGGATCATCCTGCATTCGATGAGGCCACCATTGCCAAGAAACAAGCTCAGCTGAGTGGTGCGAAATATCATGAAATCCCAATCACACAGCAAGAACTTGCAGATCATTTTGAAGAGGCGGTTTATCATTGTGAACGTCCTTGTATTCAAACGAACTTTATTGAAAAGTTTTTATTGTCAAGAGCGGTTCGTGAGGCTGGTTATAAGGTGGTGTTGACTGGAGAAGGAAGTGATGAGACGTAAGTAATGATGATTGGTGGTGGTTGTTGTTGTGGTTGTTTCAAATGACAACATTGATGATCATAACCTTAATGATCATTTCATTTTGTTTGAAATGTTATGGATCATTTGAATATCCAACCTATATTCCATGAAAAACACAGATTCTGTGGATATCCATGGTTCAAGATTGATCTCCTCAATGACAGTCAAGCCTTGAAGCAACACGACCGCGAGGAAATTATCAAACTTTTAATGGAAAAGAATATTGGATTTAGATTCATGTTTACGTCTTTTCTAGCATCCAACTCTGACTCTTCAAAACAAGATCCAACCCACAAGCTCATTGGATTCCAACCATCTTTCCTCTCGGTTTCATTGACTGCACACTATGATCAATATTTGAATTCACATCTCACTCCTTCAGAAGAGGAGAAAGAAGGCATGTTGAGATATCGATTGATTAATTTATTGGATCCAGCAACAACGGACAAGATGAAAAACAAGTGGAGCAAAGTACATTCAAGCATGTAAGTGAACATCCTTAATATTAAGTTTTGTGAATCACATCATACGAATCAAACTATTAATTTTATGCCACACATTAATGGTGTGATTTGTGAACACTTGATGTGTGGGGGTTCTATTCAAAAACGCGTATAATTTCTCAACAACAATATGGTTGAACCAATAATTGCTCACAATGGCGCTACAATGTGTATGAAAATACTTGTGATGACACTGAATACTTTTTTCAATGACACGAATTAAGGTATTTGTGGGCAAAAACAGTCTTTCAGACCTATGTCCTTGTTCATTTGGGTGATTGTTGTGAGATGGCTCACAGTGTGGAAGGTCGTGTTCCTTTCCTAGATCATCATTTGGTCGAATATGTGAACAATATTCCGTTAGACCTCAAATTGAAAGCCGATCTTGAAAGAAAAGTACTCATTGAAAAGTATGCTTTGCGTGAAGCTACCAAAGATGTTCTCACTGAAGAAGTGTATCAACGAATTAAGCATCCATTCACTTCACCTCCATCCACATGGAATAAGCAAGGACCTATGTATCAACTCTTCCAAGAGACTTTAAGAAGCGCAGATTTCGACAAACAGCCATTCTTTGATCGAAAGAAGGTCATTCAATTGTTAGATACAGTCCATGAGAGTGAAGATCCAACCATGTTGCAAGCCTATGATGGATTGTTGACCCAATTGACAGGTTTTGCATTCATGCAAAAGAGATTTAATCCTTCTCTACCTTCACCTTCAACAATAACAAGATGGCATTAAGAGGAATGGAATTCCTTTTGTTATTGTTGTTCATGTCATGGTCCTGAATATCTTTATTTACACTCTTATTGTGAAACACTTCAAACATATCTTTCATAAAGGCTTCTTTTTTTAATAGTTGTAAATTAGGGACCGATACGTTCGAGAAACAGAGCACCTTTCGAGGTAAGTTGTCGTTCCATTTGAGTTATTTCTTGGTGAAAGAAAGGTGTTATTGTGTAAGGCTTGTAAATGGTTTTAAAGTTTCAAATCCTTTATCCTGTAAAAAGCTCCAACAATCGCCACACATGAAATAGTGTAAGTATTTTGAGATTCAGGCTGAACAACTTAACTCTCTTGTCGATCTGCATTGCTTCATTCCTTCAAATCCCATCAATGCCATCAGCAACCAAACACAACGAAGAATTTTTTAAAAAAACTCACGGCAAAAAATGAGTAACCCAACAAATCCACCACCCTCTTCCTCCTCCTCGGTTGTTGGCCAACATCACCCACAACAACGACCGTATCATGCTGTATCTGGAGGATCTTCTCATCAACCACCTCATATGATGCAGCATGGTTCTGCTTCGGTTTCATCAATGGCATCATCGGGTCAGGGTGGCAGCAGTAGTGGATCATTATCGGCGGCGGCGGGTGGAGGATTTGCTCAACAACATTCATCATCATCGACGAGTCGACCACCTGGTCAATACCCACCCAGATCTGGTCAAAACACTGTACAAAATTCGAGTCGACCACCCAATCCTGTTGCAAGAGGTTCAAGCAGCATGAATCCGAATATAACCAGTAGTAGACCACCCACAAAAAAACATCCACCGAATCAACCATACAATACAACAACGTCTTCTCATTATCATCACGGTGGAATAACAAACATTTCTGGATATAATCAAACGCAGCCTACAGGGACAAAACTAAAATGTGGAAAGGTTGAAGTGGATCTTCTCTCACCAAAATTGGGCTTTCCGGATGTATATCCTTGCGAGCAACATTCCAGAATACCGGAAGTTACATTTTCATCAACTTTTTCAAGAGAGGGATATGTTGACAAAACATTTTCAAAAATCGATCATCAAGAAATTAATGCTTTTGGAAGTTTTTTTTTAGATTCTTCTTTTTTTGCAAATCTGGAGAGATGTGAACAAACTTTGAGAGAGGAACACAAATCATTCTCTACTAACAAGACAAGAGAGGAAATGAAACAACGGTTCGACAATGCTGTTAATTCATGCAATTGTACTGCTACAACCACATTCTTTCCAAAAACAGTTGAAAATTTTAACATCATGTTTAAAGCATTGGCAGGAAAACCTGAAGAGCAGAAGCGACCCATGAATAACGCTACTTCACCAAGAGTACCTCTGAGAGAACTTGTGTCAAAAGTGGCCAAATATTTTGTAAAAGCGAACTTCTTCGAGATACTTGCGCAAAACAACATTCCGTACTTTAGAGCACTATGGTATACCAAGATTTTAATACGAGACAATTCAGCTGGATCAAATGTTAATGTTAAAGACTTAAGTTTGGACTTAACAAACAAGCTTTGCGAGCACATATTGAACATTTGCTCTGAAGAAAGCGCCGATCCAAAGAAGCGTCAATCTGTTATGTATACCATTAATTTTCTTGCCTATTGCCTTGAAGAGAAGATGCTAAACGAGTCCGTTTTGTGTCAAAAGCTGCTTGAAATGCTTGAATCAAAATTTGGTTTAAAACCAAAGGCAAGCAAAGATGTACCTCTCATGGACGCTTATTTCTTCTCATTACTTTCCATCAAATCAAACGACCAAATTTTCCAAAATCTAACCAATACCATCAACTCTTCCAAAGTAAGTGGACCTTCGACTACTTCAGTTACAAATTTTTCACTCCTTTTTAGAAAGTTGGACCTGTCACCAAATTTTATATTTTACAATTTTTTAAATTATATATGACCTATTCGTCAGATCCTAAATTTTCCTTCGAGGTTTATCGAAGATTGAACCCTGGCCAACAGCAATTATCCATAGATAATGTAAAACACTTGATCTACAAGACAAAGGATGATATATTTGCAATTAATGTACTAGATAGAACGGATTGCAACATATCTGAGCTTTACAACATTTTACTATACAACAAAGATATTGGTGTACATCTAATATCTAGCATTTGTGAATGGGCAATAACACCAAAAAGGCAACAGAATCATAGACCTTATGTTGCCGGAACACTGGTTAATTATTTCATCAAACAGAACCCTGCATTGAAAAAACAAGTGGAGGAATCACTATTTAAGGAGGTTTTAAGCTATTGTGAAGAATCCTCTGAAGATACTTCGTTGAATATTATCAAACTATTCAATGAATTGATTTTGCAAAATAATTTTTCAATCAGTGAATACATCAAGTATTTAACAGCAAGAGGCTTTAACGTATCAAAAACGGACAAGTTTAACACCACACATTCCTATATTCTTAGAAACCTTCCTTCATACGACTCTCTCACCAAGAACAAGATCAATTCTAAATTATATGGACCAAGGTTTGACTCTGACAATTCTGAAGCAAAGAAAATTCAAACTTCGCAAAACGATATCAAGGAAAATATTTCAAAGATTATTTATGGAAGTCTTAGCCAGAATGATATGGATGAGACTGTAAAAGCAGTCATCAGCTCTATTCGGGAGCTACCCTTGAAAGGTGCTCAATTTGAAATTACTCAGTGGATATCTGATGAGCTGAAGTCTCTTGACTCCAGCCTGTTAAGTGAAGATATTATCGATAATTTACTTGCGATAACTCTTGCAGTTTCAAACTATAGAGCTTTTAGAGATATCATTTTTAATATTCTTAACAAGCTCGTTAGTGGAGAGTGCAAGTTTTTTGGCCTCGAGATGAAGCTATTCTCTATTATTAGAAATGGTATACAGCTATTTATTGCACTGGATGACTCTGAAATGATTGACTTGTTCCAAAAGCGATACAAAACCATCAACAACCGAAACTTCCAAATCGTTATTTATAAGTACTTGACGGAAATTAGTTCATCCCCCAACTGTGAGGCCTTCAAGGCTAAAATTTCCAAGTTTATTTCTGTGGTAGAAAATCTTTACACTCCACCAGCTCCGCTGAATATGGATTTTACTTTGACCCCAATGACAACTCATCCATTCATTGAGTATGTCAAGAAAGAAGGTGCAAACCTAATTCACACGAGCCCATCCTCTCTCGTTTCAGAATATACTCTTAGCAATCCTCAGAGATTCACACAAGAGCAAGTATTCATACTATTGCAAGTATTGTTTGCACAATACCATCAACACAAACATGCCTTCTTCATTCGATTATTACGGGATATGTCTCTTCAAAGTGCCTTGTTTGAGAACTCTGCCATTATCGAATGCTTAACTCACTTCATTGTTCAGATTTTAGATGATCCTCATTCTACAACAGACCTTATTGTTTCCCTCATTCAATTTATCATAGAAAGTATTACGAACGGCCTTCTTTCGGGATATACCTTTCTTAACAATATTTTATTCAGAGTCTTTGATTTATTGATGCAGAAAATCATCAATCTGAAGAATATACCCAATCCTCCCAAAACCTTCATTTTCTTTTACATCTATTTCTTACGAATTTTTGTCAATTTTTCCTTTAGCACCACGAATGAAAAGATTAGTGCATTGATGACTGAATGTGAAATTCCAGCTGACTCAGTAGCCTCAATCGATCAACATATTTATTCTAATATTATTACCAACACATTTTATGACTTCCTAGGGCCTTTTGAATCGAAAGAACTGATTTCTAAACTTGCTGTTTATTGTAAAAACCTTTACAAAGAGGCTATATCTAGTCATGGCGATCAGAACAGAAACAAAAAAGTTTACGAATCCATGGTTGAAATTTTACAAGACTATCTAGGAAATCCCAAAGCTTTGAGAGACATTAGCCGTACTGTTTCATATACCCAAGATTGTCTTGGATTATTATATGAACTCCCATCCAAAGGAAAGGAAATTGAATATGGTAATAAGTACCAAACAATATCAACACTCATAGAAAGCTTGATTAAGCCATTCTCAAGCGAAGCTACAAATACTGTTCCAGGAAGGTTATTCGCATATCTGAGCCAAAGCACGAGTATCAACGATTATTTGAACTTTGTAATGAACCTTTCAAAATCTTGCGACAAATGGAGAATTCCAATTGACTCTCACATACTATTTATTTACATGTTTACTTGGAACAAGAGAAAACCTCTACAAAGAGAGCAGTATCTCCCTTTTGCAACTCGAAAAGGAAAAGATGATCCATTCTTCTATGCCAAATCTCTTTTACCAATACTATTCTATGCTCCATTCGCAATGTTTCAGGATATTATTCTAGAACTATTCCGATCAGCCATCACCTATAATGAAAAACGTCCACAAGATGAAAAACGCCAACAAGACGACAAACGTCAGCAAGATGTGGAAAATCTATGGCCTACTATTGATGAGCTCATTCGATTGGATCAGGGTAAAGCTGAAGTTGCTTGTCGTTACGTACTGGACTCGATTAATGGAACCTTAAAAGATCAAAATAGTCCGAATATTAGAGAAAGATTGACCACTGCTCTTTTTTTGTTTGAAGGAAATCATTTTCTATTCTCCACTCCTTGAAAATCCTTTCGAAGATCGTACCATTGACAAGAAAAACAGACATCAAATCATCTTTGATATTAAGAAGGTTCTCGTTATGCTATCCACAAGTAAGATCATACCAAACATTTTCAATTCCTCCACATCAGCAATCACTGTTCCAGCCTCTATCGCCTCCAGTAGCTCTCCCACTCAAACAGCTGTTGATCTTTCCCTCACTGATATTTATTATCTCATTTACAGCATGTTCGTTAAATTGAAAATTCCTCAAGAAGAACTGAACAAGGACTTTGAACGATTTTTCCAGCAGCGAGAAGCTTCTTTGACATCTGCCTCATCAAGTGGAAGCAGCTCACGAAACATTCAGCAGCAACCACCCTACACACAAACTCAAATCAATCCAAGTCCTGGTTCTGCCTCCTCATCAGGAACGCCATCAGGTATTAGACCTTCCTCAACACCACGAGGAGTTGGTACTCCTTCTTCAGGAACTGGCAAAGCATCCCCAATCAAGAGCCCACAACAATCTCCACTTCAATCCTCCATCATTGGATCACAACCGTCTACCATTAGAAACGACCACAACAAGATTAGCAATTGGTTAGTTATTGAGGACCTTGTTGCCCAATGCCCTCATTGTGGATCATTGCATGGTAATCTGACTCCAGCTCGTTACTTTGGAAGTAAGGTTGTGAAAAAGACAGAACTTTTGTTTGGTAAGAAAGTTGCACCTCCTCCTCCTCCTCCTCCTTCATCATCATCATCATTGGCATCGTCAAGCGGTCAGCTCAATCATCACTCGTCATCTAGCAGCAGCGATAGCTCCACCAAGAAAAGAAAATTGGCAGAATCGTCAGACTCCACACCAACCACAGAACAGCAAGAAGATTTTACCTCAATGGCTCTTTCAGATTCTCCTCTTTCACAAGACTCTAAGAAACTTAAACATTAGTAGTGATGTGTGTTCACATGTTTTATATCATCTGCTTTCAATCAATGATAACAATAAAGGTGAGTCTTGTGCAACACATTTTCTTTCTTGTGCTTCTGCTCATCATGATGATGAGCAGGTAATATTCATTGTAAACTATTAGTCAACCGAATTTTCAAAAATTTCGAAAAAGTTTGTTGAAAAAAAATACTCATCATTTGCCATACAAACATTCGCCAAAATGACCGCAGGCAAGAACAAGAGAGTTGTGAAGAAGGGTAAGGCCAAGAAGACCACTGACCCATTCGCAAAGAAGGAGTGGTTCGATGTTTATGCTCCACATCCATTCAACAAGAAGAAGTCTGAACCATTCACCAAGACTCCAATCAATAAAACCGCTGGTACCAAGATCTCAACAGAAGCTTTGAAGGGAAGAGTCTTTGAAATCTCAGCAGCTGACTTGATGAACGAAGAGGAACAACAACATCAACTTGTCAGATTGGCAGTAGGTGATGCTAAGAGCGACACCAAGAAGGCATTGACCGTTTTCAATGGTTTGAGATACACCACTGACAAACTCAGATCATTGGTCAAGAAGTGGCACACACTCATCACAACAAGAATCAATGTTAAAACTGCTGATGGCTTCCAAATGAGAGTTTTCGCTTTGGGTATCACCAAGAGAAGACAATTGCAAATCGCAAAGAGAACCTATGCATACAAGTCCCAAGTCTTGAGAATCACCGCCAGAATGAAGGACATCATTAACAAGAAGGCCACCACTTCACCAGTTAATGAATTTGTTGAAAAGGTTGTCAACGGAAGCTTGGGTAAGGAAATTGAAAAGTCATGTGCTTCCATCTTCCCATTGAAGGATGTCTGTATCTGCAAGATTAAGGTTACCAAGACTCCAAAGGATCTTGCTTCTGCTCTCCATTAAATAAACTTAAAAATTAAAATTCAATTATTATCGAATTGTGTAAATTTATTACACTCCCTCCAGCTATTCTTTTGCTGTTGGAGTGGTCTCTTTTACCAGAGATTCCTCGAGAAAGAGAACTACGGGGTATCCGAATTTCAGTTTTATATCTCTGCACCGCCTTTAAAAACTACGACCGTTGTTCGTGTCTCCTCCCTTAAAAAAAATAACGAACTTTTGCACCAGCGCTGAAATGGGCTGTGGTACATTTTCGAAACAATCAGAATTTGCTGTTGAGGATAATAGACACACCCCTTCTCATCATCAGAATAATCAAAAGAGAGTTGATCCAGTTTCATCATCACAATCATCATCGCAGGGAAACGACTCGAATCATCAACAAGAGCAATCGCTTGAGGTGGCCTCCGCCAAAAAATCAAGAAAAGGAAGCTTCCTATCTCGAAGGGGGTCATCCTCCAAATCAATTAACCATTCTAATAACCCAACTAGTATAACAATAACAGAGGAAGAGCCAGTTTCAGAGATATATCCATTCATTTCTTGGCCTGAAGATATCATGATTTCGCTTGCAAATAAGGGTTCTCAATTTGAGATGGGAGAACTTTCTCTCAATCCGTCGGACGCTTCGGAGGATCAATCAAATGAGCGACCACTCTTAAAATATGTTAAGGACAAAAGAAATAGTAGTCAACAAAGTGTTATAGATTGCATGTATGATATGATGAGCAAATCGTTATATTTTGGAGGTAACGCACCCTTTCCTGTAAATAATGAAAACAATTATGATATTGCACTTGATTTTATTGCCCAAGGATGCCCATCCGGGAAACAACGGTTTACATTCTTTTCTCATAAGGAAATACTTTTACATAGGAGCGCTTTCTTTAAAGGAGAGCTCTCAAAAGATAACGGAGCAGTTGACTCCCTAAAGCGAACCCTAAGCAGTGCGCATGATTTTAGGAAATCGATGGTTAAAGCAGAGACAAATGTAGCAGAGAGAAGAAACACGGCTGGAGAGGCGATATCTTTGAAACGAACAGCGAGTCATACAAACAATCAAGGACCTAGATCGAGTCTTCCACCGATGCCCTCACATCAACAACGATCTTTGAATACCACAAGTACGAAAAATTTGTTGGCCGGCTTTGATTCTTCGGGGTCTTCAGCAATGATTAAGCCAATGATACAAGATGAGAAGGAAGAACTCTTTTCTTCTCAAGGAAGTCTTACGTCTTTAATGCTTTCAGAAGAGAAACGAAAAGGACAACGAAAACCAAATAATCAGAATCTAACAATAGACCTTTCAAAACAAACCAAATCCAATTTACAACCATCAAGACTTGAGGTGATATTAACTCCTCTAGTCAAAAATCCGGAAGTATTGCTTTTGGTTTTTGAGAACATCTACTCAGGATATTTTCGGCCCGACTATGTTCACAAGATGAAGTCTTTGGACATGGAAACTCTAATTCAAGTGCTTGCTCTTGGATATCAGTTTAAAGTTCAGTCTATTCGGTCAGTTTGCAAAAGTTTAATCAGCCAGTTTGTCTGTACACATAAGGAAAAGTACACAAACCTTGAAGATCTTATATCGTCAACCTTCAGCGCTATATCAATAGATGATATTCAGAAAAACAACATGAGCATTGTACTGGAGCTTAGGAAAATATTTCAAGATTCCAAAAGTAAGTACAATTTGTTCAAACAATTCAATATATAGATCACAACCATTATTCAGAGTCCTTACAAGAGAATTTTATATCGCTAACTCAGGAGAAAAGAACTTTCCTTAAAGATCTTGATTTTATGTTTGTTCATTGCAACATGAAAAAGAACCATCAGGACTTTAGTGATATGAAATTAACCATTCATGTGGAAAAAAAGGATGAAGAAACAGAAAATGATGCAGGACAAACAACAAGTGTATCTGCCCTTCGGTCAAGCTTGGAAAGAAAGCAAGACGAAGATCGTGATGTACAGCCTCTAATCAATCAAAAGAAAAAGAGGACCAAACTTCAAGACACAATTGAGCGAAATCCAACTAAAAAGATTTTTATCCATAATTTTATACTGAAGTGCAGAACTAGCATGGATAACATTGAACAATTCCATCTCTACTCTACGAACGTGGATGTTGTCAAGACATTTGTTCATTATTTGTATACAGATACCATTCACAACGACGCCTACAACGTGAGCAAGAAAAAGATAATCCCTTTAGCAGAACTATTTCATATTGACCGATTGAAGTACGAATGCTTAGCTCATGCATTATTCAACTTAACAGAGGATAACATTTTACAAAAATATAATAAGGCCGTGGAATGCAAGGAGACTCTTCTTTCTCAAGCTATTTTATATACCATGGCAGGAATATATCCAAAGCTAGTTCAAAAGAATTATGAAGAAGGAACAGAAGAGTACAATATTTTCTTTTCAATCGACGAGAAGCTGAAAATGCTCTATCAACGAATAAGCGGACAGTTTGTACTAAGGCGACGCCTGTTTGTTGAGACTAGGCTAGCAGAACTCATACCTAAGGTTGACACATCTCTGCTACCTCCCAATCAGACCTCTCCCATTCACAAGATACATATTCACGTTTGCGGCCAACGAGGTGTTGGTGTTTCTACGTTTATTGCTCAAGCTCGGTATCAGCTCAGTGACTTAAAATCATTTGAGGGAGTTGATAATATTGAAATATCAATTAGTCATTCATATTCTTCGGAGAAGGGCTATGTTGCAACTTCTCCAAAGGCAGATGGTATAATATTTTTGTTTGCAGTAGATAATATTAATTCATACAATTCAATTCGTAAATGCTTTGAAGATTTTAGAGCTCATTTTAAAGCTCCAGTTTTGATGGTTGGAAACAAATGTGACGCAATTATTCACGCATTTGAAAATGAAAACAATGTTGTGAACTCGAACAAGCTCGTTAAGGAGGTCACGGAAGAGATGGGTTGTCCCTATTTCGAAATATCCGCCCGACAAATCCACAACGTGAGGAAATGTCTCGAAGAAGCAGTTCGAGAGATTCTTTATCATCGACACATTGTTTTCAAAGCACCTTCTCATCACTCAGAAAAGGTGTTACGAGACACCATGGCCGAAGTGAAGTCACCCACAGTGCAGAATAAATAATTGAATGCATTTTGGGATGGACCAAACAGAAGAAAAAATAGACCTCTTTTCGAGTTCACTCCTTTGTCGTTCATGCAAACAACATTTTCATCACAATAATCGGTCGACCGAGTACAATAGTACCGCGGAGTCTAAATGGTTCCTACACATCCATCACCGTTCGACTCGAAAAACCACAATTTATTTCTAAACACGACATCATCATCTCAATCTGCAAAACCGCCCATATTATCGTCCTTTCCTGGATTCCTTCATGTTCCCTATTTTCCTACAACGACCAATAGCAACAACAATAATTCCACAACAACAACACTCTTTCATGAGGATTTAACAATTCGTTGCATCACTCCATTGGATCGATCATCTGATACAATCATCACTCAATCGCATCGGAGCAATAGTAACATCACGTCGAGTCGATCCGATGCGAAAGAGAGCAATGAATCCAGTGATGATGAAAGTGATGATTCTGAAAATAGTGTAATTGAGAGTAGTACGGAAACAAGCCAATATCACAATTCCGAAGCTTCAATTTCTACTTTAAAAACAAGACGAAAGAGGAAGAAGAAGAAAAAGGGATTATATTGTTATAAGAGCTATTTGGATTGTCAGGTAAGGTGACATTTCAAATGTTTCTCATCTCTATGTATTAATTATTTTTTTAATTGATATTATTGAAATCACATCAATTTTTGCAAAATGTATTTATTGCTTTTATAATTTATATTTAACATTTAAAAAAAGAGAAAAGAGAAAAAATTAAGAAATATCACAGAAAGTGAAGAACAATCCTTATTGCACGATTTAAATATAATTTTTAACCATCATCCACCATCTCAAGTTGAGTCCATTAATTTCCCAAAATTTGAAAAAGCAAACTATTTCTCTAAATTTCTCTCAAATCCTCTCAGCACTACCGAGTTGGCAAGAATTCGAGCAAAATTAATAGTTCGACAACGAAAAATGGCAAAACAAACTGTCAATGAGAATAATGAAACAACAAATTTTGATATTGAACACTTCACAAGAAATTGGTCTCTTTCCAAAGGCTCCAATTATTACAAAACGAATTGTGTCAACAATGACACCATTCCTTCCCATCTCCTTCCCAATTCCAATCATTTTTCAGAAATGCATGATGACAGGTCTACAACTCTTACCTCTTTACAAACTCCATCCAAAAGCAAAATTATTCCCAAAATATTACCCAAACCAACTTCCTTAAAAGATCATTCTAAAAAGATGCTTCCTCCTCCTTCTATTCAGAAAGGAGGCATCACCAATGCCGCTTCTTCAAGCCATACTCTCTCAGCACAAGCCATGTTGAACGATCATCCCTCTAAAATTCCATCCAATGCTTTTCCATTCATGCCCATTCCTTCCATCTTTCAAATGTCACCATCTCCGTCGCCACAACCACCACAGACCTTATATCATTCATCGCCACCACCCTCGTACTTTCATTTCACATCTCCTCCTAACTATTTTGTGGAGTACTTTTATAAAAAAGGACATGAAATGAGTCATCATCAAACGTCCTCAGAAGAAATGATCATGTCCACAACTCTGAATTATTCTTCTGATAGGAAGGATGGAATTCATACGAGTGACATGTCAAGAAGAAATGTAAATACCATTGTGAAAGCTGATATTGACATTACAACAGTGGCAGATCATATTGACCATTCATCAAAGGATTCAAGATTTACAACAGATAATAGTCGTCCTCTAGGCGAAGAATGTTGTAAAATTTCCACCTTTAGAGAAAAACTTTTAGGGAAAGAAATCGATTGGAATAGAAGGGACAGATCAATAACTGCTAAATTGAAAGATGAGTCGCCATGCAAGATGATTCGATTATTTAAGGAACTTGTTATGAGAATTCATGAAAAATTCAATTCTCAAAAAGTTTCATCACTGTTGCCCTCTTTGAAATATGGTCCATCTCATGTATATTTTACACATATTGAAGAACGCTATGTTGTACAAACAAATTCACTGCTCTCTAGGTGCTTTTGGCCCAGTATTGATGTTTCCATTTATTTGAATCAACCTCAATTTTCAATTGTATCTCTTTATAACCATTTAGTCGTAGGTTTTGGGACCATATGTCCTCAAACAGGGTATATTCACTATTTAGTTACACATCCTCATTGGAGAAATTGTGGAATTGGTGCATTTATGATTTCCTATTTGATCGCTCAATATTCTAAAAAGTCATTCGAAATTGTGGAATCAACCAAACGAATGAGCTGCCCAAATGAAATTACAATTCATGTGCCGACAACAGATATAAGAACGATTAGCTTTTTGAAAAAGTTAAAATTTACTGTAAGGACTGTACATGAGGGCTTCTTTTCACAATTGGTGACAACACCTTCTGGTGAGAACGAAAAATACTCGACGTCGACAACGAATATTTTGGATTTTTTGAAACACAAGTCATTTGATGCGTTACTAATGTCTAGACCATTTCAGGTTGTCATCAATAAATAATAATTTCTCGATTCTTAGCAGTAATTACGGCGTCGATTTGTGCTTTTCAATATTATTCACAATATATTTGATATCATTATTGATATGGTTAGCCCAATTCTCTACATCTCCGAGTTCTTTTAAACAGTGATTTAATTGTTGAAATGTTTGTATCCATTGTGTTGTTTGTTTGTTAAATCGTTCAACCTGAGCATGGAGATGTTTTGCTTCATTTTCGATAACTTGTTGATTTTGAAAAACTTTGATGACGTCGGAGTTGGTCTGATTGATCAATTCATTGCTCACAGCTTGTAAACTCTCTTTAGTTTGTTGTCTCCGTTTGTCATTCTCCTCTCTGACTTTTTGTTGTTTTTGATTGTGTTCCTTGATGATCGAAGAAAGCATTTTTTTAAAATTTTTTTGATTTTTTCAAAACAAAAGAGAGCTAATAATCGTTGAAAGAAATAAAATGAAATGAAATCGAAAATGTGTTTTCGTGTTTATAAGTTTCTTAAGAAATGAAATGAAATCGAAAATCTGAAGATGTTCAGAAAGCAAAATTAAAAAAAATACACCACGACCTTCCGCTTCCGATTCAGCAAGTCTGCTCTCCCAAATCACTCAATCATCAAGTCAGAGCTCCACAAAACAACACACATCTTCTAATGACAAAAAAGAGAAAAGCAACATTCAAACTGAATTAATAGATTATAATTACTCCGAAGAAATTTTTTCGAAAAGAAAAATGAAACGAAGACGTTGCTGCCTTTGCTCCAAGAACGCTTTGCGAACCGTGCCAACAAATATCACCATACTCGGAACAGAAAAGTCCAATGCAACACCTTTGCTATGCAATACACATTACAACAATATCAATAATTTTAAAAACACCCACCACATCAGCAACCCTGTTACCATTGAAATTCAAAAACAACCAAAAGGAGTGAAAGATATCATTTCAATCGTTACCGATAAATTCGGTCAATGCAAACATTCCGACAACAAGTGCTGTAGTAATTGCAAAGAAGGTAATACGCGATGTAAAGGCATCTCTTTCGAAAAAGTGAGCCATTTATTAACAGTATCGGGAATCATATCACACAATGGCCACAGCTTCGGAAGTGTGAATTTCAATCATCATGGCGAATTTTGTTTTTTTAGTGTAGACTGCAATAATTGCAATCTCAACAAATATGGAGTTTGTGAAAAATGTTATGAATGCTATGAAACAAAATTACGCCATTATCAGCGAACAATTGAAAACCAAAATACCAAAACAGCTCACCTCGCTGCAAGAACACAAGAATACAAAAATGTCATCAAATCATTGAAGGCAAAAATCTCTCGACGAGATACTACAATTAAGAATTTCGAAGAATTAATTGAAGAAAAAGATCAAAAACATTATTTGATAGAACTTCTCTCGATTGCGCTAGAGGAAGGAAAGTTACATGAAACCCAGTTCTTTTATCAATTATTAGAAAATACTTTGCAAAATTTGGTTTCGTCGAAAAATGTTAACGGTTTTCGATACAAAGAGTGTATCATTCATTGGTGTTTATTACTTCGATTTTATGGTGGTTCTTGTTTGTGGAATATTTTGAAAGGAAATTCTCCCGGTGAAACTATAACATCTGAAAACGCATTAGATAAGCTTAATCTATTACTTCCATCTATCTCAACAATTAAGAGCTATCTTCCAGACTTGTCTTTTGGTAACCTTGTCGACAGTGATTTGAAAGATATTGTTAAAGCCATGGCATTGAATAATATTAGTAATAAGATCATAATTTCATATGATGAAATAGAGATTAGAGGAGGATTATGTGTGATGAAAAGTACTGGAAAAGTAATTGGATTCACAAATTGCAATGAAAAGTCTTTTGAAGATATATATAACGCAAAAAGAGAAATTACACCAGACGATATTGCTAGTCATGTGTGCCAGTTTTTTGCAACAACTATTGACGGTGAGATGTCTTTTCCTATTTGTTTTGGTGGTCACAAATCAAACCATTATGAATTTACTACAAAGAAAATGACAGAAATTAGAGATCAATTCAAACGAACTTCTTATGGAGATTATGTTTTAGAAGTGGTTGGAGGTTGTATTGATGGATTAGCTGGTAATTATCAATATGCAACGATGAACGATGTTCAAACTGGAATGAGAAAAAACAATTAATTGAATCTGTACTGACAACACTTAAGGAATGGAAAGATGCAAATTCTAACATCATTAGTGACGAATTGTATTCTCATATTGTGATGACTATGACTTCACTTCGTTCTCTTTTTGAAAAATATGGAAACCATACTCAAATTAAGGCTTGTGGAATTTCGACATTAATTGTTGAACATTTTTTTCCTAAATTCGAGGAAAAATACGATACCCTAATTTTCGAGATTATTGTGGGATCTATCGAGCCGTATGGATTGCTTTGAAGACGAAATTGGCAAAAAATTCTCCAATTAATGTCAATCAACAATCAACCACAAAGTGTTATGGAAATTGTAACGTAAGCTTAGACTATTCTGAATTACATCGAAAACACTATGTAAAGAAACACATTCTTCAAGAAGACGATGAGGACACTTTGTTAGAGAAAGATCAAACTATTTCTGAAGAGATGTATGAATATGTGCTCGATGTCACTCAAGATTTTCTTCCACATAAAAATGTAATGCTGATACGAGAGTATTTATGTAAACAAGCACCAGTCGCGGATGATGGAACTATTATGAACAATATTTTTCTCAGCTGCCCTGAATGTAATCAAATAATGGTCCGACAACGATCATTCATTAAGCACTTACAATGTCACAATTATTCACCTCAGCAATGCAAAGATACACTGTACAACACAATTATTACTTCACTCAAATCTCGCCAATTTGGCCAACATGTTGAGGGTATTGTTGAGGAAATAGCAACCAAATAGGTAACCAATACCTTTAAGCAAATTAGAATTCGAACAGAACCTGAATTACCAAAAGAATCAGTTATTACATTTAATTCAGAAAAAGGATTATTTGTTCCATCTAACGAGAAGCAATCACAAGCAGAAAATATTTCAACATCAAATATCGCCACCATCGACTCTATTTCAGAAGATTCAACTCAAATGTCAGAAACTTCACCTCAAAACAAATATGTATTTTTTGATTTTGAAACGACTGGATTATGGAAGAATGATGATCCACCAAAAATTACGGAATATTGTTTTGTGGACGTTTTGACTGGAGCTGTTTTGTATGGCTTAATTAATCCTGGAAAAGTGATTTCTAACCAAGCACAATCAATTACAGGACTTAACTTGAATAGTTTAAGATCAAAATTGCCTATTGAAGGGCATGTGAATGATATTATCCAATTTTTAAACAATAACTCTCAAGGAAAAACTTACTTAATAGCTCATAATGGAGACCGTTTGGATTTTAAAGTTTTTGCCAAAGAATTTTTCGGAAAGTTTTCTGAATTTAATCATGACAATATTGTCTTTGTTGATTCTCTCCGATTAATGAAATCAGAATCGACTTTACACAATTGTCTTCCTCGGAAAATGACAAAGAAAGGGAAATCTAAACCAGTTTTTGCTGAGGATGTATTAATTGAACACTTTAATTTAGGAAATGTCAACAATTCACATTGTGCATTTTATGATGTTATTGGATTGCTTAATATTTTGATCAAGTTTTATGGTAATCTCGACGATGCATTGAAAGCTATCGAGTGCTTCAATACCAACCAACTTAAAAGGAAAAGAGAGAAAATTAATGACAATAATGATGATGAACACAAAGCAAAGAAGAAAGTTGGATGTAGATGTAAAAAAGGAATGTTTGAATTGTAATTGTGCCAAGCTTGGAAGAATATGTGATGCAACTTGTGGGTGCAATTCAGAAATTTACAAACGGAGACAGTGCCAAGTTTGTTCCAACTACACGGAACTAATATTGTGTTCCTGTTGTTCTGATATTGTTTGTGAGCGATGTTCTTACAATGGAGAATGTCAACGATGTTCGATATTCATAGTTTATCATTGCAAATGTTGTCACAGACTAACCAATGCCGTTTCTAAATGCCTTCAATGTCAAAATTCAACATGTTGCAAATGTTACTATGACGGCCTTTGTAAGATCTGCCATCCAAACATGCCAACATTGCTGTGCAATTCATGCCACAAGCCTTGTTTATCACTAACTCCATGCAAGGATTGTGGCTTGAAAGTATGTAATGACTGTTTGAGAGAGAGAGATGGTGTCGATCATGTGATTGTGATGAGGGGGAATGGTTGTCTTCAACTCAGTCACAATTCCAGTCCTCCATGGACGTGACAAATTTTTAAGAAGTAGCTACCATGGCTCTTGTAATGCCAATTCAACATATTGACGCACCAATAGTGATGTGGTGTTTCCTTTATGTGTCAGAAACAACCAATTGCATTGGCAGGTTTTGATGGATTGAAACCATCATAAAATCATCCTATGATCGTTGTGTTATTAAAATTCCCAGCGAAAAGTCGTAGCTTGAGGTGTTCACGAAAAAATACGCTCGAGTTGTCCACCCGTGCAAAAATGAAATGAAATCAATTTTTAATTTCAATCGAAACAAAATCGTAGACTCATTTTGTTCCATATAAGCTCTCTAATTCATTTAATTTTCAGTGTTCTGTTGAATATTAAGCATCAGGAACTGTTTCGTAGAGTTTGTCAATATCTGTTTGGAATAATTCTTTCATTTTGTTTCTAACGAGTTTCATGGTTGGAGTCATGCATCCATACTGGTCAAATTCTTTGGGTAAAATTTTGATTGCTTTCACCATTTCGAAACCTTTGAGCTTGTGTTGTTTCGCTGTGTTTGTAAGTTCTGCTAAAACCATCTTGTTGATATCAGCATCTTCGCACAATTCTTCAATCTTATCAGCCAACTCTTGCTTTCCATGTTCTTTTGCATATTGTTGTAATTGTGGAATATTACCAACAACAAATCCAACCAAGCAACTCTTGAAAGAGTCACCATAAACCCAAATTCCATTAATGTATTTGGTTTGAGCCAATTTTTGTTCAATATTTTCAGCAGCAATGTACTCTCCTTGACTGTTTGTATGTTTCACAGTAGTCGTTTCACTTTGTTCAGAACAGACATGCTGCAAAACTTACCTTAATTTGAAAATGTTCTTCTTTCTATCAATAATTGTGATTGTACCATTCTCATTGTAACGACCAATATCTCCTGTGTGGAACCAGCCTTCTTCATCCCAGGCCTCTTTTGTCTTTTCAGGATCCTTGTAATAACCCATGCTCACTGATGGTCCTCTCACACAAATCTCTCCGCTATTGTTCTTCTCAACTGTGTAATTCATTTCCTCAACATCATCTAACTTAATTTCCACAGAGGGTACAATACATCCAATGTGCCCCTCACTGTAGTCGTAGGCAAGTTGAATTGTTGATGCAGCACATGTTTCCTAAAGTATCAGATACACAGTTTCCGTCAGATTGGGACAATTGTTATCACAACAGTATTATTCAATCATTAAACCTACCGTTAAGCCATATCCTTGAACCAAGTTGCATCCAAAGATCACTCTCATGTAAGCTTGAACTTCTGGACGAATGGGAGCTCCACCACTGAGTACAAATCGAATACGGCCTCCAAAATTCTTTCGTACAACTCCCAAAACAATATCAGCAATTGGTGTTGACTTTCCAGAAATCATTCCTTCCTCTTTCGATTTAATGGCCTTATTGAGAGCCCATTGTTTGAGCTTTGACTCCTTTGAGATCTTTTCCTTAATACCATCATATAACTTGTCAAGAACTCGAGGAACAGCAGGGAATGCGGTGGGTTTCAAAGCAGCCAAGTCATCTTTTAACGTCTTAATGTTGCCTGACCAGAAACCAATGCTGGCACCATGTTGAAGGAAAATAATCTCAACCATTCTCTCCAAAATGTGAGCAAGAGGTAAATAACTAATGACACAGTCATTTTCGTTGAGATCAATAATATTGTGGGTGATACCAGCGCTTGCAGCAATAAAATTGAAGTGCGTAACTAGTTAAAAGAATAAAGTGTGTATGAGAAATGCATTTTTCATAGCTTGAGAGAAATACTTACTTATAACACCTTTTGGCAATCCGGTGGTTCCTGACGTGTAATTGAGACAGGCAATGGATTGTGGTGAGGGTGGAACATCTGCACATGGGTTATTCTTTCCCATCTCTAAAACTTGTTGGAAAGTGTAAAGTTTGATTCCATTCTTTTCCAAAGTGTTTGTTTGTTCTTCTGTGACATAATCAAAACAAATAATATGCTTTAGCATTTTCGATTTTGGAGCCAATTTCATAACATTAGGCATGACTTCTCCAGAACAGCACAAAACAACAACCTCTCCATGGTTCATTATGAATGCAGAAGATTCCTCTCCCAATGTATCATACAGGGCAAGACTGACAAGCGATTGCTTGTTGCAAGCTTCAACAGAAATCTGCCATTCCTTTCTGTTTTTGCTATAAATTGCAAGATGTTGATTTGGCTCCGTTCCTAAATGTCTCAAGCCAGAAGCAAGATTGCTTGCCATTTCATCCACTTGCTTGAAAGTGATAAATTCATATTCCATTAAGAGCTTACTTGGATCTGTTGGATCTCTTTTTCTGTCGCCAAAGCAAGGTCTATCCCCATATTTTTCAACAGCTTTTTTGAATGCATCATACAATGTCGAAATGTCTTCAAATCTTTTTAACACTAAGGCATCGGCATGACCATTCTTTCTTCTAATTCTTGAGTTATCTTTCATAGGTACAGTTTGTTGAGTGATTGGGGGATATGATTTGGCAGAACTGGTTATTGTTTTCAATCCTTTTAATTCAGGAACAATAAATTGCGATTGCTCGGTTGAGTCTTTTGGTTGCTGCTCGGTGGTTGATGATGATGCCTCAGTTGCAGCTGGCATTTCGGTAACTTGTTTTACGAATACATCTACTTCCTTATCTGCATCGGTTTCATCCATTTGTGTTAAATAATAGAGAATATTTTGTGAGATCATCATTAGAATTCATTGAGACGTTGATCGTTATTTGGCATTCATCATTTACATCATCATAAACACTGATCATCATGATCATTTTCACCAAACATACCTCCAAGCTTGTTTTCCACCGTAGTTTCTTTCTCCACTGCATCGATACTGCTGTTTGTAACCTCAGGATTCTCCTCTTGCTGCATGACTTTTTCGCTCTCCTTCATTGCTGGTTCCAGCGTGTTGCTGGTTGCAGCATCCTCCGAAACGCTCAAAGACTCGGCAAAGGCCGAATATTCACTCATTTTTTTTCCTGTTGAATTACAGTGGATTGGTGAAGCTTCAAATGTTGTTAGAGATGAGTCGTGTGGAGTTGCAATCGATTAGCAGCAGCAGCAGCTCCGCACTTGAAAATCAAAGAATCCAATGGGGCTCCGAGTTTCTTTTCACGAAAATGTCGGTCCATTGAACCATTTTGAATCTCAATGACTCGTTAGGAACAATTGGCTTGCCATATAGGTTGCAAAAGTGTTTCTCTCATATCACTACAAATTACCTCTGGAAAATGATGTTTGGCTCTCCGACCAATCAAAAGAATTCTTGGAGAAAAAAAATCCAGCAATAGCACAGAAGTTTACAAAACATCATTTTCCTTGCGCCTTCGCTTGATCAAGCCAATTCCCAAAGGGACTGGTAATCTCTAGTGATTAGCTTTTAATGAGAAATGCATTTCTCATACACTCGCAATACTTTCTTCTAATTTACCTATTGTTACTGACTCTGTTCATCAATTGATGTCTTTAAACTCTCTCTCGAGTTAATTGTTGTTCAAATCAACACAAAAAATGATTAAATTTCAAAGAGGATTTTTGAAGCAGCGTCATGCTGCCATTTCTATAGGAAGGAATTTATGTCGGAGAGGTCCTCTCCATTGTAATTCTGTAAATAGTAAGAAAGATCATGATCGGAGGAGGTTTTCAGGAAATGTCAATGAAAATGGTGATCATAATAATGGTGAGAAAAAAGCAGAAGAATATCTTGTCAAGCAACATACTTCATGGTTTTTGAAACAATCCGATAAGGATGAACATTTAAAAAAGGAAACAATTCTTCATCGTCGATTGCTACGAAAATTAAATACAGAGGAAATTCATCAATTAACTACTGATGCCAGTAATGATAGTGAAAATAATAGGTCGCTAGATGTCAGTAGATTGGATAACATCATCCTCTCATCATCAACCAATTCATCTTCAAAATTTAAATTTCTTTTAAATAATTGGAGACGACGAGCACTACGTGTGTTTTTACCAAAGAATTTTCCAGAATCCGTAAATGATGGATATTTACATTATTGTAAATGGCAAGCTTTACAATATATTACTGGCAGTTTTTCTGGAGTACTGTCCATGCAATCATTACTTCATGCTGCTGGAATTACGTCACAAATTGCGACTACATCCAGTAGTTTTGCATTGGCTGTTCTTGGAGGAGCGTTGGCATGGGTCATTAAGGATGGATTAGGTCAGCTTGGAGGAATATTATTTGCGAGCAAGGTCAATACAAACTTTGACGCAGATCCAAAATTTTGGAGAATGACTGGAGAATATGCACTCGTTGCAAGTGCGCTTTTGGAAGTAACAACACCATTGACAGGACCAAGTTGGTTTATTGCACAAGCTAGCATTGCAAATATTGGCAAAAATGTGAGTTGCTTTTCGGCCAGCGCCACGAGGGCCGCAATGAATCAGTCATTTGCCAAATCTGATAATCTTGCAGATGTGACTGCCAAAGCTACAAGTCAGGCTTTGGCAAGCTCGCTTATTGGAACTACTTTGGGTATTTTGTATAGTTCTGCAGTCTCATTGGCTCAATTTAGCTTTGTCAAAGTATTTCCTGTATTTTGTGTGCTCTCTGTCTTGCAGCTATTTTCTCTCTACAAAGCTGCCTCAATCGTTCGACTGAAAGTTTTGAACAAGCAAAGATTTGTCCTCGTTTGTTCCCAGTACCTTAAAGATGGAAGAATTCTAAATCCCACTCAAATATCACTAATGGAAAAGTTTGTTTTCCCTTTCTTTGAGAAATTTCAAAAAGTTAAAATCAACACCAATATTGAAAAGATTGAACAGTTAATGAATAAGAGTAATTATGAAGAAATTTTTCACTCAAGATACACTATTATTGAAGAAGGAAATCGTATTCATATTCTATTTGCACACAATGCACAAACAATTGATGTATTTAGAGGAATGTTTAGAGCGACTCAATTATTGACGGACAACAACACGACCTCTGAGTCCTTGAATTTTGACAATTTCGTACAAGCTCTTTCTGAGAATGGTTGGTCCATTGATCATGATTTTGTCGAAGATAATACTCATATGCGAATTTTCTTAACTCATAACACGCATGGAACATGTCCAAATGGTCCCTAAATGTAAATATTTTGAAACATTGGTTTCGTATTGAATGCTGTTGCAACAGTAATTTTTCAACTCGAAATTATCTTGACCTCTCAAGGGATGACAAATTCAAATAATTAAAAATGCATCCATCATCATCAGCACTAACAATCTCTCAGAACACCACGAAACCCGAGCGGATAAAAACCAAACAAGGCTACTCCAACATACGCAATCAACTCTCCATAATAATTATTTTTCTATGTGCTATAATTTTAATAACGCATAATGAGCTAGAGGTGGTGCAATGTACAAAATTTTCTTTCAGCACTTCATCCTCATCGTGGCCCCGAATGGATTGGTGGAATAATTATCATCAAACACAGGCAACACCAAAATCAACATCAGATGATGGTTCCGATGATATAGATTATTCAAATCTTTTTGTGGATTCCCCTCCACAGCTTTCATTGTTTGGCATTCACAAGATCATTACTGCAAAATTTGTGAATTCCAGTTTAAACGAATTTATGTATTTACCATCCAAACGCAGCTCGACAATGTCTTTTTACTTTCTCACTGTTGTGAATCAGTATGGGTTCATGAAAATTGACTGCTCCCACGTTTTTAACACATTAGAGCCATCAAAAGCAATTACAAGAACCATCGTTTTAGGAAAATATAATTTAGAGGAGCAAAGAGTTACATGGGCTGCCAGGCAATCAATTGATTTTTACTATGGTCGACCTTTTGCTTATGTTACTAATAATGACGAAATCATCATTGTTTGCAATGTCAAAAACGACAAAGGTATTTACTCTAAACAATTCTATCAAATTAAAGGAGACACAGACGAAGAACCAAGATTTGAGACGCTCAACACTAGCAAGGAGGTGAATATTGTTATGGAAGGTTCTATAGATAGATTTGACACCAATTTTAATCACACAGATAATGGATTTGTTGTCTATGGAGCAAAGAGTATTAGAAAGACCAATTCTTTATATGACTCGAGTAAGGAAAATTTACATCTTGAATCATCTGTGATGGCCACTTTTTACAGAGATGGTGCATCCAAGTGGAATGTAAAGATTGGTAAGTTTCTATTGTGAATTTTATTAATTTAATTGACTATTATCAACCTTGCATATTTTTGATTTCAAAATCTAGCCTATGATGACAAAGATTTCTTCGAGATGCATAACATTATGGTCTCTTCTGTGACGCAACCTAATCAAGATCCTCTAATGGTAGCTTTTAACTTTCTTGGCACAGGAGAATTAAAAACATTTGACACAGCTTTAGATAATTTTATTACTCAAAGATACTATGGAGACGGAAAACGCCCTTACTACAAAATTAGTAGTCTTTACTCTGCTGTGGCCGTTATGTCAGTGACAGAGCAAGGAATCTTTCAAGAAATGTTTACATTAAGAACGTATCCTACTGATAACGTCACAAATCCTATGATTACTTTGAGAAAATTTTTTTATGATTCCAAAAAACAGACCTTTATATTGTTGGCATTTGTATCAGGAGCTTTAGGGTTTACTAAAACATCAAATACTGGTACTGTAAATGGTTTCATACTGTACAATAATGCCTCTTTTGTAGGAAACTACGTAATTGTTACTTATGAAAAAGGAAAAACACCAACCTGCGTCAAAACCTCTTACGTGGGTGATGATCCTATCATCACTAGTGCCTATTTTATTAGCAAAAGGACGCTTCCAATTTCAAAAGACACTGCCCTATTTTACCTGGAGGTTTTTGACACAAAAACTGGTTCTCTGATTGACTCAAGTAAGCTACAAATTCAGTGTGAAAACCCTCTCGATTTGAAATTCTCCATTTTATATGAAAAGAGGAGATATTTGATTGTAAAAGGAACAACCCAGAATCCTTTAGTAATAGTGAATAATCGGTATTACATTAGGTCCTCAAAGCTGCAAAACGAGTTGGTGTTTATTCTTTACTTGAATACTCACCCTCCTTCAACATTATATGACTACAGTTGCAACCAAAAATTGGTCTGTAGAGAGGTAAGTTTCGTATTCAAAGTTTTTGGTTTATTCAAATTATTGGTTAGCGTGATGGAGAAAATTTATGTAATGGTCACGGTACTTGCAGACTTGATGGTTCATGTGGCTGTGAAGCCTACTATTTGGGAACTTACTGTGAAACATATTTTTATGTTCAATTTATTGTAATTATTAGCGTGGTTAGCTTTTTATTAGTTGTTTTTCTTGGAAGTTTTTCCACATTTCTAGGCTTATATTTCTATAGATCTATCAATAACAGACTAACAAAGCTTAAAAAAAAAGAACAAGCAGAGCAAGAGTTGGAACAAAAATTGCTCGAATACGAAGGCCTCCAAATTACTGAGAGGGCAATTGATCTCAATACATGGATCATTCCATTTGATCAGCTTACTATTGAACGAGAAATTGTTAGCACCTCAGGAAAAACCGTTCTTCAAGGAAATTGGAAAGGAACAATTGTTGCCGTGAAAAAAGTTCAGTTAAACGAATCTGTGGATTATATGGGTGAGAGTCAAGAGTTACTGTTGGATAAATCGCTTGAAAGGGAGGCTTCCATTTTGAGTAGAGTGAGACATCCAAACATCTTACGTTTTTGGGGACTATGTTTTACGAAAACAGACCAATTTTTGGTCACTGAGCTGTTTGATTATAGTTTAGACTCACTCATTGAAGATCTTCGAAAAAATTCATTTTATTTACCAACACAAGTGAAGATTCAAATTTTACATGACATTGCTTGTGCAATGACTTATTTGCATGAATTCCAACCTCCAATTCTTCACAGAAACATTAAGCCATCAATAATAATGGTAAGTACAGATTATGGGCAAGTTGAAATATTATTGAATATCAACATTCCATCATTAGCTTTGTGATGACATCAAATATGGAAAAGTTCTAACTTCCATCAAACCTAAAATTGCTGATTTTGGTTTGAGTACTCATTTAAGGGAAGACAATATTCTCACCATGCAAATTGGTACTGTTCTTTATTCAGATCCTCTTATTTTCAAAGGTGAAAGGTATTCTGAAAAGTGTGATGTGTACAGTTTTTCCATGTTAATGTATGAACTATTTTTCGAAACAGAGCCATATTCATCCTCTGAAAAAGTTGGTGAAGTGAAAGAACAATACAATCATTACAGTGTTCTTCCATCGAAGATTGTTGAAGGATATAGACCAAAAATACCATTCTCTAAGGCTCTTGATTCTATTGGAGACTGGATGGAAGCTAATTTGGAGCTAGTGAATGAGAGAATTATTGATCCAGAGTTTTTAGCGAGAAGTATTCAGTCCTTCATTGAGCTCATGAAGAAGTGTTGGTTGGGTGATCAAGATGAAAGACCTTCCTTTAGAGTCATTCAGGATACCCTTTCTCAAATTCTGAAAGGAGAGACTCAAACCAAGTAAAGCCGGAATGATTGGTTTTTGGCACTTGACATTGAAGATTCCAAATTTAAAAAAAATGATCTTTTGGCAACTTGTTAGAAATTCTCTTGCCTTGAATTTCTATTTTTTCTCACTCATACTCTCGATCCTTTATTTATTTTACTACTTTTCTATGAGCCATGATGATTATTCCACGATGAAAGCTAAATCTTTTAAATTGAAACATCGCTATGATCCGATCAAGGAACAAGGAGAAAAAGCTATCCTTCCATTCATGTACCTGAAAAGAATCATTTCATTAGCTTTACACAATCCATGGATGAGAGGAATAATTATCTTGTTATTGGCGTGTGGAGTGAATACTCTTTTTTGGATGATGATCATTTCTTGCATCCTATCCACAAGTTTATGCTTTTATTTAAAATCAGTGTGGATGTTAAAGAAACAGCAACGTCGCAACAACAATAATTCAGACTTGCTCGCAAATCCATTCAGTAGTGAGAAAAATAGCGCGGATGATTTAAATTATTACTTGGGTGCAGATATTTCATTGATTCAAGAGGGATTAAAACATGTGATCATGTCCTCTATAATTTTGCAAATTTCAGAGCTTTTAAATTTCTCTTTGGTAATGATTGGATCTACTTGCACGGAATGCTTATCTCTGTTGAAACAATTATTTCAGAAAGAGCACGTACATGTCATGAACAAATTTACATCTATTGAACTTGTGCTCCTTCAACAACACAATATTTCCAATAACAATGATCAGGTACAAGATATCAATGAGGAGCAGAAAAAAATTGAACAAATGCTGATTGAGAACGCTCGTTCCATGAATGTTCATTGTACATTCGTCACCTCAGAGAAGGATCTCATTTCACTATTGAACTCTCAAAAGATGGATGTGACCTTAATCTTGCAGGAAACTCTTCGACCTTATTTGGATGACAATACACTTCAACAACTTGTCACAGTGAGTAGAAATAATGCTAAACTTGGTGTAGTGATTGGAGATTACGAAAGATCCTCTCTCATTCATTCAATTTCACAGAATGCTGTTCTGTGTTCTGCTTTTCGAATATCTGAATGGCAACAATGGTTATTCGAGCACAAAATTCTTTCTCCACCAACACAAGAAGAGTCCTTTAAAGTGATGTGGACCTTTGGTAGAATCACAACAATACTTTATCCACCTTCATCCTCAACAAAGGTACAAATCCCATCGAAATAATACAGTATTTCACTCTCTCACAAAAACAATAGTGGCCAAGATGGTTTCAAATAATTTCTCTTGTTGGTTTTGATTCCAACTCAACAAATTCAATAACCAATTAACTAATGTCCCAACGTAGTAAGGTCGATATATATATCTTAGACATTAGTTAATTGGTTGAGGGTTTTATCTAACCTGCAGCGAATAGTTATTTAGCCAAGATAGGACTTGTACCAAAGTAATTGTTGACAGGAGTATTCTAAGTATTCAGCTTAATTTCAAGAATTTTGGTCTTCTCAACATGGAGAACAATCATTGAAAGAAATCAATTTTAAGCTCCTTCTCAACCTATGAAGTCAACGTTTTCATTCTCATTTACATGCCATAAAAGAGGCAACAAGAACTTGTCACTTTATGCGATTCCAGAAAATGAACGTAATCATACAATCAACATCAGAAGGCTTGAATTTCAGAAATGAGTCAATCAATTTGTTAGAAAGTTGTTTCCTCTGAGTTTTACTGGAAGATTTGTATGAGTGAATATAAATTCCATCAAAAAATTGTGATTGCCCAAACATCTATCAATATTATGCGCTCTCGAGTTATTGTTGTGTCCCTCAGGAGTAAAGGTCTCTTTTTTCGGAAGCCTTTTGGTGGCCTCGAGTATTTGCGATGGATGGATAACACCTCCATGCTTCACCATCATCATTGTGTTGATCCACAACGACGTGAATATCAATCATCATTGTTCCGAAGGGATTTTATTTCGTTTTGGGGTGGCAAACCATCATCATCTAACAACAGCAATGAGAATGCAAAAAACACATCGGAAAAGCAAGCATCTTCAACGGATCCTTCAAAGGAAGAAGTAACAGGTAAGAACACCACAACGAGTACTTCTTCTTCTTCAGCGGGATCGTCATCATCATGGATTGGAGGAATTACGAGTGGTGTTCTCTCCACAGTCAAAGACACAGTTTCTTCCACAACCGATGCTGTCATGAACGCCAATGTGATTCAATACATCAATGATTTAATTCATTATTTGAAAACAATTAATATTACAAAATTGGAAAGTGAAGCAAAAGAAAAAGCCTTAACGACTCTCCAACATGCTTCACAGCATCAAGAACAAGTATCAGACCACAATGAAGGTGATGCAAAAACAGAGCAAGCTCGGATTGATAACGAAAACGAAAGAAAGCTTTTACTCTCCTTTAAGGACGTTTTTCAAAATCAGGATCATCCCTTACATCATATGAATATTGAAAAGAGTGGACTCTCCAAGCTATTGAATTTAATACCCTTTTTCTCCTATGTAGAATTAATGTTTAAATATGTTGTTTATCAAACCATGAATTTAGTGTTTGAGGCTGTGGTGTATGGAAACTTTCTAAGCAAGGAACAAAAGCAACAAGTGGTGAATGAGTTTTCAAGTATTATTATCAAAAATTCACTGGATCCAATGTCTATGGCCATTGAGCTGGTGGAGTATTCGAGCCAGAAACTGGGAGCTGATGAGCAAGTTTCAAAGCAACTGGCCTATGTCACTTCATTGCTACCCTACATGAAAAAAGTTGCATCCTTTGTCAAAAAGTTTAAATAAACAATGAAATGGCGCACAACATCGATGGACTTGATGAGTTTTGTAATGACAAAGAAGATCCTTTTGAAATGGTGAGTAAAATAGATTGAACAAAATCGAATTGTCGAGAGTTCAATTTAAGAAAAAATGTCTAACAAGCCACAAACAGCCCAAGACAAGCCGCAACCATCTCTTTTAAATACATTGAAAAAACTTGGTGGATTTAGTTGGAGAGCCATTGTGGAACCTGCAATCAGCGGAATGTGTATGGGTATGTTTTTTCGGAATTTGTCATTGGATTGAAATCAATGATGATGGAATGGTTCGGAATTTCTAAATCATCTTTTAATGATGTTGATGCGGAACAATGATTGGAATCCAAATTTCGTTTTTTTAATCTTCGGAAATTGAATAACTTATTGTTTAAATTATATGAAATTAATGGAATTAGCTTTTGGGCAATTCTTTGTTCGCAAAGTGGTCTATTACATGCATTACGAAAATTTATCCTTTACTCAGACCATTCTGAAAGGATGGCATCGATTTTTAGCTGATTTCCTTCCTGTTCATACCTCTTCATCACAACCTACCACAACTTTTCAACAATAAAAACCAAATTCAAACTCATCAATGCAACAACAACAAGAGATTTGGTTGTCACACAGGTCGCTCAACAAACAAAAAAATGAATGAAGGAGAGGAATACAGACTCGATGCTTCCTTTCCGAAAGATAATGATGATGGATCATTCCGAAGCGCCATTCGATTCAGAGAGTTGGGTGCTAATATTGAACATTCAGATCGGGATCGAGGAGAATGGGTTTCCATTGTTGAAAACCCAAGAAGAAATCCTTTCATAATGGAAAATGAAGCATCGCTTAATGATGACTTGTCTCATCATCCATTGAGACAAATGAATCATTCATTCAATAATAATAATAATTATAACAACTACAATTCCATGCATCATCATCCATTGAACCATCAAGATAGATACAGACTCAACGATGTTCAACGACGGCTCATTGCCGAAAGATTTACCACTCAAATCATGAACAAATTATTTCATTGGTTCGAAAATACGAAATTATTTAAAACATCCATGCATTATGCCAACGAATGGAGAAGCAAAATGTCAAAAAATCCATCCTATGTGATGAATGAACGAGCTCTTTCAAATCCATTGGAAGCAAGATATTACAACTACAGTCATTACAATCAAGAGAGTGCAATTTATTCTCGACATGAATCATTCATTAGAAATATTGTGGATTCGATCATTACATTTAGGAAGATGCTTTTTTCTGCCGCTGGTCTCGAAGAAGGCACAAGTGGTACCAACCATTCTGAAGAGTACTACGATCGAACACTGGCAGAGGATATTGCAAATAGGATTGACAGATATACACTTCAAGAGAGAAGAGGAAGAAGTACCTCTTCCTCAACACGCTTTTATAACAACAACAACAGTAATCAATTTTTCACGCAGTGGAAACTCTCGGACAGGCTTAAACAAGTGTTTGAGGGATTTTTGAAAATTTTCAAAGCAATCTTCAGGTTGATCACGAATATGAGAATTCCACACGATCGATGAGGTGGGTATTTATCAAAACAAAAAAAACAAATTAATTGACTTCAATTTCAGGAAAGTCCAAATTTGGAATTCTTTCATTAATAGTTCGAGGTGTCACAAGAAGAAACATTACGGCATGCACCCAATACAAAGAAAAATGAAGCCTATATTCATAGCCGTCACCTTCATTGCTGCGTGCTTGCACTACTTAATGTTTCGACCCTTCTCTTTCATGACTGCATTTAAACTCTACTTTTTCGTCATTCATATTGGAGTGGTTTCCATGGTTCGTGGAGTTAAACTGATATTCGGACAAAAGAAGAAAATTCAAACTCCCGATGAAAGTAAATTTCAGAAACAAGTTGGATGTGCACATTTTGCTCTCGGTGGATTAGGATTGTATTGTTTATTGATGGGAAATACATTTGAATATTTAGTGTCCATTGCCATTCTCACCATGATCTTTCATGTGGGTTGTGGAATTTTGGAAATGATGGACACCTTCTCTCAAAAGACAAACAAACCCAACCACCAAGATGGAGATTGGTTGATGAAAAGTTTGTACAATAGTGTGTTCATACCTATTATTACGGTCATTATGGTGTTTACCACTCCGTATGGAGCGATTGAACATGCTCCTCCACATACAGCTGATGTGAATGCATAGTAGATATTCAGCAAATTTATTGGTTGAAGAAATTATTATCGCCATCTTCTAAGTCGTCACTATCATGGACTTTGCATTAATTCTCAAAATGCCTCGTAATTCAGTCTTAATAAAACAAGTTCCAATTAATTCTTCCTCAATGCTCCAACCTAATCATAACCTCTTTTATCGTTTCTAGATAGAATCCACCTTTTATGAACTCGGTAAAGCCAAGACATAGTTGGTGCTTCCACAGGAAAGTACAAGCGTATGACGGATCCATTCGAATTCCATTCCTCCATCGATGTACCATATACTCTGTGCGATGAAATAAAATTGGAAAATAATTATGAAAAATTATTTTACAAATTTTAAATTCAAATTCGAATTTAAAAAAAATGATTCGTTTGGAAGACTGTTTGGATCTCAAATTTAATTTCGAGAAACAGATTGATTTGGCCGATGAAGCGGAGATGGCCAAAGATCAAAATGTGTGTAAATTCTATCTCAAAGGACAATGTAGAAAAGGAAAAGATTGCCAGTATAAACACATACAACGACAAACATCAAAGGAAAAGGAAGTTGTTTGCAAACACTGGCTCCGAGGTCTCTGTAAAAAAGGAGATGGATGCGAATTTCTTCATCAATACAAGGCTGGAAAGATGCCAGAATGTTGGTTCTTTTCCGAATATGGAGAATGTAGTAATCTTGAGTGTATTTTCTTGCATATAAAACCCGAAGATAGGATCAAGAATTGCCCATGGTATGAAAAAGGTTTTTGCAAACATGGTCCTAATTGTAGATTGAAGCATATTAGAAAGATTGCTTGTCCTGATTATTTAGCTGGATTTTGTGCAAAAGGACCTAACTGCAAATTCTCTCATCCCAAGTTTGATATTCGGAGTAATGAAGCAGAAAACGATGGTGGCGCAAAATTCATAGAAAAACTCAATGCCGAACGACAAGTGGCAATGGAAGGAGAAGGAATGGGCCCGCCTCATCATCACCAGGGCGGAGGAGGTGGCCGAGGACGAAGACAACAACACTATTAATGATGGATATGTTATTATGTCACTGTACTACTTTGATAATGGTGTTGACTTGTTATTCAAAATTGGAAGAAAGATGATGGCGATAATAATTTCCACATAACATTGTCTGTGAAATCTGTTACAGCATCCTATTCAAACACAATTTAAAACGAGCAAAAGAATGTATTTTAAATGGACAGGTTATTGATTTGATCCAAGCTAAAGTCCACTCGCAACCCCAGAATATTCTTAATTTCACTCACTGAAAAGCCCCAATGTTGTGCTGATTCCCAGATTTCTAAAAGGTCATCAACCTCTGTCATTTTCAATAAATATGTAATATGCGTCAACCGTGAAAATTTACTTCTCACTGGTCGCTCTGTCTTGGTTGCAAAATATTCCATAAATTCTCGCAAATCCTTATCGACCTGTACTCCACCAAAATAGTTAAATCGTCTATTTAAAATCAGATGCTCCATTCTATGGCAAAGAATGTCGATAGCCAACTCCACAAGCTCCTCAAAATTAAATTTGGTAAGATATTTCTTGTAGAGATTCAACACTCGATCCATGTCAACAATAAATTTTTGAGTCAATGAATTGCTAAGTTCCTTCGCAGCAAATTGATTCTCTGTCAAAATATAAAACTGTGGATTTTGGCTCAACTCTCTATTGAGCAAAAAGTCAATGTCTCTCTCAATACCTAGAGCATATTCTTGCGAGCTGACTACTTTTCTTGTGTATACTCTTAATTGATCAGAGAAGAAGATTGAGCTCTGTACAAGATCTGAAGAGCAACTCCTAAGTTTCATTCTATCTTGAGTAAACATTTCTTGAGGTAGATTTACTCGACGTTCCTTGAAAAGTCGATCCTCATAATTCCTATCGAATTCTTTCTTTAACTTTAAAATGTATTCACTCGATATTTGAATATTGTTCAGAGATTTCTGTAGGGTGAAATGAGAAAATTTTCATCAATGAATATATATTTCAATGAGAAATACTAATAGGATTGAACATCTCAAGTTCTTAACACTTACCAATATCTTTACAAAACGATCCTTATCGTTAGTATGTTCCAGTGAAATTAAATGTAAATTTTTTTTGGTAAATTCAAAATATTCACCACAAAGAATGCCATTGATATGATTACAGATTGCACATATCACAGAAATATTTTGAGAATCTATGGCCCTGTTTAAGCTCTTTCTCAATATGAAAAATACATCGTTAATTACAGAGGAATATTTGGTGGTTTCGTCATCTTCTTCGTCGCTTGAAGTTTCCTCTTCATCACTTTCAAAAAAGTCCTCATTAGCTTTTGATACAATTTGATCACTCGTCTCATCGAGCTGCAGAGCTTTTAAAAAGCTCTGTTTCATGAAAGCTTCATCGATAGGAATGTAATAATTCATTACTTCCTGAATCTTTCTGTATGTTATTGGATCTTTTGTGAGTATGTACTTTGGATCATGGATGTGTGCGCTGTCGACCTTGACAGTGGACGACTTGGAAAGAACAAATTGTCTATACACTTCAATGTTGGAACAAATTTCAGCCATTTCCTCAAGGATGAGATCTAAAACTCTTGGATCATCTGGAGCGATTTTTTTAGTGTTCGTGATTGGGCTTTCAGAGCGAGGTACAGGTGAGGTGGTGCGTTCTCTTTCTGTCTTTTTTGTTGGTGGCATGTTTTTCTTGGAGAGCAACTTGAGAACCTCTGATAATTCTCGTTTAGTTTCGTAATGATCTAGAATCTTTTTTACCATTTTGTCACATACTTTTTGAAGGGCGTTAATGAGGAAAATTGTGCATTTTTCTCCTCCAAAATTAAGTGTCACAAATTCCTCATATTCTTCTATATAGGAAACAATGATATCCAAAGTTTGAGTAATAATGTCGATAAAACTTGTTAAACCTTTCTGTTGTTGTTTTCTGATTGTCATGTATCGCTCCATGTCATCTTCTATAGTGTTAATTTCTATTGGCAGCTCAGATATGTTTTGCAACCCGTCGTGAACCAATGAATCAAGTTCTTGTCTTGCCTTATCTGTCAAATACTCTGTATAAATCTCGAGGCCTTCTTCTTCAATACAAAGAGGGGCAAACAATTTTGAAAATCTCTTGATTTGTGGCTCGTTCTCATCATTGAGAGCCTCTTTCAGTTTTGATATCACAATTTCTTTGATTTTCTTTTCCGAAGATTTAAAGAGAGTATTTCGTCGTTCCTGTTCATCTTCACTTTCTTGTTGATCTCCATGTTGTGATTGACTTAATTGATGGACAAGTTTGCTTCGGTGTGAATCATTATTAATGTGCAAAACACGGCTCACAAAATCTACCGCCTTCTCGTATTCTCCAACTTTGATAGCTTGTTCAACTCCTTCCACACAACTCTTCATTCCAATACTGGCCTCTACTGCGTCAATAGCAAGCTGTACTCGTTCTTGAATTGGGTGTAATTGTCTTACTTTATGGCTGACTCCTTCAGCTAATTTAAATGTGTTTGATATTGATCGTCCCAGCTGTACTGCTCGCTTCTCAATTGCCTGTACTTGATTTTGGATATCGGTTAAATATTCCACTTGAATAGCCAATGCATGTTCATTCTCTGACATGATTTTATTCAAAGCCTCGCGTGATTGAATTTGTTGCTGTTTACTTTCATCAATGACTCTAAAAACTCGTTTCAATAATTCCTCATCTTCATAATTATTAGAAATAATGATATTGGTTTGTTTCAGGTCGTTGATGTGTTTTGCGGATTCCTCTTGTTGAGTATGATGATAATGATTTTTATGATGTTTATCGGAATTGATTAATTGATCCCTTATGGCGGAATTCCTTCCTGATGAAGAGAGCATTCGATCATTTTGCTGCATTTTTTAACAATACCGTTTCACGAGTTGCACAAAGATTTGTTGACTTGCAAAATATCGATTCGATCGAATCCTTCCTTTGGAACAAATTAGAGATCTTTAATAATTGTTGTTGTTGTTCAATTCAAACAAAAAACACGTGAGCATAATTTTCTTTCATCCAATCAGCTGTTTGCTGTCCGATTTTGATTGGGCACTTTTATTTTGTAAACTTTGCTCAACTTCTTCGTTGTGTGTTTCATTTAGGAAAACAACAACCGCAAAAAAAATAAACGAACAACTCTTCATAGAAATCTAATTGTATTCTTTTGTGGTCTGTTTGTGCATACAACAACCGCTAACTTTCCGTACCGTTCTCTCCCATCTGTTGTTGTTGCCATCCACTCAGTCATGACTTCTCGTTTGGATCGTTTACTGAATCTGTTGGACAGCGGATCTCTTGCCGTTCGTTCGGCTGCTGCCAAACAGATTGCCGAAGCCACCAAATATCACCAAGCAGAAATTCCTTCCGTTTTGTTTAAAGTCGCTCATTTGCTTCGTTCGCCGAGTTGGGAAACCAGGACTGCAGCAGGTGAAGCCATCAGTGCCATTGCTCAGACCGTTCCACTCTATAATCGTGATCGGGTACTCGACTCGTACACGTTACCAACTTCAACAACCCTTCAAGTCAAGAAGGAAGAAGAGCAAACCATCATCACCACACCAAGATACCAAGAAAAGGTGCAAGAAGAGACTCAATTACAACATGAAAAGTTTTCCTTCCGTTCCTTCGATATTCGACATGTCTTGCAGCATGGTGTACCACTGTTTGCCTCGAATGTGGTCGACGAAGAACAAAAACTCAAACATTTAAAACCAAAAGAAAGACTCGCTTTCCACAAACGGCAAGTGTATGGTCGTCTAGGATATTTACCAGATGAGAAGGAAGAGCTTCTCATCTTTTCAAGTGATTATCAACAACAGCAACAACAACCCTCATCATCACTCAATGATCAAGATGTTTCCATGTCGGAAGGCGCTGCTGCATCCAGCAATGAACCCCTAAGTGCTCGAGAACGAAGAGAGAAATTCATTCAAAAGCAAAACATCAAGAAACAACAACAACAAGCAAGTGCTTCTTCTTTTGCCGAAGAACAACAACAAGAAATTATGGATGATGTGAGTCGGAAAGCAAAAAAGATGAAAACTCTTGTGACCGAACAACCACAAGCCGAGAATATGGTTGTTATTGAGAGTACACTCGACATGACGAGTGACATTGTCGAGTATGAACGATGGCCTTTTCACTACTTGACCGATAAACTCCTGGCAGACCTGTTTAACTCTTCATGGGTGATTCGTCATGGTGCTGCTATTGGATTAAGGGAAATCTTAAAGGTTCCTGAACAAATTCAATCGGCTGGAAAGTCGATATTTTGTACTGAGGATTTATCCGTTGTGAATGCTAGATGGTTGGAAGACTGCTGTATTCGAATATTGTGCCTTTTTGCACTGGATAAATTCACAGATTTCCTTTCTGATCAGGTCATTTCTCCCATTCCTGAAACTTGTGCACAAATTCTAGGTTTGATTTTCAAATATATTAACACGAGTGCTGTTAAGACTATTGTTTCCAATTTGGTACTTCTAATGGAGCCACAAAATGAATGGAAAGTAAGACACAACGCATTGTTGGGATTGAAGTACGCAGTTGCTCTTAGGTCGCATGAAATTGACGAACTTTTTCCTATGGTTCTTCCTGCAGTAATTCAATGCTTATCAGATGAGACAGGATCTTCCAACATTTCTGCAGAGGACGTGAAAGCCGTAGCTGCTGATTGCTTGGTGCCAATAGCAGAGCATGTCATGAAACTAAACAATCAGTATGTCACTGGAATATTTAGCATTTTGTGGAATTCGCTCCTTGAAATGGATGACTTGTCGTCGTCCACAGCGAGCGTCATGACACTTTTGGCAAAACTTTATTCCATACCACAAAAATCAAAAATCATTCTCGAGGAAAAGCTCCACATTTTAGTTCCTAGATTATATCCATATATGCGCCATAACATTCTTTCGGTACGAGTTTCCGCATTAGAAACAATAATGGAACTAATTCAAGCTACCAATGTTGCTCCAAACTCTTGGGTTTTGAAAGGAAGTATTCTATCACATCTTGTAGCACTGATATTTCAAAATCTGATTCTAGATTCTAAGGAAAGTGTGATTGAGAAAACTTTAGCTGTGTGGCAAGTCATGGTTTCTAAGGTTCCTCAACAATGGCTATGTCCAGTCGTTTCAAGGTATATTGGTACATGGTGTTCTCTCATGTCAACACCTATCGGACACAATTTTGATATTGCTCTACTCACGCTCCCAGAGGAAATTTATAACACTCTAACTCAGAACAGATGGTCCTCAATGACCCATGACACTCTAAAACGAAAACTTGATGGAACCAAACCAGAGCAAGATCAAAGCATGGATGGTCAAACATTTTCCATGAGAATGTCTATTTCAGAATTGGAAGAATTTACACAGCTTCGAATGGCAACATCCAAAGCGATTGCTATATTTGCATCCTCAGTCGAAGATCCTAACAATCTTTCAGAATTAATGAATACCTTAGATTTCTTGCTGAAATCAAGCTGGTCGATTCACAGAGAGACTGCTGGATTGTTACTTCAAAATATTTTCCAGTATTCAGAACAGCATGGAAAGAAGTTTACAATTCCAGAGCCACTCGTTCAGTTACTACTTCAAATTGTTCAAACAACTGTTTACACATACTCGAGTACGGAAATTCAACACTATTTCACTAATTTTGTATCAGAGTGCAATATTCTTCTGCATTACTATGCTCGATTTGGCTTGGATGTGTCTTCTTTTTACTCTCAGACCGCAGAAGGAGTGCCCGCTTTGAACATGTCAGTATCTATTGCCCAAGATCTTACCTCCAGATATTATGAATACTATGCACAAAATCTTGCTGACAATACTCCATTGCTTCAAGAACTTGAAATGATTGTGAATCGAGTGAAAACGGCTTCGGATATCTATGTCAATAACTGGAATATCATGAAGAATAGAGCTCTCTCAATATTATCATGTGCGATTATTTATAATGGAGATATTTCTGCAGGAAAAGAACTGCTGAGCCCGCTCATGGTCATTTTACTTCCTTCTATTGAGACACAAGGTTCAAGCATTACGTTGCAACAACTGTTTTGCAAATCTTTGGCCAAACTTTTATTTATTTGCAAAGATTTTGCAACTACAAAATCGCCAAATCCAGCAATTACCAAAAAGGTGTTGGAGTTACTTTGCAAAACCATGCCTCAGCAACTCGTCGTGCATAAAGCTCTCGAAAAGGAAAATCAAAAAGAACCTATCGTGGAAGAGGAATCAGAGAAACAAAAGAAGGGTAGAAAAAAGAAGGGAGCCATCAAGGAAGACGAAATTAATGAGATCAAGGATGCTGTTTCTCAAGTTAATGGCCTTTCATCCAAAGAAGATCCTCTGCTAATTGCTCAAAGAGGAGCAGCTATGACTCTATGTGAAATTGCCAAGATATTCGAGGAACAGATCTTTGATCAGTTGGAGCCCTTAAGGGTTCAATCCATTGACATTATTTTACAGAAATTTCACCCATCTACACTAGCACCAAAAGCAGCGCCCTCTCTTCCAAGTGCAACTCCAACTTTGACAGAAGAAAAGGTCATTGTGAATGCTCTCCATATTTTTAGAACTATTGCCCCTTCAATAACCTCAAAATTATATGGGCTTCTTGTTGAAATAATGAAAGCAATCATTCAAAATTATGTCACTCATCCAGATATTGACATTAGAAAGCATGCAGCGTTGACAATCTCTGAAATATGTTATTATGTTGAGCATGATGCTCTTATTGTTCTTGTGAAGGAGCTATTACCATTACTGGCTAATCCAACCAATGTTGCTTCAAGACGAGGAGCTGCCTTAACTATTTATTCCTTCCTTTCTCGCCTTGAAATGAAGTCACTTCCAGCTGTTGCATTTTTAGCTGTTCCTTTATTGAAAAGAATGAGCGATCAAGATGATGTGACAAGAGAGATTGCCTCCAATTGTTTCGGAACTGTGATCAAATTGCTGCCCCTTGAAAAATCATCTGCTCCACTCCAAGGCCTAGAGCAACAACTCGAAGAGGAACACAAGTTTATTGATCAACTCTTAGATAACACTAAGGTCGAGCCTTTCGATATTCCAATCAAGATTAATGCAGAGCTTAGACAATATCAAAAAGATGGAGTTTCATGGCTGGCCTTTTTGAATAAGTACAATTTGCATGGCATTCTTTGTGACGACATGGGTCTAGGAAAAACCTTGCAAACCATTTGTATGATTAACAGTGATATTCACATGAGAAAGATTCAATATCAACAAACAAGAAATCCTGAATTTGTTCATTTACCTTCACTGGTAGTTTGTCCTCCCACTTTATTGGGTCACTGGGGTTATGAGATTAACAAATTTTGCCCCGACCTCACTGCATTACAATATCTTGGCTCTGTTTCACAAAGAAGAGCTTGGAGAGCCGAATTTCACAAGTATGACATTGTCATTCTTTCCTATGACGTGTTGAGAAATGACATTAAGGAAATTGTTGCTGCACAAAACAATTGGAATTATTGCATTTTGGATGAAGGACATATTATCAAAAACAAAAAGACTCAAATTACCAAAGCTGTCAAACAGATCAAAGCCAATCACAGACTCATCTTATCTGGTACTCCCATTCAAAACAATGTGTTAGAATTATGGTCACTTTTCGACTTTTTAATGCCTGGATTTCTTGGTACTGAGAAGGAGTTTAATGCAAAATACAGTAAACCTATCCAAGCAAGCAGAGATGCGAAGGCAAACTCAAAAGAGCAAGCTGCAGGAACACTTGCCTTACAAAGTTTACACAGACAAGTTTTACCATTTCTCTTGAGAAGAGTGAAAGAAGATGTATTGCATGATCTTCCAGAGAAAATTATTCAGGACTATTATTGTGAACTTTCACCTATTCAATCCAAAATGTATGAATATTTTGCAAAGAAGGAAAAGTCAAAGGTTTCTCAAGAGTTGCAAAGCCAACAAGAGGAAAAGAAGCCAAAAGATATTTCTGAAAATTCTCATGTCTTCAAAGCACTCAAGTATTTAAGAAAGCTCTGTAACCATCCATGTTTGGTTTTGGAGCCAGATCACCCCATGTATCAATCTGTGACACAAGAAATTAAGCAACAAGGAATGGAGTTGACAGACGTAAATTTATCACCCAAATTACTCTCTTTGAAACAGCTCTTAAATGATTGTGGAATTGGGCTTCCTGCTGAAGGAAATAATGCTATTGAGTCAGGAAGTATGAATCAACACAGAGTATTGATTTTCTGCCAAATGAAACAAATGCTTGACATTATTCAGAATGAGCTATTTGCCAAGTATATGCCATCGGTCACGTACATGAGGTTGGACGGTGATGTGGAGACCATGAAGCGTCACGAAGTTGTTCAAAAGTTCAATAGTGATCCTACCATTGATGTGCTCTTGTTGACAACAAAAATTGGAGGTCTTGGACTCAATCTCACAGGAGCAGACACTGTTATTTTTGTGGAGCACGATTGGAATCCAAGTAATGATTTGCAAGCCATGGACCGAGCTCACAGAATTGGCCAAAAAAAGGTTGTGAATGTTTACAGACTCATCACAAAGAATACTCTCGAAGAAAAGATTATGGGATTGCAAAAATTCAAACTTAACATTTCCAAGAGTGTGATTAACTCTGAAAATAGCAGTCTGGCTTCTATGGACACAGAGCAATTGGTGGATTTATTCAATTTTTCTGGAGGAGGAGAGGCCTCCTCTTCTGGTGCACCTTTGGAGAAGCCAACCAAAAAGTCAGGCTTGGGACAAGTCTTGGAGAATATGGAGGAGTACGATCAAGAACAACAATATCAAGATTTTAATCTCAGCAACTTTGTGAGTTCTGTTTCAAAATAAACGTGTCTGACAATTTTCAACAGTTTACTGTTGTGATCAAAAGAATCTTCACCGATTAACGAGACGATGATCCTATCGACATCCACTGATAATGGTTTGTAAATAATCTCTTTCAAGGCCCGTCTTGTCCATGAGCGACTTGATATTCAGATAATTTTGTCCAAAATCGAAAGCTTGTCCTTTCTCAGAGTAGGAGGATGCATTGACAAATATTTTGTTCACATCGCCCTCAAATATGATGAAATTCAATTTTGCCACATCCTAGATGGATGACCAACACGAGTCACATTCGACCAATCGTTGACAAATGAGGCAAATAATAATTTAGATCAACACGTCAACAATTTTTCATGTTCCAAATTCATTCAATAATTATTCCACAATTTCAGGAAATTATCACAAAATGTGATTTTCGTCAATAACTGAGCTAGCTGTCCTAACACTTACCCCAAATACTTTCGGCCGATAGTAACATCCAATCGTGAAATTATTACTAAAAGCATAGGCCAAATAATAAGGAGCTGTCGATGCCTGTGTTTTAATCTTTTCGAAAATAAATGTAGCATCCAATGGTGCTTGTTTTTTAAACTCAAATAGAATGTTACAAAACGCATCCACCACTCCAATATTAATTAAAACTCCCAATAATAATCCAACAGCAAGCAATACACATCCACAAATAAATGAAGAAATAATAATGATTCCGATCAAATTTCGGAACACTCGTTTTTGTCTTGATAAAGGAGGCTTGCTCCGATTCAATAAATTGGAATATTCACTCGCAGTATCTTGATCGGTATTAGTATTTTGTGGTGGTCGTGCCAAACCAAATTTTGAAAAGTAATCTTCACTCTCATTGATGATATCATCAAAGGAGAAGCCTTCTCGTTGTTGATGAGGAAGGATCCGATTCTTTGTCATGATCATTTTTTTTATCACTGTCCATTCGTTTATTTGTTCGAAAATTCAAACGTTATTCATGGTTGTGTGTGCAATTAGTACAGTTAAAGGTGGTTCATGTCATCAAAGTTAGTGTAATTATTGTTGTAAATTTCAATTATTGTTTGTCATCAAGGTTAGTGTAAATTTCAAATATTGTTGTAAATTTCAATTATTATTCATGGTCGTGGGTATTTCATGTATAGTTTAAACTTGTTCAAATCAATGAAATTGGGATTAAAATCGTATTGTTGTTCAAATTCATTCCAGGTGAGTTTCAATTCTTCCATGAAAAAATGATTTCGTTTCATCCACATTTTAGTAATAGATCGATAAGCTTCCTTAGTAAATACTTTGTCCCATTTCTTACCCAATCCAACTTTAGCACCTGTTAGGCTATGGATATCTTGTTTAGTCTTGATGAGGTACAATAGTCGTTTGGAGAACTTCTTGTTATTCTTTGCATATATTGAGATATTATATAAATTTCTAAACATTTCTTTTCTTATATCACTATAGTATTTACATTCGAAAATAATGTGTTGCATTGTCTCTCTACTACAGCAAGGACATAGCAAGTTCGTCTTGGATATCTTGTTTAAATTTTCCAAAGTCTTCATCACGTTCACTCTAATTTTAAATATTAGATTTAAGGTTCTGAAACCGATTCCTATTGAGGGGTAAATGTTGGTGAACTTTCTGTTCTTGGGAGGAAGGTTCTTTGGCGTATATGTTCTTTTGTGGAAGCGTTGAAATAGAAGTTTGTACATTGTTTGTCTAGTGTTTTGAGTGTATAATACATTGTTGATAATAATATACCAATTATTGGATGGAATATTAGTAAGAATATTGTTACAATCAGCACCTTTCTTAGCAGCCCTATCTGCTAATTCATTTATGCGGCTATAGATATCTTGTTTACCTGTATGACTATTAACATGCATAATTTTGATCTGATCCTTCACTTTTAAATAATTACGAATTTCTTCAACATAAGGATCTCTAGATTTTCTGAATTGGAAAAGTTGGTCATAAATACTTTTCGCATCTATAACTATTGTTCTAGGAGTGTTGTTATCTAGCAATCTAACAACTGTGGAAGTTCCTTGTCCTAAGGTGTGACTTGAGATGGAAACATTCTGATCAGTTACAATACCGTATCCAGCAATATTATTGTTACACGATCCGTCAGTACCAATTAGTGTAGCTTTGTTCAAGAGGTTTGACATGGATGTGTTGTTACCAACATATTTGTAGTATTTGCTTTCGTCTTTGATTTTCCAAAATCCATGCTATTGAGAATGTTGCGAATTTGGGTGACATGATTGGAATGTTTGATGTCATTATGTAATTTCACTTGTAAATTTTAGGGTCAGGAACCCACATACTTAATCTGTTCCAATCTTTATAGAGCAGGAATTGTCTTAAACCTTTAGAATTTTCCATAAGGGATGAGAGTTTTTCATGCCATTGGTCACTCGAATGCCACAATCTAATATTGGAAGATTTGTTCATGAAAATTATTCTCTTGAGATATTGAGGAATCCATGGGTCTGGTTTATACCAAGTAGGGATTGGATCATTGAGGATGTCAAAACCATGCTCCTGTTTGATTCGTTCACAAAGGAATCTTGTAGAAGATCCAAGACAAATATCATATTGTTCAAGGAACTTTCTGACTTTACACATTAGGTCCGAGTAACTCATTTCTTGAACAGAAATTAATCCAAGTCCACCTTTGTCTTGATGAGTATAAAACCACTCGAGAGCTAATTTTCTCTTGGTTCTTAATCTTTCACATATAAAGTTGCGAAAGAATTTATCAATTTGTTTCTCTAGATGGTCATTAGCAAGAGGAATTAGGTGGTACAGTGCATACGGAACAATGTCTGTGTTGATAATTTTGACAATGTTCTGTATTGGAAAATTCCAGCCAATAGAGTTAGTTCTTCTTTAACTTCTTCAATAATTGAAGAAGTGTATTTCGTTTGTTCCTCAGTATTATTGGTAATATTATTACCAAGTATAATAATAGAATCATTACTTTGATCGTACTTCCAGATAATGTCTTGATACTACATTCCTTATCAGAGAAGAGGTTAGTTTTGGAATGATCTAATTCCATGTGATAGCCATGAAGATAGGTTTCAATGTCATGCAAAGAATTTTCAATTTCAGGTAGTTCGTTGGAAAATGAGTTCAAATCATCAATCCATGCGCCTGTACTAATGTTCCAATAATTTGCAACACTAGCACCATTATATGTTATTTCTAAAAATTGTAAGAGGCTCAAGCGCAATTTTGAATGCAAGGGGAGAGAAGGTGTCGCCTTGTTTCAATCCATCTTTCACATTGAAACATTCAGATTTACCATTAGGTATAACAAACTTTGTCGTAGATTCACCTAATATTTCCAGAATTCCATCAGCAGTAATTTCATCAATCCCTAAGAATAGCAGTCCATCACGAAGCATAATTCTCGGTAATGAGTCATAAGCTTTTTGATGTCAACAGCCAAACCATAAAAGGTTTCTTGTCCTTTTGCCCAAGCAATCATATTGTAAATTGAAAGGACTCTGTGAATAGTTTCTCTGCCGTCTTCACCACCAAATTGAGCTAATGATAATCTTCCCTTTAATACTTCCTTCAATCTTTTGGTGATTAATTTAGTAGCTATTTTAAGTCCTGAGTCCATAAGGGCAATAGGTCTATAGTTAGCAGGGTTTGAGTGGTCCTTATTCTTTTTGTGAATTGGGAGAATGCTGACACTTTGCATAGATTCAGGAGTAAATCCAGTTGTAATGATATTTTCAATAATTTGAAAAATTTCCTCCTGTAATTCCTTACACATGTATTTGATAGTTTTTTGTCTTAAACCTAGTTCATTGGGTGCTGTGGATTTCAAATTCTGAATTATCCATTCTTTCTCTTCCGTGGTAATTCTATCTAGAATTAGATTAGATCTAGTATGTTTTGATCAGTTCTTCTAGATTCGTTTGAGGAGTGATTCTCGGATAAAATCGCATTGTAATCACCTCCAATAATGATTTTGTAGTTAGGATATTTTTCAATTAGGTTGTCAAGAATATATGTGAATTCACATCTGTCAGCTGGTTGATTTGGAAAGTACGCAGAAATTACTAGAGTATTAATTGAATTGATTTTACATTTCACGCCAATAATTCGCGCGTTATTCTTAATGATCGGATCTAAGATGATTTCTTCAATATCTTTGAAAGTGCTTTTGTTGAGGCAGATAGATACACCACAGGAATCTCTTGGATTGTGATAATATGTAAATGAAGAATAATATATAGAGGGAAAATCTGGACCAATGTAGACGCTTTTAACTTCCTGGAGCATGATTATATCAGGAGTGATTGAGTTGAGGTAGCCTCTTAGGGCTGATAATGGTTCTGCTCTGAGACCATTAATGTTGAGGGTTAGAATAGATAATTCTGGAGCTACTGAAGTGAATCAAGTAGTTTTAGCTTTTTGTGACACTCATCAATTTCCTCTTGATATATATTATCTTTTGTACAACCAGACAGAAATGTTAGAGTAGAAATTCTATTGGTAATCATTAATTCTTCATTATTTGCTCTGATAATATTAGCCATTTCCTTAAATCCCATAGCCAATTTCTGATTCTGTCTTGCCTCAAGTTCTGCAATTCTTTTATCCATAGAAGCTTCAATTCTCTTGATTTCTTTTAGGTGAACTTGTTGCACTTTTTCAAGAGTAAAGGAAACGTCTTTCGCTGCAATTTTAGAAGATCTGCCTAAATTTTGTGAAATTTTGTGAACTGTATCAGGTTTCTTTTCCAGGAAATCTTCTAGCATTGGATAATTGAGAGCAAAATCCAATGTCCATTCATTCATTCCATATGCAGCATGGTTTACCAATCTGATGGCATTAGATAGATTGTTGAGTCTAATCAAACATATTCTCTTCTCTTGATTGATGATAAGTATGGATACAGGTTGGTCATTATTGTATTTTCTGGCAAGAGAGGATTCCGTTTGTATTCTAGCTCTAATCAAATCATTTCTTTCAGGCCATCTACCAATGATGTCAGAATATTGCACATCCATTGCATAGTTGAATGGTATGTCGATTTTCATAGTGACTGTTTCCTCTGTTCTAGGAATAGTGATATCATATGTTTTTGCCTTACATAGATTATTTCTGGCTTTCATACTTTTGACAGTGATCACTGCTGCCATTTCTTTACCAATTCTAGCTCTAGCAATTTCAACAATGGGTTCACCAGTATCGCTTTCAATAGCATTCCTCCAATCTGCCTTGACTGTAGTTTTCCATAGTTCTCCTATGGACACGTATAATTTTGTTGGTATCGTTTTCACACGATGAAGTGATATTGACTTCTTTAAATTTTGTACGTAATGTTTCAACTGCCTGTTCTACTTGAGCGCAATCTTCAATAGTGACAATTATGGTATTATTGAGCTTAATACTCGGATTGATGGTGACATATTTGCCACTAAGGTTGTCCTTAATTAATTCAATTACCTCATTCTCTTCAAATATTTTGCTATATCTAACAGCAATATATCTGGGAGGAGTAATTTCCTTCACTGCTATGTCATTGATGTTGAATTCTTCATTGTCTTGTTGGACATTACTACTTTTCTTGTTCTCAGATAATAGTTTGTTAATATTCTTCATTCTTTCCTTCTATAACTCCCAAACATGTTTTCTGTCCTTATGGTTTTTAAAAGCCTTTCTTTCTGTGGTGATTTCGTATTTAATGTCATCAGAGAGTATTCTGAGAGTGGTTTTTACAACATGTTGGAAATTTAAGGTCATAGGGTTGTGTGGGCTAGCAATAACAGATACAATTTCTAAAATCTGATCAGTGTCAAGAAGAGTTCTATTTGTATCTAGTTTAGCATTATTGGGTTTGAGAAAAGTTTTACCAACAATTTCATCAACTGACATGTCTTGTATGTTGAGGTTATTGGTCAGCTCATTATCCAACAATTCAATGTTGTCTTGGTTACTCATGCTCATACTATTAGTTTTAGCGGCCAATTCTTCATCAGCTATTGGATCAATAGTTGGGTACAATCTAGTGTCAACACTAGTAGAGCAATTGTGAGTAGGGTTGAGATTATTTGTCAAATTGGGCTCATTATCTACAGATGAACTAGCAGAAGCAATGTAGTCGCTTAATGATTGAAGTGAGCTAGAGTGCTTGGGTCCATGGTTGGGTCTTGTTTTACCGATCTTGCTGGGCATCCTAATTGAATTATTCTTCTTTTTTTTTAATTTGTATAACGAATCTGATCTTGTTGGTCTGATTAAATACCATTCAGTCAATAGTGCTTTGATCTTAATAACTGCCATCGTAATAGGGTCTTGATTACAGTTTGATCACAACGGTAACAATCTCAGTATTTATAACCGGTGGTAGTTGTACGGTACCAAATCAGTACAGTACTTCGTAGAGAGGGAGAGATAAGTTTTAAATTTAAGTTTAATGATTCGGAGATGGTTCTTTGGGTGGTGATAAAGGGTGCTCAAGGTGAACACTTAGCGGAGGTGTTGTGTTATTTTTTTTTCCTCGAAACAAATCTTTGTCATGATCATTTTTTTGTTATAATTGACGACCCCTCCTCACCTTGTGGCATGTACTGACTTTGAGGTCATTTTGTTATGATGAATGACGTCAAGTGTGCATTTCTGATGACATAAATGGCATCAAGAGAACCAATGCTTGTTTTTTGTATTTAACCTTTGGGAAAGGTAGCTCAGTTGGGAGAGCGCAGAGCGGCAGTCGTTTAGAATTCTGGGTCGCTGGATCGAAACCAGCTCTTTCCCGTTAAAATATATATTATTAAATATTATTTTAAATTTTTACTTGTCATTGGGGTTGTGCTTATATGAACCACATGTTCTGGATCATCACCAAAACGATTGCAAGGACCATTATACAAGAAATGCGATGAATAAATTGAAAATGTCGACTCTCCACTCCAAAACTCATCTCTGTGATATTTCCATAAGTAAATGTGGCCAATTTAAAAGACGCATCGTAGGCTCTCACTTCGCAACCACAAATTGGATTTTGTTTTTTCCAATAATTGAATTGAATTGCATCACCGAGTAAGGCATGAACAGTTTGATTTAACACAGCTCCGTATTGAAGGTTGACAGCGAAAAAGGGAACGTAGGTGGCAGCTGTTAGTTTTGTTTGGACAAAGGTTGCAAAATTTGTTCCGTCATAGGCTGTGATGTTCGTTGTGAACGTTTAAGGAAACAATTCAGTTGAATGAAACATTTGAGGATGTGTTTTTTAATGGTTTAAAGGAATATTCATCGTTTAAGGAAAATAATATTTGGCATGCACTTACCACCCACAAGAATTCCAGTCTTATTCAAATAATAAACATCGTTCATGACAAGTTGAGGATCTCTTCCAGAACGAATCCATCCCTACGCGATGTGAACGAACCGTTTCAAAAAAATTTTGTTTACAAAAATGGCATTTATGAGTAAATGGCAACTGACAGCCAAAGGCAGGTCCAAACTTACATTGGAAGCATATTCAAACTCACATTGAAAGTGAACGTCTTTCTTTCTCTCATCCAAAGGTCGAGTGTTTGCAGTCACAATGTCACAATCCCCCACAGCCAAAGCATTCTTCATTGTATCGAAGAATCCCAACGCTGAGGTATTGTATCTTTTAATTTCATTCACATAATTGGTCTTGTAATGTGCATTGATTTTTTCGACGATACTGTTGGCCTATTTGGTTTTTGTTTCCAACACTACATGCAACAAATGATAAATTGTGATAACATGACAACAGATGCCATGAAAAAGTGTCCAAGGAATGGTTATTTCGGTTTCAACATAGTGAGCGATAGTATTGTGCAATAGTCATCAAAATGTTATCATCTCTGTCATCATCTCTAATAAGACTTGATGCGAACTGAAAGGTTTTCTTTATGCGTAAGGTCCAGTGAGTGTGGCGTTCTTTGAGCAGAGATGGAAGGTCGTGAGTTTCCACACAGCATCAAAAGGAGTAACTTCATCCATATGGAGATTATCGAGTATTACCTAAAAAAATGGATTTAGAAAGCGCATCTCTTTTCATCTGAGGACAATGAAGTTACTCTTTGTAGACACATGGTGGGCAAACAATGGAATTCAATGTGTAAGGAGAAGGATTTCACTATAGTCAAATTTATTTGTGATTAGGGATGGTTCTACAACCTGCTTGGGCTGGTTCGCTCAAATATCTACACACTCCACTATCTCAAATATTCTTCTGAATCAAGAAGGGGTTATAGCTCAGTTGGTAGAGCGTGTGCTTTGCATGCACAAGGTCCAGGGTTCGATTCCCTGTGACTCCATTTTTTTGTTTTATACCTTTTCACTTGGATCTGATGACCAAATTGCAATTTTGATTGTTCTTTTCAACAATACGAAATGAGAAACAAGTAAGGATCATTTCCATACCACAAATATTTCACCCTATCTCTAACTAACAACTAATTCAAACAATAAGAAAAAATTTTGTTTTTTATTTTTTTGGGTTGGATAATTGTGCAAAATTCTAACTCTAGTTCCAAAAATCTGACCATTAAAACACGGAAAAGAAAATATTCTCCCATGCCGGGAATCGAACCCGGACCTCCTGGGTGAAAGCCAGGTATCCTAACCATTGGACTACACGGGAATTCTTGTTTCATTATATTTGGAATAATATTAATAACTATCACGTACTGTCATGCAAGCTTTGCTTTCACATCCAAAGGCAATTTGCCAAACCTTCAAAAAAATGGGAACAAACATTGGAGAGGCGATCCCCGAACACGTGTGGGATGAGATAGTCATGAATGACGGAAACAACAACAATTCATGTAACCCTCACAAGAGAAAATTGAATGATGATTTCTCGTAGGACCTTGTGCATGCAAAGCACACGCTCTACCAACTGAGCTATAACCCCTTCTTGATTCAGAAGAATATTTGAGATAGTGGAGTGTGTAGATATTTGAGCGAACCAGCCCAAGCAGGTTGTAGAACCATCCCTAATCACAAATAAATTTGACTATAGTGAAATCCTTCTCCTTACACATTGAATTCCATTGTTTGCCCACCATGTGTCTACAAAGAGTAACTTCATTGTCCTCAGATGAAAAGAGATGCGCTTTCTAAATCCATTTTTTTAGGTAATACTCGATAATCGAATATGGCTAGATCCTTCCATGATTCGGAGGAGACTCACTATAAAAAGAAAAAAAACGACTCAAGCATTCACGAGCTTCTTGGAAACGACATGATTTACCAAATATTGAGTTTTCTTCACTATCGTTATATTCTTAAAAATTGTATGAGGGTTTGCAAACAATGGCACTCCATTTCACTAAATGTTCCAATTTTCATCAATTTCAAGAGTCGAAGCAAAGGTTACACTGATACTGTTCACTCGGCTATTCAGCGTCTAACAACAAATCAACATAAGATTAATGTGACGGGTATTAAGGTTCATAGATGTGTTGAAGTCAAAGGAAAAACTTTGAAACTCATTAGCGCTAGTGAGTCCATGAAAAATTTAACATCTTTAAGCCTCAACTTAAAACACTCTCTTTCTTGTGAGGGTATCACTTCTCTTGCTACAAGCAAATTTATGAGTAATCTTACTAAACTTCAAGTACAAGGTATCGATGTTGGTGATACAGTAATCCTTGCATCAAGTGCAAACATGAGCCATCTTAAAAAATTGTCATTAATTTCTTGTGGAGTGGATTCAAGTACTATTGCAACGATATGTGACAACAAATGGATCAGTAATAACCTAACCTCTCTCACTTTTTCTGAACATGGAATTGAAAGTGAGGATGTGCAGCTAATTGTATCCAGTGAGTTTGCAAGAAATCTAAAGCAATTAGTATTGGAATTCCAAACTATAGAAGAAGATGGGATAAAAGCAATTGCTGAGAGCTCTCTTTGTTGTAACCTAACTGATTTGGGCCTTTCATGCACTGACATCGGACAGAAGGAAGTAAAATTAATTGCTGAGAGCCCTCATTTGAAAAATCTAACTCGATTAGACCTGACTGGTTGTAACGAGCCGAATCATTCAGCTAAACTTTTGGATGAGAGCCCATTCCTTAAAAATTTAAGAGTTTTGCTTTTCAATAGTACAGAAATTGATGAGGAAGGAGTCATCTCCATTACAACTAGTCTAAATTTTACAAATTTAACAGAACTACAATTGAACACCAACGATTTGTCAAAGAGAGGAGTTCAGTTTATTGCCAACAGTTCAGTCATGAGAAATCTGACAAGTTTACTTTTGAACGAAAATCGAATGAGCAATGGAGGGCTCATGTCCATATCCAATAGCGAGTATATGAGCAACTTGCAAGTGTTAGAGCTTTCTCTTAATGAGATAGAAATCCCAAGCATTATCTCTCTTTGCACAAGCAAATTCATCAAAAATCTAACTCACTTAAACCTTGGTTTCAATACAATTTGTAGCGAGGGAGGAATAGCCATCGCCAACAGTGAAAATATGAAAAATTTGAAGTATCTCGATCTAGGATATTGCTGCATTGGCCCACATGCTGTTATTGCATTGGCAAATAGTCCCTTCTTGACACGTCTTATCAAACTGAATTTGGATTGTAATGGAGTTGATAATGAAGCAGCCATTGCCATTAGCACGAGCCCTTATCTTCAGGGATTGGCATGGCTGAGTTTGAACAACAACGATATTGGGTTTAAAGGAGCTATAGCCATTATTGAAAACCTTCGAAATTTAACAACATTACGATTGAGCCAAAACGACAAGATCCCACAAGATAAAGATGTAAGAGAGTATTTATACTCAAAACTGCCTCATGTACTGGAAGGATTGGAACTTGAAAAGCTGAACAAGGAAGACGTTTGAATCATTTCACACACTGTCCTGTTGTGACCATTCCAGGAATTGCTTCATGTTTTTTAAATGAAGTACGGAGTTGGACAGAACACCGCATTCAGATTTTGATTTCCCAATACTGATCTGTTCTCACAATATCTTGAAGACTTCGTATTCATATTGCATACCACTCTGTATGAAAGTGCAAACAACTCGAATGTCATGATGTTGATTTAATTCCAATCAAAAAGCTCTCGACATCAAGTTCATTCAATTTCCTTTCGAGCATAAATGTCGACATTTAGCAATAAACTAACTGAGTTTCAATTAAAAAAATCATTCACTAACAACGACGTTCCCATTCATCCTTTTTTGCAACGATCATGGGATTATTTGATAAATCATCATCAACATTATCACCACAGCAAGGTGATCCACAGAAAATGCCAATAGCTTCCTCCAATTCAATGAATGAATCATCATCCTTTTCTTTATCCGACACGAGTTCATCATCTTCGGAAAGAGGAGGAGTCTCCCCCAAGAAGAAATCAGCTCTCCTTGTTTCTGGTGCCATTGGATTGGCCATATTGGGATTTGCCATCACCCGTTACAAGGTCTGTGCTCCTAACGAGTATTTAGTTCGAACAGGTTTGGGCATCAAGAATATTGTGGTGTCCAAGAAGGGAGTGATTTGGCCAGGTCAGAAAGGAACATTTGTGAGCATTAATCCAAAGACGTTTACAGTAAGTAGAATGAAGATTGATGATGGTATCCTTGTTCATGTGTGGTTGTCTTGTTGTGATGAACTAGTTCAATTTGCATAACATGAGCAAGGAAAAAGTCGAATTTAAACTTCCTGTCACATTTACCATAGGACCAATTGACTTTTTGAAAAATCAAGAAGGATTTATGACTTATTGTTCAAAAGTAACTGAATCCACTCAAAAGGACATTGAAAATTTAATTGCAGGTATTGTGGAGGGTGAAACTAGAGGTTTGACTGCCAAGTTGACCATTGAGGAAATGTTCAATTCGAAGGAAAGGTTTAGAGAAGAGGTCGTTTCAAATATCGAGAAAGATTTGAACATGTTGGGTATGACCATTTATAATGCAAACATTAAGGAAATGTCAGATTATGATGGTAAGTTAAAGATATTTGGTTTTTTGGAATAGTTGATTTAATAATTAACAATTAATTTCTCCATCATGAAATATTTCATGCCTACCACAGAGAGAAACAAATATTTCGAATACAGAAAACAAAGAGCCATTGAGAAGGCCAACTATCAAGCTCAAGCAGACGTCAGTGAGGCTAGAAGAGACGGTGAAATTGCTGTTGAGACCAATCGTCGTGACACTCGAATCAAAAAAGCTCAATTAGAACAAGAGGCCAAACTTGCTGAAAATGAAAATCTTAAGACTATTGAAGTTTCTAACGCTCAACTCGAAGTGATTCGATCTGAAAATTTCGAGAAGAGTGAAATTGCAAGAATTGAGGCTGAAATGGCTGCCAAAGAAAAACAGGCAATATTGCAAAGAGATGTCAACACCAAACTCAAGGTATGTTCCTTCTTGCATGATTTATTTTGTAATTATATTTGCCCAATAGGAACAACAAATTGAATTTATGAGAAGTGAATCCTTAGCAAAAGCCATTGTCGAAGCAGAAGCCATTGAAAGAAATGCTGATGCTTTATTCTATAGTGAAAAGAAGAAAGCAGAAGCCATTGAACTCACACTGCAAGCTCAGGCTAATGGTCTTCGAATGATTTACGAGTCGTGTGGACGTCACCCTGCTCTCACGCAATTCTATCTTGCTCTCAACGCAAACTTGTATCCAGAACTGGCCAAACAAAGTGCTGAAGCTGTACGAGGCCTTAATCCAAAGATTAATATTTGGAACACTTCAGGAGATTCAGACAAGAATAGCGATACGATGCAACCCATTTTGAAAATGGTTCAATCCTTTGCACCATTAATGGAAGGATTGCAAACTCAAGGAAATGTGAAAATTCCAGAATGGTTACCTCAACATTTTAGCGAACAATTTCCACAAAAATCAAGCAGTGATGAGAAGGTGTGCGAAAATGCAAATGAACCTTCTGGAAGCAAGTTGTAACATATTGAATAAATTGTAATTGATTCCTTAATTTTGGTAATTGAGATGTTGTTTTATAAAATGATTGCACTGCTTTTTCAATCTTTAGACATACTATTTCATTGGTTCACTATCCTCATTCCTGATTTGATTCCTGGACCTGCCAAATGTCATCATGAAAAAAAATGAGCGGGACAAGTTGCAAAAACAAACAGCCTTCTTCGTTGTGGATCCAAGGAGATTCCCTTTCTAACGTCCACATTGCACCACAACATCGTTCTCTCACTAACGAACTCGTTTTTCAACTCTTACAACATCATTATTCGGAATTTAATGAATTATTCGGATTATCATCCTCTTTGCACCATCATCACCCACAACAACAACGGCACCAAGACCAACCACAAGAGAATACAACAAACACCATCACCCTATCCTCTCCAATTCATTTAAAATCACCAACTCCTTCTACGTATCATCATTATAGTAATAACAATCATCATAACAATGACGCCTTTACTAATCCTTCTACTCCTAGCATAAATAGTTCAAAAAATCAGCAATCATCACTGACAGGTGGCCTTTCGGATGAAAAATCCAATCATTGTCGTGGATTGTCTCGACAGTCTTCATTGTCACATGAAAGCAATCTTTCGAGTCCTGGATGGATCACAGCCAAAGATTTTGATCAAGCAGCTGTCAACAGCCCATCCACGAAAGCAAATGGAAAGAGTAATAATAACGAAGATCGAATGTCAATGCCTCCACCACCACCAAAAATCAAACAACCGCCATCTACTCCTACATCACGAAATAGCGAAAATTATAACTCTTTTTTTGCCAGTTCTGCGATGAGAAGTGGTGGTGTCGAGTTGTGCATTCTGTCGAATGTGACCAACGAAATGATTTTCATTGACCCTCGATTGGTGAAGTATTCCACACGGCTTCAACAAAATGATCCTCTCACGAATTCTTCGGATAAGCCCGTCAATTCTCAATCAACAACTGAATCTCCGTCGATTATTGTTTCTCCACGGTTGAGAATGCAACATCATCGATGGTCTACATATTACAATCATCCATTGCATCGAGAAGAAGAGAAATCTACTCACTTCGATCAAGCACTCATTCGTAAGGGGCAAAGTTTTTCATCAAGTACTTCATCCATTGATACATCAAGTGTGACAATGTCACATGGCAATCCAACGACTCATGATGATATAGACGCCACGTCACAAGGAAAACCTTCTGACACCACCATTTCAACAATTGAAAATTCTTCATTTCTTTCGACTGGAAAACCCTACAAACATCATCATACAATTAGTAGTTTGAATAAGAAGGAATTTCAACAATTTCTTCCAAGAGTTAGTCTCCCAAATTATGGAGATATTTCTAGTGTTTTTAATTTAAATGCAGAAGTCATTCAGGAAATCGGAATGATGGATAGTTCGGTTTCACATCATCAACTAGCTGACATTCTGGGATATCATCAATCTGGAATTTTTTCTAAATCATCAAAATTGAGCAAATCGTTCACATTTGGATCCGAAAAAAATCATTCAAACGTTTCAATTGGTACCACAATGACCTTCTCATCTATTCGAGTTCCACGCCAGTCACCTCGAAATTCAACACGAAAATCTGCAAGAAATAGTTTCTCCTTTTTCGGAAAGCAATACATTAAGGGAGAACAAGGCAAATTGAAAAATAATTCAATTTCGATAGATATTTCAAATTCGACTATTCATGAAAATAGTAGAGAATCTATTTCAAGCGAAGTTGAGCCATACACCACTGCTCTAGAAGGAAGAAGATACACCGAAACCGATTGTCATGCAACCACCGTCAACAGTATTGATCTGTCTTCAACACAAAGACGAGCGACCACAGTGGAGACAACAACTGTGAGTGCTTCTTCCTCTCCTCCCATTGTAATTTCCAAACCAACGACCTCCAATGCAATTTCTGTACATAATCCACTGCCAAGATCTACTGGAATATCTCCAACATCTCCTTTAGATATTCACACAAGCAATTCGACATTGAAAACTCCAGAAAAGAAGAAAACTCCATCGACGGTGTCATCTAAGGTTAAAGAATTTTTCTCTTCTATTGGTCGACGAAAAAAGAAAACTTCCAATTCTCTGGATATGAATTCAAATGCTGAACATTCACCGCCTCGACAATTGCCACAACCTCCTCAATTTAAACCAAATCAATCGGACACGATCAACATTTCTCCTCTCTCCTCATCTCCAATATCTCCTGTGAAATCGCTTCCTACGACAGAAATTGTCGTACACAGAGCAAGTAGTTCAAGTAGTTGTTCCCATGCAGATGAGCATTCATGTGAAGCTAATGGAAGTCAAAATAATCAATCCTCGACCACTACAAGTACCTCCTTGTCATCCTCTCCACCTATTCAGCAGCAACAGCAAAATCAAGTGACAGAGTCACACCAAGAACCTATGAGTGGATCGACTAATACCATGGATCGAGAACTGACTGTAACTATTACACGAAAAAGTACAGACTCATCCATGACAGCTCCTTCCACATCAGAAACACCAAAATCACCCAAGTCAAGAAGGTTGTCCATGAAAAAATCTCCAAAACGGAAAGAGATCTTGAGTGTGACGCCAAATACCTTTAATGAAATTGAGGAAAATTGCATTTCATATCTCAAAAATTTAATTGTGGATTTTAAAACCAGTTCGATTGCGTTTGCAAAACTGGTTGAAGAATTATCGGAATTTGAAAATATTTCAACACCAACGGCGGATGTTTCAAGTGGATCATTATCAGTTTCAACACCAAAAGGTACAAAAAATAGAAGACCAACTTCGATGCATTACATTTCAAGAAGTTCAATCACTTCACCAACTTCGATGGATTTAAGTCTTGCATTTTCTTCTAACTCATCCACTTGCTCTAACCCTAGTGTTTTTCATTGTCTCAACGAGAGAGGATCTAACTTCTCCATAATTATTCTGAGAGATGTGACCGTTTGTTTATGGTACAATTTGAGTCACAGTGGCAATAACAAACATACAAGAAATGCAACAAGTATCAATATTGACACGAGTGCCACTTCTGAAAATAATTGCGTATTAAACAGCAATCAGAAAAAGCTGCTCTTTGAAGGAGCTTACGATCAAAAACTGAAAAGTATTGGATTTGATATTGAAACGAAATTAAGAGCTGGATTTGTTTTGAATAAGCAATCTTCGATTCAAAACAATGGACAATCTCACAGTTTGAAAACAAGCAGATCCATGGAATTTTCGGCTTTTTTAACACGATCGAATAGTCAAGGAGCATGTAAATAAAGCGTAGTGCAGTTATTTCACAATTAACGTTAGGACAAGTTTATTGTAATTAGCAGCTATTACCATAAATGGCCAACATGATGATAAATATTTTTCACAATTAATCAGTCGTTCACAATGTGAAAATTGAGGAAGATTGGGAAAATTGGAAACCATGCGAAACCAAATCATGCACGCAAGGCAATATAGCTCTATTTCCATTGTAATTAAAGTGATGACAACTTGCACTTGTCATGAAAGTAGCACTCTGATTCAAAAGTTCATTGATAGAAGGAAGCAACTGATTTTGTTGCGTAATTGGAAAAGATCTTGGTTGAGTTGTAGTGATATTCGAGGTTGTTCCTTGTTGATTTCGATGGTCAACTTTGAATGTCTTGTTAGTATTGTCTGGAATGTAACTGAACGGAGTTGAAACAGTGGTTGTGGCAACAGTGGGAGATTGCTTTGTTTGAAGGGATTGATTATCAAAACTGGAAGAAGGAGATGCAACAAAATTGACATTTGGCAGATTAGCATTTAAGAGAGTTTCACTGGGTGGGCTTTTTTCTTTGACCATTCATCGAAGAAGGCTCTCTGTTTCTCTTAACAACGAGTTTACCTCGTGTGTCTGTTTGGCAGGTTTGTACATAGAACAAACATTCTCTTGTTTTGCTGCCAGATGTCGAATTTCCTTTTGTAGCGACTTTAGAGTTCGGAATTGTTTCGTTGAGCTTTTGTGGTGAAGAAGGTGAATTGGGTGAAACCACTGATGTTGTGCAAGTAGTAATTGTTGGAGAATAGTATCGAAACTTGTCATTAGAATGAACTTTTTTCTTTTTTTGGATTCCAACTATTGGAGATGAAGACATGATATTTGGCGTCGAAGATTTAAAGTTGAAGATAAATTGTTGGGTATTGGATGGAGTGATGCCATTCTTTGAAGACGGATTGTTAGAGGAATGGAATTTGTATTTAATTGAAGTAGAGGATGGTGAGTGATTGAGAGAAGAAGAAACATTGACGTGATCCATCATAGTTGACATTTGGCAGGTGTTTCGAGTTGTTGTTTTTTTGTATATATCCCTTACGGGCTCGGATGATGAATCGATTTTATTGCGAAATGGACGTTCTCACAAGGAAAATTCATCTTCATGGAGGACCGTTTGACGTTGTTATTGGTGCTAGTAATCATTTTTAGAAAAACCACTTTTATTATTCAATTCCAAATTGAGACTCCTTAAATATACCATAAATGGGTTAGAATTGTTGTTTGTGGAATTTTTGGCATGAAATCAAAAAATAACAATAATAAAGAGATTTGCCCAAACAAGTAGCGCTCAAAAATGTGTCTTTTAGTCCACATAAAACCCTTTTTTATGTTTAAATCATGTTGAAAGTTGAACGAAGGCCGATTTTCCATGAATGGTGTTTATGCCATGTGTCACCAATTCATGACAAGTCTTTGAAATTTGAAAGAATCGCGAGCACTCAATGTTGTCAAGCTGTCTCAACACAATCCTTCAATGGTGTTTGTGAACCACTACCAAAAAACAACATACCAAGTTGAGATAGTACTTTCTAACCCAAAAAGTGTTGGTTGCTTTCATGAGAGTGTCAAAATGGTCTGAAATAAGTCATTGTTTTTTCGAGGTTTTTTATCATTGCAAAGAGAACAAGATGACCTTTTTATCAAAGAGAACGACATCATGAGTTGTAACAACTCATCATTCATGGGAATCTTGTTCTAGATCCAATGAAATTACAACTTTCAATGACCTGTCATCAGAGACGTCACGAAAGAGATGTGACGTGGTACGACAGCGAGAGTTCTTGAGGAAGAATTAGCAGATGTGTCAAATATTACATTCAAGAAGGTCCATGGATGGAGCATTAAGAGAAAATGAGCTCACTATTAAAAAGGAATGGACATTCCTAGATGAGAGTTCGGATTGCCAGCAAACAACAACGTCCACAACAACAAGCTGTTTGTTGTTCTCTGTCGAGCTCAAATGTAAGTTGGATCGATGTGTTTCAATGAAAATTAGTAGTAAGGATTTAAATTTCCAACAAGTTTTCTGGACCTCAACCATTTCACCCTTATTATCATCCCATTTTGAATTAGTATTTTCATAGAAACTTTGAGTTCCTAGTTCTTTATTCTTACAAAAAAAATGTACAAAAAGGAAGACAACACACACAGTTTCATTCAAACGAATTTTGAAAGTGCTGGAGAGTTCCTACTTCTTTCTCAAGAAACCTCCGAAAATGAAAGGATTGCCACTACTGAAAGGAACAATGATGATGATCATCCTCGTTCTGGCATTGAAGAAACAGGCTTTTACATTCCGATCTATGGAATGGAAAAACAGAAAGATGCATCATCATTGAAATTGGTGAGATTTGTCGTGTTGAGTGATACTCATTTGTTTCATGATCACTATAATTATTGGTATGATGATGATGAGAATAATGATCCTCTCAAGAATGGCTCAGAAAATGGTTTACAACAACAACGACGAAGGAGAGATAGTTTTGAGGAAAAAAAGAATGAGGACACAATGATCAAATTACCGAAAGGAGATTACTTGATACATTGTGGAGATTTTTCAAATTTTTGTTTACCAAGTAAGTGTTTGAGAAGTGACAGTCAGCTCTTGAATTTCTTGCCACTTCTCACAACGAAGACGAAATTATTAAATTTAATAATTTTCTTGGAAAGATTAAGCATCGATATAAGGCGATCATTGTCATTCCTGGAAATGTAAGTGTGATTCACAGTATTTGAATTTTTATTCATGTAACCATTCATGAATAATTTAGCATGAATTTGTAAGTGTGACTATTTTTGAAGAATGAGAACATGAATCATTGATGCAATACATCTCAGTATGCTGATATGGCAGGTCTCCTTCTCACCAATGTCACTCACTATTTAAAGAATGACTTTCTTGAACTTGAAGATGGCAAAATTAAACTCTTTGGATCACGATTTAAACCTTATTGGACAAGTTGGTTAATGACAGGACGTGATCGAGAGGCACAAACCGATTGGACATGTCTTACCAAACCATTTACTACCGAACATGTAAAATCCTCTTCTGAAACAAATCATTTGGACATTCTTATAACGCATCAACCTCCTGATTTTAAAGATGAAATTTCACAACGATTTTTCAGAAGAGGAAGTGAATCGTTGGCAGAGGCTGTAAAAATTGTCAAACCTCGAGTGCATCTATTTGGACATAATCACGATGTTTATGGAGTGAAATATTCACACGAATTTAAAATTGGCAACCATCTTGGAAATACGACATTTATCAGTGCATGTTCTATTGATAGTCATAATGTAATGAGAAAAGTCATTGTATTCGATTACAAGATTCCTATTGGAAATTGACAGCCATAATGATAATTATGAAAAAAGATGAAAGAGCAATCATAATCTTCAAATTCGGCGCTTTTTTAAGACATGCTTTTTATGATTTTTGTGGACTTGTTCAATATTTAGCCGATTTGTTATGTTTAATAATTTATTGCAAAAAGAAAAATGAAATTCTTTGGATTTTCGTCTACTTCAACAACAAATTCCCACACATCAACCTCTTCTTCCATCTCGTCGGAATTGTTCGAAAATTTTCTTGATATTGAAACACTGAATCGTTCGACATGTGCACTCATCAATCGGACCTTATACACCTCCTCGGAGAGAGATAAAGCAAGTTTACAAGCTTTTTATTATTCTTGTTTGGATACCATGTTTCGGAAATTGGACTTGTACAGAACGAGTAAACAAAAGAGTTATGATTGGCAATGTTCGAAATATCCTGATTATGCCATCATTCACAGTATTTTGACGAATCAACGAAAAACCATAGATCCAAATACGGGTCGAGAATTGAGCATTCAGGAGCAAGTCATAGCATTACAGGAATGCCAATTATGCCAATCGTGTCCAAAGAAGAAACTTCGAAAAGATTTAGTGGAAGATAAATTAAAACCTGCATTGAATGGATCATTTACGAGTACATTTCCGCCCGATTGGATTTCAGAAATGGAGACACATGCAAAAAAGGGAGATGTTGCTTTCCAGAGTATTCAAAAGAAGGAGGAACTCATTTCGAATTCTGCAGCGTGCTCGAAATATCTGCCCAGTACTACTACGTACATGTCAAAACCCATGAACCCTCGATCAACAGAGCTCCATGTTCCCACAAAGGAAGATTTTGAAATGGAAAAACAACTTTTAAAATATCAGCTATGCATTAATTCCATGATGTGTGCAAACAGTATTAAGAAATGTATGGCGTCCATTCAAGGTGAGAATGCTCAGATTGAGAATAGACATTTCTCCACATGCTTGGCATTTGACAAGAATACCATCAATTGTGTAAATTCCATTTAGATTGGCAATGTGAAATACTACATGGAATATCTTTCTTAAACAAGTTTTGTAACTCGAATAGATAATTAATTTTAGTTTTTTGTGTTTAATAATTATAAGAACGAGGTGTCTAAGCTTGTGTGAGTAGGGCATGGAAATGATCGCATCACTTCTTTGAGGGTTACAAAATTGAAAAAAGTGTTTTAGGATACGTTACCTATTATTAGGTTGAAAAAGCTCAACAATAATACTATTAAAACTTCTTGCTATTTCCAAACTTTCCACCGGCTCCAAATTTGCCACCACGGTCACCACCTCCAAATCCACCTCTACCTCCACTGCGGTCACCACCGAACTTTCCACCTCCACGGCCACCACCACGATCACTGCTACCTCCACGGCCACCTCCTCTGCCGCCTCCTCTTGGTCCTCCTCGACCACCACCTCGACCTCTACCACCTCTTCCTCCACGACCACCGGCACCACCTGCCTTCTTTTCCTTTGGCATGAGTCTAAATAAGGTAATCACAATAAGGCGATCATCGTCATTGATTTAGCATTCAACAAGCACAATAGATTGACAGAGACATATATCGTGTGTGTTAGAAACAAGCATGGTCAGTAATAATAATATTAGAAAAACTTACGGATTCTTTGCTTCTGGTGGAAGGAATCGTTCCAATGGCAAAATACGCTTAGTGTTGAGATAAACAACAGTTTCGTTACCAATAGCACCTCTAAAGTTAGCATCCTTTTCCACTGAGAAGTAAACCTTGTTGACAGGACCTAATACTTCCTTCAATTTACCAAGAAGTGTCTTGTCTTTTGTGTATGCATTTGAATTGCACAATGGAATGAGCTTTTCAGAGTCGAGTGCCGATTTGAACAAAAAGTCAGTACCAGCAGGCTTTTCAAAAGTACCAGCCACTGTTGTTTCAGAACATTCAATTCCGTTCCATGATCATCCACATATTCGTATCATCATCAAGATGAATTTATGAAATATATCATCCAATAGGAAAACAAGAGGATGATATTGAACAATTAAAATTCTCGCATATAAACACAACAATTAACCACAAGAATCTTACATTTGATTTCTTCTGGTGGATATTCCTCTCCTTTTGAGCCTCCAGAGCCTCCTCGTCCACCTCCACGACCACCACCTCGGCCTCCTCCTCTTCCTCCGCCGCGACCACCACCGCCTCTACCACCAAAGCTACCTCCTCCTCTTCCTCCAGAACCTCTCATTTCTTAAATAATTTGAAAAAACTAGTATTGATGATGATGAATTGATGATTCAGAAAATATTTTCAACAAAAAGGTCGATGATGAATATTTTTTTTTTGAAAATTGTCAGAAAAAATTTGCGAGTCGCCAACTTTGTTGAAGGTAAGAAGAAGAAGTTTTGAATACGAAACTTTTGGAAACAATATTGACAACGGTGGATGGTATTCATCATTTGATGAAAAATGATCGTGATGATCGGAATGGATTCTCATGTGTGTGGCCAACATTGAATGTGTTGAAATTTGTGTTTCTTGATTGCATTAGCACACAAAATGAAGAATAATAGACAAAAAATTGGAGAGTAGGTATATTGCGTGGTTTGAATGATGTGAGCCAGAGGAATTTTCATCGGATTTCCATTTCATTTCTTCATCTATTTAAATTATTAATTTTTTAATGACATCTTGTTCATGACGGAAATGATGATGAACAATGTTATGACAACCAATAATAATTTTAAATTTATTATGAACAGTCCAGGGATTAATTGGGTGGAAGCAGCTTTGGGAATTGGCAAAAATAGACGAAAGGTAAGGATTCGTAGTATTTCAAACATCACTAAAATGGAACATTTTCGAAATGTTTCTAATTTTCACACTTGGTTCATGTTTCTTGGACTCTCTAAATATGTCAATAATGCATGATATCATCATGACAGACCATTGGTTTTGGTCAATACTCTAAAAAAACCAAAGAATACGAAGATGAATTTTACATTCGAGAAATGTCAATTATTGATGCTGGTATTGGATGTGCTCTCTGGGATGCTGCCATTATTTTGACAAGATATATTTATGAATTTGGAGATGAAATTTTTGCCAATAGAAAAGTTATGGAGCTCGGTGCTGGTGTTGCCCTGTGTGGAATTTGCGCGTCACGATTTGCTTCCAAATGTTACATTACTGATCTACCTCATTTAGTTGATAATATGGAATATAATTTGAAGACAAACTCCTATTTTGATGAAACCGACGAAAACACGAAATGCAAATCAGAGAAAATTAAAAAGTACAAGCAACAAATGCAGCAAAGCGGAAAGGTTATGGAATTGGACTGGTACAAGATTTATGATGAGATTCCAAAGGCTTTACAACAAATTGCTAATGGTGAACAACCATGTATGGAGGTGCCTGAAAAGTGTGAAATTATAATTGGAAGTGAGCTAACTTACACGGGTGATGAACAGACCATTGAGGCCTTAATGAAAGTTATTGATACATTTCTAGATGAAAAGGGCGTATTTTTGGAAATTTTGAGTGATGACAGAGATGGTGTTTCATATTTTGTAGATCAAATTACAAAACCTGAGCGTTATAACTATATTCTGAAATCGTTTAAAGTCCATAGTAGATATATGGGCAATTTTGGAACTGGACAAAGAGACGAAACTTAGTAAGTAATTTACAAAATGTTGAGTTTCTTGTCAATGTGATTCATTACTAATATTCATTTATTCGGGTTACATGCCAATGTGACGATTAATATATATTGTTTTTGGAATACTTAGTAAATTCTATGTGTTGACAAGAAAGGAGAATGAAGAAGGAGAACTGTTTTTAAAGATGTGTGAAACCATGAAGAACGATTTATAAAATAATGGAGTTGTCACCTTTTGCACCATGTTTCTATGGTTCACTGCCGACGAAATGCATGAGCACAGATATTTTTACAAATTTTCTACTTTGAGAATCATTGGATGTTTTTCCTCCTCTCCAACTTCTCTTAATAATCGAATAACATTAATATACTTGACAATATGAGTGCATAACATGTAATGGTTATTCCAATTATTCCAATACCTACATTTTCTTTTGTAGAAACTCCAACAACTGTTCGAGTGTGACAGCAATTAACTACACCACAATGTCTCAATCGCTACTTACTCTTAGTATCTTCATCCCATCCATTTCTTTGTATTGAAACTGGCTTGCCATCCCAAAACAACACCACAGCAGGAGAGGTCTTAATACCACATTCCGACGCAAATTGGCTATTCTCAAAAGGATCTAAAATGAATATTTGGGTATAAGTTACAGAATCTCCCATTCTAATTTCCTCAAACCCTACGTATAAGATTTAGGAATTGGATGATTGAAGAATTTTGGAAAGAGACAAACAAATAGATTGATTGAAAATCTTTTTCCCATTCACCAAAAACTTACATCTTGCCAAAGTGGTTGATATGGGTGAAAATGGTTCTGCAAAACAGCACACCACCATTCTCATATCGGATTTGCTGGTAAGCGCATCACGAACCGTAGAGGCTGAATCCCATCGGATCGGAACCTTTTGTTGTGGTTCATTATTTGGAGGAGTTGCTGCAGAGGAATTGGCGGTCGACATTTTTTTGATCGTGGCTGATGTTTCGCGCGTGAAGCTTTTACAATGTACATGCTTTGAATTATAAATTATGAATGTTTTATTGAATGTTCAATACTACGACTACTACTACTACGCGTTTAGTGTGGAAAGAATGCTGGAAAAATCTTTCCAAAAAATCTTACTCAATGAGTTTTGAATATTCGTCTCCTTTTCTGCAATCCTTAATACACAAATAGAATCCATATGCTGAGCAGGTAATGACAATGACAGCCATGATGAAAACAACAACAGAGAAAACGGCATAGAATGCATATGTGAGATCATTAGCAAGTTCATAATTGATTGGTTCACAATCCATTTGCCAGAATCCTGATGCAACATTTCTGAATTTGTCATCGATTGGGTTTGCTGGAGGAGGAGTGGTTGGACCATGCATAGAAAGTGCAGCATTGAAAACTGCTGGATTTCCACCCTTAACATTTGGGTTTTGTTTGATGGCGTTGCGAATAATTCTCACTTGATTGGATCCATCATAGGCAACTTGCATATTATATAAAATCTCAATACTCAAAGAAGTGGTATTGAATTGAACGAGTGATAATCTACCATTAGAAAGCCATGGTTGAGCAAAATCAGTCACATAGCCGCCCACAACAAATTTTCCTTTCACTTGATCAATCGCAAATGAAGTGGCAAGAGCAATAAATCGCAAGTTGGCCTCGCTTGCTGGGTGGATGAATGTAGTATCACGCTTAATGAAAAGCGAGTTTCCAAAGTATCCAGCAGCAACGACTGAATTGTGTGAGTAATAAACATAGAATGATTGCACATTCTTGTACTCTTCAACACCTGACTCATAGGTAATATCTTCACTGTTACCAACAATAATAACATCATCTTCTCCACTAAAAGCAAAATCAGTAGCATAGTTGCGAGAGGTCTTGAGTAATTTCTTTCCGAGATTTGTCGCAGTTGCAACTGCTCCAGTGTTAATGTTAACAATCAAAAGGAATGGAGCAACATCTTGGGATGGGTCAAAGTCGAGTTTGACTCCATGTAAATTTTCAAAGGCCTTTTGTTGGTCACGAGAAATTGTCATGAGAGTGTACAATACATCTTTCTTGAACAAAATCTTGGCACCTAATGGCAAATTATTTGCATCAACTTTAGGCATGATAACACGAGCAGCAACAGGTTTAGCAGTCACAGTTGAAGGTTGAGTATTGTCTGAATCTGTCTGAATGTTATATCTGATGAATTTCAAACTTCCTTGTGTTACCAATGTAACAACAGCATCGATATTGACCTTGCTACCAAATTTCTCTGGTTCCACTACCTGAAGACTCAAAATTCTCACAGAAATAAGTTTTTGCAAATTGGTGGAATCTTGAACTGAAGGAATTGATTCAATGCTGACAGCAGAAGGTGATAAGTGGTTTTGTTGGCCAATAACAGTTCCGTTAATATCATAAATTGGTTCATTGATAATCAAATCGGATGGGAAAACAAATGAAAAAGCGCCCAAAGTTTGATTGTAGGAAGGAACCGGAAGAGTGGTAGAGTTGATATCCAAAATTGCAAAATTCACGGATTGTTTCGAGAGGAATGGAACAATGGAAACGAAGGCAGTATGGTTGATGGTAACAACTTTAACATCATCCTTCAGAATTGGGAAATCAGAGGTTTTCAATGATTTCGAAGCAGCCACAGTTTCTAATTGATTGTCGGAAAGAATATTGGAAGTATCAAGTTGGACAATTGGTGATGAAGCCACTACTCCCATTGTTTCTATATCACTATGGTACTTGTAGTCGCTATTCACTTGAACCAAATATTTGGTAGTGATGACATTTGAAATTCCTACAAAAGTGACATTGGGATATGGCAACAACGTGTCATCGGCAATAATGTAGGTATCACTGTCGGATTGCAACAAGGTACTCATAACCCAGCTGGAGGATCTAGAAACATTCATCGTATTGTAGTCCACATCTTCATTTCGGCTCACATAGGCTGTATAATATTCATCAATTGGCTGTTGATCAACAATATATTGAATATAGTCTTTTGAATTTACCGCTTCAGCTACAGCATTTAAATTGGTGCATGTTTGAATACCACTCACCTGATGATGATGAAGCAGAAAAAGGCTCAACATCATCACGGCAGCGATGAAAAATTTCCCACAAGAAACTGTGGCCGACATTTTTTTTTCAAAATTCATTTCTTTATTGATTTTTTCATCACTCACACTAAATTCATTCTGCTGTTTTGTTCTTGGAAGAAAAACTTGAAGTATCTGGGAGTGGTGCCAATTGAGAAGCCAACAATCCTCTCACTTGAGAGGTATCAAAATTTGAGACGCCTTGTGAAACCACTGCGGTTTCGAAGGCACTTGCTGGAATGTTCAAAAACAATTATTGAGGATAACAGATCGCTGACTCATTTTCAACATGATTTTGTTTATGCTCCATGTGCCTTTATAGAAGACAGAGAATTCATATTTGAAGCAATTAAACAAAATAGGAAGGCACTTCGATGGGTATGATACCCATGGGATTTGTATAGAGATGAAGAATTCATGTTGAAAGCTGTCAAAATACTGTGTCCAGAATTAGAAAATTTAGTCTCTATTGGTCATGCAAACAAAGAAATCATGATGAAACTTGTGAAAGAATTTGGATTTTTGTTGCAATTTGCATCAAAACTCAAGAATGGAGGTAGGAATTTTTGCAAGCCTTTCACAAATTTGAGTAAATCTTGACAGGTGGATAACATGCCACCTCCACTACAATAATGAATACACATACTACACGTGACATTCATTATTTGACCAATATTAAGAAAGCAAATGATCATTAAAATTGCCAATTATAATATTGATATAAATCATTTCAAATGATTTAATCGAATTAATTTCCATTATTACATTTCAAATATACCTATTGTATACACTTGGCACATTTTACAATTCCCATGCAATGTCTCCAGATGTATCTCTCATGTAGAACGAACTTCTATTCTTGAAATTATATTATAAGACAAGGTTCTTACAAGTCTCTGTCGACTTCAACGTTGATTTTTTCGTTGAGAAACTGATCTGGAGTGATAGTGAAATGAATTGGTTGTTGTCTGAAATGGATTAGGAACAGGTGATGCACAAGACAAGCCAAAAGTAAAGAGAACTCGAGAAGGAATTCCATGTTGTGTGGCATGAAGTGGAGTATTGAGAATCGAGAAAGGATCTTTTTCAGTAGGTTCCAGCTTATCCAAAAGCTGATTCACTTGGGCCAAAATGTCAGGATTCGAAAATTGTTGAATGAATGCTTTCCACACTGTAAAGTTTGACGGCTTGATTTCTAAAGGATGATTCTCAGCTTTTGATTTTAAGACTTGTATTAATCTCTCATTATCAGAAAGTTTAAATGACAATGGTTCCATTAACTGGTCTGAACTTTCTTTCTTGAGAAGTTTTGAGAAGTGGTTCATTTCTGATCGAGTAACGTCGTTGTCGCTGTGGCTGTTCGAAGAAATTTCGTTCAAACATTTGTGAAACGAGGACACGGCATTGCAAAACTCTTCATCGAACAATATGTCATACATAATCGCTTCCACCATAGTCATGTACGACTTGTTAAAAACTTTGCTATTCTCTGTCATGAAACTCTGTCTTCCATGTAAATAGCAAAAGAATTCTTTGAATTTGTTTTTGATTCGTTCTTGTTCAAAATTAGTCATCAATAAATCATATACTCTGCATAAATCGCTGATCTTATCCAACTTAATTGGATTGAATAAATGAGGTATTTCAAACAAGTGTTCACTGGTGAAGGAAGGAAAATGTAATAAATCTGAGAGTCGTGCATTCCGTGAAATGTAGATTTCAATAAGTTTTGAAATATCACTGGTACTAAATCCATATTCCTTTAAAACAGCCTGTTTGTCGAGGGCATGAATATCAGACTTGCAATCACTAAAAAAGTTGTTGATATTTGTGTGGAAACCAATAATGGAAACAGGTAATGAGGAAACAGAAGCCAGCACATTCAAAATATTTTCTTAAAATTTCATGTCGAATGATGAACAAAAGTATTTCTGTTGAATGTGACACCAAATGAAATTCTTTCTTCAAGTTTGAATGTTCAACGTGTACCATGTCAGCAACAGTGTTGTAGATAATTGGTAAGAATTGAGGAAACTGACAAATGATATCCTTTTGTTGTTCCACAATACACTCAAAAAACTGTCTCTTGCCAATTTTTGCACAATACATCAAAACTGCTGCGGTGCAATGAACGCTGTTAATATCGTTCTCAGTACCAATGTCACTCGCGAAGATGAAATCGTTCACCATGTGGAGATTTGAATTTGAAATTTCAGAAATTACGTAATTATATATTGGTTGTAATATGAAGTCTCTGTTGGTTTTTTCTATCAAAATTTTGATGAGTTCTGAGAAACAATCAAATGTTTTCAACAGGAATATGAGTTTGTTTAAACTCAATCGATCTTGGGATAGGAATAAAGAAGCAAGTTTTTGTTGCGTCTGTGAGTTAAATATTTGTTGAATTTCATGGCTGTGTGCTGCAATATAAATATAATTTTGTTCTAAAATAGACATATTTTCAAACAAGTATTCGGCTAGCTCGTTTGGATAGGTATTACTAAACCATGGCTCAAATTTCTGGATAGTTCCCAAACTGCATAGTATTATCGTGTTAAATGCAGAGAATGAAGGCTGAATGACTGAGAGTATAAAATTCCAATCACGACCAGGTGGTAATTCAGAGAGAGCGCTTTCAAAGTATTTTTTGTCAGCATTCACATCTCGGTTGTTGAATTTGGTTATGTATACGTGATAGAGCTCAGAGTATTTTGGAATGAATCTATGGGCTATTCTCGAAATATGAGTGTTTGTTTTTCCTATCTCATAAATAGCATCAAAGAGCCATATCATTTGTTCACCATTAATACCAAAAGAATTAGACAATGCACGTTCAAATGTTGTATGCATGATATACTCAATAGTATTGATGTCATGTAAGTTTAGAGCAAAGATCTCCCTTAATAAAAATAAGGCATTCTCAAAATCATTCTTCTTCAGTAATGTAACGAAATGGCCCTCAGAAAAGATTGCTCTTATGGATCGTTTTAAAATTGCATCAGCCTTTTCTGACGAAAGAATGCTTTCAAATTCTTGCTTAAGGGTTAAATAAAAATCACGCACAACATAGTATGGGACGAAAATCGAAACTACGTATGGTTTCCTCCGCTGGTTTTGGTTCTAATGCAATCGGTTGCATGAAAACTTTAACAATCTTCTTTGCAAGATCGTAATGATTGTTCGTTAAAGCAACTTTCACCCATTGATACAAATCCAGTGAAGACAAACGAAGAAGAAAGGGTTTCTCAAGTAATTGATCAATCATAGCAGTAAAGCCAGATTCGCAAGCATATTTAACACACGACGCTGAGTAATAATTCGGAATTGGCAAATGTGAAATGCGTTGAGAAGGGCTATCTTCTTGAGGTATTTGTGATTTCTTCTTGACATCAGGATGAACAAAATGTGTCAAATCATGTAAATGATAATCATGCAAGGGTTGCAACATGTTTTTCAGTCGGTAAATGGGAACCAATTGATCTCTTATTGCGCTTCTTGATTCAGTTTCCATCCATCCCCGAACAAAAGATTGCACCACGAACGTGTTTTGAACAAAATGACAAGACACTACAGCAAGTCTAGCTGTTTGATTGACACCCGCAAGTCCATGAAAGGCAGCACGGCTCGTGAGAAAACTTGCAATCAATCTCCATTCATCAAAAGAAAGCTCTCTTGTTGAAATAGTTTGATGATAGTTTACATGTATCTCCTCTGAGAAGTGAAGTTGTTGTAATTGTTTTGAAATGCATTCCGAAGAGGTATCTTTATCCGAAGAAAGATTGAAATCCATCCTCTGAGTAGTCTCGCCGAACACATCCTCTCTGTTGGTTTCATCAGGCACTGTCGGGTAAAAGTAATCGAGAGAAACATTGAAGAGCGTTGAAACATTGCGAGGGTCGTATCGTTTCCTCACACGCATAACCGCAGCATTTTTTTTATGTTCAGTCAACCAAAAACACATTCGAGAGCGGAATGGAAAATTCAATTGCCTTAAAAATCTTACGGGCACCAGAAATTGTTTATTTTCATCATTTCGATTGTTTCTACGAATAAGAGGACAAGCTAATTTTTAACGAAATGATGATAAACCTAGCTCTTAGTTATGTAATTTACAATTGGGACATCGTTTAGGTAAATCCGTTCCTTCATAAATATCAGGTCGCTTGTCACCTGATACTTTCAAAAAACCAGTTGCTCCCTTATCCAATCTAAATATTGCATGATCCAACAAGGTATAATTTCCAGGCACGACAGTGTCAAATTCCAGAACAGAGGCGCCTCCAGGAGGAACCGATGCGATTTGTAGGAACCTTGAAGGATTGCTGACGATATCTCCGTCTCGATAGACCTTATCGAAAATTGTTCCAATAATGTGAAATGCAGAGTTGAGATTAGGACCGCTATTTCCAAAAAAGATTCGAATTTTTTCGTTGGTTCGAGCTTGGAGAGGACTTTCAATGAGAGAATTTTCTCGACCATTAAAAACCACATAGGATGGATGTTCATCGAATCCATCGACATAGGAATATTCCAAAAGTTTGGGATCGTCATCCGAAGGTTCTCCATAAAATTCACTTTGCATGACATAAAATTCTCGATCTACTTTGGACATTCCATTTTCAGGTTCTACCAACAACAAGCCGTACATTCCATTGGCCACATGAGTCGGAACAGGTCCGGCTGCACAATGATAAATAAACAATCCTGGATATAGCAATTTGAAAAAGGCAGTTTTTGTCTCGTCCTTCTCTGCGAATAATAGTTCAGCGCCACCACCTGGACCTGTCACTCCATGGAAATCGATGTTGTGACCCACTCCATTTTCATCCTTATTTGTGTAATTAATTTGCATGACATCTCCGACTCGAGCTCGAATAAATGGGCCAGGAACTTTTCCATTAAATGTCCAAAATTCATACTTGTACTGTTGTGACAGTTTTCCAACCACAACGGTGGTTTCCAAATTGACAACAAGTCGAACAGGATAGTCTCTTTGAATGGGTGGAGGAACATTGGGTGCAAACGTCAGTTCCGCTTCCACAACTGGAAGATCCTCTCTTCCGTTGACAAATTCTCCAGCAGCTCCAGGAACGGATGACACCGAGGCACACGTTGAGTTAATGAATTGGAGTTGTGAAGGTTGTTGATCCTCTCCGTAAAAGTTCTCCTCTCTCTTCTCGTCTTCTTCGGCCAAGAGTATCAAATGGTGTTGTGAAAGTTGCAGTTGGCGATGGAACAAATAGAGAGATCCCATGCCCAATCCAACAGAAGTCCATCCGAAAGCAGTTTTTGTATTTGGGACTCTCTTCTTGAACGAGCTCCAAACTCGGTGGTGGAGACTCGAAGAAACGGATTTGAAGAAACGAGGGATCGTGTTCATTGACAGTAGGTGTCAGTGGTCGTGGTGATTCTTTTTTGAGAGTGGTGAGACCATGTTGTATTTTGTGACGAAGAAGAATTGTTCTTGAAGCTGATCTCTCTTCCATAATTGAATTCACCATTTGTCCTAATGGCAATATATGTTGAATGGCTGATTTCAGATCCTAATTTGGGAAAAATTAATTTCCTCCTTAAAATTAAATGCCGTGAATGATTTGGATCCAAATAAAAACCGAAATTGATGCATGAGTATGTAAGATCGGCACGACGGAATCAAATCTTTAAAAACCATTTCTCCCGTTCTGTTCATCTGAAGTGATTTATCATCAATTTAGTTTCAAAAGATCCTTTCTCCTCTTTTTCAATTTTCCATTTTCCTTTTAGAGATGTCCTAAATTGACATAATAAATTCCAAAAGTTGATTCAGCATTTAAATACAGTTCCATCAAACAATTACCTCGAAGAGGAAATTGACTAATAAATGTTTACTGATCTTCTTCCTCTTCTTCCTCCTCTTCATCTGTCAGAACTGGATTGCGCAATTTGTACTGTTTTTGAATGTGGGGAGAGCCTTTGAATCACTTGAAACTGACGACTCATACGAATGGGAATTCTCAAACAATCCCAAACGCAACCAATCATACAAGAGAGTGTTCAATATTACTGAATCCTCCTGCTGTGCGTGTTGACCAAACAAAATACATTTCACATAATTCAAACATTTCTCAGAATACACGGAATGCGATTCATTTGTTTCTTTTTCAAAGAAATGAGAAAACAATCGATGACCATTAATGAAACATGTCTCTGCAGGATCGTTAAAATCTGGAACAATTATCCAATAATCAAAAAGCACTCTCAAAGGAAATCCACAGCTTGTAAACACAGTATATGTTGATTCCACCGACTCGGCGACTTTGTAATCATCCATAAAAACAGCCTTGAACGGTGCCTTCAATTCAGCTAATGAGAGTTCTCGATGGGTTTGGAATTCGTTCATGGATTCATATCCAGATGCATGACCTCCAAATAATTTCCACAATTTCTCCCTCGAAAGCCTCTGAGATGAATAACTCACCAAAATTTCCTGTTGAGAAAAAAAGTTAGAAAATGCCCCACAAAGTTTTCGAGTTTTTCCAATTTTTGAAATGACACGTTTCATTTGATCTTCGAGAGAGGATATTTTGTCGGAATGTTTCTCTTTTAAGTATTCATTGAGCAAGGGTGGAAGTTGAGTGTCAATAGTGTAGTTAATTTTTGTGACATACAATTGCAATATTTTGTGATAGGTCATTTCGTCTTCAATTTTTCTCTTTTTGGGAATTCCTTCTTCTCTCGAAAGACATTCCGTCTCCCAAGAACCCGAATTTCCTTGTTCCATTCTGATACCTTCGAGGAGGTGCATGCCTGGAAAGAGATTTCAAAACGAAGGGCGCAACATCGAGGTCCCTACTCGTGAGAAATCAAAAATAAGTAAAACGATCCAGTAATAGTCGACACATGCCTTTCAATATAAATAGCAATCACCGTTGCACCAAAAAATAAGACCATTCACTCTTTCTATACATCACCTGCTCGGCAGAAGAAAACAACATGATCCTTGAGAAATGACTCCAATGATGGGAACAAAAAGTGCAAAGAAATCATCACGCTCACTGTTTGCGAATGATGTTTTGGTTCATATTTTGGAATATGTGGACGCTCGGACCCTTCTGAATGCATCTTTGGTGTGTCAATCTTGGAACGAGTCCAGTAATCATGACATGTTGTGGAAATCCAAATTTAAACGATTTGCTCATTTGAAATCCTTCTCGAGCAACATTAAAAAGGAATATACAAAATATTTGAAAGAGAGATATGCCAAAATGCGAGCCATAGATTCATGCTGTTATTCATGCTGCAAATCTATGAATTGTTATTGCTGTGCTAGTTCTCCTTTGGCTGTGATTTTATTGATTGCTTTTTTAGGAGTTTGGTTTGGATTGTTTTTTGGATTGAATCTTAGAGAAATTCAAATCAAACATGTTTGGCATGCCTCTACCTGTTATGTTGTAGCAAGAGATATTCGTCCCTATCGATGTTGTGATCGGAGTTGTCCAAATTGCAATGAATGTCCTAAAGGCTTGAGAAAATGTCAAGATGTTCTTGCGACTTTGCCAGTGAATCAGACTGAACAATGTTGCAATGGATTCGCTTGCTGTAGTACCTGTTGTGACACATGTTCAAGTTGCGACAACAATGGATGTACCACCTATTCCTGTAATTGTGAATGTTGCAGCTCAGTGGATGATGATTTTTGCACTGTCACTTGTTATCAGTGTTGGAAACCCATCGTGTTCATGCAATACAATACCACAGAAAATGCAACCATCACTTCAAGCATGGAGGAGGAATGCGGTACCAACTTTGACTGTGTCGATTCATATTTTGAAATTTGGCAAATGGGCAGAAATACCTCATGTTGGTACGATCCATCGAATCCAAAAGATTTTTCAGTGACAAATGAATACACTCCTTGGAAATTGGGAGTGATGGGTTTATTTGCTGCACTGAGTGTGCTTTCTTTGATTTGGATGGTATGGATCGTACTGGTTTCCATTCCTGCATGTTTTGTGCTTAACAAAATTCGAAATGAGAGTTTGAAAATTAAATTGGAGAACGAATTGATGGAACCATCCAAATGTGGGAATTCCTTCTGAGAGGTTTTTTGAAGGATCTTCGAGGACTGCAGCAACATGCTCTTGTACTTGACCTAACCTGGGAAATTTATCACTAGTGAATTTTGACACAACATGAGTGTCAATAAATGATCAATAAATACACACCCTCAAATATTTAAATATTTAGTGTTTGACACAGAGATCCAAAATTACTAATCCAAAAAGAAAGTTCAAAATTTTTCGAAACTCTAAAAAAAAATGCCCAAAAACGTCATTCAAACACCCACATTCACCATCGTGGAAGATATCAGCAGTAGCGAGGATGAAAGAGAAGAAGAGGAAAATACTTCCGATGAGGAAGAACGCATTCAAAAATTATTAGAAGAAACTTCTCGAAAAAAGAAGAGGAAAAAGGGAGATGACGTTAGTGCCGACTCGGAAACCAAGAACAAGAAGACAAAATTGCCATCTCTCAATGTGATGGATAATTTTGATCAGGAAGTCAAGATTGGAGAAGTGAAAGTAGCAAAACCAATTGATTATGAGCAATTGAAACAATCGGAACAGACTAAAGGTGTAATTTATATATCTACTGATTTCGGAAAAAACCCAATTCCTCCCACATTGAAAGATGAAAAAGCGCTCCGAAAAATGCTTGCAGAATTTGGAACCGTTGCTAGAGTAGAATCGAAATATGAGAGGAGAGGTTTACGGCATGTCAGAGTTGGATTTTACGTTGAATTTGAGGATAAGAACATTGCAAAACGAGTGGCTCTCACACTTAACGGAAGCACCGTTTCTAGGAGCGACAGTAGAATGTACAGTGTCAAGTTTCTACCTCATTTTGAATGGAGTGAAGTTGGAGAAGAGGAAGAATTGCAAAAGATGAAGCGAAAATTACTTAAAGTGGAAGCACAAACTGAGTTACGAGCGATCAAAGAATTCAAAAAGAACAAGAAGTGGTCAGAGTCCATCAAGAATGATAAGGCTCCAAAACCAAATTCTAACTTTAGGTTCAACCAGAAGGCAGTAATAAGGCATGATAACTCCACAACTTCACACATTGACACACTCAAAATTTTTGCACCAAAGGACGACTCAAAGCAGTCCAAGAAAAATTGACCAAAAGTTTTGACACTGTCAACCAAATAACACACAGAGATTATTGACAATGTTTAGAGTGAGTTTTATTTGATTTATCTTTTATTAACGTGCTTTCTGCTTTCATATTCCTTGAACCATGAACGATTGGGGTACATGGCAGCATTCTCTTGAACGGCTCTGTTGTAGAAGAGCACATCTCTAAGACCATTGGTGGAAATGACACTTTTTGTACCGTTCTGTGTCAACTCTTTGAGCAATGTTTCATATCCATTTTGAAGGATTGCAGTTCGTTGTTTGAACACTTTCTTGGTCAACAAAATTGGATTGAATCGCAATTCCAAGTCGGTGTATACAGTGTGAATTAAACGAGTCGATTTTTCACCTACTCGCTGGAATACAAAGGTATAGAGACACTTATTCAGCACACATGAGTTTGGCACTTCTCCATTGTCAGCAGTATGTCCAATACTCACATAACTTTCAATACCCGGATCGTAAAACGAGGTTTGAGTTCCCTGAAAGAACCTAGTTTTAAAGAAAGGTAATTTCAAATCAATCATACATTTACAAAACTGCAATGCCAAGGGAGGATGTTCGAGAGAAAATATCTTCTCTTCTGTATCTCTATTTGCAGACTCGTAGCTTATCTTGGCCGCTTTCTCTGCACCAATTTTTGAAGGAGATTGAAACCCAGTGGGTTCTATAGATTTAAGGTTCTTATCGAGTCTCGATCGAACATCAATGTCGCAAAATGCGGCCCACACATCTTCAACTGGATAATCCAAATGAAGGATTATTTTGTAAATTCTCATTCCCTTTGAACTATCTGATTTTCCAATCATGTAAGACGTTTTGGATATGAAAGACTGACAAATATTTGGTTTTTCCGTGTAGGTCAACAACTCCCAATCTGGTGTATCCTCCATCAATGAAAATGCAAAGAAAATGTCACGATCCGTTAGAAGTTTTGAAGAAAAATCTTTAAGTTTGTATCGAATGTCCAGAACAAAACCTCCAGAAATATTCACAGCAATCGATCTCGTGAATTCCTCGCCTTTTTTCAAGAGGAACTTGGCCATCTTTTGTGATCGACTATATCGACTGAACTGGTCCGTCTTGAGATCTAAATTGACGGCAAATTCAACTGTCTTGAACAGTGAATTTGGTTCAAACAAGTTGAGCACTTGGAGAGGGCAAAAACCTAATGGCACATCGAATGAAGGTCTACGAGCCAAGTTTTCACCTCTTGTGGTGGCCACAAACTCTAGAATGTCATTGACAGGAGACTTGGAAGATTTTCTTCGCTTTAGATTGCTTGCTTTTTTCATGATATTCGAAATTATTTCATATTGCTCATACAAGCCAGAAGTTTGAGTCCGTGTCAAATTCAAACCCTTTGCACCTTCTGGATTCATGTACGTTTCAATGATGTGTCCCAACATTTGATACAAAATGAAGAGATACGAGAAACATTCTTCAATCATTTCTTCGCTTTCAATCAGAGTAACACTCTCAGGTTCTACTGTAGCATCATTCACAGCTGTTGGTCCATAAGGGAATGGAGAATCTACCCCAGATGAGGATGATGACACGAAGGAGGAGCTACTTGAACTCATTGACATGCTTGTATTGAGTGAGGACGGACATGCTTGATTCATGCTGTTGTCACTCTTACTTGCTGAAGCAGTTGCCTTATATTCCTTCATGATGAAATCTCTTGCAAGCTCATATTGCTGTCGATAGTGAGATATTTCTTGTAAGAAGATCATGGGATCTTCAGAATAACTTTCAGAGAGAAACTCTTGAAAATTATCTCGTGCCTCTGGACAGTTCATTAATTCCTCATAGATGATCATATAATGATGAATATCAAAGGATGGTTTCTTCTTATTTCTACCGTATTTGGAGAAGATACTTTTATGACCCTCTTTATCGGAGGATGTTGAGGAAAGTTTGCGTTTCGTTTCATTGGTAATTTGAGAATTGGAAGGCGGCTGAGCTGAGAATTGAATGAATTGTTGTTGAGAATAACTGGAGGAAGAAACCAAAGTCGACGATGAGGAGGAGCATGAGGATGGTTCTAACTCTCCCAACGTGAGGATAGTTGTGTTCGTTTTTGACTTGGAGGAAGAAGAAACTCCAAGATTGTCCCTTCTTTCAGTCGCAGATGGACTGTTGCTTGCAGTTGACATGGTTGACTTCAATATTCTAATTGACGTCAATTCAAATTGGTTCGTTGGCAAGATGATGAGTGAGTTCTTTTTTTTAATATGAGAGATTTAACGTAATTCATCTCTTTCGTTTTACCGTCATGTAACAAAAGATATTTGGATGTTTTGGAGAGAGATGATCAAAAGATGTCATTAGGTGTTGTCCATGAAGGAGAGAGATATGGAAGTAGTGGTCAAATTACATATGGAAAGATTTCAGTGATTGCGGAAAATGCTGAGTTTGCAACAATTGTCACTTTAAATGGGATAGTGTGTTCGAGCCCTCATTAACAAACACACGGACAGGAAACGAGATCTCTCAATCGAGAGAATAAATTTGGGTCACAGTTTAGTTCTCTCTCAGCTAATTAGGCTCAAGAACACAATCGTTTTCAGAGTGCGAGAGTTGCGAACCTACACCAGCTGCAGTCGATACTAGCTATACTATCAATTTGGAGAGATTTAAGAACATCATCTGTTCAACTTGAACGATCTGGTTGTGATGTTTTTCCAATTTTTGCACGAACGATTGGAACCTAATTTTAGTTTGAATTGTTCCCATCGCAGCCATAGATTGCTGATAGAGAACGAATTGCGTGTCTGTCAGTAAATTATTGGATTACATTAAGGTGTGCATGATCTTGTACATACGCAAACATTCTGAGCTTGTTTGTAATATTAATTATAACGAGCTAACTCATCCACTTTACTATTAAAAACTTTCATGAACGAAAACAAAACTTTTAATTTTTTTGGAAGCCAACTGGTTATATTAAAGGTGTAAAGACATCTCTAACTTTCTTTGGGAACAATTTTGATGGGATTGTGTTTTAAGTTTACAAAAAAAATGTCCAACAAACACTCACAGCAACAACAGCGAGGCTCATCATCAAGCTCTCAACCTTCCCGAAAAAAGCAAAATCAAAACAAACAGCACCATTCAACGATGAAATCATCAACCACAACATCATCATCATCGGGATTTGATGTGTTTAAAAGCGCAGTAAACTCGTCCATTCAGTTCGGAAAGGAATCCATCTCAGACTTGAGAAAAAGCATCCTAGATACAAGCTTTAATTCAACAGCACTTACTGATGAAAGAGATAGTGATGATGAATTGTATAGATCTGCTCGGAGTGTATTTTCAAGTACGTATTCATCCAAAGGAGGAAAAAGTACCAAAGTGCAATACGAATCAAGCTCTGAGAGTGACGTGTCATTGTGGGAAGATAGAGAGATGGTTCAAATTCAAAGCGATTCTCTTGTTAAACGTAACTTAACAAATCTATATGCCACGTTACGGACCAAGCAAAAAGAAAGACAAAGATTGGAAGAATCTGAAAATTTCTTCTTCACTGATGACTCAAGTTTGCAAGCTGAATCGTTATTACAAAATGAGCAAGCTAATCAGAGAGACATTGAATTGGGGGAGAATGAACATCCTGAAGACGCAGAATGGATCAAATTGTTTGAAACCTGTAAAGAAAAACTTGCCAGTATTGCTTCTGGAATTGTTGAATTGAAAAAGCTGCACCAACAACATGTCAAATTCACGGTACAGAAGGATTTTGCCTCTGAAGAGGAGGAAATCAAGGTGTTGACAAACAACTTGAAACATTCCATGGCGTACTGTAAGAAACTCATTGATCAATTTGACAAGTATGCGCTTTTAGCAAAAAAGAAAAGGAGAAAACAATTTAAAGTTGTGATCACAAATGCCAAAAAGTCACTCTTTACTTCTCTCAGTGAACTATCGACCGATATGCAAAGAGAGCAACGATCATTCCTCGACAAGTTGACCCAACTCAAATCCAAGAAAAAAGAATTGCAAAGAATTCATACTACAGATACAGTTGAAGAATTCTCAAAAGAGGAACTTGAAAGAATTGAAGCCATAGAACAGCGATATTATGAACCTAATGTGACACAGGAACAGGTCGAAGAATTGGTGAGGCGTGAAAGAGAAATTATTCAGAGAGATCGAGAGCTCAGAGAAGTATTGGCATCTATTGTCGAGCTTCACGAGTTGTTTCAACAAATCTCTGCACTCATTATTGAACAAGGTTCTCTTCTCGATCGAATTGATCACAATATTGAAATCACACGTGAACACATTGTTGAAGGCAATGAGAATTTGATAGAAGCAGAAAAAGCTCAAAAATGTGGCTGTTTTATGTATATTATCATTTTCCTATCAGTAGCGGTTGTATTTTTGGCTTTCTTGATCATTATCAAGTTGAGGTAAGGCTTCAATAACCTAGCTTATTAATTAATTTTTTCTGATAATTTCATTGTTTTCATGATCACCGCTCAACCTGTGACACCTTCCAAATTTATTTGAAATCTATGCACAGTTTGAGATAATTTATTGTGTGAAATATTTGCTGTAGAGTGACTTGAGAGGTTTCAAAGTATTCGAAACATCTTCTTCTGGTACATTCAAGTTAAAACTACCGCTCAGATCAGATGCTGGATCAAGTTTTTCGCTTGTTACTGATGCATTGGAAGAAGAGCATGAATACGACTGTTTTTGAGAATTTTTCAAGTACACCTCCACCTTTTCAATATTTTCGGTAGATCCCACAATTTTAAATGCAATTTCATTTGTTGAACCAATCATTGGACTCGAAGATGAATGAATGCCACTGGAAGAAATACTTGCCAATGTGGTCATGGTATTGCCCGATGAGGGTCGTTCCATTGTGTCCACACAAGTGTGAATCATACTTGTTTGACAAGATTTAGACTCCATTTTCTCGTCATCTTCACTAAGGCTAGAGATATCTGAAATGTCTTCTGCTCTCGTTGAAGATTTGACAGTTGAGGACGCCGAACCTTTGTTGGATTTCTTTGTATTGCTTGATTGAGTAGTAGTCGAGGATTTTGTAAATTTAGGAACTGGAGGTTTTCTTGTGGTGGATGTATATTTGTTTGTGGAGGAGCTATTGGTTGATGTTGCTGTGCAGGTTGTGGCGACACTTCGAGCAGTGGATGACTTGCTTGGAGTTTTCGATCGTTTTCTGTTCGTCTCACTGGATGACTCCCTTAATGTACTGACTTTAACAGATTGAGGCCGTTTCGTTGGAGTTGTTGATTTTTTCTTTGTTTTCGAGCCCTTGTTGGGAATGAAATTTTCCTTGTCACTGTCGAAGATTGAGTCACTCGACTTGGACTTTTTTGATTTAACCTCAAAGTACATTGGCTCCTTTTTTTTCTCATTGTATTTTTTCGAGTAATGATCCAACTTGCTGAATAGCTCGTCTGAATTTGTTGTAATGGTTGACCTTGAACATATAGACAATAGATCATCCATTGGATTTGCTGAAACTGATTTAAGTGGAGCTACGGATGAAATTGACGAATCCAAAAGATAGTTTGGAGTGTTCTTGATGGTGACAGGTGGGTTCGTCGTCGTGGTATTCGGAAATCCATCAGAGAGTCTGCTGTACAAATCCGTGAGGGAGTCATCCAAATCAATGTTACTTGTTGTTGCTCTACAATTATACTTGTCAATATACTTTTGTAAAATACTAGAAGCTGAATCAAGAGTATCCGACAGTGTATGTTCTATGAGGTTACGACTTGAAGGAAGCACCATACCCGAATCTCTGCTGAAGGTGTTCATTTGTCGGAAACTGTCATCATTGTCATAATTTAGTTTGCTTCTTTCATTGCGTGATCCAGTTGTTTTTCGAATGGCATTATCGTGGATTTCCTTTGCCAGATATTTCATTTCCTCCCATCGAGATGATGTCGACGCTTGGCTCGAGACGGAAGAATTAAGGGCCGAGGATGACATTCTATTTTTGAAAAACATGCTGCCTTCATCTCCTGATCCATGATGATGAATTGACGACTCAGAGATCATGGATGAGGAAGGAGAAGCTGCCGAACTTTGATGAAGCCTTGATGTGGAGGAAAGAAGCGATGAATTCATGTTGCATTTATTTTTTTAAAAATGTAGCGCGTGAACGAAAAAATGGCGCCAAATTCTTTACAACGACCAAACATTTCATAAAATATTGGGGAGTCACTTTCAAAATATTAAATATTATTATTTCACACCTCTCTCAAGTATGTAGTTGAAACTCTGTACTGGAAAATCATGATTTATCCTTCATATGAAGGATCTAAAAAGATTAGAAAAGATCTCGACTTGGAAATTTACAGATTTCCATTCAGTCGCAATAATTGTTGATCAGAATGTGTTGAGAGAATTGAAAGGCTACGGCCATATCACGATGAACGCACCTCATCCCGTCCGATTTGAGGAATTAAGCATCGTCGAGCTGCATCAGTACTGAGGTTGGAGACAACTTGGGAACCTGCGGTGCTGTAGCCTTTTTTCATTTCCTTTTTTTAGACAAAGAAAACAGACACTTTAAAGCTCGTTCACTTTTTCGTCTTTCTTGATATTGTGACACTTTTCGTGACTTGAATTGACCATGCAATGTGAATGTTGATTATGGACATGTCTCAAATTTAATGGATTACAGCCGACTCGGCTGTTTAAAGAACCAACAAAGGCTTCTGCTTTTTTCACTCACAGTTCATACAGTCAAAGACTGTAGCGGGAGTGTTGCCATATTCCTGGCAGGCATCCCGTCCAAAACAAATCAAGAGAATTAAAACTAATCATCCCTAGAAATGATTCAATAATTCTTGAAATACAGTATTTGAATTTTTCTAAAATTGTTGACAGAAACTGAAGTCTATTCCGAGTGAATCCGAATTTGTTCAGTCTACTTTGAAAACTCGTCCACTTGATCATCCTTTTCTTGCATCTGAATCAATCGTCATTTCCTTTGATTCATTAAAATCTTAGGTCCATTGTACACTTGTCAATGAAAGAGATCTCAATGTCCAAAAATTGAGGGTATTTCATTTGACAATGATCCAACAATCTTGTTTGTAAAATGGCTTCTCTGTAATTGAGATATTTCGAAATGAAAGGAGGTTGTGGATGTTGGTCATCAGCTGCAAGGGGATCCTGAACAAACTAACAGTGTACCAATATACACAATCTTGTTCGGAGTGTCTGCAGACGAACCATCAAGGTTCCACTTGCCAATGAGGTTTCATTTGTCTTTCACGACATTTATTGGAGCCGGTAGTTGGGTCTGGACGAGGGATTTGCGTGCCTGCTCCATAAGAACTGTGTTGAGGATAGCCTGTTGTGGGAGTTCTGGGGGTGGTCCGAGTTAACTCACTGAAATATGGCTTGGCAATATCTTCACCCTTTTATCAATAATCTCACTGTGTGACGAAAGTCCCTACGAAACCAAGAAATGAACCTTAGTGTATCACTGTATGGGAGTGCAAATGGGAGCTTCGACGACAATGTGAAACCACTCCTCCTATATAGTCACGCTCGGCAAGGATCCCAGGTAATCCGTTTTTCTTGGAATACACTAGTTAAATTTTTTTTGATCTTTTTTCAAAAACCATAATTGATCTTTGAGACCTCAGGTGAACACGAGGAGCAGAGGAATGAGAGAGAGTTTTAAATTGACTCAGAAGTGATTGGTGGCGTAAATCCACCCTTGCGTTTTGGTGTTCATTTTATGGAAATAGACTGAGCTTACCATCCACTGCAAGTAATTGTTAAAGATTAATTTCTTGAAAGTACTTGGTTGAGTAATAAATTAATGATCGTTTTTAATGGTGGTGATTTCTCTTTCGCTATTTCACACAAAAAGCATGTTCAACACTTGTATTTCCGAAAATTCTTCATTCCAATTAAATATAAAAAATAGTATTTACAAATTATCAAATGCATGTTTCTTTTCTCGACCCAGGAATGTATAATGTTCATCATGATCTGAATTTGAATCATATGTCTCTTCGTGTAATTTGTGACGAGCATATCTTAAATGACGTTCTCTTTCCATGGCCTTTTCTAATTTGTAACTTTCAATATTGTCATGAATAATTTTTACAGCCAAACAAACAAACATGATGGCCAATGTAATTCCATAAAAGCCAAAAATTGTGAGCAATGGACGATTGGTATACCAATAGGTTTGACAAGTGTCAAATAATAAATTATTGGCAGTGAACATGGGTCGATAGGAGCCTGCAGGACTCGTAATTGAACTTGTTGGGAAGGTCGCTGTGGTTTCAGGTCCATCTTGTTTCACTTTAAATCCTTTAAGAGAGGAAGAAATCTTGGAGAACATGCTCGTTGGGAATTTAACAGAAATTTCAATATTGCTAATACTTTGTGCGTCCTCGTATCCAACCGACCAAGCAACTCTTGTAATGTTGTGACTCACAAAGAGAGGTCCATTCATCAAGTACTTGTATTGTAAAGTCACTTGTGTGGTCTCAATATCAGAAGTTGGATTTGTGAGTGACACTACAATTTGTTTCATACCATCTCCTGATTTCAAATACAAAACATCAGATATTTTCATAGAATCAGACATGGAAGTGACATCGATTTCTCCAACCATTCTTGCATAGCCATACGGTAAATTGGTGGGAATGGATCGATAAATTTTCCTTGTTGGCTCAGCAAATAAATAGGTCACAATTTCATTCACCTCAACAATACATTGATTCGAATCAGTCAATTTGAGCTCACTATGAAATCGAGAAATGCTGTATTTTGGTGAAGATGCTGCAAACACAACGATATTGCCAAATTGAGAAAGGATCATCAAAATCAAGAAGAATTTAAAATAGTAGGAATGAAGGATCCGCCTCATCATCATCCTTGCAATGGTTGTTGTCTTTGAACCTAACATGGTTCTTGCTGCTTCTACAATCAGAATTCTAAAGAAGAAATTGATATTGAATTGAGGAGGAGGAGTAGAAGTGGTGGTGGTTGTTCTTGTTGAGAGGGAGGATGAAGAAGCCTTCCAAGAACCATCAAGCGGATATTCATTTATTTTCATCGTCCAAAGGCTTTTGCTAGAACTGAAAGGGTCATCATGAAGATAAAGTCCATCATCAGGTTGTTGTTGTTGTTCTTGTTGTTGTGGTTCCGAAGAAGAAGAATTTCTAAAATCTCTTCGAATTCTTGGAATTGATAAGTGTTGTTGTTGTGGTGGTGATGGTTGTTGATGATGAGCAAGGTCTTGCCCGAATTCTACTACTGGCTCAGTACTATTCCAACGACGACGATTGATACTATTATTGTTGTTGGTTTTAGTATTATTACTTGTGAATACGACGAATGAACAAGAAGAATGAGGATCGCAAATTGATTGTTGTTGTTCGTTTGACGTCAAGTCGTCAGTGACGTGCTTGTTGCTCGCTCGTTGAACTCCTCCTCCCCCGAAATTTATCAATCGTAATGACATTTTTTTATAATATTGTTTTATTCATCAAATGATTTACAAAAATTGAGGAATCGTCAACGTCATGGATTAAATTGTAATTTTTTGGAGGTAATGAAACAAAGTCCAATTGTGAGAGATGTACTAATGTGATGCGTGTAGGTGGAGATTCCACAAGCAATGATGGACAATGTCTTGTTTCATTGAAGAGAGAGATGGATCCCATTAAGTGTCAGCAATCAAAAAAAATATTGTTGTGACTGATCGGAGCTCAGCGTTTTATCATTTCACTATTCCAGTTTTTTTTCAATCACATCATCACCACTATGGCCTCTCATTGGCAACATTACATTGACAAGTAGGTAGCAACAACACATTTTGAAATACAAAATAATTATTAATTAATTGAAAAAAATAATTTTCTAATGGTGATGATGCTCCTATCACATGCACAAAATTAAATCAATTTGGTGATGATTATTCTGATTGGACATTTGATGCACACACACATTTTGAAACCTCAATTCACTACTACTTTACACAGCAACATTGTAAAATCTCGATATTTTTTCACATGGTGCCATTCATGGTCTAAATGGAACCAAATGGGCACAATCGACAGGAATTGATATTACAAAAAATCAAATCAAAACTCTGTTATCTTATTTAGAAGAAGAAAGAGAACAGAAATTGGAAAAGATGAAATCCACCTCATCGAACGGTGTGAAAAAATCGAATGCATCACATTTTGAATCGCCATTGCATCATTCAAATTCAGATTCTGTGTTGATACAATATGATATTCATAATAATAGTCATCAACAGAATGCTAGTAATACAGGAACGAATTCAAATTTGGGAGAACAAGAAATACTGAACTCTCTCACTTTTGCTAAAAAAGGAGTTTTTTCACACAATGGATCCGCAGGGGCATCCTCTTCATCCAATTCTTCAAATAGCTTTTCCAACAGTTTTTCAAAAAACAACACGAGTATTGGATTGGAAATTAATTTTTGCGGGAATCAATTTTTCAGAATCATTCAAATCGATCAATATAGTGCATTATTAGCTTCTTGGAATTTTGGAGATGACACTTCGACTGCTTCGCTACCTCTTTCTAAAGTTTTCGATTTCGAATATTGCAAGTTCTTGATTCCTCCCACGCACGTTTTTTATTGTGTGACCACCTCGAAATGTATCTTAACTGGAATGGTGAATTTATCAGCACTCAATTTGCAAGATGAAGACTTGACCGTTCAACAACAATTTGGAAGCGTTCGAAAAACATTGGACAAGTTTGCTGATTATTTGATTGAATCAGGATTCTAATAACGTGAGGAATTCAAGTCAACTGTTGGAAAACGAAAGACCTGAGGCACCGAAGGGCCAATAAATATTTTTTCATTTTTTAATTGAAAAAAATGTCTTTACTACCATTCCGATCTTCCATGTGGTCGCGGAGTCATGTCCTGTTCGGAAGAGCTTCCATATCACTAAAATCTTCTTTCGATTCATTCTTCGGATCATCATCCATACATTCCATCATCCATACACAGCATCATCATAGTTCACGATGGAATTCAAAAGTTTTTTCCATCAACCTTTCTCATCCAATACAACATTCCTATGCGACGGTTATTTCAAAACCAATCAATAACAGCAAAAACAATGAGATGGATCTTATCATTCCTCCATCACCTTCATCATCATTACAAAATTCCATATCGGAACATGATTCCTTTGTTTTGTAAGTTGAAAATTTTTCAAAGGCAATCGAGCCTTCTTCTCGTCATCTTCTACACTATTACTGCAAATGTCGTCATCTTCTACTGTTTTTGCTGCTACTAATTCAACTTCCTACATACAGACCTAAATTAAAATCAAGACAGAAAATATTTAAAGAACTTTCCAGTTTACCGCCAGTGCTGAATGAAGTGGAGAAGGAAAAGAGAGCTTGTTTGGAACGAGTATCAAAGTTTTTGTCGAGAATGGGAGTTTGTTCCAAGCAGCAGGGAGTGGAATTGATAAAACAAGGACTTGTAAAAGTGAATGGAGAGGTGATTACAGAGACAGGTTGTAAAATTAATCCTTTTTTTGACATTGTCACGGTTAGAGGAGAAAAAGTAGGTTTCATTACAGAGATGAATGTTTTAGAATGTTTTTTTTGAATTTTATATCAATCTTTTATTTCTTTTATTTGTTTGACACAATTTAGATTAATAATGAGAAATCGTTGAATAATGTGAAAATATATGCCTATTATAAACCTAGAGAAGTGTTATGCAGTCGTGTTGACAACCAGGGAAATCGTGAAACACTGTATCACAGACTCGAACGACTTGGATTTGGACATTTAATTTCTGTTGGACGACTTGACTACAATTCTGAAGGACTTTTATTATTAACAAATGATGGACAGCTTGCACGTCATTTAGAACTCCCTCAAACAGGTCTACAACGACATTATTTGATCAAAATTCATGGAAAAGTTACTCAATCCATGTTAGATTCTCTTCGAAAAGGATCCAGCATTGAAGGAGTTCATTATGCAGGAATGGAAGCAACACTTCACAGAGAAGGAGAGAAATCGAGTTGGCTAAAAGTAGTGTTGCATGAAGGAAAAAATAGAGAAATTCGAAAGATTTTTCAACACTTGCATTTTCCCGTGAGTAGAATTATTAGAATTCAATACGGGCCCTACAAGTTGGAGAATATTCAAAAAGGACAGCTCAAAGCTCTCGATCTTCATGATGACATGAAAAAATATTGCAGTTCCATCAGTAGAATTTCAGAGAAAATTATTAAGGAAAAGGTGAAACAAGAGCAACAACAACACCAACAACGGAATTGACATTTGCCTTAAACTCAGTTCAGAAAATTCAAGCATTTCATATTTGAAAAACAATAAATTAACCATGGTCGAACATGTTGACCAATAAATTACATTCACCTTTTCACTTTATTGGTGTTTCATCATTCTCCAAAGGCAAACCTCTTTGAATCGCCCAATCGGAGTGGTAGTGGAGTTTGCAATGGTGTTTTCCAAATCCATTTTATGAAACAACCCACATCATGACACGCCTCTGAAAACAACATTCAAATTTTAAGAGGGATTCAGGCACATGAGTAATATCAAAAGACATTGTGAGACTATCAGCAATGTTGTTGTTGTACAGAACCAGCAAGTAAGGCATGGAGAAGAATCAGATCTGAAAAAGGTCGGTTCTCGATTTTTACATTGCTGAGATTGAACCGAGACAATGCTCAACAAACACCACATGCAGATTTTTTGGTTGAGAATTCTTTTGAGAAGAATGTTTTACAGGAATTGTTGACAAAAGTGAAAAAACCTAATTGAACATTCTTCAAATAACTTTGAATATTGTTTTAGGAGATTAACAGTGAAAGGTCTTTGACCATTTATTCTTCTTCTTTTTGAAAAGATGACATCAAAACATTTACAACAAGAAAACTCCAATAATCATCATGGCAGCGACAACGACAAAACCTGTCATCTTTTGAACAACAGCTCCGTTCCAACAATCTGTGGTTGGCCAATCATCGCAAACAGTCGAGTTTCTTTTACAGGTGCTGGCTAATCTTAGACAAGCACTCTTGCACATCACCAATGTTCCGTTGGTATCCACATATTGTTGATTCTTTGGATCACAAGGGGCACAAAGAAATGATTTAATTTGATCAACACAAACAGTGGAATTCAATTGATCAAGGGAAGCAGCTAATGAAGTAGTACCACGTGAAATAGCAAGATCATGAAGAGGATTTTGTGGCTGTACAGAAAGTACACGAAGGGCAAGGAGCTGGATCAGCAAAAGGATTGCGATTCTTGCATTGTTGAGCCAAGCAAGAAGAGGCAAGCAAAGCAACGAGTGCAATGACAATAACAAGCAAAGAGGTGTTGAAACGCATCATCAGGAGTAGTGACTTTGGTGTAAATGATTTGTTTTTTTTTGAGTGTGTGAAAAAACATGAAGTGTTTAGTGTTGAGCAATTATCAAAGTTGAGAGTTGACCATTTGAAGGGAGAGATAAGTTCTATTAAGCAGTATACTTTCCTTGGTTTGACATTTTGAGGTCTGTTCATCGTCAGAGCATTTATATAGATGAATAGACCCTATATTTGGTCTGCTAACTACTATCTGATCAATCGTCATCAACAGCCAACATCTGCGACGTCATGCATCAGACACAAAACGATCCTTTTGACTGACAAGTGACATTCAATTCTACGATCGTTAAGAGATGCATCTCAATTGTTCAATGCATTTATTTCATTGTAGTTTGGTTATCTTTTTCACTTCTTTTTTGCAACAGTTGGTGGCGCCATTGAGGTGTCAATCTTCTTGAATTTTGTCTCGGCTGAAAAGTAACTTGTCTTTTTCTTCTCATTCTTCTTCTTTTCTTCGATGAGACTTGGATTCAGAAGCTCCATTTCATTTTTGTCATTAATTGCCATTGATGTGGCTGTACCTGTTCTGATAATTTGTGTAGCTGTACCACTTTTGAATATCGAAGTGCTGGACAAGGTGCTAATACCATCAAAGAAAGCTGCAGACTCTGAAACAGAGGTTCCAGCACTGGAAGAGGTGCCTAGAGGTGTTCTGCTGGTTTGTTTTTCCTTCTTCTTGTTCTTGCTCTCATACTTTTTACCGGCAGAGAGAATGGCATTCTTTAATCGAAGGGATTGACCGAGACCTTTCGCTCCCTCCTTCATGAGCATAGTACCTGAGCCGTCACCAATATACGAGTCATCTGTTCCTTCCGTACCAAATTCCAATCTCTCATATTTCTTTCTCAGCTCTGAAGTTCGTGACAACTCTTTTTCTAAGGCTGATTTTTTACCACCTCTATGAGTTTTCTTGATGGCATCTGGTGCTGGAAGTGGCTTATCTTCTTTTCTTTTTGGTGGCTCCATGAGCTTTTTGATAAACGCAAGAACATCCTCTCGAAGCTTTTGCCCTTCAGATCCATCTTTTGAAGAATTGCAGCTATCAATTCGAGCTGCAAGGGCACATTTTGTGGCCACCACTCGAGAAACTTTCTTTCGCAATTTTTCACGCGGAGGTGTGTGCTCCATTACTAAATCACACAAACCTACAAAACCAGTATGCCTCATGTGAGAAAAATCACTTGCATTATATGAAATTAGTTGAACAGGAATATCCTGGGAGTCCCCAACAGTGTTGGCTTTTCGCTTGGGTAACATGCTCATAAATGTGTTCGATGATAAGCCCTCGAGTTTCTTCTTATCTCGTCCTAGACATTGGAGAACATCAGCCGATGTTTGTGACAAGGATAAAATACCTCCAGCTGCACCAATCAGTTGAGCTGCAATTCTTGTGCCTACAAGGGCGCTCAAATTTGGAGCTACATATGCCATTCTCATGGAAACATAGTCCAAAATGGTCTCCTTTGCTTCATCAAGATGTAGAATGTCTCTACATAATTGTTCAATTTTTCTCCACTTATCCTCACTGAGGGAAACAGTAAAAGTTCCTTCGTTTGCAGCTGTAACCTTTAAAATCATGATCGTGGAGGGTGGCAATAAATCACTCAAGTCAATATCTGAAAATGTAGAACTTGTTCCTCTTGGAGCTACCAAAGGTACTCCATTTCCAATTCTTAATACTGTTTGTACATAATTTACAGGATCCGTCACGTTATTTTCCAAATCTTTAAACTTTTCAGCATAAAATCCTTTCAACTGAATAAATAAACTATCAATTTCTTGATCAATGGTAAGAATATATGAATTACTAGCTAAAATATATGGATATTCCTCGTCCTCCTGTAATGAAGCTCCAGTTTTCAAAACTCTTCCTTCTGTTTTGGTGAATTCTTTAATTTTGAACATGTGACGATTGAAGGTTTCATCCTGTAACAGTGCAGAAAAACTCGTTATTGATGGAGTGGTGGGAATTATGTTTTTTAAAGACAAAGCATGAATGTTAGGTATTGATGATGTTGTTCCAGTACTTGCTGCAGTGTTGGTAATATCAGGAACAAAATGGCTGTGTGATCCCGACGAGAAAGTGCTCATTGATGAAGTCGTTGAGAGTGCGTCATGATCCTGATGAAATCTATTCTGAGAGCTTTGATTTAAACTGTTCAAATGAAGAGGTGCCCCAGAGCTTGAGGCCTCATCCGTTGTTGTTGAAGCACCATCATCATCAAGCATCATGGATAATTGTGATGAATTGCCATGATGAATTTGTGGATGAAACAACATGAGATTTCCACTCGTTGTTGCAGAAGAGGATGACAATGCTGAAGTGGGTGTTGGTGGTGGATGTAAGAGAGACGAGGATGATCCTCCGAGAACAAGTGTTGATGCCGTTGCACTCATGGCTTGATTGGTTGTTGTTGTAGTTTGATGATGATTAAAAATTCTTGATCCATTTGAAAAAGCAGCTCCACTCACCGAAGCCGATGAGGCGTTAGTGGTGGTCGATGAAACCGAGTGGGCAGTATCCGAAGAATCGGCAACATCGGCAAAAAACTCATCGAGTAAGGACATGAATTTTTTTTGTATTTATTTTAAACTTTTATGTTGTTATTGAATTTGAACGTGGAGGTTACTTGGTGTCCATGATTAGGATACTAAGTGTCCACAGAAAATTGGCTGACTTTAGTATAGACACGAAGGATTGAACAGCAAATAACTTGAAAGTCTCAAAATTTTAGCAATTTTAATTTTATTCACAAGCGTGGATTAGGCACAAGAGGTGATGATGAAGGAAAGTCGTGAATTCGTTGTCGAGAAAAGTGTTAGAATAAGAAAGGGGAATGAATGGTAATGATGAGAATGGTAGAGATTGTATCTTGCTGAAATAACGGTTTTGTGATGAGTTTGTTGTTGTTGTGCTCTCAAAACATTTTTTGGACATACGTCGTTTGATATTGGACTACTACTGCATGCTGCTGTTACTACTGTGCAACACCCACAATCCTCCAACATAGAGTCCAACAACAAAGTATTGTTATTTCAACTTGCAACAACATTATTGATCTTGTCCGAATGTATTCTCTCCGCTGTAAGTAACATATAAAAATCCATCATCATCACGTTGTTCTTCATACAATTGACTCATCAGAGCAGCACTAGGAGGTAAAACGTTATTCACGAAAATAAAAATGTTCGTTGTTGAATCAATCTTGATTCTCTTACGAATAATGTAAACAAATTGAGCAACGGTGAGATCGGCAGGCACCAAGTACTTGTTCTTATCAATATCAGGGAAGTTTGATTTCTCGGCCTTCTCACAAATCACTGGGATACGATCAGAATATCGTTGTCTTATTCTGCTGGCTTCGGCCTTTCTCTTTTCAAAGGTGTTTTCTGGGTTGTCCTTGTATCTCATGGTCGTTATTTGTGATGGTGATGAAAAATCTTTGATGAATATTTTTTTAATTTGGCTCTGCGACTTTTCATTTCCCACAGACTATTTTGAGCTTCTGCAAAGGTTCTAATTCGAAGCCAAGAGGAAATAGGAGTTAATGGCGAGTTGCGACCTTTTGTGTTGGATTTTTGGTTAGTTCCATCTTATTGGAAGGAGTGGAAAACATTCGAATAAGAAAATATAAGAGATGTTGAAAAAATGAGGCAAACTTTGTCACAACAACATGACAAGCGAGAGAAACGATTTTTGGAATTGAACAACAACGCATTCGTGTGAAAGGTGATGGTGATTCAACCCCCTGCAGGCCGCGTAGCTCAGTTGGAAGAGCGAATGACACGCAAACAGTTCCTGAGAAGGATCTTAACAGCAACATCTACGCACATTTGGTCATGGGTTCGAGCCCCATCGTGGTCGAAATTTTGCTTCTGTTGTTGATCAACAACCATGATGATGATAATCAGAATAACAATGTGAATTATTGGAATATTTGAAAGATCCATCATCTCTTATGAGTACATACCTGTTATTGATGATGAAGGGAGTGAGGATAAATGATGATTGTTAGAAATCGATTCAAATTCCGATGAAGGATCATTGGAATTCATGGCGATAACAATTTTCAATCATTATAACAAAAACTCATTCAGTTGAATTTGAAGAAACAGGTGCAAGAACGTTCAAAAAAGATTTTAAATGACGTTTCTCATTTTGCAAGAAATACTGTATATTAATCAAATTTCATGGACCTTATCCAATCAAAAAAGCGAGACCTTTTTATGATGCAGAAATCATGAACTCTCTCCTCATCTGCTGGTCATTCGATGTCAGAATAAAGCTTTTTTGTTTTGTTTAACTATACTAACGCCAATACTTGTTTGACTGAAATTTGAAATTGCAATATGGAGTGTTTAAATTTACTTTGTCAAAATAGTTCATATTTAGGATGACTGATGTTCTATTCATTGATGTGAATCATGCAAAATTTCCTTACAATTAAACTCTAGAGCTATTAATCACACTTGATGGATCGGTAAATATTCTTAACAAAGGTTAAACTTGATAAAAACCCTACAGTAGCCATCATTAAGAAAACTGCTAAACATAAAATGAAAGTATATCCAATAAAAATGGAAATTTGTAAAATTCCAGACATGCCACTGTCCACAAGGTAATACATGGAATAAGCAAAAATGAAAATACTGCTTGCGCCACCAAATTTGACACTTCTCCACCACCAATGATGATTTTCTTGCGAGAGAGTCAAGTAAATGAGTGAAATAGTAATACAACTTGTAACAGCAATTAAAATAATGACCACCATCAATACAATTGGGAACGGAACATGGCCATAGTGACCCCACATACTCAAATACAAATAATGCAATTCAATATAAATGGAGATGAATGGTAAGAATCCAGCAACGAGGGTCAGTATATTTTCTCCCTTCCACCAAACAACAGGAGGAATTTCACGTGGAACCTTTTTAGTTCTACATGGTGCCTCAAATCCCTTAGTAAAGTTCTTGCCAGTGATTGCTCCCAACAAGAGTAGTGGGAATGAAACTGCAACATAGAGTACAACAATAATTGCAACAGTTTTGAAAGGTAAAGCGGCTGTGGATCCATATGAAACAGCAATAGTATTCAAAATAGACCATGTTACAGCAATTGGGAGAGTGAAAACGAGTAATGTGGTCACAGTATTCTTGATCCATGACTCACCACCAAACTTTTTGTAGTAGCTACCCGACACATAACCATTAATACCAGTTGTAAAGGTATAAACAATAACCAGGGAAGTCGTAACTGCTTTGTATCCATAGTCTTGATAATATGCTCCCAATGCACCCAAGAACAGCAAACAGAAAATGAGTGATAGTAATTGAGCTCCATTTCCGAGAATAGCAGATAAGAGATTAATGTTTGCTGGGAATCTAAATACATCGGCATGTAATTGTTTCCATCCAGTTTCTTCTTTTTCTTGAGAGTCTTGTTCCAAGTCCATTGCATCATAGTCCTTTCTGAGCATTCTTATGATAATAAATGTTAAGAAAGAGGTCAGCACCAAAATAAAGATCAAGCTGTTAATTACTGAGAACCATTGAATTTCCAACTCCTCACTGTTAAAGTTCATGTTAATAAAGTAATTCACACGGGTAACGTATTGTTTTGTTGTTGGTTTCCATTCAGCAGAGTATTTGAATTTGATTTGAGTGACATCATTTGAAGTAACATCTACCTTTGATGATGGTGTGGCAAGAGCTGTAATCACATGATTTCCATTGTAAGTCAAGGAGAACTTGTAGCTGTTGTAAAGATAGTACTTGTTTTCGAGTGAGTCATAATAACCAATGTGAACAATCATTGGGATTCCATCATAATACATGAGCATTAAATAATCATCCTTGATTGCTTGTCGTAATCGTTCCAAATCTTCCTTCTTTAATGATTTGGCACAGAGTTCGGTTTCAGGAGGAACATCCACTATACATTGATAAATAAATACACCAAACGAAGAAGCAATTTTCGGAATAAAATTGTTGTTTGTGTATGAGAAGCAAGTAGAAAATATTAGAATATGCAACATTAGTGAGTAGATTGATGATGATGAAGAAATCATAAATGGAGCAGCATAACGTGATCCATTTAAAAGTGTAACAATTACGGAAATCACAAGTTTCCATGTCTAAACTTACCTTGAAATCCAATATCATACTTTGAAATGACAGAATCACCACTTCCAGTGAGCTCCTCTCCCAACGATGTTGCTGTAGAAGCCTTTACATCGCAAAATGGTAATTGTTGATAACCGTAAGTTTCGGATGGATTTCCCTTGCTCCATAGCTTTTCAATCACCAAATCAATGGCATCATAACGTTCATACACTGAGTCTGTTTTCTTTTGTCTATTGCTGTTTGTGTTGGTATCTTTTTCTTCTCCTTGTACAACAATCATCGTCATGCCTACTATTAAAATCATCATGATAAAGGAAGCAAGACTTGTCTTTGCCATCCGTTTTGTTGTAGGTGATCGGACTGGAGAAGTTAGAAGTGAGAGAAAAGAACCAAACTTCATCATGATGAGAGGAATTTTTTTGTTTTTATTTCGAAGCTGACCACAAATTTGGGAATGATGATGATGACGATAATGACGCATCATTATCCATCTCTTTTGCAACCTCGCAAAGCAATTTAACAAAAATTCAAAGTTAATTGATTCATTAAATCTAAGGCAAAACAAACGAACCTTGGAATATAAAGGACAGGAGCTCTGAAAAAGGAATTACAATTTTGAGCTGTTAAAAAATACCTGGTTGACTTGGTTGTTTTCCCCCTTCCATTAACCTCCTCCTCCTATTGAATTGCTACATGATCTCTTTGAAGACTGACTCTAAAATCGATGAAATAATTTCATCCAAAACATCAAACAATATCATTCTTTACGAACCAACATGCCATTTCCTCCACCCATCGCAGTCAACGATGAATCATCGTATTCACAACCCGGGTTGAAGAGAGGAGGAGCAAACAGTTCGTTCCGAGATGATGATTCCAATGACAACAACAACAACAACAGCACGAATCATCATCACACTCTCATCATGCGAAGGTTCAATTCCTCTCATCACAGTCATCTCACAACCTCTTCAAAATATCTTCATCATAACGGTCAACAACAAGAGCTGAATGAGCATCATCACAGAAATTCAACACCATATTGGTGGCCACTTGATGCATTATTGAAAAAAATGTATTACAGCAAATTTACGGATCAGAGTCCGATGAACATTCCTCAGAACTATGATGGTGGAAATCGTGGTGATGGTGAGGATTATGATGATATTGAGAGAGGACGAGAGGGAATGAATTATGAACTGTTCAGAGATTCCGTTCCGGTTTCGCTTAATGATGGTAATAATCATCTCCATCATGGGAATGATGATGTTGATGAACGACCATCATCACAAAATTACAATGATCAGAATTCGAGCCATCGCTATTTTACGGAACAGCCAAAAGCAAAATATGCTGCATTAAGGACACATAAAAGATTCACCATTAATCCATTGAAGGCTTGTTTGGGGAGTACATTGACCGTTATTTTGTTGGGGGTGATGGCACTAATTATATTACTAGTTGTTCTCTTGTTAGTAAGTATCGGGTGCGATGACATGAGCATTCATCATCATTTACTGAACTTGATGACTTTACTTGATGATTAATTTTCATATTGGAATATTTGTTGGATTAATTTATTGACATGATGTCGATATTATTATTTACAATTATTATTTACTCACTTTAGGTGGAAAAACCACGACAAGTCATTGTAGTCTTGTCAATCGACGGATTTCGGTATGACTATTTAGATTTATATCCACAATATGTGCCTACCCTGTTAAATATGCGAAAAAAGGGAGTTTATGTTGACAAGTTAAAGCCTTCATTTCCAACTAAAACCTTTCCCAATCATTATACAATAGCAACAGGTCAATATGTCCAATCTCATGGAATGGTCTCAAACAAATTCTACGACAAAAAAGCCCCTTTTGACTCGAAAATTTTCACACAACAGCTCACAGATCCCTTTTGGTGGGAACAAGGAGAACCCATTTGGATTACAGCTCAAAAACAGGTTGGTATTTGGTTAGGAAGAAGTTTTAAATCAGAGCATACTATTCATGAATGCTTTGATTTTAAACTTCACTCTGGCTTGAATTCAATTTAATTTCAATTTAATTCTAATGTATTTAATATTAATCATTTATTCATTGCTGAATATGAATTCATACTTGAAATTAACTACTTATTTCCCTTCCAACACGATGGATTTGAATTTTGATGGACTTTAATTTATTATTTTGAAAATATTCAGAAAATATCAACGTATGTATTTTCCCAAGTTATGATTTCAAATCATTTACTCTTACTTTTCCCTTCCAGTGCTTGCTATGACTACCCTGCATCGAATGTACAAATTCAGGGAATGTTTCCCAACTTTTATGAGCCAGTTTTTATTCATGACGATTATGACATTCAAAAACGAATTTCCAAATTACGTAATTATTTAAGCATGACAAAGAATCATCAAGCTGACGCTCCTAAATTAATCATGTATTATTTAGGTTGGGTGGATAATGCTGCTCATTTTCACGGAGTTCCTGATCCTTCTAAAAATCTCACCTCTGAGAGTATGTATTTTTACAATGCTCTCAAAATGGTCGATGACATGGTTTCAAATGTCTTTCAGACCATTTCTGATTTACAATTAGAGAGCCATGTGAACATCATTGTGTTATCAGATCATGGAATGGAGAATGTGAAGCAAAAAGAAAATGGTATTTGGATTCAACCCATGCTAGATCGATATTTCTCGTATCTTAACATGACATCTCTTAATATTTATTCTATTGCTGACTCTTACACCTCGGGCACTTTGGTTGATTTCTATGTGATGCCCAATAGCACAGATCAAAATGCACGTAAAGTAGCCATCAATACACTCTACGAAGGAATTAAGGGAGCTATTGACTTGTTCTCCTACCCGTGTAAAGTTTACAAAAAGGAAGACATACCATTCAGATACAAGTATACGAACAATTCGAGAATACCTGATGTATTGGTAGTGAGTGATATTGGTGAATATAGTGCCATAGATTCCATGTTTTGGTGGGGAGAGAAAGCGTAAGTAAGAACGTGTTGTGGCATTGATTGTGACAGGATGAGTGACAACTTTCGTTATTTTGAAACATGACTTTTGAACCATACTTTTATCATTTCTTTATATGCATGAACACAATTCAGAGATCACGGTTACGACAATGAAGAACCTGCCATGCAAGCCTTTTTCCAAGCTTTGGGACCTCTTTTCAAAAGTGGTGGAGTGAAAGCCTATGATTCAGTCGCCAACATTCATATTCATTCACTTCTCGCGGAGTTGCTCAACATTAATCCTTCGACACGAAATGAGGGAAGTTTAGACGAAATCAAAAATGTTCTGTCCTATGAAGTCCATCGCTAACGTTGTGGTGTTCAAGTGTCGAAAGAAATGCAGCGCAGTTTTCGATTACATTTCTTCAAACTCATGTGAACTCGATTTTCAAAAGGTTACAATAATTGTATCACACACAAGTGAATTTGTATGCTCGAACGAGGATCACAGAGAAGGCGCAAAAGGCGCCAAAATTTTACAAAAGGTACTTTTAAAAAAATGCAACAACCTCTCACTTATGGCTCTCATATCTGTTTGAAGTTGAAAAGACCGGTCAATGTATGCTTATATCCGAAGAATACGGAGGAGATCCATGAAGCCTCTCCATCCTATTTTATGATGGAACGAAAGGAAGAAGGCTCTCTTGTATTTTCTGAAAAGACTGGATATAGCGGTTCCGATGCTGATACCTTTATGGTTACCATGCCCGGAGGTTTGTTAGCACCCGATGTAAAGCCTATTCATTACGGAGAGCCCTTTTGTATCAAACATGTGGCAAGCCAGAAATTTGTGGTTGTTGCAGGCTCGGAAGGAAAACATTTGGATTGCATCTTTGATTTTGTATGTGCCAAAGGTGAGGAAGAAATGTGTTTTGTGAGGAGGGAGAACCCTTTTGAGAAAAATTCAGATGAAATTGTAGACTGGTCTGAAACCAATAATGCTGACATTATTCTTCGGTTGGGAGATGGCTCCGATCACTATCCCTATGTGTTTGTATCTTGTGCCAGCATGGAGAATCTGAGAGTTGCCAAATTAATTTCGGAACCTGAGCATGCCTGTGTTTCATCTGTAACAATATTACGAGAATTTACTACTGACCAGTATGACGAAAAGAAATATGGAAGATTTGCATGTCTCTTGAAGAATCATTTGATAAAAGAGGGTGAATACACAGGGGCTCATCAAGCCTTAATTTTTGACTCTCATGCGCAACAAATTTTGAGCCTATTGCCAATTCCCCAAAACGAAGAAGAGAATTTGCTTGTCCCCTCATGTGACGAGCTCTCAAACTTGTTTCATACCATTGTGAAAAGGGAACACCTTTCAAAACAAGTAGCAAAAATTACTCTGTTAGGCAATGAATTTATCATTCCAGAAGAGAAGGAAATGCTTCTCATGCTCTTAAAGAAAGCCTATGTAGATTCATGCGCAGTTTGGCGTGCAACTCGAACCCTCAGTGGCGACACACAACTACGAGTGCTTGCCACAGTGATTGACGAGAGGTATCTTGTGTTGACAAACTGTGCAAACGACTTGGAAGCCTTCATGAGAGGTCGTTCCTTAATGGCATTATTGGTTAAACGAAGTGTCGACAACGGAAAGTTATTAGACTTTTAAAAATTATTGCTGCAAGACCACAATCAGGGAATGTCTCAATCTATAAATTTTGTCCATTCTTGTACTCTTGGTTGTATTCTTTAATTTTAGTTGACTTGACTCTGTGCATTAAAAAGTGAAAATTCGAGGAAAACAAGAAAAAACCATGAAATCAAGCAAAAACAAGGGAAATTAATTCAAAATCGATGTGCGAATTTGATCCAAATCATGTGTTTTTTCGTGTTTGTTTCATTTTTGTCCTTTCATTCAACAGAGCAAAACTCAAAACTTGAAGAATTTGAAAAAATCAAAGCTTGTGGAATTTTAATGCACAGGCCCAAGTTTTCATTTGCTTTTCAATTAATTTAATGAAATCAAAGAAGGTTGAAATAGAAATACAAACAGTCAAGAATAAATCAATTCTAATTTTCCTAGCTGTACTGAAACTAAATTAAAAGCGTGGATGTTAATTCTTTAAAAGTATCCACAAAATTTTTCTTGTAATTCACCAAAGCTTTTTGGAAAATGCGGAATAGCTATATTGGAGCAGGTAGAATATCGTGACAACAAATCTAAACACATCTCATATCCATCTCTAACATTATTGAATAAATTATTTCTATTTTCATTCAATTGCTCAAACAAAAGAGCTTGCACATTCTTTGCTCGTTTTAGAGGCACTTTCTTGAAGACCTTATTCTTTAAAATTCCACCAAAATTCGAAATTGTGACATTGCTATATTTACAAGAAGTGTCAGTCACTCTCTCAACACACATCATATTGATTAAGATACCTTGTACGTCCTTGTCTGAGAAGGTATAATTTTCATTGAACAAAATGGGCTTACTAAATGAATAATACCTCTCTGTAGTTGGGTCATACATGATAGATAGTGCTTGATAACAACATCTCTGGTTGGATAAGACAATTGGTAAATTAATGGCCAATTTGGTAACATTTCCTGGGAGAATGCCTTCCATGTATCGGTGTGGAATTGTTTTCAGACAAAATAAAGTAGCGTCGACATTTAACGATTCGTCCAGTATAGATTGAACCAATTTTGAATGCATGGCTGAAAGTACTTCCTCGGCACTAAATGGAAGATTGGCTGTTTCTTTAAAGCATCCAAATTTGATCCCTAACGCTTCCTGATCCACATAATATTTACCCTTGCTGTAGTAGATGGAAAACGGAGAGTCTTTTGTTGTGGGTTTTAGAGTTTGCCAATTTCTTCCGTGATATGAAAATATCACTTGTTTGAGGAAATTATAATCTTCAATATTGACATTGTCTCGAACAAATTCCTTCTTGGTAAATTTTGTGTAACAAAGTCCACTATGACAATTATTAGAACCCCAAACAGAGTTTGAATAATCCAGCACTTGAGCGACAATGTCTTTGTGAGCAGGGTTTGAAACGAAAGAAAGCCAGGTGTCAGACTTTTCAAATCTAAACAATACATCTGTTTTAAGTTGTCGTAAAATGATGATTCGTAACTCATCAAAGGTCGTTTCAAAAAGAGAGCATGTTTGCTCACAATTCTCACAATTTTTGAGAGACTTGAGAGAAGTTTGAATGGATGACCGTACAGAAGCATCGACATTAATTTCTCGAATTGATTGTGGTGAAAGAAATTCGTTAAATATTGCTTCAGCTTTCTGTTTAAGAATTTCTCTGTTCTCTTTTGAAATGTCCTCAATATGAATTTGATCTCTCTCATTTCCTCCCAATGTAAATAGTCCTGAAAGTGATTGTGAATATGAATCTAGACCCATGTCAGCGTTTAACTTTTGTTGTAAAGCCTCCAATAAATTATTATTGTTGAATAAAAGGGCAACAGATTGTCTTTTTGATTTAAATGTTTTGGAGTTTGAAGAAGAAAGTGAAACTCTCTTCTTCTTCGTGTCTTGTTTTCGATTGGTGTCACCACCATTTATAGTCATTCCAGAAACCATTAAATCGTCAACCGATATTGAATTATTATTCAAATTCAATGTAAGTCTCATATCATCTATTTTTTTCTTGTGTGCCTCGCTTTTAAAAGTATCAATCGCAACATAATACAATCGAATACTTTCCAAACAATCGAATAATTCCAAAACTCTAATTTTTTCACAATAGTCCTTGAAAAGAGCTTTTGTTGTCGGATGCAATAAGAGATGAATCAAGTGAATGGATCTTCCTCCAATGCTACTTGTAAAATCATAAATATTGTCATCCTCAAAAATCATTGAGGAATTGAGAGATGAAAAGGAGCTTCTATTCGTTTTGTTCTGTGACGATTGATTGCTCACACTGTCTTCATCTTCTCCAGGAGGTGAATAAACTCGAATAACAGATGAACTTGTTGGCGATGTTGCACTATTCACTCGGTATGGATACTCCCTTATTGAACTTGAAGGAAGTGAAACCACAGGAGGACCTTGTCCAGCAGCATTTGAAGAGTTTTGATACATTTGATGAATATTATGAGGTGAATAATGTTGAAAATGTTGTGATTGAGGTGGTGTATGTTGTGGTGGCGTATGTTCTCTAGAGGAGAAAGAGGCCAACGAGGATGCCGACGAGGAATGATGATGATTCGCAAGCCTCTTCAAGCTTCTTCTCCAATCGACATTTTTTTGAGGCGTAGTGTTGGTGGTCGTAGTGCCGACCGGATTCGACGCATTGGTGGAATTGGTGACCGTAGATGAAGAAGTGTTCATGGCGGTAGAGGAGGGAAAAGAAAGAATGGAAAGAGACTTGGGACGAGAAGTGGGAGGTGTGCTTGGGTTCCGAGGTGATGATTTCAGTCGTTGGTGATGATCTCCATTCTCTGCATCATTCTCTTGGTTCAAGGTGTCGAAATTATTGTTGATTGAATTGTTGTGGTTGTTGAAAACGGAGGAGGAAGAGGAGGAGGATAGACAAAACGTCGTCGAAGAAGAGGAATCATCATCAAGAAATTCAAAAAAGGAAAGAGAATTTTGTGAGAGGGTGGTGTTTTTGGAGTTGATGATATTGTTATTATTACTCGTCATTGTACTGCTGCTACTGGAATGGATGAGAGGATTGGGAATATTGGTGGTCGTTGTCGTCTCCGATGGATAACGTTTTTCCTCGTGATGATGATTGCATTCAATGTTTGTATGATGATATTCACCGTTAGAAAATTGATTTGAAATTGGCATGGTTTGCTGATGATGATGATTTGTATAGCATGAAGGGAAATGAGAGGACTTTTTGTGGCAATTCTTATTATTATCCTGACCAAAATTGTTTTTTGGATTCACTGTGCATGACGATTCAAGTTGTTGGAATGGCACTGGTTCACTCAATGATGTGTTTACAACTCGTTGATGTTGTGAAGAAGCGGATGATGTTTGTTGATGGTAGTAATGAGAGGAGGTAGTAGCAGCAGTTGAGGCTGACATTTTCTTCAAGTCTTGGATGACGAAGGACTTCTACTTGTTGTAGTCAATTGAGACCGGAGATAACGGCAGTGCCTCTCCCCAGTATCAATTTTGTATGCTGGCATCACATAGGGATGACAACTGACCAGTTGAGGAAATACCGATAAAAATGGATCTCTGTTTTGAACTAATCAATTTCTCTCGACATTGGCACCAATTAGTTCAATTTTTCCCACGGCATGCAACATGCAACTGTTGTGTTCGTTCCATCTCTCTGAGGATAATTAAAGAACCTTTTCAATTCTATTGTTTGTTTGTTTCATTCAGTTTATTACCTTCTTTTGTAAATAATAACAACTGAAGAGGAATTCCTTTTCTCACTCATAATATTCTCAGAAAATTCTGATCTGTTCAAACTCACACTCTCTCAGTAGTCATGGTTCGTCATCCCAAACTCATCCCACCACCAATCGAATCTTAAAAAAATGAGCCAAATCAACCAGAGAGGTATTGGTGATGGAATGACCCCCACAACCTCACCAATATCGAATCCATCGAATCCATCATCATCATCATCCAATCCTCCAGCACCGACTATGATGGGAGTGATTGGTTCCATTTCTTTGAATATTGCTGCTTCAGTCGGAACCATTTTTATCAACAAACACTTGTTTCAAAATTTGGGTTTTGTTGGTTTGGGAACCACACTCACGGTTTTTCACTTTATATTTTGTTTTGTATTTACTGGGTTAACAGCTATGTTGGGAATATTTCAACCAAAGAGATTACCCTTGTTGAAGGTCCTTCCGATTAGTTTGGCCTTTTGTGGATATGTTGTTTTTAATAATATTAGTTTGGCCTATAATAGTGTGTCGTTTTATCAGGTGAGTAGTAGTTGATGTACATCATGAAATGAGATTAATCATCCTCCAAAAATTCCGGTTTCAAACTATTTTCTTGTGTGGATTCACACGCATTCATGATCTTTCTCATTGGTTGACCACCTATCAACACTCTCGATCCCTACTCGGTATTGGACATCATTGGTCATCCTTGGAATCCATTTCAATGAATTGAAACGTACTATTGAATTTTTCATTGCGCTATTTCATTCAACCAATTCCCCATATCCAAAACAAATCCTTCCCGAATGCAAATATTGTTTTTATTTGCTACTTGTGATATTTCCTCACTCGACAGGTCATGAAAATTATGTGTACTCCTTGCATCATTCTCATTGAATACTTCTTCTACCGAAAAACTCCAGACAGAAGAATTCTATTTCCTTTGATTCCAGTCTGTGTTGGTACATTTATCACAGTCTTTACAGATTTAGAAATGAATTACTATGGAACTATCATGGCCATATTAGCTGTTTTAACAAATTCAATGTATACAATTTATGGAACTGAAAAGCAAAAAGAGTTGAAAGCCAATTCTCTTCAAATTTTGCTCTATCAATCGATCATGAGTGCTGTAATTTTATCCGTCACCATTCCATTCTTTGATGATATGGAAGTATTGCCAGAATATGATTTCAGAGATGCCAATAATCTTTTCTGGATTATTTTCAGTTGTGTCACTGCATTCTTTGTAAATGTTAGCTTCTTTTTAGTTGCTGGAAAGACCTCACCATTAAGGTAAGTGTGAAATTGCATATTTTGGCAGCAGTGACATGTTATTGTAATAATTCAAATGACAAATTGGTTTCACCACGCCACTTGAAACATTGATGATCGACACAACCTGCTTCAATGTCATCCTTTAAACGGTAATCATGTCATGACTGTCACACAGTGTCAATGTTGTTGGCTACTTTAAGACTGTACTTGTTTTCATTGGAGGTATTATGCTCTTCACAGACATTGTCTCAGCCAAGAATTTATTGGGTGTCACCCTTACCTTGCTTGGCGTTGCTTGGTACACGTATGAAAAGTATAAAATCACACAAGAAAGTGTCCTTGTATTGCCAACCACCAATAAGTAAAAATTTTCAATCTCACATTATTTCCAAAACCTTAAAGTGAGCTTGGTGAAGAGCTAGGGATATTCAAAAACTTCATTTGGACAATACTGGGAATGGACATCGAAATGACTTGAGGAAACTAGTCAGGACCAGCCCCACTGTAATGTTTAGTTAAGGCAAAACCAATGAGACGCTGAAGGTTGACATGTGCGTTTCTGCCCAAGTTCTGTTCATGTCAACCTCGGAAAGATCCAATGAATTCATTTTCCGTGATCGATAAATGGATCGAAATTTCACACGAAAATGATTCCAATTCGAAACGGAGCCCAAACCAAACTTCTCCGCCATCAACTTTAAAAACACACACTTCCATTCAGATCTTCCAAGAAACCATATCTTCAAAAAAAATATCATTTTCACTTTGCATTATTGAAAAAACATGCTCTACGCCACTCCCTTTCCTCCCACCTCCTCCTCCGCAAATGCCAACTATGTCATCACCTATGATACACTTCTCGAAAAATTTGAAGACATGTATCCCATCTTGTTGGAGAATCGTGTGAGTCCTCAACAATTCTCGGAAACCATCGCTCGTTGTAGTCAAATCATGCGAGAACACATGGCTCACATACAAGCTCGTCCTCTCCGTGCTTTTTTAATTGTTTTTGGTATTGTGATGATTTCCACCTTGTTGCTTACAGCCATTCCGTTGATGATCTACTTTTTGGCATATGCAAATAATGATCAATACAACAATGGATGGTGGGTTTGGATTACCTTTCCCATTCTCTATGTGTTTGTCATTATTGGACTTAGCATGTGGTCCATCCGAAGAAGACAACAAATTGTGAAGCGACATGCTCAATGTAAAGCCGATTTGCAACAATTCCTTCAATCTGAGAATCAAAACAAGTACATGCGAGTAGGAGTTCAATTCGTGTTGGATTATAATACAAGTATTATTATGGGTAGTCGGTACACGACGATAATGACCTACAAACATTTGGTGAGTGTTCCATCCGTTGCTCTCTATATCAACAACCAACAACAACAACACGGAGGTGCCATGATGGTTCCAGTGGTAGTGGCTCAACAACAACCACCCATGATGGTTGGACAAGTGGGATATCAACAAGTCATGCCCTCTTATCAAGTACCACCAACAAGTGCTGCAACTACCACAAGTTCTGCGACTCCAATCTATTACACACAGCAACCCATTCGTGAAGATGAGAAAATGGATCAACCAAATCAACCCTTGATGCAACAACAACATCACTACATGTAAAACGATTGTGTTTTATGAGGTTTTATATAAAAGGAAAATTGGTGAGAATCACCGTCAATAAAACATTCTTGTTTCTACGCTTGTTGAGGGGTGTTGCTTGCTGCGAAACACCGTTGTTTTGAGAACGTTCACATTTCGTTTAGTTTTCACATATAAAGTTTTCAATATTTGTTGAGGAAGTGCTTTCCTTATTTGATAATGTTAGATTCATATGACTTCCCGTCAAAGTTTTCCCTTTTTTCACACACAAAAAAAACAGATTATTCACACCACCAAAACCTCTCCTTATGATGCGTTTCAACATCTCTTTGGTTGTTATTGTTATTTCTCTCGTTGATTTAATTGCCTCTTCTTGCATGGCACAACAATGCAAGAATCGCAAACCTTTCGCTGATCCAGCTCCTTGCCCTTCTTGTACTTTCTGTAACGCCACAAAAACCTCTTCTTGCTGCACTGCTGCTGAAGATTCTTCTGCTTCACTTGGTGCTGAATGATTTCCACCGATTGTTATGATCAATTTAAAATGATTGCTTGTGCTATTTGTGATCCAAATAATCAACAATATGTGAATGAGAATGGAACTTTGGTGATGTGTAGGGGTGTCTGTGAAAAATTCGCAATCGCTTGTAAATTCAACTCAAGTTTTTGTTATAACATGCCAATGACTAATTGTTGGACCTACATCATTCCTACCAGCAATTCGCCACACCACAAGGAATTCTTAACATGGATGTCAAGTTTGGTAGTCTTGATTATGGCTCTTGTGATTGGAGTTTTCATGTTATTAGGAGATTGGAGGTGAGGAACATACCACATTCTTATACAAATAGCCATTTGGAACATCATGAAGAGTCCGCAACATTAAAGATTTCACTCGAGAACCAACCTCTCCAACTCTTGTAGGGAACACACTTGTAAGGTTTGCAGATGATTGTGTTTAAGAAGAATGAGGAGTTATTAACGAATCATAGATTTATTCTTTGTGGATTGTGTCATGCCATAGTATGGGTAACACTTTACTACCTTTTCTATTAAATTCCAATGTCCAAACAAATAGACATGAGATTTCTATTGGTTGTGTAGATTTCAGTGCATTGAAAGTCCTTAGTTCATTTCTTTTCTATAATAGTGTCATGCAGTGATGAATAATAACTGGAAAGAAGTTAGGAAATCAGGAGAATTGAAAGTCTCTAAAAAGAATTGTTTATTCTTCATTCCTTGCCATTGCCTTTTCAACACTTGCATAATGTCACAGATAATATCTGTAGCAATGATCCATCTACAGTTCATCAATCTCCCACGAAATGAATTATTCCCGTTTCGCAGTTGTTAACCAATAGAAGTGTATTCCTTATTTGGAAATATTAGTAGTCATACCAAATACCCTAATGATGAAAAATATGCCTCAAAATGTCATGAGTGCATTTCAGAAAGGGCGGTTACACGGTTAATTGCAAAATAGAACCTTTCTCACCCTTCCAATGGCCTCTCATCTTTGTACAATGATAAATTCCCAACACTTCATGTTTTTTCACACACTCAAAAAAAAAAACAAATCATTTACACCAAAGTCACTACTCCTGATGATGCGTTTCAACACCTCTTTGCTTGTTATTGTCATTGCACTCGTTGCTTTGCTTGCCTCTTCTTGCTTGGCTCAACAATGCAAGAATCGCAATCCTTTTGCTGATCCAGCTCCTTGCCCTTCGTGTACTTTCTGTACAGCCACAAAATCCTCTTCATGCTGCACTGCTGCTGAAGATTCTGCTGCTTCACTTGGTGCTGCCTTTGCTCAATTGATTTCCACTGGTTGTTATGATCTCATGAAAATGGGTGCTTGTGCCATTTGTGATCCAAAGAATCAACAATATGTGGTGAATGGAACATTGGTGGTGTGTAAGAGTGCTTGTCAAAGAGCGACAAGTGCTTGTGGAGGTGCAACCAGTGCTTGTGATTCAATGCCAACTACTGATTGTTGGAGTGGAGCTGTTGTTCAAAAGATGACAGGTTTTGTCGTTGTCGCTGCCATGATGACTGCTGCAATTTTCTTGTTGTAAATGTTTTGATGTCATCTTTTCAATAAGAAGAATAAACGATCAAAGACAGTGAATTTCACTGTTAATATCCTAAAACAATATTCAAAGTTTAACAGTTTTTTGAAGAATTGACAGGTAGGTTTTCTCACTTTTGTGAGTCTTCCTTATGTCAAATCTCTTTCTCATTGTTTAGAATGAATATGATTTGAGAATGGGTGAAAAGACGAGTTAGTGAGTAAGAAATATGACCTCTACTCATGAGAAAAGAGTTCCATGAGGAGAGGCTATAGGTCTGACGTAATGGTGAAATCGAATTCGATCAATGTATAATATTCCTGTATCTCTAATGACAAATCCAACAGTTCGTTGACACTGTTGACGAAAGTCTCACAATTACCTCTTCGGGTTTCTTCAATCACATTACACAATTTTTGAATCTTGTGTCAACTTTTCTTCCACGACAATTCTCGTGTCTCACACTCAAAAGAATTCTCAACCAAAAAAATCCTACATGAAGAAACCACAAAAATTACATCTTGTCGCTTGTGGTTTCATGTGGGTTTTGCTATACACTCTCTCTGTTCAAGCTCAACAATGTAAAAATCGTGAACCTTTCGCTGATCCCTCTCCATGTCCTACTGGAAAATGATTTCAATCAGTTGTTATGCAGAAGCCAAAATGAACAGTTGTGCCATTTGTGATCAAAAGAATCAACAATATGTGAATGAGAAAGGAATCTTGGTGATGTGTAAAAGCGTTTGTCAAAGAGCTGCCGTTGCATGTGGTTTATCATGGACTCATTGTGAATCATTGCCAAGTATTAATTGTTGGAATGAAGCTTTTTCAATGATGGAATGGACGAGAGGTGTGGTCTTGGTTGCCTTGATGATGGTTTTCAGCGTTTTCATCACGTTGTAAATGAGGATGATTGGAATTGAAGGAATGGAAAGTTAAATGTTTATGATTTTCACATCAATAAAGGGTCAATTTCGTTAAACATTAAAAATCAATACATGATTCAGATTGATTCTGAGCAATTGGTTCTTATCCTGTCACACTGTGTAATTTTCATGTTTTCCCTCTTAAAATTTGAATGTTGTTTACAGAGGTTCAACAGTATTCCCGTTTTCATTGTGTTAACTGTAAATGAAAACCTTTGGTCGACCGTTCGCTCTATTATAAACTTTTGAAAATGCCCCATTAATTGTTTAGACATAAATATCCACTAAATTAATTTGATTCGTGATCTCTTCTGAACCATTTATAATGGCAAACCTTCAAATAATTGGAACCGTGGACCTTTAGTCTCACAATGGCCTTTTCGAAGGAGCGAAAACTTTGTTCGATCCCTTCAATCACGCTACAAAATTTTTGAACCTTGTGTCAAAAATTTTTTGACCATAAAACTCGTTTCACAATTTGTACAATCAACATTCTTTCATATCTATTGTAATGGGATGTAAAAACATTTACATTCAGAAATTGTCTAGTATCTTGTCTTACAGAATTGACATCATATGAATTGAGTATCAATGAAAAGCAAACAATCGAATCCAATCAAAAGCTATCTTTGAGTCCATTCGACAAGCAGGGGTTGGAAGAGAATCACAAGCACTCTTTCCAGTTATGGTACAATATCCATTGCTTACCATTTATCGAAAGAGAATGAAGGTGCTCCATTTGTTGCCTAAAATGACAACTTGGATCATAGGTGGTTCAAGGAATGCATCAGTGAGGAGAGACAAAGCGCAAGCAACCAGAATGGTTTGGAACAGACTGGTTACTCACGAAGCTTTTTCTCTCTGGATCACCTTCCCTGACTGTGTGAAAATAGTTCTTCAAATGTAAGGATAATCTTGTTTTATATATTCCGCAACAAAACTCGTCAAATAGGACTCTAGGAGAGACTGTAAAATCTTACGCCAATATTTTAATTCACAAGTTAATCTCTTGTGGTGAAGAATATTCTTGAAGAATCGAGTTGAAGAAATTCCAGAATGTTCTTCAAAGGCATCTCGGAGAGAAATAATTATTGACAGCTGATCCATTGTCGCACCTGGTTTTGCTTTCTTCCACTAATCACTCCAAATCAGATCAACATACCTCATTCATCATGTTGATACTTCCAGTACAATTCGTTGCATTACAAAACAATTGACGAGTCTCTAACGATAGAACAAAAGTAGATCAATATTCCTCAAAATCACATGTCGCGACATGAGCTCAATAAATGTCTACACACGCCTCTTTCCTGTCGAGTTTATTCACACCCTCAAAAAAACAACTTTTTCACACTCCAAACCATCTACTCCTGATGATGCGTTTCAACATCTCTTTGCTTGTTGTTGTCATTGCACTTGTTGCTTTGCTTGCCTCTTCTTCTTCTTGCTTTGCTCAACAATGCAAGAATCGCAAAACTTTCGCAGATCCAACCGCATGTACTTCTTGTACTTTCTGTACAGCCACAAAATCCTCTTCATGCTGCACTGCTGCTGAAGATTCTGCTGCTTCACTTGCTGCTTCAGTGGGTCAATTAGTTTCCACTGGTTGTTATGATCTCATGAAAATGGGTGCTTGTGCTATTTGTGATCCAAAGAATCAACAATTTGTGAATGAGAATGGAACATTGGTTGTTTGTAAGAGTGCCTGCCAAAGAGTGGTGAGTGCATGTGGTTTAACAAGTGTCTCTTGTGATTCAATGCCAACCACTAATTGTTGGAGTGGAGCCCTCTCTGTTGTGATGTTATGGAAGGCAAGTTTGGTCTTCATGGTCATGATGATTGGAGTTGTTTTCATGTTGTAAATGAAGTGAAACAAAAGAAACACAAAGAAATGAAGAAATCCTTCACTTGTTTGGATCCTCTCAATAAAGAAATATGATCTTTTGTTAACAACATGCGGTAAGGATGATCCTTTCAGGGGAATGTGTGAATGCTGTCTTTTCTTCTTGAGAAGAATTCCAATCTGTGAGTCTTCTTTGTCCATTCTTTGGGTGTTTGTGTGGATTGAAATAATACCTGTGATATTGAGTTTTGTTTATTGGTGAGCAAATCTTTGGTCACTTATCAGCTGGATCGAAACAATCGATGTCTCACGGGTGGGATCTGTTGTTGTCGTTGATAAGAGCACCATGACTAGGTGCAAGCCTAAAGAAACATTGCAAGAGCAATCATTCTTTATTCAATCCATTGAAAGATCAATTTAAAACATCATCATCAACACACCAATGCTCATCATCATCATGGCCACCAACATTTCCATCTTTGGAATTACAGAGAATGCACCACTCCAACAATCAGTGGTTGGCATTGAATCACAAGCACTGGTTGCACCTCCACAAGCACTTGCCAATCTTTGACAAGCACTCTTACACACCACCAATGTTCCATTCACCACATATTGTTGATTCTTTGGATCACAAATGGCACAAGCACTCATTCTCACTTGATCATAACATTGTGTGGAAATCAACTTGGCAGCATTAGCAGAAGCAGAGGCAAGGTTGTCATCCACAGCAGAACAACATGATGAAGATGCAGTGGCGGTGCAGAAAGTGCAAGAACTGCATGCAGATGAATTAGTGAATGGATTACGGTTCTTGCATTGTTGAGCTTGTACGAAATTAGCGATGAACAAGAGACTCATAAGGGAAAGAATCAATGCAAACAATGCAAGGATTGGTTTCATTTTGTAAGTCTATGTGTGGATTGTTTTTGAATTGTTTTTTTGTGATGGAGTGAATGACGGAGAGGAATGCATCCAATTTAAACCAATTCTCTTATCCTTCCATAAAGAAGAATTCTTAAAGAGGTGACCTTTCAAAATGTTGAGAGGAGAGTTTATTTCAGTGAAGAGAAAGAGAGGAGTGGAGCGAATGAACAAAATCTCATATGAGAGGGCACTACTATTCATTTCAGCGATTCAATTCACGACAAGAGGAAGATATCTTATTGCTAAATAAAGGATTGTTTCTTAAAATTTCCATTTTTTGATGTGTGTCCAAAAAAATGAAAATTGCGCTCGGATGACCTCTCATTCCAAAAACGTTGTCACTGATGAGGAGAGCAAGAGCTCAATTTTTCTCACCCTTAATAAGAGGGAGTCACCACAAATTTCCTTCCAAATTTGAATATTGAAAGTGGTGTTGTAAATACGTTCAAAAGTTGTTGATTAAATAAGATTCGTTAAGGACATCCTTAAATTACATTTTGAAATGCATTTAAGAATAGACAAAGAATGTTGTGGAGAATAAAGAACTTTTTCGTTTCATGTAAATTCTTCTGCCAGATATCTTGAATATGAATTTCTTGCCATACACCAGTTGGATCGATTCCTCTATCAGGCTCTCGATTCTGCCAGATTTCACTTGGGTCCTTTTCTTTCAAAGTGTTAAATCATTCCAATCTTAAACAAGCTCCTTCAGTGAGCTCGAAGTCATTATGAAGTTTCACTTGGTTTTGGAAATGCATTTATTCACCAGTGATCCTTTCACAACACTTCATGTCTAAAATATTCACCATGTTGTTACCACTTGATAGAAATCATCATGAACATGCCAATCATCATGACCACCAAACTTTCCATGAATCCAAGCAACAAGAGAAAGATGCACTTCCTGAACAGAAGGTACAAGACGGACATGGAGCTGGATTGGAGAATGGAGTTCCATGGTTGTTACATTGTTGAGCCTGTACGGTGGATAACAACAAGGCACTGAGAGAAAGAATCAATACAAGCAAGGTAAGGATTGGTTTCATGGGGTGTGAGTTTGAAGGAGTGTGAATTGTTTTATTTTGAATAAGGGATGGAGAATGGAATGTCAGCTCTCTATTTAAACGAATTCACAATAAGCAATCAATAGGATGTCCAATTAGTAACGAAGAATGAGAGAAATGGTGCACGTTGCTAAAGCTCTCATGAGATGAGCTCACACAAATGGACAAAACTTGGTTTATAATGATTCGGTATTACCCTTATTAGATAAGTCTTTGTAACGCTTCATATTAGTTGTAAAATGAATTGGATGATCCGGATATGGCACATGTGTCACATTTCGAGAATGAATCTTGATTAGAAGTGAATACATAGGACCTGCGTCACTGTGTGTCGGCCGTGTGTCACTTCCAATCCAATTATTCAAAGATCACCTGTTGATGTTTTGAGAAATCTACTGTTTGTTTATTGTTAACAATGCATGAATGAGAGGTTTCGTTGTCACTACTATTGATACTGCTCATTTCTTGTTCACTGAGTGTGTCACAATTCGAAATCATGATTGGTTGTGGTGATGATGGCTCTTCTTCTTGTCCTTCTTCATGGTCATCCATTTGCAACTTGTTGGATGCTGTATTTGAATGTGTAGAACATGGACCAAATTCATGTAACAATCCACCAATGTATTCGTCATGGATCAAATCTCGAGAGAATGTTTTCATGTGTTTGTTGCTTGCATCTTGGTGTGGATGACCCTTTTCGGAATTATCCGCAGTGGTGTCTTCAATTGAATTGCCATTCGGGTGGTTTTGGTCACAGATAACGGAGACGGTATCCATGTTGTCGTAAACGCAATTATCCTCCTCTTCGAAGTCTTCTTCGTCGTCCTCATCGTCGCTGTAATATTCGTCCTCGTCCTCATCGTCACTGCATTCACTCACAAAGCTAAAGTATTCACAGGCAGCAGGACTAATCGGAGTTGCACAGTCTCGAGAGTATTCGTATTCTTCATAGTCACATTCTTCCTCGTCATCACATTCCTCATCATCATCACAGTAACCATTGTTCGAGAGATTGAGAAATTCGTCCTCTCTTTGAATATGTTTCAAGCTTTCAGAAAGAAGTTCAAAACGCATGAAATTTACATCAAAGCCTTCGCCAATCTCGGTTTTCCATTGCTCAATCATTCGATCGGCACTTTCAATTTCTTTCTCACAATACCAGAGATCCATTTCGTAATATCTGTTATGGTGTTGTGTGGTAGTCAAAGGTAGGTTGTTATTGCTGTCAATCACTTGTAGTCAAATACGAGTTGTTGTTATTGTGGTTGCTGAAATAAAGTCTTCAAATGCTAAGAGATTAAAGAGAGTCGTTTATATAACAAATGATTGTTGTTGTTGTTGTCAAGCCTTTCCATCAAAGCCTTTTAAGTAATGAGAGAAACACAAGCGAGGCCGCAATGTCGTTTGTTTTTTTTTGTATGATGAGGATCGAGTCAGCAGATATGTGGTGGTTGCTTTAAACAAATGCACGACACCGTTTATAGCGCGCCCCATTCACAATCCCATCACACACTTGGCAACCGATGCAGTAGAATCTTTTCGCCATTTTTGGTCGCACAAGCGCTTGGGATATTCCAAGAAGATTCCAAATGAGAATCTGGAACGGATCGATCGAATCGTGCAAATCAGATGAGGAGAAAAAGTTGATTGATTCGTAAGAGGACTTGTATTTTGATAGACCAACGTGTGTCTCGAGGGAGAGAACGTATGGATGGTACGGTTTTATGCCCTAAGGAGGAGAGTGGACAAATTGATGTATCCACTGGAGAGGTCACAAAAAGGATAAAGACATTCAAGATGGATTTTGGGAAACATTCTCAAGGGAAAAACTTGGTCCACCTGCATTGAAGTATTGAACTTTTTTGGATAAATAGATAGCTTCTGCAACACCATGATACTTTTTCCGTTTTTAGGTCCCAAAAGAACCAAATTAACCGCTTACAGCTTGCTGAAACATAAGACGACAGCTTTAATTCATGACAAATAAAAGATTTAATCATATGATTGTATTAGACATTCACAAAACACTTTACAAAAAAAATGGTTGAATTGTTGAACATAAGCAAGCCTATTTCGTTTTCCTCTCGTTCCTCCCGTATCGTCTTTGGTTCTCTCTTTTGTGTTGCTGGCCTCATCTATGGATCGTTTGGATGGGAGCCTTTCATGGATGGCTATCATAGCACCACTCCGAGATTCAAAGAAACCATCGGAACGGTCATTGAACCTCACGGCCAAACGTACGACCGCAGAGATCCCAATCATCTCATCATGCCAGTGATTGAATTTAAAGTGGAAGAAAAACATTATGAAAATTCTTCATCTCTGGACAATGACCATTTATCATCATCATCATTGGATTCAAGAAAACCAACCATTGCTTACAGAACACTCCGCAACAAGATTTATTCCAATCTCTTCTTCGGATTGGACAAACGAGATGTTGAACAATTGCATCTCCCTGAATACATGCCTCCAGGAACACGAGTCAAAGTATGGTACGATCAGAAGGATCCCACGCACAGTGTGGTAGTTCCTGGAATGGCATGGGGAGCCATGGAAACCAATGCCTTTGCGTTGGGCTCATGCATTACAGGTCTTGTGTTAGGCTCATGTGCTGATGATTTATCTAAAATTGAAAATTTGAAGAAACATAAAGTCAGAGTTGGATTGTTGGGATTCGCGCTGATCATGATGACAGCGAGCATGATGATTCCTTCTAGATTGAGAAAGTATGTGTTGCAAGGCACTGAGGAGGAGAGAAGAAAGAGATGGGTGGATCCATATATTGTGGTGGAAAAGAATTAGGAATAATGGAAATGATTTGAGTATATGTTTATCGTGATGGAGAATACGCAGAATCATGATGATGATACGAGTATATATATATCATGAAATTAATCGCGGACGAGTGAAATTAAGTGAACCCATGTTGTTAGTATAGTTAAACAAAACAAAAAAGCTTTATTCTGACATCGAATGACCAGCAGATGAGGAGAGAGTTCATGATTTCTGCATCATAAAAAAGGTCTCGCTTTTTTGATTGGATAAGGTCCATGAAATTTGATTAATATACAGTATTTCTTGCAAAATGAGAAACGTCATTTAAAATCTTTTTTGAACGTTCTTGCACCTGTTTCTTCAAATTCAACTGAATGAGTTTTTGTTGCTTTTGAGAGTTTGAAGGAGTGTTCATGGAGTTTCGTGATGAATTTGAACTGCTTAATTGATGAACATGTTTTGATGTTGTATCTTGAATGTTGTCACTAAGATCACCCTTCTTGTTGAAAAGCTCCTTCTTGTCTCTCTCTTCCTTCCATTTCTGGGCCAATGAGTTCAATTTCATCCAATATTTTGCTGCAGATCCATTTCCCTTACATTGATCAACCAACCATGTCATCAAAACCACAAATAATAAACATCTGTCACTCAACTCTTCCAAATCAAATTTGTGACAATAAGTCCACATAAAGGTTGTTAATCTTTTCTTCTCAACAAAAAACATGTACGCATATTTGCGGTCAGCAAGAAGACCCATTCCGTGATCCAAGTTATTGCCAATCATGAATTTGATTGGAAGCATTGTCACTTTTCGGATATCTGAAGTACAACCAAGAACATTTTCAAGCTTGTATTCCATGCAGATAGCCTTATCTTCGACACAGACATCAGGTTTACAATATTTGGAGTTTTCATCAATAACTCCCTCGCTCAAAATCACTTTACAGTTTTTCTTGATATTTAGACCAAAATCTGAAAGCATCCCTGTTATCCATTGCAAGGAAATCACTTCAAGATGATTTTCAGAGGATATACTTAAATTTCTTCTCTTCCAACAGTTTCTGAAATCATAAAGACAATCAAAATTGGGTTCAATAGAATCACCTTGTTCAATGCGGTATTTTAAGAAGGAGGCTAATAAATCAGTGCGATCTTCGTGATACATTTCTTTGGCCCAATTAGTAACACAAAAATGAAAGGGTTCACTTGGATTTCTGGATTCCTTCACTGCCTTGTACAAGTCCTCCAGATTCTCTGCACGTTTATCCTTAATAAATTCTTTTGAAGAGAATTTCTCAAAATCAGAATGAAAAGATTGGTCAAGAAAATCTGAAACATCGCTTTCCTCATCTACATTCTGAGACTTGAGAGAGGAAGATACAGAACTTCCATTAGAAATATTCATACTGTTTGACGGTGATTGCAAAGCAATTCTTATGTCCTTTTGATTGTAAGAGGAAGGAAAACAGTTCTTAATTTTGTACAAATAATCCATCATTTCAAGAATTACAACCTTCCAGTCTTGAGATGGATGGTATTGATAATGATTTGCCTCTCCTCTTGGAAACCCAATGATAATTTCAATTAATTGTTCAATCATCTCGTCAGAAGATTTGAAAAGTATTTGCTTTGGCTCATCATCCCCGTAATGAGAAGCTGTTTGCTTTACCCAATGCATCAGAGGATTTTCGACATCAAGAAATTCTGAAATGACTGGAAAGCAAGTGTTGGGGGCGATCATAAAGCACTGACAAGAGTTCAACTGAAGAGGCTGATCATCCTCACCAAAAAACTTGCCAATCTTCTCCCCACCTAAGAGAGAAATACGATCTTGATCCTCTTTATGAATAACTTCATCTTTGGAGGGAAAAGGATCTTGTGAGAAAGGACGAATAGGAGAGATGTCCTTAATATCATCCGACAAGAAGGATTCATCCATTCTTGGAAAGCTTCTTGAATCATCATCATGTTCCGAAGATTCATACCCACTTGAATGAGTCATATTAGACTCACTTGTATCTTTCAATAAGGGATAGAACGCATGATTTTCTTGCATGTGTGTTTAATATTTGAATATTTTTTTAAGGCGCCATGATTGGAAATGCATTTCAAAGCCTTTCTCAATACCAATTATTGTTCTGTAGAAATTACGTTTAATAATAATAATAATAATAATAACTTGAATGAATAGCCAATAAAGAAACAACACCACGCTTTGTTTCGCTGTACGACTCAACAATCAGACACTCAGTTTACAACATTGCGTTTGTGAAAAAAATTGCGCAACATTCTCTCTCGAAAGGTTCGTAGAGCAATAATGACGCATAAGTGTGGATGCAAAAGAGCTTTTGTGTGCAATCATGATGAACAAATGATGAACGTACACATTCATATTGATTGAATTTTTCCATACGTGGTCGGGATGAATTCAATTATTATTGAAATGATGATGATTTTATGGGCATGTTCTCTGTGGTGAATGCTCATACGCACGATGATCCCATAATGATGATGAACATGTTGGTTGGTCCATATTTGAAATTATTACATTTCGAAAAAATCATTCTTGATTGAAAATTGTTATCGCCATGAATTCCAATGATCCTTCATCGGAATTTGAATCGATTTCTAACAATCATCATTTATCCTCACTCCCTTCATCATCAATAACAGGTATGTACTCATAAGAGATGATGGATCTTTCAAATATTCCAATAATTCACATTGTTATTCTGATTATCATCGTCTGATCATTTCGTCTCTCAATGTCGGGTCGGATCAACGGTGTGATCATGATCATTCCCTGATTCTGATCCTCCATCAGAAATGCAAGGAATTAAGAAAGTCCTAACCACTCAAAGCATTAACCCAAACATTCTCAAGACCTCCTATGCTGTCCGTGGTAAGGTGGTGATTCGTGCCAACCAAATCGAGCACGAATTAAAGACCAATCCATCAGCCTTTGCCTTCCAAGATATTGTCTATTGTAATATTGGTAATCCACAACAATTGAAGCAAAAGCCTTTGACTTTCCATCGTAATGTTCTTTCATTGCTTACAGCTTCTCATTGGTTGGAAGATTCATCTAAGAAGGAACTCTTGAGTCAAATGGTCAATCGTGATGTTCTGGAACGAGCCGAGAGAATATTGTCCAATATTGATTCAAAATCCACAGGAGCCTACACTCACTCTCAAGGTTATGAATTTGTTCGTGAAGATGTTGCTGCGTTCATTGAGCAGAGAGATGGACTCAAGAAGGGAACCATCCACTCCGATCGAATCTTCCTCACCGATGGAGCTTCACCTGGTGTTCAATTGTGTTTGAAGACTCTTATTCGAAATGATCAGGATGGTATCATGATTCCAATTCCTCAATATCCATTGTATTCGGCCACTATTGATTTGTGTGGTGGTTCTCAAGTTCCATACTATTTGGAGGAAGAGAGTGGATGGGGATTGACCATGCCAGAATTGGAGAGAGCCTATGAAGAAGCAACCAAGAAGGGACAAAATGTGAGAGCTTTGGTGATTATTAATCCTGGTAATCCAACTGGACAAGTCTTGGAGAGATCTCACATGGAACAGGTCATTCAATTTTGTCTCAAGAAGGGAGTAGTCTTGTTGGCTGACGAGGTCTATCAAGAAAACAATTATACCAATGGAAAGAAACCATTCTATAGCTTTAACAAGATTGCCTATGAGATGGGAGTTGAAAAACAATTGGAAATGATTAGTTTCCACAGTGTTTCTAAAGGTTTCACTGGTGAATGTGGTAGAAGAGGAGGTTACTTCCAATTAGGTGAGGCTGTAGATCCTGCTGTTAAAGAGGAACTCTACAAGATTAGTAGCGTCAACTTGTGCCCAAACGCTGATGGACAAATTATGGTTGATTTGATGGTTCGTCCACCTGCTCCAGGAGAAGCTTCCTATGAGGAATATATTAAGGAAAGAGATGCCATCTTGAATAGTTTGAAACGTAGAGCTGAAAAGTTGGTCAAGATGTTGAATAGTTTGGAAGGTGTCAGTTGTCAACCAGTTGAAGGTGCCATGTATGCATTCCCACAAATTACTCTTCCAGAAAAGGCCATCCAAAAGGCTAAGGAATTGGGTATGGCACCTGATTTGATGTATGTTTTGGAATTGCTCGAGCAAACTGGTATTTGCGTTGTTCCTGGATCAGGTTTCCAACAAAAGCCAGGTACTCATCACTTTAGAACTACCATTCTTCCAAGCGAGGAACAAATTGAGGGCGTTGTTGATAGAATGGCTAAATTCCATGCCAAGTTTATGAATCAATACAAGTAAATTGTAGACAAACGTCATTAAGCATCATCTTCAAAATCATTCTTTAACCTTGCTTTTTGTTTAGAAGTAAAAATCTCAAATCCCTTAAAAAATAATAACAATAATAATAAATAAAATTTAGTGTTGAACAACGCCACGCTGTCAATAATTGAACAAACATTTCTGTTGTGTTCCAAATACAATTTAGTAATCCTGTAAATAGTGTACTATATTCTTAGTGCCAATGTTACTCACTAGCTCGTTCTCTAACTTCTCGTAATATCATGACATTTCATAAATGTTCTGAATGATCATTTCACTGTTTTAGTTTTCTCAATGGATGTTTCATGAACATTCATTGTGGAATAATGGAAACCTAATGTTTCATCTTTTTTATGTCATCAAATGAAAATGATTGCTGAACAAGAGCCCACAATTTGCGTTTCTTGTTCTCGAATGAAATTGTAATATCTTGGAAAGGGTCAAAAGGCTGCAATAAATCACATAGCAAGTTTCGTTTTACAGGTGTGGCCTCGCTCATCTTATAGAAGTAAACAAACGTGCCTCCACACGCAACTCGATCTTGTGTCACTTCTGGTTGAGATCTCAATTTGGTGAAAACTTCAAGAATTGGATTTTCATTGGTTTTGTCTTTTCCAGCAAGAGTGGGGAAAATCCATGACTTTTCACCAAGAGCATAGAATGCATTTGCTGTTCGAGCAATAGTGTATCCCAAGCCACATTCAAAATCAACAACTGGCTCAGGAATAGTATCTACTTTCTTGAACATAAATTGTGGAATATTTTCATCATTAAACTCCACATGTATGTCGTCGGTAACAAATAATTCTCCATTATCACATAATACAATGGTCCTAAAGGTATCAAATCCAATTTTTTTGATATGTGTCGGAAATCCTGCAGTTCTTTGATATTTGTGTCCAACAGTAGATCCAGCAATTAATACCTCATGTGTTGTTAGTGTCACTATCGAAAAAGAAGGTCTAAATGCAATAAGTTTAACATTTGGAACTGGGTCTGATACATAGGTGAAAAGATTTCTATTAATACAGTCACCACATCCTAATTCTCCTCCGATATTTACTCCTGTAGGATTGAGTGTGAGATAATGTTCAGTTGCAAATAATACAATATGCAATAAATATATTAAATTCGGAATTAAAGGCATATATGGATTGTCCATGATGAGGTTTGGAAAAAATATTCATGATAAAAGATGAAACAATTAAAATAATGATTCACATACCTGTTACAAAAAGCCGTCCTTTCTTTGAAATGATTGCAGAATAATGTCCTTGACACACAATATGATCAACAGCGTCATCAAAAAATATTAATCGAACTCTTTGAAAGGTATTCCGATTGATAAAGTCACCAAGTCCTAACACAATTTAAACATTAAAATTGATTCATCATGATGATAAATTACATTCGAATGAAAACAACACCTACCTAAAGCACCTGCGACATTAGCTCCGCATGCAAAAACTTTGCCTTCTGTTGTTAAAATCATGGAGTGGTGATAGCCACATGAAATTTGTTGGATAGACATTTTGCAATCCCATTGAGCCTTTTTTAAATGAGTAATGTGACGTTTGGCAGGGAGTCCCACAGCACTATTAAGCCACGCATGGTCACAGATAATGTATTCATGTGAATGTTCAACACAAAATGCATTTTGAATAATTCCATGAGTTTGCATGTCAATTCGAATAAACAAACACTTACCATTGGCCATAGGTATTGTCACCACATGCATATAACTCATTGTTCACAGTGGCAATTAATACAAACCCATGCCCACATGCAATATGTTTTATGCTGTCTCTGCATAGTTTTTGAATGAGAAGTGGCTTTCGTGATTTATCTCCACACGAGAGTTGCCCAAAAAAGTTATTTCCGCAGCAACTATACACACGATCTAACGATTCTACTTCATCCCAATCCATTTTGTCAGAAAGTGAGGATGGTGAGGCCAGTAACAAGTTTTTGACTTTTTCAATGAGTGCTCTATGTGACTTTCTTCTTGGTGATTTTTGAATTTGCTGATGTGTGGAGGTTGATGAGAAGGGATTTGCAATGGTGCTTGTTGGCAGAGAATCAGAAAATGATGACAAGGAGGAAAACGAAGAGGAGGATGAAGTAGTACTATTTTTGTCATCCGCATCACTGTCACTGCTGTCAGAGGTTAAATCCATTTCATGACTGTTGGGATCCAAAATATTATTGGGCATGGAATGATGCTTTTGATGAGCAATTCGGTGATGATGACCAATTCCAAACACATTGGTTGATTTAGTCTTATTCACAGTATTCAACAAACCAAACACCAACGAGTTCACAATTTCATTTGATGCGACAGGATTCGGTATGGGGTCATTGTTTGTCAGTAGTATAGAGGATTTCGTTGTTGTGGCTGATTCAGGTGCGTAAGGGGACGATCTTGTGTGAGTTATTTGACCGTTATTGTCAACCATGGGAAGTAATTGACTGATGCTTCCATTTATATTATTATTACTAGAAATTGTTGATGATGATGGTGAGAATGTTGCGATTGTACCCTCTTCGGAATATTGTACCTCTTGTGTGTGCGTTAAATTAATTTTCTTCTTCTTTTCGGGTGGTTCATAACCACCACTATTCATATATGGATTGCTATTCATCTCTAATTGCTTTTAGTGGTGTGTTTTATGAAAATGCTCTTCCTGATGAGTGAGCTCACCCGAAAGAATGAATGGTTAGTGAGGCCAATGATATTATGAGAGGAAATATCGGAACGTTGGTTGCTACTATACTATTCAACGGCACGATCGGCAACGTAAAGGCTATTTTTTGTGTGAGAATATATATATTTATGTGGTTGCTTTTTAAAGAAGAAGAGGAAGAAGAAGGCTGTTTGTCTCTCAAAGGATCATCCTCTTGGTCCAGGGACAATGAGAGGCAATAAAACATTGCTCGGCTGGCCTTTGGCCATACCTCTTTAGTGGAAAAGGTCTTTGTGACAGTTATTATTAGAAGAGGAGCGCAATCAGAAAGGAGGGTCGATGAATTTGAGAGAATTTTCATGAACACAAAGATCCTCTCCTATGAATTTTTATTAACCCTTCAGCACTGCAAAAATTTTTCGCTGGAGAGAATCTTGAATAAAACACAAAGATTCAAGGGCGGTTCTATTTCGAGGCCATCTTTATTACGGAATCCATATTTCAAGAGAACACAGCATTTCCCTGTCGAAAGTAATGACAAAGTTCATCACTACTGCGCTTACTGTAAGAAAGCTAATTCAAAATGTGGTTACAAATGTGCAGCATGTGGTGATCATTTGCATTTGAAGTATTTCCTCCAACACCACGAACAGAAACTCATATTGTACTAAATAATTTTTAATTCTCCTATCCGAGATGCCCATGGACTTTGTGGAAAACGGTTGATATGATTCCAACGCCTTAATAATTATTTAGCAATTTCTAAATAATAATATCATTAATTTTGGACGTCAAAACTCCAGATGATGATATCAGGCAGTCGTGGTTGTCGTTGATTGGGGAGTAGCAATATTTCACATTGATTCGCTATCAAGATGTGTCTACAAGAAACGCACAAGTATTTGTGTTTTTCAGAAAGGTGCTGATGTTGCGTGGTGAGCTAAAAGGTCACTAGCAGCCTTGGATGACTTGATCTGTTGGAAACGGAGGAAGTGGAATTCTCGGATACTGATTTTGTTATTGTTGTCCGCACCTTTACTGAATTTCAAGAAAGATGCGCACGAATTGAATTGTTGCGCTCGATGAAAAACAGTCCTTCAAAAAATGCGCAATGATTTGGATTCAAAAAGCAAGTCAAAAAAAACCCAATAATTGAAACAACCTTATTGCTCTGAACTGACATTGTCCACGCTTTTTACCAAAATTCCTCTTTGTGTCTGACTGTGAAGATCTTTGTTTCATCTCTCTCTTATACATGAAACATTTGTAACAATCAAAAAAATGGCTTCTTCATTACCCACAGCATCCACTGTGCTATCTTCTACGATGAAATCACCTCCTTCCGAATCCGATGGTTCAACTTCGGAACAAGGAGCAGAAACAACTACCACTCAACAACAAGTGGTTTGGTATTTTGCATACGGTGCAAATATGAGCTCAAAAGTCTTGATTGGAAGACGAAAAGTCAAACCCATGGAGTCCTATCCGTGCTACGTGGAAGGCTATGATTTAGTCTTTAATATGAAGGGTTTGCCTTATTTTGAACCTGCTTTTGCGAGTATTGAAAAGAGACAAGGATGGAGAATGCATGGTGTTGTGCATAAAATCACGAGAGAGCAAATGGATCATATTCGGAGGACAGAAGGTGGAAATGGACATGATATGGATGTAAGTTTTGTAGTTTCTGAACGAGGAATTGTGACTCGATGATGTCAATGGCTCAATTTTGTTTTATCGATCTGCAATTAATTATTGGAATAATTTGTTGAATTTGGTGTTCATTTGGGGATGTTTGTGATGTTGATTGTGCGACGACTAAAATGCACAAAAATGTCAAATCTACGATTAGGATTTTGGATATCGTGAAATTACAGTACAAGCAACAATTTATCAACCTTGGTTTACCGAGAATGACACCAATGCTGCCACTTCATACGGAACCCCAAACATGTACTTCCAAACAGTGGATGCCATTGCACTTCAAGGACCACCTGACATTAATGACGCCAATCCTTCCGCTCGTTATTTGAACATTTTAAGAAGTGGAGCAAAAGAATATGGTATTGCAAAGGAATGGCAAGATCACCTCAATAACACACTCCAAGAATACAAGTCTGCTGGCGCTGCAAAGACTTTTGGAAAATTCTCTTTCGTCCTTATTATTCTTCCTTTATTTATTCTTCCGCTAATCATGATAGTTTTATCGCATGTAGTCAAAGTTCAAACCCCGTATTTTGTGACACGAATGTTCAAGCATCTTGGATCACTTGTCTGGTGGGTTCATGACAATATTTGGAGCAAATTATTTGGAAGTGGAAAAAACAATAGAAGCAAATAGTTTATTCTGAGATGTCCAAGAACAATGGACAAAACTTTCACAAACCAATAAATTGTCATTTCTTTGAATATTGTTGCTGTTGTCACCCAAATAGGGTTTGGGACTTCAATTTGAAGGTCCCTACCAAAAGAAAGCAAAAAATGTCGAACAACAATTCTGACGATGAGAACGGGAGTCCAGAAGCAGCAATCTTGTCTTCCTCTCCTCCGAGAAACACGATTGAGTTGAAATCTATGAGAAACAGTACAGCGACGACGAATAGTCTGCAGCAACAACCCGAACAACAGCCTCCTAAAGCCTCTCCGACGCAACAACAACTATTCATTGGTCATCAACATCATCACGGACAAAGACAACGATCTCTATCTTCCTCTCTCCATCATCAACACCATCATCACCACCACCACCATGCACCGATTCGGAGCCATGCCAATATCCATTCAAGACCGAATGTACATTCATCGAGTGGTGGAGGTGGCTCGAGAAGCCTCTCAAGAAGTTCTTCTCCGACCAATGGGCTTGTCGGCACAAAGAAGGAATCGTCTGTTTCAAATTCCTCTTCTTCTTCTTCACCTGCCATGAATAATGATTCACCTCGAATTATTCAATCATTGTATCTGCATCAGTTGCATCATAATGATGTCGGAGCGAGTATTATAATCGGAAATCATATAGTGACACCTTCAGCACCCAATGTTGGAGGAGCAGAGGAGGAAGAGGAAACCATCATGATGGAAGATGTCGAAAGACAACATCAAGCCGGAATTAGAGAAGAAGACTCTCGAATTCATCAAAATAGTTCTCGAACTCATCATTATCATCATGGAGCTCGCCAAACACATCGTCACTCTTCGCGGCATCATCACTATTCTCACAAGCACCGAAAACATTATTTACATCCTCGGCATTACAGTAAAAAAGGTGGTGTGAAGAATGGACATGCAAGTGAGGAAGAAGAGGGAACAGGACGAAACTGGTGACTATACGACCGATTCACAGGATAATATTTCAGAAGTGAGTTCATTGGCCTTATCAGTCATGTCCAACACAGACTATGCAGAAAGTAGAAATTTTCGATTCATTGACGATGGTTCTAATGGATTGGAGAATGACAAGCGACAACATTTTGGATCTGTTGTCAGCTTTTTATTTGCTGCGATTGGATCAAGGTAATTATTTCATTTTGAATAGACAGCGTATTTTTCATGGATAATGCTCTTTTTGGAAATCTTATTGTGAATAATATTTTCAAAAATTATAGTGTTGGCTTGGGAGACTTGGTTCGATTTCCATATCTTGTTTACACTTTTGGAGGTGGAGGTTTTTTGATACCTTATTGTCTTTGCCTAGTGATTTTGGGAATTCCCTTAACCTTACTTGAATTTTCTTTGGGAACCATGGCACGTAGATCCTCAATTTTGTCTGTCTCTAAATGGAACAGAAGAGCATGTGGTGTGGGTAAGTTGTGTGAAATTTTAATAGACACAAGAAACAAACGAAACTTGGACAAAACCACTCAATTTTATATATCACCACATTTTATCAGGACTTGCAATGTCAATATTTGGAAGTCTTCTTATTCTAAGTTATTACAACGTTATTCTCAGTTGGGTGTGTGTTTATTTTGTAAATCTGTTTCAAGAAAGGTTTGTAGCAATTTCATTTTATGAATTATTTATTCTCATTGATAATTTCCCTTTTAACAACTATACACACGTCACAGCCTGCCCTGGATTGGAGCGGCAGAAGAGTTTTTCAATTCCAAAGTGTTACTCAAATCAGCAGGTCCTACCACCCTCTTTAGCAACTATTCTTCAAATTTCTTCAACGTCAATTTTATTTCCATTCCAATATTACTGAGCTTGATCGTCATTTCTGTCATCAACTTTTTTGCATTATTTAAGGGCGTGAGCAGTATCAAATTTGTTGTTTATATTACTGTTCCACTGCCAATTTGCTTACTATTCATTTATCTCATGAGAACGTTACTTTTTGAGGTTGGAAGTAGCACTGGACTCTATTACTTTTTCAAACCGGATTTCAATGTACTGCTTAAAACAGAGATTTGGCTTGCAGCAGCTGGGCAAGTGTTCTTCAGCATTGGAGTTGGCAATGGAACCAATCTTACATTGTCTTCCTACCTTAGCAGAAAATCAAATATTATCATGGCATCGATTGTTGTGGTTGTTGCCAACTGTTTGATTGCCTTCATTAGTGGTTTTACCATTTTCAGCATTTTGGGAGTGATGGCTCACGAGAAATTTGGTGCCAATGGTGAGTATTCATGAATACCTTGTTTCATCTATAATTCACAATTTTCACACATACTATTGTTACATTCATTGGGTAATAATTCAACCAAATAGCGAGTGCCGACTTTGACAAGCTATTTACAAATGATGTCTTATCTGGATTGGGACTTGCTTTTATTGTGTATTTCCAAGCAGTCAGCTACTTACCAGTTCCACATTTTTCTGCTCTCCTACTGATTATTACCATCTTTTCAGTTGGTATTGATAGTGCGTTTGCATGTGTCGAAACTGTAGTTAGTGCAGTAATGGATCATTTCTCAATGAAGTGGAATTTGAAAATTAATCGATGGAAATACGTTCGAAAAGTGTACATGGAAAATTTCCACGGAGCCGACGCTGCTGTGGAGCAGTCTCAAAAGGAACAACAGAACATGGGAAGTGATATCATTTCTCAATCTCCAACAGAGCAAATTACTGAGTTTCCTACGTTTGATACAGCCGATAATCATGATCTGTTACATGAAGAAAACGTTCCAGAAATGCCCTTCTCCTACAAGCTTTTAACCAATAGAAATGTAGTTGTTTTTTTGGTGTGTCTATTGGGATTCATACTTGGAATTCCATTCACATTAAGCAATGGATACTATTTAATTCGAATTGTGGATCACTACGTTTCTAATTATTGCCTTGTCATGATGGGTATTGCAGAATGTATTGTCGTGGGCTATTTTGCTTATGGTTCAAAATACTTCGAAAATAAGGCAAGCGCTCTAGAAGAACCTACTGTCATTTCCAAATTACAGGAAATCATTTCTTCCACGAATGAGACACATGATATTTCAGAGAAATGGGAAAAAGAGCTCAATCGAATGATTGACCCCAACGATGAAGAAGCAATTGTGTCACAAGTTCTCGAAAACCGTAAGTTTTTCTTCAATCCAGCAAAAATAATTTTTTTCACTCTTGTGTGTTCTTCGCATTGAATGAATGTATTTTTCGAATGGATGTAAAGACTCCTCATGGAGAGCCAAGATTATTTCCAAATGCAAAGTCATGCTGTCACACTTTGTGGTATTTTTCAAGTACCTCATTCAATTCCCTAATTTTTTGAAAGCATTCAACAAATTCAGACAATCTCCTGCTGAGTATTGGAAATGCTTCTTTTTCTTCTCTATTGAGCGTTTCAAAAATCACATTGTTGCTAAAAAGAAGAAAATTATTGAAAAATATCCACAAGAAGAGCCCACAGAAGAAGAATCTGGATGCCTTAGTGACAACTCAATTGTTTATCGATGTATGGACCAGTGTACTCAATTCTTTTTATGGGTGTGGTGCTTTTTAATCAAGTACGTGGCACCTATCATGCTCTCCATCATGCTTATTTCCACAATGATTACTGAGACTGTTTTTCGATTTCCATTTTCATTCAGTTCAGATTCAAAATCGAGTAATGATGAAGAAGTGGTTTTCAGTCTTGCTTTGGGATGGTCTCTGGTTATTGCATGTCTTCTCTGTATGATTTGGTTTGCTGTGTTTCCTTTTGTTGAGAGAGACTCTGAAGTGTTTGGAAAGCGAAAAGTCATTAGTTGATGAATACAGAACTCGCTTACTTTAAAAGGTTCTTCCACTTTTTTCTCATATTCGTATTCAATGGAAATATCGTCGCCTAGTGAATGAGGTGAGTTGCCATTTGGGCAGTCACAACAAATGAGCAAACCGTTCTTTTATTTGCCATTTGCTCGACAATCCTTCAGCCCCCATACGCAAATTGTTGTGTCAAAGTTCAGATTTTATTTCCAACGTTGATTTGGAAGAAGAGTTTGGGCAATGAAACTTTAATGAATACACGAAAGGTTTTAAAAAGTAAAAACTTGCATGAGATTCGTTGACCTTCAATAGAATTTTGAAAATCTTAAAAGTCTTTCCTCAATCCATATTTCAAGCAACCTCCAAGATGCTCGAAGGATGATATCTTTTTAAAGAAGTGCCGAGTTATCTTCAAACTGATGATAATTTGACCCTTCCTCGCAGTGCTTCGTTTGTCACCATCAGAAAATCTGTTGACAGGTTGACGACCAACGCAAAGAGACAGCTTTCACCCTTCAACATCACACACAAGTCATCAAAAAAAATTCAAAAACGTTCGAGTCTGCTCGAGTCTGTTACTCGCTTCTCTCAGTAGGTAGGTGTTCACAGAAAGGAGAATTGCGTGTTCCAACTTTAATCTTCATATGTATTCTATCTGTGATTTAAATGTGTTTATGGATTTTGTAACAACATCCAACAACATGTGTGTGGTTGATAATGTGTTCGAATGGTGATGATGATATTTTCGTTGTGCCACTTGTTATTTGTTGTCCATTCATGAATATAAAACTTGTTTTGAATGGATCCAATGAATTTGTAGAATCTCCAAATCCACCCAAAGAGATTGGCTAGTTAACCACTCGTCATTCACTCCTCTTGTAACCATAATCATCATCATTTATAAATTCAACCACCACCCATCCATACATTGAATTACTTCTGAGAGAAGCACCAACAACACCACCCAACAACCACAACATGTCCGTCACCAAGATGGATCTCTCCATTGCGGAGAAGAAGGCCTACGACTTTTTGGTTCGTCAAGAAGAAGCCAAACGTTGGATTGAAGAACTCGTACAAGAAAACCTTCCACCAGGAACAGCAAACTTTGGTGAAAACTTGCGAGATGGTATCTTCTTGGCCAAGTTGGGAAAGATCTTTGCTCCAAGTGCCATCAAGAAGATTAACACACCAAAGAGTGGAAGTGTGTTGGAATTTATGGCTGTCGATAACATTACTCAATTCTTTGAAGCTTGTAAGAAGGTGAACTTTCCTGATCACTATGTGTTTGGTAAGTAGTAGTAGTACTAGTCGTTTGTTGTTGTTGTTTACTGTGAATCATTGGTGATGATGATGTTGAATAATGATGATGATGATTCCTCTTGTGTAAACCCATAACAACAATCACAACCCAACAACAACACACAATATCCATTCAAAACCTTCCATAACAACCAACAACAATAATAACAACCACAATGCTAACGATTCAAACCAATTTAATGAAATTCCACCCATCAGAGGTCACTGACTTGTGGGAACTCAAGAACATTTACAAAGTCGTTCACTGTCTCCATACCCTCTCTCTCCACTTGTATCGTAATGGTCTCGCCATTCGTATGCAGAACTTACAAAAGGCCAACTTGAAATTCTCTCGTGAGGAAATTGAAAAGACTCAAAAGTTGATTGAAGATATTGCCGATAATGCCATGGCTTTCCCAGTCGATATTGAAGAAGTTGGAGATGAAGGAACTGACTCTTCGATGGATGATGTCTTGGAAGATTTGGCAGATCCTTCCATGTGTGATGCCGAGGGAGATGGTCTCACACGAGCTGTTGCTGGCGTTGAAGCTTCGTTTACCATTACAGCTCGTGATTCAGATGGTCAAGTGTTAACTGAAGGAAATGAAACATTCCGTGTAACTTTGTTTAGTGTGAATTTGGAATCGTCAAGTGCTGAAAGTGGAAACAGTGATGCAGCTGCTGCTTCTCATGAACGTGTTGTCATCCAAGCTCAAGTTAAGAATAATAACGATGGTACTTACTCAGTAACTTATACACCAGAGAAGGCTGGTCAATACAGAATGGAATTGGTCTTGTGGGATGAAGAGACTCAAGAAGAAGTTGATCAATTGTCAAAAGTCTCTCCTCAAAATGTCACTGTCTTGTCAAATCCAAAATCAGACCCATCCAAGAGCGTTTTAGATGGAGCTGGTATTGGTACAGCTGTTGCAGGTGTTAAAACTGAATTCACCTTGACTTCATTTGATAAATATGGCAATTTGGGTCGTGGTGGAGAAAAGTTTACTGCAAAACTCACCTCCGGTTCCGAAGAAGTTGAATGTGACGTTGAAGATTTGGGACAAGGAAAGTATCGTTTCTCTTACGTGTGTCCAAAGAGCGGTGACTACTCATTGAATGTGAAATTGGAAGATGTTGATGTTGCCACCAAGACTGTTGTCGTGAAGGATGCTGGTATTTCTGATCCTTCTCGAACTGAATTCAGTGATATTGACTCTGTTTTGGATAAGAAAGCTGGTGAAGTTTCTAAATTCACAATTCTCGCCAAAGATAAGCACGGAAACGATCGTTCCTCAGGTGGTGAAAAGTTCCAAGTTTTCCTTTTGGATCCACAAACCAATCAAGTCCATCTCCAAGCCGATGTGAGAGATTCCAACGATGGTAAATATCATGTGGAATATACTGCCAACACAAGTGGAAAGTATTTGTTGCAAGTGAAACTCGGAGACGAACAAGTCACCAGTAAGAATGTTTCCATTCACGATTCTGGTGTGACTGATCCCTATCAAACCACATTCAGAGCTGCTGAAAATTACAAACATTTCCCAGCTGGTTGCCCTCTCCAACTCCATGTCGAAGCAAGAGATCGTTTCGGAAACAAGCGTGAAACTGGTGGTGACACTTTTATTCTCCAATTCACATCGAAGGCTACTATGGAAACAATTTCTGGAGATTTGATTAAATTCAATGATAACCAAAATGGTGAATACACCTTCGACTATACCATTGAACAATCTGGTGAATATGGAATGGAAGTTTTGTTGAAGGAAAATGTTGATTCTCGTTCTGAAGGTGGTAGTGATTCAACATCCTTGTTGAAGGCTTTCTTGAGAAAGTACAAGTATACCAACATTCCAGGATTCCCGTCCACAGTTTTTGTGGACGATAGTGGTCGTACAGATCCACAACGAACTCAATTTGCTGGAGATGGTGTTTCCAATGCTGTTCAAGGAAAAGAATCCGAATTTGTCATCAAGACTAGAGATAACTTTAACAATATACGTCAAACTGGTGGTGACAAGGTAGAGGTCACTGTTTCCAATGAAGCCAGAAAGATTGATATTGCTGCTTCTGTCAAGGACAACCAAGATGGTACTTATACTGTTGTTTACACACCAAAGGCATCTGGAAAGACCAAACTCATTGTCAAAATTAATGATGTTTTAGTTGATAATGATATTTTGAGAGGTGGTGTATTCGTTTCTCCTCCAAATATTGAAGATACATCCATGCTTGATACCATTTTGGATCATGACTTATTGTCTGCCTTATTGAACGCTTTCAAGGTTGAAAATGATTCTGACAGTTTGATTGAAAAGATCCAAAAACTCCGTGAGGAACTCATCAAACAAATCAGAGAGAACACTCGTATTGAAGAAAATGTTCGTGACAAGGACAGAAAGATTGCATTACTCGCTGAAAATAGATACGATGCTGAAACTATTTTGAACCAAAAGGGAGGTATTGTCGGATTCTTCCAAAGAAGAAAGCAACGTGCTGCTGAAGAAAATGCAAATGTTGACTCAAAGGATAAGTTCAACATTAAGGACTATGTGGACTATTACAGCAGCTTGTTCTACTTGCTTCAAACTAATCCAAAGTATTTGGCCAAGTGTTTGTTCTTGGTTCCAGCTCGTGACATGGACCAATTCATGCAAACTGTCACACTTACCTTGTACGGTTATGCTTTCTCTCCTCGTGAGGAATATTTGATTTTGAACTTGTTCAACGAAACACTTGCTCTCGAAATTCAAAACAGTTCCATTGATAACTTCTTGAATAACAATCCAGTGTTGATCAAGTTGGTCGTTAACTATTGCCATGAACGTATTCAAGGTAAACAATTCTTACAAAAGGTTCTCTATGACAAGATTTTGGAACCAATCATTGAAGAGAAGGATTTGAATTTGAATCTTAATGCTGTGACAATTTTGAAGGAAAGAATTTCACAACAAGAAGTTGAAACTGGTGTCAAGAGTGACATCAATATTAAGGATATGACTTACGAAAAGGCCATGCAAGACGAATATGTCAGCAAGTTGGTTCAACAACGTACAAAGAAGATGATTGACATTTGTCAAAGCGTCTTGGACACTCTCAATGACAACATTGCTGAATTGCCATATGGTTTGAGATATGTCTGTAGACAATTGAAGACCATGCTCACCAAGAAGAACCCAGAAGCTCCAGAGGAAGATGTCAACCGTGTCGTTTCCTATTTATTGTTCTTTAGATTCCTTAACGGACCTTTCTGCGGCTGTGATGCTTACAACTTGACCAAGAAGAAGATTTCTGCAAGCATGAGAAACAACTTGGCTTGGATTTCAAAGGTTTTGATGCGTGTCTCTACTTTCAAGGAATTTGACAAGACCTTTGATATTCATTTCTGTGTCATGAACGATTGGATTCAACAAGCCATTCCATCCTTTGTTGATAAATTCTTAAAACCAGCCATCACCATTCCAGAACCTGAGGAACAACTTGGAGTTCACCAATATATTGAACTCACACAAAAGAAATCTCCAACCATCACCATTACTTTGAATGAAATTGCTCAAACTCACAGTTTGTTAGTCAAGTTCATGAACAGAATTGCACCAGATGAAAAGGATCCATTGCGTGAAGTCTTAGAAAAGATGAAAGATAAGGTTCCAGAACAAGTGGAAGCATCCAAGAATGAAGAAATTAGTTTACCACTTCAAGTTCGAACCAATATTGAGAATTTGGACCTCGAAATGAAACCAGAACAAATTTACGAACTCACCAAAGAATGTTTCCGTACCTTGTTGCGAATTATTACTCCACAACAATTGGGTGACAATGTTGCTGAGACCATTGAAAAGGCAGACAAGTATGCTGATGAATTAATGAATGCCAAGTCATCAGATGGAGCTCAACTCAAGAGAAAGGTCGAAGATTTGAGAAAGCACTTACCAAAATTGGTTGAATCTGAAGTTCTCTCCAAAGAAAATGGTTATAGAAAGTTGTTGACAGATATTACTAAGGAAATTCAAAACAGAGGAGAAGTTAGAAAGAAGCAAGTTCGTGAATTAGAACGTCTCTCTGACAGCTTAAAGTCCTTAAAGGAACATCAAACTTTCCTCAAAGAAAAGGACAAGAGTTTGGATGACTATGTGCAACAAACTCTTCGAAACTACTTTGAAGGCAAAAACAAGAGAAAACAAAAATCAGGAAAGAAACAAGTCTACAAATTCAGTTACGAACAATTATACGAAAAGTATAAAGTTATTGCCGAAATGACAGAAGGAGGAGTTTTGAAGAAGAAGATCAAATTCCACATTAGTATGGATGAAGCCAATCCAGGTTTCTTCACAGTGGAAGCTAAATTGGCTGGTGCTGAATTGAAGACCATTAATTTGAGATTGGACGAACTTTTGGATAAGCGAGGAAAAGGTGAACAATTGCTCAAGCTTGATGGTGTTTCGTTGAATGTTAACATGACCATTCACATGATGAACAAACTCTTTGCTTCCAAGTAAATAATAAAATTATATTCCCATATTCTACTTTAACATTCGCAGAATAATGAACTCTTCCCTTTTGACTTGAAGCAAAACGAATTTTGCTTCTAAGTAAATTCCATTAATAGATAGTAAGGCCTCGACTTACGTCTGTTTAAAATCGGAATCCAACGATAAAATCGTATTGTAAGAATTTGATTGGAATCATCTTTAGCATCATTTATTACCACCACGAAGTGCGAGAAGATGGACATGATAATTAAGAGATTCCCAAGCAGATTGTTGGGCAAACTTCTCCCTCCAGCCCACCCTTTCCAGAGCAATTCAGATCGGAAGTAGTTTTGGTAATTTCATAAGTTTTAGGAATGGAATTGGGCACTGGTGGGTAGTATCAGTGACGAGTTGAAAAAAAAAATAACTAAGGTTGTGGGATGAAATTAAGGGAACGTAATGCCCTCTTCTGAATGCCTCCAACCACTGATTGCGCATACAGTAGTTGTATCTAAGAGTAACAGCTAACTATCAATTCCTTCTGAATGGGCAGAGTTTTTGGCGTCATGGGACGTGTTTTTCACTCTGGAAAGACCAATGTTATGACCTTAATTGTCGTTTATGTTTCTAGTAGTAGCATATATATGAGTTTATTCATGGCACTACTAGTATATTACACCAGAATACGCCTGGTGAGAGAAATAGGAGTTGGTAGATTGATGCCAAGATGTTTGAAATATCTTACGCGCGTGTGGTAGAATAAACTCAGATTTCTCGAATCGATTTTAATCGTTGGATTACTTAAATGATGAATAAATTGTACTGTTTAATGATTGGATCTTTCATCTTAAAATTAAAATTACTGCATCAAACACTTCTTTTTTGAGTCTGATGATACTTTATAATGATCATCCTTATCCACACATATGGCCTTCAACACCAACTCATCGAATCGATCAAAACCTTCTCCTTTTATAGCACTGGTTTCAATATATGAAACACAACCCATTTTACGAGCCATCAATTCTCCTTGTTCTTTCGTAATTGGTTTTTCATTATGTTTCATCAACATGGATTTTGTGTGAACAGGATCTTTTCTCAAATCTGTTTTGGTGGCAATTAGTAAAATAGGACAATCAGGACAGTGGTGACGGACTTCTGGAACCCATTTTGTGGCAACATTGAGAAGAGAGGCCTTACTGATAACACTAAAGCAGAGAAGAAAGAGATCCGTTTGTGGATAACTTAAGGGTCTGCAAAGTAAAGTGATTAGTGACAGCGCAAAAAGTGTTGAAAGACTCACCTCAATCGATCATAATCCTCTGGTCCAGCAGTATCCCACAACCAAATCGTGTAATTGGGCATATACCTGCTGACATAATTATAATTATCAAAAACCGTCGGAACATACTCAAAAGGAAAAGCATTTGTGGTGTAAGTAATTAAAAGACCTTAAAGTTAAGAAGAAAATTGAATAATCATGAATTTTCAAGAATTTTAAAACTTACTCGTCTTTCCTGTTGCTCCATCTCCAATAGTGACCATTTTGAATCCTTCTTTTGCATCTAAATTCATTGCTTGTTTTGGATATGCTAAAATATCGTCTCGTGTGAAAAACTTTCTCTTGGGTTGTTGTGGGCAACTTTGTCTTTCAATTTCAGCTGTCAATAGTTTGGAATTCTTTTCTGCGTTGGTTAAAAAGGTTTTAAAGATTTCAATCAGACCTTGTTTAAAGTTTTCTTTACGTTGTGGCAAATGATCATATTTGGAATCATATCTCCAACAGGTTTGTCTGACACTCGAGTCATAGTAATAATCGGCTGTCGCTTGTATCAATTCATCAATTTTTTGCATGTAATAATTTTTCCAAAATTGATCTTCCTCAGTGAGTTGACAAATTCTCAAACTTTTGCTGACAAGCTGCAATCTCATCAAATCGACACATTCTAAAAAAGAGAGAATATTTCTGTAAATGTCATCATTGAGCATGGAATCAAATTCCTTGTAATTGAATTCATCTTCCTGCTGATTTTTCAATTTCACATTTTGTCCAGTCTTTTGTTTTGAAGGAACACAAGTCTCAATTTCAGTTTTTTGCAAACTTCCTCCAAACACAAAATAGGAAACTGTTTGTGGATCTTGATTCACATAACGAGTGATGGTGTGAAAAACAGGAAATGCCTCAAATGGAGTTGTTTCATTGGGCTTGTTGTATGGTTCTGTTTGAAAGAGTTGAGCAAGAACATTTTCGTTACGATTCACTTTTTTCCATTTTGAAGTGACACCCTGACCGGTCAACCCCAAACAATAACAATCGAAAAAGTCAACACTCTGATTGCAACCACCCATCATGTAAATCTTTTTCTGATTTTCAATCTTTTCGAGAATACATGAGTGACCATATCTCCAAACATGTTCGTCACCACTTTCAATAAATTCAAATTCTACAGCTTTGGAGAATTCTTCCTTGTGATCATTTTGGGAATTATCAGATAATGTGATCAAGGTCGATAACTTGATCTTGATAAAGTCTTTGGTGAGTCCATTAGAAGATTTTCCACCAATCAAATACCAATCTCCATTCTCTTCATCGAGAACAGTCGCATGATAGAATCTACCACTCACTGTTTCATTTTGATCATGATCGTTGGCATTTGACAGTTTCAGCGCCACACTTTTCCATTCCAAAGTTTTCAAATTCAACTCAAACAATTCCCTACTCGTGAAAGCATTGTTATCATAACCACCAAACACAAACATGGAATCTCCATAAATCACACTCGCATGTCCATATCTTGGAGTGATCAATTGCGAATCTTTACAATCCAACTTTTTCCAACTCTGATTTGAGAAATTAAAACTCCAAACATCATTATGAAAACCATTCGACTTTCCTCCGAAAAGAATCATTTCATTGGTGGAAGCGTTTAAAACGGTCGTGTGAAAATTTCGAGCACAAGGTGATGGAGTGGTGAGGGTGGGTGTCAAATTAGTGAATTGATGAGAACGAGTGTCGAGTTGGATGAAATCATTGACAAATTCGAGAGGACGTTGTGAATTTGTGGAGGATTTTTGAAGACCTCCGAAAAAGTAAATGTAATGATCGTGAAAGAGAGCACTGTGGCCCAAACGAATCGGAATGGAGCGTGTCGAGGTGGCAGGAGAGGACATTTTTTTTCATGGGGTGAGATCAGTTCAAAGTTCCTAGTTCCTTCTGATCTGATTGGTCAAGAAAAACAATTTTATTATTTCAATTACGGTTGTACAACTTAATAATCATTTCTTCTGGTGTAATGATTATTAAGGACAGTCATTCCAACAGAAGTTTGAGTGCTTGTTTGTTGGTTGTTCCATGTTCCTTGTTGTAGTTGTGGTTGATATGGTTGTTGTGGTTGCTGCTGTTGTTGAAAAGATAAACCTTGGTGGCATTTGTTGTTGAGATGGAGGAACGTCTGCATTGTCATTGGTTGATGTTGGGGTTGGGGATACAAAGGTGGTTGAGATAATCTCTGTTGTGATGTACCTTGCATTTGTTGATTGTGATGAATTGCTGTTTGTGAAGGTTGTTGGGCATTCTTTTGTTTCCCATCTTTGGTGGATCCATTTTGTTTTCCATTTTGTTGAGTTGAAGAAGATTTTTGTTGTTGGGTGTTGTTCTGTCTTGAGGGAGCTTTTGGTCGTTCAGTCTTACTGGTCGTATTTTCTGAAATTTGTTGGATGAATTGATCCACAATAGGAGAGAAACCTGTGACAGTATAATTATTTCCTGTCTGACCGATTTTCTGAATGTGGAGTAAATGAGGAGGTAATACCTTAAACTCCTTGTGTTTTTCCATAAACTTTTCAAGTGGAATTGAAATTGTAATCGTTTTGGATGTTTTGAATTTGGAGAGGAATTGATTGTATTTTTCAGAGGTGAATCTCTTTGAGAGATGTTGAAGAGGAGAAATCAGTTTGATCATGTGCATTTTGGGACGCATTCCAGTGGTCTTCTTCTTTGGGATTTTCGTGATGGTGATGGCTTTTGTGTCACTTTCGTTAATAATTACACAACTAGTTCCAGCATCTGATACACAATATAATGTTCCAGCATCTGCATAAACAACATATAAAAGATCTCCTTTCTTGCAAAAAGAGTGAATTTCCTTCTGGTTTTCAACGATTTTGAGAACAGGATATCTCACAACTTCTGTTTTGGTGTTTGAAGACTGGTCAATTTTCTCAAAGGTTTGATTGTGGTAATTGAACAAAATGGCCGAACCGTCAAGCTCGATGAGTTTCTTTCCCTCTCTATAAAATTGTTCAATTTTTCGACATTGTTGAGCTTTGAATGGTATATTTCTTTGGTATGCATCCTTATAAAACCAAACAGCGTCGAGATATCCTTCAGAAGCTTTCTTTGGGATGAGTTGAATGGAATTGTTGACACCTGTCGAAGTGTTCCTTTGTTCCATTAACTCAAAGTTGATGAGATATTCTTTTCCTGCATCGTCCTTGAAAGAAACAGATGCTTTAGGATTCTTAATGTATTGTTCACACAAGAAGTTATTTTCCTTCGTTGTGAACGCTTCATAACGACCAATAGATGAGTCATAAAAACGGAATGTTCCAGTAAATTCTGAATCATCAATCATGTCCATCTCAACCTTAATAGTTGGATCTTGATTGAGATAAATTTTGTACGAATTTTTAAGAGAGTCAAATGCATTGGAAAATGCTTTGTGCACCCCTTTAGCATTTGAGTCTTTTTTGATAAGGTGAATCTCTCGTATGCAACTCTCTGGATGTTCCACAAAGTATTTTTCCAGAGTTTTTGTCATGACCTTGATTACCTTAGATAGTTGTTCACCTTCATGTCTGAATGGAGGAATGGCAAGAGATTTGATTTTGTTTTGTTCAGCAGTTTGAAGAATATTTTCGACTGCTTTTACAATTACATCTTCTTCCAATTCACCATCATTCGGAAGAAGGAGATGATAAATAAATTTGAAATTGGATAAATTTCCATGAGATGTCTCAATTAAGGTGCCAATTCCAGCTTGTGAATGCGTTTCAAATGTTTCCATCTTCATACTGAATTCGTGTGAGACAAAAGTACCAGCAGCAGTTTTGAATTCCTGTGAAAGAGGAGATTCTTCATATGGATTGGCACAATTCACCAAAACATCCACTGATAATGTCTTGTCGAACATATCAGTGTTTGTCATGTAAATGAAACAGTTTCCCACTTTTACAATGTGGAAAACTTTGTTGTTGTCGACAAAATCAATCTCAGTGTCATGATTCCTGGCTTCTTCAAGAAGCTTTTGAACTTGTTTTGTTTGTCTCCAGTGATTGTACTCAAAAGTAGTCACTGGTAAGAGTTCATAGTGAATAGGATTAGTACCAGATTTGTTCAATGCATGGAATTGTGGCAATGGTTCTTGAGACGTTGTCTTGCTGGATGATGAGGAGAAGGGATTGGTGAGAATTTGAGAAAGATTCTCTGTCGGTTGATCAAACAAATCCTTTATCCATCCAACAGCCCGTTCGGTTTCTTTTTTGTTGTACCCTTTTATAATCAAGTGCTTCTTTCCTTTAGGGCACCTGATGTAGATACCTTTGAATCTATCCCAAAGCTTAACCAGAAGTTTGTTATCGGTCTGAAGCATTTTCAAAACTTCAGTAGAATTAATTTTGATCTCAAAGCAAAACCCTTTAAATACCTGTGAAACTTCTGTGCAGATTGTTTTTTCATCTTTTTTATGGCAAACAACGCGGCATTCAGCTTTGACTTTGGGTGACTCTGATCCATTGAAAGAAACTTTGTGGTGTTTGAAGACCAAACAGTGATTTGGGAGATTCATTTTGAACTCTCCACTGTTTAGCAATTTCTGTCTTTCTTCGAAAAATGGGACTGTCATGAGCTCGGAGAGTGTAAACTCGGTAAGTTCGTCACATTCATCTCTTATTTGTGTTGCAGTTGGTGTTTCTCCAGTTGAGATGATATCAATCACTACAGAATCTCCAATTTTTTTATAGGTGTAATTGGAGGTATCTCCCAACAAGGAATATCGTTGCAAAAATATGAATTTGGCGTTTGAAATGGTAACTGTGTTTGAGCCAAGAGTATTGAGCAAGATATGGCTCTTGGAAGAAGCTGTAAAAGAAGAATAGGATGAATCAGAGATCTCGTCTGAGACATCACTGCTCTCAGCAATAATTAGCTTGTTCTTTCCTACAAGCATTTGATGGCATTTGGAAATTACCTCTCTGGCCACCATTTCATTGTTGACCTTCAAATTCATCCTTGCGGTACCATTTCCGGAATAAACTAATCTAAGTTTTTGTTCATTGTGAATATTTCCGTTCAAAGATGGCACCGTTTGCAATAACATATTTTTCAATTCCCAGGCAGAAGTCTCTTCAGGTATGTTAGAGATTTCAAGTTTGACATAGGTCTCAGTGGGTGATGTGTTTGGTCCCTGCAGACTATCATTATAAGGAGACTGAGGAGTCCATCTTGGTCTTGCCTGATAATTGGGACTACCTGTGTTCAGCAATGGTTGTTGTGAAGGAATCAACTCTTGTTCTCTATGGTTTGGTTGAACCTGTGGATCTCTTCTACGATTCATATAATTCCCACGAGAGTTGTAGTGGTGATTTCGATTGTTGCTCACGTGCTCAGCATGGAATTGACCGTGTTGTGGTGGTGGAGGTTGTTGTTGTTGACCAAACTGTGGAAGAGACTGTCCAGGTGGAACAACGCTTTGACCTCCAAGCTGAGAATGATGAAGAATTGCTACTCCTGTATGAGGGGAAGGGTTCTGATTCATCATCATTGGTGATTGTTGCTGTTGAGCAAGAACTATATTGGCATAGGAATTCCCTAGCACAGGTGGTAGCTGTTGTTGTTGCATTGGAGGGTTTCCTTGATGATGCATGGGTGGTTGAGACCGGACAGAGTTATGCAACATCTGCTGTTGCTGTTGTTGAGATATTTGTGGAGGAGGACCTCTCTGTACTGGGTTTGGATTGTACATGACGAACAAGGACGTGAAGGTGTTTTTTTTTAATAGAAAGTTGACACGATGGGAATTACAACGAATTGAACGTTGTTCATCTCGAGATGGGAATTCTGGTGATCACGCTGATCGATTATCATCTGATGACAGCACATGAAGACATGTCAAAGTCGTTTTCTACAAAAGTACAGGGAGGGTGAGCCAGATAGAAAAAGCTTCGAGAGCAACCAGGCTTTTCCAAACCATTCTCGGTGACGTTGACGAACTCAGCTGTCATGACGAAAATAAACATCAACCGAACAATGTTCTGGTCGAATTACGGTGGAGGAGAGTTGAGATTGAATCTAATGGGTTCGCATTTGTGGGACGCATATGGAAAGCCAAGTTAATCATTCTTGCGAAACCTTAATGTCTGTGACGTGTTGCTTAAAGTGCTGCCACTGGTGTCTTTGAAGTAGCATATATATGAGTTTATTCATGGCACTACTAGTATATTACACCAGAATACGCCTGGTGAGAGAAATAGGAGTTGGTAGATTGATGCCAAGATGTTTGAAATATCTTACGCGCGTGTGGTAGAATAAACACAGATTTCTCGAATCGATTTTAATCGTTGGATTACTTAAATATCAGCAAAGAATAGACTCATGCGTGATTCTTTCCACAACAGGTTCATTTAAAAGTTAATCGGGAATTTATTGTATATAATATATATTAATTAAAGTTGATACGTGTGTAGATGTATCCATAAAAGACAATTCAGAATGTAAAACGACTGTTGAGCAGTTCTCCTCTCATTCTTGTTCTACATAAAGAGTTGGATCGAATTTCTTGAATACAACTTTACCATGTCCTCCGTTTTCCTTACTTGTTCTTCTTATTAGTCTCTTTCTTTTTGTCCTTGCTTTCTTTTCTTCTTGTTTTCTACAAGTTGACAGAAGGATTCAACAATGGGAGAGAAACCAATCACAGAGAATGTTTCATTTGAACCAGATAAAGGTTCAATATAGAGAAGGTCAGCAGGCAGTACCTTAAATGCTTTGTTCGCCTCCAATAATTTGTCTAATTGTGATTTGGAAGCTGTGACAGGTTTTACGGTTCTAAAGTTGGAAATGAACTTTTTTGTAATGTTCATATGTGAATCTTTCTGGACAATTTTTAGGAGAAATTAGTTTGATCATGTGCATCTTCGGACCAATGACTTTTCTGGTGTCTTGTGTAACTTTGAGGCCCTTGCTCTCATTTTCCTTAATTGTTAATTGTTGACCGTCACTCTTTACACACCAGTAATTATCACCATCGATCCATACTACATATAAAACATCTCCTTTCTTGCAAAGTGGGGGAACATCTCTTTGAACTTCCACTACCTTGCGTACTGAGTATCTCTCAATCCCTACTTTTGTTTGAGTTGAACCATCAAATTTTTCAAACGTCTCAAACGAAATATAGTTATTGTTGTCAAGACAAAGGTGTCTGTTTCCCTCTTTCCAAGCTTCCTCAATGCGGCGAGATTCCTCGGCTGTGAATGGTATACTCTGGTTTTGCTCATCTTTGTAGAACCAAATAGCAAGGACATGACCTTTAGGAATGAGTTGAATATAAAGTTCACCTTTTGTGGAATGGAAGAATGTCATGTCCTTAAAGTTGACTAAATGTTCTGTTCCTTCATCATCCTTGAGAATAAAGGATGAATGTGGATTGTTATTGTACTGTTCACACAAGGAATTCATTTCCTTTTCAGTGAAAGGCTCCCAGTGATACTCGGAGAGATAACGGTGGCAGCAGGTTCCAGTGAATCCTTTTACATCATCCTCCTCGACGAACATATTTGGAGCGTGATTGTTGTAACATGTCAAAGCCGAGATTTTTTCAAATTCTTGTGAAAATGCTTTTAGAACCTTTTTTTTCTTTTCTTCTTTTTTGATAAGGTGAATCTCTCGTATGCAACTCTCTGGATGTTCCACAAAGTATTTTTCCAGAGTTTTTGTCATGACCTTGATTACCTTAGATAGTTGTTCACCTTCATGTCTGAATGGAGGAATGGCAAGAGATTTGATTTTGTTTTGTTCAGCAGTTTGAAGAATATTTTCGACTGCTTTTACAATTACATCTTCTTCCAATTCACCATCATTCGGAAGAAGGAGATGATAAATAAATTTGAAATTGGATAAATTTCCATGAGATGTCTCAATTAAGGTGCCAATTCCAGCTTGTGAATGCGTTTCAAATGTTTCCATCTTCATACTGAATTCGTGTGAGACAAAAGTACCAGCAGCAGTTTTGAATTCCTGTGAAAGAGGAGATTCTTCATATGGATTGGCACAATTCACCAAAACATCCACTGATAATGTCTTGTCGAACATATCAGTGTTTGTCATGTAAATGAAACAGTTTCCCACTTTTACAATGTGGAAAACTTTGTTGTTGTCGACAAAATCAATGGCAGTGACTTGTTTCTCTGCCACTGCTTGAAGTATTAGGGCTTGTTTTGTTTGTCTCCAGTGATTGTACTCAAAAGCAGTCACTGGTAAGAGTTCATAGTGAATAGGATCATCAATTTTGTTCAATGCATGGAATTGTGGCAATGGTTCTTGGGATGACGCAGAGCCTGGAAGTGGAGGTATTTGAGCTGGATCATTCATCAACTCTTGAACCCAATCAAATAACTGTCTAAAAGAATCAATAATAAGAGGTCTATTGTATCCCCAAATCAAGAGGGTAGCTTCATTCTCCAAGTACTCAATGGAAAGTGGCTTAAAAAGTTCTTTGAGTGACTTCAACAATGCCTTGTTATATTGAAACACGTGTTGGGCTGGAATAGTTTTCACTTTGACTGGGTATGACATAACATTCATGATTTTCTTCACAGCCTCTTCAATGATGGGTCGATTTCTTATTTCACAAGCAACATGACAAGTGACTTTGATCATTTCTTCATATTGAACAGGAGTAAAAGACAGGTAATGATTGGGAAGTTCCTTGAATGACTTTCTATTTGTCTCTGCTTGGACGGATTGATAAACAACCTTCTTCATATCCTTCGAACAAGAGAATTCTACAATATTTTTCAATTCATTTCTAATCTGAGTGCTTGTTAAATTGTTTCCAGTAAGAAGGATAACCACAGTATCTCCTTGTACATTATGAATGTAATTAGAGGTATCTTTCAATAAGGAATGTTGTTTCAAATAATTGAATCTATAAAGTGAAGTTTCAACACTTGAGGTGTCGGTTTCTAATTGATTTTCCACAGAACCTTCTTCATAGTTTGGACTCTTTTTTGCAGGCTGTTCATTTTTCTTTGATGAGGCCTCTTTTAGAGTAATCCAGAGCTCTTGATTGTCCAAAGATTTCTTGTGACAATTTTTGACCACTTGTTTTGCAACTTCTGGATCAGTAATATTCAAATAAAAGAAGTAAGCAGTAGCACTTTCACCCAATCTCGCAATCTTGTCCTCTTTCAGCACATGTCCATCCAAAGCAGGAACTTTCGATTTGAACAACTTCAAAATTGATTGGACAGATTGAGAGGGAGGAACATTGGCAACTTTGACAGTTGCGGTGTTTGACATTGCTGATGGTGTTGTTTTAGTGGTGTTGAGAACCATTGGCAATGAATCAGACAGATCGGGTGACATTGGAGAATTGATGGGAACTCTCTGAGAGAAACCAGAATTGCCTGCAATCATTGGGTGGTGGTTATCTCGATTTGGACTTTGATATCCCACACCTCTCCCTACTCCTCCAGTCGATGGAAACAACTGTTGCTGATTCATGTGTTCAGAGTGGAACTGAGGAGGTACAAACGTTTGATGTTGTGGTTGGTGTTGTGGTTGGTGTTGTGGTTGAGGTGGAAAAGTTGTATTCTGTCCATGTCCGGTGAGTCCTTGTGGAGGAGGACCTTGTTGATGATAGGAAGGAACATCACCTTGATTGTAATGGTAGTGGTTGTTATTATTATTATGACTCGTGTGACTGGTGTTGTATTGATTATTGAACATCACACCTCGACCACCCATCATTCCTGATGATTGAGAGGAAGGGTTGAGATTCATCATTGGTGGATGATGGTAAAGACCTTGATTCATCGATGGCTGCATGGGTTGAAGGTGAAGGACAGAATTTGCCAACGTGATCGGACGTTGCTGTTGACCGAAGCCAGCGCTGAAAGGTGGCTGTTGTGATGAGTTTGGAGGAATCATGAAGAGATGATTTTTTTTTGAGTGATGGAAAATGACGGGTTGGAATTATTAAAGTTACAATTTTGGTTCGGGAATTCATTTCTGTAACTTGGGAAATGTTTACAAAAGAGAGATGGCTGACACGATGAAGACAGTTGTACGTTGATCATAATCGTTAATGGTCGCGTGCATTTTGTTGTGATAAGTCTTGCAGTTGAACATTTTGATGGCTTATTTTAAATGTCAGTGTAGGTATTGGAGTACACAAACATGGACAAGCATGCTTCAACGATGGGAATTGTATGATATTGTGTGAAACAATTTATTTACAATGATTCAACCGACCAATTAAGGTCTGTAAGTAATCAGGTATGACGGATAAGCCTTGGAATTTTGGTATACAATGTATACATCAGAATCACCAGTGAAACCTTTAACACTATCATATCGAACGGTTGCAAAGACAGATGTGGAAATACCAGGTTTTTCAGGTGGCAAACGTAAGGAATTATCTGAACGAATTTCAATGTAATCACCGAGCAAAACGTCAGCAAGAAACATCTTTTTGGTGTTATTTTCATTCGTAAATCCATAGCCGTTGGAATAGCTCGCTTTTTTAGCAAAGTAAATTCCCTGTCCCCACATTCCTGAAGCTGAAAAACGCATATCGAATCCATCTTGTCCATTGTAAATTAGAACTGGATTGGTACCTCTTGTTCCATGGAAGAGTTGTACAGGATCACAAGACCAGGAGCCTTTCAGTTCCTTTTTGATGCTTTCCAATCGATCCCATTCGTTTTTGAACGCTTGATAGAGGAATTTGTTTTGAATTCTCTCAATGGAGACAATTGTAGAATTTGGCATGGTTTCTTTAAATCTGTTGACAATTTTTAAGTATTCATCAGAATTGTCAAGAACCTTAACAATTTCAAGATTGTTCTGTTGAGGTGTCCAGTTGGAAGGATAAACCACGGATTGTGCTAAAGAAGGAGAGTTTGCAATCTCGTATACAATCTTCTTACAGAATTTGTCAACAGAATATTTGAATCCTTTGACTACAATTGGCATTTTGGTAGTGTCAACTTCAAGCAAATAGGGTGGAAGTGATTTGAATTTCTTGTGACTTTCCATAAAAGAGTCAACTATTCCTTTTGTACAGCTGATTGGAAGAGTACAAGTACGAGTTCGTGATGAGTCTTGAATCATTTGCTTGTAATATGTTTTGAATATGTCCTTGTCTGTATCGAGTGATATAACTTTGAACATGTAAATCTTTTGCTTTGGCACTATTGTCTTCTTTTCCATTTTAGTGATACCAACCGGCTTTACATTGCTTTCTTGAATTTGGAAATGCTTTGCCTCACAAGCACAATACAATACTCCATTCTGATTCTCGTCATAAACATATAGCAAATCACCTTTTTTACAAATGTCAGTGTCTATTGTGCATTCAACAATACGAAGAACAGGCATTCTTTGGACCATTCTTTGATAGTTGGTCTTTGAGTTGACTTGTGTAAAAGTGCCATTTTGAAACTTCACAACATATACAATGTCCTCATTGGTGTACTTTGAGTTGGTCATTGGAATATTCACTTGAGTCAAGCCCTCTTTGTAAGCGGCTTCAATAGCTCTACATTGATTTTCTCGGTATAGACTATACTCATTGTTGTCGTCTTTGTAAAACCAGAGGGCATCAATAAACTGGCTGCTTCCATGAGGCACTTGTATAATCTTTCGTGTGAAATTGGTGTCAAGATTTGTCTGTTTCATGTTTGCAAAATCGATCAAATACTTTTTCTTCTGTTCAGCTTCAAAAACAAAACTTCCTTTTGGATCTTCCAAAAACTTCTCACATAGTTTTCTGTTTTCATTTGGGGAGTAATCCAAGTATGACTTTGAGATGTCATCAAAATATCTAAAAACTCCGGAGTATTCGTAAGAAATGTTTTCTTCAACTTCGTAATCGTCTTGTGAAAAGTTTTGATAAACGGTTGTTGAATTGCCATTGAGTTGAGAAAAGACATTTGAATACGCTTCGGATATTTCTGATTTTTCTTCCTTATTTGCAAGATGAATCTCTCTGATCGAGCTATTAGGTGTATTGATAAGGTGTTCGCAAATGGCTTCAGCAATAATTTTTGTCGCTTGTGGGATTGGATAACCAAATATGCCCATCGCAAGTGGAGGTATGGCAATAGACGCAATATTCTTGTTCTCTGCAATCTTCAAAATGTTGAGAACAGTCATTTTTAAGTCACATTCATCTTGTAGACTTCTTGAACACCCGGGAGGAATTGCGTTATAGATTCCAATCACATGAGAAATGTTATGAGCACGAGTCTCGATCACGTCTCCCGTTTTGAAAGATCCTCCATTTTGCTGTAACTTTCTTTTACACTCTTCATCAAATCCTTTTCCAGCTGCGTCTTTAATTGCTTTTGCTACTCCTGCATCGTGTTGCAGCTGATCATTTGCACTGTTCACTAAAATGTCGACATTGAGTCTCTTATCTAAAATGTCAACATTTGAAATGTAAATGAGACAATTTTTGATCTTCTCAATTTGATATGTGAAATTTTCGACATACACAATTTCAGTATTATACTTTTGTGCTTCAGCTGCTAGCTCCTTAAATGTTTTAGTCCAATATTTGTATTCATGATGAGATATTGGAAGAAAGTCGTACACAATTTTTCTACGAGCATCCAAAAGAATAGTGCTGACGTGTTTCTTGACAAATTCATCTAAATCTTGAACTTTTCCATTCAACCTAACAGAAAGGCCTTGAGACTTGATCATCTTCAAACCCTTTTGTTTGGCTGCGCTTTCAAGTGCATTTTCTGCTACCTTCTTCTCAATCATATTGTCGAAATAGATTTGTCGAGAACGAGTTTGAGAATTTGCAAGAGCAGCATTAATATTTTCGTAAACCACGTCAACGTCGTCTTGATGGATACCTTTGATCATGACAGAATTATTTTTGATAAATGCCACTACTCCTTTGATATCTTTGGTAAAATCTTTCAAGTTCAAGTTCTTTGTTTGTGTTGCTTGTACTGAGATTGTTTTTTTGTAACCTTTCATAATCTTTTCAATTTCTAACTTAATCTCATTGTGGTAATTCCTAACTTTGATATCATCATCAGTGTTCTGTGTGATATCGTTAGTGTTCTGTGAGTTTTTCAACAACGCAACACGACAGGTCGCTTCATTGGTTTGATTGTCTTTCCAGAATACAAATGCTGCTTGAATGGAATCAAGTGATTGCAAATACTTTGAAATTTCGCCCTTCGTTTCCTCAAATAAATCTTTGTCGACTTTGTATGTGATATCTATGTCTGTCAATTGATCAATTAAGTTCTTAATCTCAACCTGCTTCTTCAACAAAGCCCCATCCAATACAATTGATACACTACTACGGTCTACTTTTTTGCATTTGGCTTTCAATGAAAAATGTTGCTGCAAGAATTTCATTTGGGCATTAGAAATTGGCTTTAGTGTCTTCGGTTTGTCTTTTTTTCTTTTCCTTATTCTTTTGGTTAACATTGTTAATGAGATTGCCATCTTTGAGCAGCTTTGAGAACTTTAGAAAGTCTTCTTTGCTGGCACAGAGTGCTTTCACTTCAACACCTTCTCCTTTAGGTTCGAATTGAAGCTGATTGTTGCTTCTCAACTTTGACAGCTTGTCACTTCCATAAGGAAGCAAACCAATAGTTGAGAGGAATTCTTTTTGGAGGTTGCTAAGCTTTCCTTTCTGAGAGATAAGGCCTAAAACAGTTAATATTTTGTTACTAGAATCATAATAACATTGGAAATGGTTAGCTATGAGTGTACTTTGAATAACCGGATTCCAAGGCTCCAAGAAATAAGTTTCACGGAAAGTATGAAGGCTCAAAAGGCTTTCCACTCTGTTTTCAATGTCCTGCTTGCTCAATGTGGTATTGAAAACAGCCAAAGTATGATCTGTACCATTGAAGCGCCAAAGATTAGATCCAAATACATTATCTAGCTCATATGTTGGTACTAATTGCAAAGAGTGCTCTTTACAAGATCCAACTGGATAGTTGTGGCGTCTTGTGGAATGGTGAATGGATGGACAAGAGATGGTTGTACAATTTTTTGTGTCGTGGTGGTGTGAGCATTTGAAGTCGTCCCTTTGTCAACATCTATGCGCAAATTGAAATTCCCAATACGAATTTTGTTGGTTTGTCTTACCAAGGCCTCCGCAACAGCTGCATCCTTGATCAACAAGATAATAAAATAAGTGTTAGGATAGTTTGAACTTTGTTTCGGCTGGACTTTCTCTTCTTTGTCAATATTACCATGCAAACAAGGAACAGCTTGTTTCAACAATGCTAGGACATTTGAAAGATCTTCCGACTTTGGAATGTTGATAATTCTAACTTTTACAAACGGAGCATTAGGTCTTGTTTCAACCTGAGAATAGACATGAATGGGAGGTTGGTTTGATACATTTGAAATGAGAGGTGGTTGTTGATGACTCATTCCAGTATAAGGACCACTCATTACAGTGTAGGGTTGAGTTAACATCTGACCATACCCTTGCTGAACAAAACGAGGTGGTACATTTCCTGCTTGCATATTATGACCAGGGATTGTGGATTGGTGTGGCTGAATGTGATTCAACTGCTGATCATTAGATGATTGCAAGTAACTGACTGGTCTATTCGCATAAGTCACAGCGTTTGAGAGAGAGACTGGCTGCATTGGTGAGGTATTTGAACCTCCTTGAAGTGGCATTCCAATATAACCCATTTTGTATGTTTTTGTACAGAGTTTTTTTTTGTTTGATATAAGCATCTCTTGCATACAACAATTTAAAAGATGTCCAAAGACTGAGAATTCCCAAGTCAAAATCTGTTGAAAGAATTATATTGTTGGAAAACGCTTAAAATAGTGCCGTCAACAGCTTTCGACTTGGGAATTCTCAGCACACATCTTCAAAAACTGCTCACCAAACAATGCAAAGTCTTTCTCATTCAGTCACAACGAGAGATAAGCTGAATTTCATAATGGCTTTCAACATACATTTCACAAAAGCCTGATGAACTTGGCTTGCTGTGTCTCTGAGCTAATATATGACGGTGCTGTTCCTTGATGGAAATTTGATAAATTCGAACGCTGTTGTGCAATTCTGTTAATTATATTATGTAATGAATATGCCAAAATAGTAATCATGACACGGTCATTCCGATTAAAGAAACCAAAAAAATTTATGAAAATTCTTATTCCAATCATCATCCTATAATTTCATTCAAATTCAAACCGAGCTGTCCACAAACAACAACAATATCATAAAGGTTTGTTTTGTGTTTCTTCTTCCATTATAAATTTACTCCGAGAAAAGACATTGGTTTGTCGGATTAAATTATATCTTTACGGCTATGTTCCCATCGATGGGAAGTGTGAATGAAAATTGGACGCGAAATCATTTTTTTCTTGTCCCTATTAATAAAGTGGAAAGAGCAATTCATAACATCATCATAGTGTTTCCGCGAGTAAGCCATGATGAACCTTGCACTCTCGGAAAGGAAATTGAACATGGCAGAACGAAACACACCATCCACCAAGCGAATGGTTCAAGGCCTTTCTGACGACGATCAGGTGCTGATTTTTGATTCATCGTCGCGCTGGTGCAGATCTCCTAATCTCATACCGAAAAAAATTGTGTGTCCAAATGAAAGTCTTTCATGTGTTTCTTTTCACAGCTGTTGTCATCTTGTGGATGATGACGGCGTGCATGCAGGATGTGAACAAATCGCCAATGTTGGTGATGGGAGCTACCACTTCGCAGCCACCACCACCACTCATTCTCTACACAGATGCTCTCTCTGGACCAACCTCTGGAGGAGAATTTGGTTTGGGTTGCTACTTGTCCATCTTTGGACGAAACTTTGGAACTCCATCTGGAATGGGTACAACAACCAAAGTGTTCATTGGTGGCTATGAGGTTGCCAATTACCGTTATTTGGGTAATTCCACCGTTGCTGACAAGTTGGGCATTCAACAATTGACTGTTCAAGTTGGGTCATTGGGAGGTAAATCCAATGTCAACGTCTCTCTTCCTGTTGTGGTCTCTGTGAATGGAGTTTCAAGCAATAATAATCAAAAGTTCATTCCTACCAATGGAAGTGTCCTATTTGTGGCCCTTAATGGCTCTGACAGCACTGCTGCTTACAATGACATTAACAAACCATGGCGTTACTTGCAAAATATGGCTGCCTATTCGGGTGCTTACTTTGCCATGAGTAAGGGAGATCATGTAGTGATTCGTGGAGGAGTTTGGATCGATTGTAATGGTCTCAATACCAATTGGATTCAAGGAAGTCGTGAACCTTACACTCGTGCAGGTACTCCCTTCGAATGGATTCATTTCACAGCATATCCAGGACCTATCAATGGTAATGCCATTGAAGTGGTTCGTCATTCCACACCAGCTGGAAAGTCAGGATCCATTGCAGGTCCTGAGAGTGCAGTTCCAGAGATGGATCAACACACTGCTGAATATTGGTCCATTTCCAATCTTCATATGGATGTGAAGGCAGGAGCTGATCAAGATGCTGCCCCCATTAATTTTCAATATTCTCAAGGGCCATTTCGAGTGGTGAACAATGAGTTGGGTCCATGGATTGCTGGAAGTTCACCTATCTTGAATGCTGGAGGAATTGCTGGTGCAGGATATAATACAAAAATTTTGGGAAATCATATCATGCATATTGAGGGAGTTAATGCTTATCAAAATCATGGTAAGTTTGATTGTTGTTTCATTCAACAATAGTATTTCTGTATTTTCACATGTGCGAAACATTTCCTTCCATTGTTAAATGTTCACATGCATGTGTGAAAACCACTAAAAATAATGATTTTCTGCCTTCTCTTTGACATGATCATTTTTAAAGGTATTTATGCTGATCCCTATTCCTCAAATTGGGAAATTGCTTACAATTGGATCCATGACACCATTGGAGGATCTTCCATTCAATTCAACGATGCAGGAGGCTACAGCAATACCACCGACCGTTTTGGTACACTCTGGATTGGATTTGTTGGTATGAATATTCATCACAATTGGTTGGAGAATGCTAAAAAGTATGGAATCAATTTCAGTGATCAGCAAGAGACTCAAACAGGACGATACGATGCCAAAGTTTGGAATAATGTCATTATCCATACAGAACTTCCTCCATTGAGAATCAAATCTTCACAACCTCAACAAGAACTTTGGTTTGCTTACAATACTTTATACAATTGTTTTACTGCATTTTCTGGTTCTGGTAATGCATATGTGAGAAGTGAGGCGTTGGGTTCTGGTCCTGGAGTGAGAAACAAGTTTTACAACAACATTTTTGCATTTGGACCTTCAACTTATTCTGAAACGGAATACATGTATGATCTTGGTTCTGGAATGGGTTATGTAGGCATCACTGAAGCGAGTTACGATTTTAAGAGAAATTTATATTTTGCTAATGGACTTTCCCTCCATCACCAAGCACTTTTGGAGATTCTTTGGCAATTTTGGCTTCTCCTCAATTTGTGAATGCAGCTTCCCTTAATTTAGACATTCTTTCGACAAGTGCTGCTGTGAATAACGGAACAAAAGCATTGCCAAATGGATTCGTTGTCACAGATGATTTCATGAATCGTGTTCGAACCTCACCATTCGATATTGGTGCATTTGAATATGTAAGTCCAAATTCACCACCTCCAGTGACAAGTCCAGTGGTGTCTCCAAAACCAGGCACTTCCACAAAACCAATTTCCTCACCAACACCCAAACCATCTACAAAGGTTTCTCCCAAAACATCTCCAAAAACATCACCAAAGTCATCAAGAAACGTCGCAAGAGCAAGTGCAGGTTCAATGACAGTACAAATCTGTTACTTAGTGGCCATGATTGCAACGGTGATGCATTGTTTGGCGCTGTAAAAAGTATCAAATTAAAATAATGTTGGCCAATTTGCACCTCATTTAGCCTTACAAAGCCCAGCAATTTCATTCTTGATCTCCCGTATTTCCTTCTCGAGGTCAATGTAGCTCATTAAAAACGTCAGCCTTGAAGGGCTATTGTGACCTCTTTCCGTGTTTTTTAGGTACAAAAAGTGCTTGAAAATAAATCCATGTCTGAAAATCGCGTTTTCTGGTACTACTATTGTCTTCAAATAGTTGAGATATTTTTGTGACAATTCAATGCAAGTTTCAGCACTGACAATTTCATTTCTTTTAAGGTGTAGTTGGGCTTTGTATAAATAAGCAAGCGGATCCATTGGAGACATTGCGAGAGCCTGTTGAAGATCTTTGTTGGCATTGTCGAAATCGCTGCTATCATTGTTTTTCCAACCTCTTTCCAAATAAACACGTCCTCTATAGCAGTAAAAATGTGTGAAAGAAGGATCTATTTCGAGACACAAAGTAAAATCTTGAATAGCCTTATCAAATAACCGATTGTTCAAATACAACAGTCCTCTAGCCATCAGAGCACGCGGAATAGATTCATCTCGTCGATCATAAAGATACCACAATTGATGAGCTCTATTGAAATATTCTTCTGCACATACATAATTTCCTTCTTGTTCGTACAGCATCCCCATATATGTCATTGGACTCGTATAGTTTGGACTTGTGTTAAGGGACTCTTGCAGGTATATTTTACCACGGTCTTTGTCGTTCAGGAATAAATATGTCAACCCCAAGTTGTACAAGGCACGACAATCGCAGGGATTGATTTCAATAGCCCTTGTTAGTAACTTTTTTGCCTCCTCGAACTGTCTATTAAATAGCGTAACAAATCCATGGAATCGTTGATAAAAGCTGGAATTTCTTAATATTTCCTCTTTGACATTGGGAGTCTTTGAATGATTCACAAGATAAGAAATGGTTTCGATAATATATTTCTCATTTTCAGAAAGGGAATCTTGATTTTTCGAAAGATATTCACGGGCATTCTTGTCATCTCCACCTGCCACCATAGTAATAAAATTGAGCATTGGAAATAGTTTCAATTCTTCGATAGATGTACCCCCTGCACGAATGTACTCATAGAAATGAAGTAACAGTTCCTCCATTACTGTATAGCCGACCATGCGTTTTTGATGTTCCTTTTGAAGACAGCTGTAAATAAAATCATCCATTACGTTTTTGCGTAATGTTTCATTGTTAAAAATTTTGTTCTTGATTTCATCTTGTTCGAGTTGCTTGAACGGTGTATAAATGTCACCAGTAATAATTTGATAAAGTACCACACCAAAACTCCACACATCAACTCAGTTAAAACACTTTCAGGTGGCTTGTAGGGAAATTCTCCAAAAATATATCCATTCGACGACAATACTCTTAATACTTTTTTGAACTGTATTATCTTTTTCAACTTTTTCACATAAAAGAACTCGAACCGTGCCTTCAGGAAGGTCTTTTCAAGGTTGTAGGACCTTCAGATTTGAAAACACAGGCTGTACAGTGTTGTGTCGGGTTTTCAAATAGTTTTCAAATTTTGCAATCTGTCTACGCAATTCTTCTTCTTGTTCTTCAATCATAATGTGTCATTTTTTTGAAATGACGCGACGCAAAAAAAATGAACACAAATGAAGACGTTGTAATGAATAGTATCAACCAAACATTGATGACCCACTCAGAAGCTTTCGGAATCATCTTTAAACATATTGAGAATTTCTCAAAAACATTGGACGGATTATCTAACCACATCAATAATCGGAAACAAAAGGTAAAGTCAGTTAAATTAGTCTCCGACAGCAACCAACCAATTAAACCTAAACAACCTCTTCCTCCAAAAACAACACTCATAGAACAAACTCCATCCCCTGCACATCCTTATCGAACTGATGGACCATCAAACCAAATATCTAAAATCAAAAATATTACACATCCAACAAACAAATCGAAAATCAACAATCAAAATAAGACAACAAACTTCATCACCAACACAAACCTCACCAAACCAATTGAAACAAGCACAAACCTCATCAAACCAATTGAAACAACTTCAAAGCCCCAAAGTCAACCCCAGCTTCAATCTAAGAGCCCACCTATCAACACCAGCTTCAACCTGAATGAATCGCAATCGTCATACTTGCAAATAGCCAAGACAGCCAAGAACATTACATTTGATCCAACAAAAAAAACTCCGCAAATCAAATCCTACAATACAACAACAACCATGTACCCTCCTGCTAAAAGAGCTAAAACAATTAACTATTCTCACTGTGTATCTATTTACCTCAGTAAGCATATCGACTCAGACATCACTGAATTTATTACAGATGCAGTCAAAGAAAAACTTACATCATGGTACATACCTAACGACAAGACGCACGTACTCCAACTTGTCTGTAACAATCATGAAGATTATGTATCAACCTTGGGAATTTTAAACTCACAATCAACAAGAGACTCCAGTCCATTCAAATACGTTGTGACTCCTATGAATTTCTCACCAGCTGAACACACCCTCAAATATCATACTTCATCATATGACGAGATGATGAAGTATACTACCACATTATCAAAAATTTTTGGAAAAGAACTAATGGAGTTAAAGAAACTAATACCAGTTATGACAGAGTCCAAAAGCTTTATAAAATCAGAATAGCAGTTGAATCTCTTGAAGATAAAGAATATTTTATGGCAAGGAAATATTCTGAATACCGATCCATTGACCAGATCATAACAGAATCTAAGCTTAACTGCTCTTGCAATTTTTCATCCCTCTACACAGAGAAAGATATCAAAACTGCGATACAAAAGATGGTGGAAAAAAGCAACTGTGTCTTCCAATCAAACCACTTAGAGATTATTAACAAACCTAGCCCATATCGCCCTGGAGAGCATTATTATATAGCCAATTACAAAGCAACTAATGTTGCAGAATTGGAAAAAATTACAAAATTCCCAACAAGTATCACTCCACCAAATGGCACAAAACCAACCTCAAAAAACTCATATCTACAACCAAATATTTGGTAGAAAAATTCAAAAAACAACAAGAAAACGAAGTGACTGGTGCAACCAATAATTTCCAATTCAATAATGACCTCTCAGCATTAGAAAAGAATCACAAATCACTTCAAGTAGAATGTACTGAAAACTCAATCAAACTGGAATCACATTCTAAACAAATACAAAACATCACCAATACACTAACAGACCACACAAAATCCATACAGACCATTTTTGAAAAACTCAACGAAATAGCTTCCAAAATGGAAAATATTGAATTACATTTGACAAAACCGTACCATCAATTAATTCATGAATCCAAGGATGATGTAGAAGATGAAGATGATGAATCTTATCACCCAAAACCAAATGAAAATAGTGATGATGAAATGGAATATGACGAAGAAGAAGATATAGTAGAACCTAGAAGAGGTGATAAACCTCTTGGAAATAAGAACAATTAAGTCACCAAAATGTAATTTGAAAATTGGCTGTTTTAACTGCAACGGGCTCATAAAGACAGCCACAAAAGAAATATTGACAAATGAAATCAAAGGGATGTGCTACAATCATAACATCCAAATCATGTCAATTACTGAAACACACTTAAAAACATATGAAGATCAAAAAGAAGCCTATAACAAAGGGAATGGAAGTATCTTCTTTAATTCACTATTTGGAGCAAGAAAAAGCTCAAAAGGGAACAGCTCTCTTCCATATTCTTAACAACAAAAGAAAACGATTCATATCCAACGAAAATCTAATACAAGGAAAACTTCAATGGACAAGGTTTTTCTCTAGAAACAAACCTATTAACATCATTACGGTTTATGCTTCATCTGATGGTGAAGATGATGATGAAATAATCAACATTATTATTCACCTTCTACTAAAATGTGAAAATGAATTCAACATTGTGCTAGGAGATTTCAATATCAACACAAGGAAACCACAAAATTCGAGAGAAAAAGAATGGAAAGAACTTATTGAGTGTTTCCAACTCAAAGAACTAATCATCCCAGAGAATTACACATACGTCAGAAAAGTCATCAACTCAGTTCAAAAATCACGACCTGATCATATCTTCGTTTCTAACAACATCAGAATAATCAGAGAAGTTATTTTGCCACCAATATCCAAAAATGATCATCTACCGTTCTATATTGACATTGAGCTCGAAACAGACTATTGTTGGAGAAACTTCATCTCTAGGAAAGATATGAATCAAATCTCAACAACATTGAACGAATCACACTATGATTCATTTGATGCACTTCAGAAAGACATATCAGAAATGGTTAACAAATTTTCTTTCAAAGACGATAAGACCAATCTCAAATACATTAACACAATCAATAAGAAAGAAATCAAAACCAAAGAAATAGAACTCCTCCATCTTGTAACACAAGGAAAAGGTCAAAATATCGAGGAAATTGAAAAACTAAGAAATAATATCAAAGTACTATACAAGGAAACTGGAGCTGATATCAAAGCAAAACTAAGTGAAAATTTCAACAAACATGACAGCTCAATGATTTACCAGTTTGACAAACATCTAAAAGAAAAATCAATAGATTGGAAAAATATCCAATTCTCTGAAGAAGAAATTGTGCATCATTTTGAAACAAAATTTACCTCAGTATCCAAATCATCAGACTTTGAAAATCCACCATCAACCGTCAAGAAAGGACCGAAAATACCACAAATAAGCCTTAAAACAATTAAAGAGGCGATATCGAGAATGAAATCCAACACACCCGGTCTAGACTCAATATCCTTCCAAATTATACGTAATCTCAAAGACGAACATCTACAACTTATTGCTGACCAATTTGAAAACTGCATTCAACAAGGTAATATCCCTGAAGAATGGAAATCTGGTTGGGTTAAATTACTCCCTAAAAGAGACATTCAAAAACTAAATGATATTAGACCCATAACCATTCTCCCAATATATTACAGAATACTTTTCAACATAATTGCATACGAATTAAGACAATGGGCTTCCAAACACATCAACTTAAGGCAACAAGCATTTATTTCACACAGAAACACAATGAATCACGGATTATTACTTTCATCTCTAGCCAAAAAGAACAAGTCGTCATTCCTTTTGGTAAACTTAGACATCGAAGGCGCCTATGATTCCGTTGAAGATCATATCATTGAAAAAGCTCTCACTCATTGTAAGTTTCCAGATGAGTTGAAAACTTTTATACTAAACTCATACAAGAGTCAAATATTACAGCTAGAAATTGATCACCATCTCTCTAGACCATTCACAAAAACAAGAGGAATACCACAAGGATGCCCTTTAGCTCCTCTTATATATGATTGTATTACTCAACTCATCATTGACAAATGCATACAACAATGGAAAATTTCAATCAAACCAACCAAGCTTAATATTAACGATATTGGTTTGCTCTGCTTTGCTGATGACATTAATTTAGTTTCAAACAGATACTGCAATTATAACGAAAGACTTGATAATATCTCTAAATGGCTCGGCCAATTAAGTCTAAAAATTAATCCTTCAAAATCCATGGCAACCACTCTCCCAACTAAAAAGCAAAATGAAGCCAATGATAGACGGTACTATTATACCAAGATTCAAAAACCTTCGAGTACTTGGACACTATCCTTGGGATGACTCTACTTTAAATGAAGATATTGAAAAAAGAATCCTCCAATTTCAACTCTCACTCAAATATATTCCACTGAAAAGAATGGAGATAACAAACATTAAGAAAGTAATTTTTGCCAAATGCACTAGCTTATTTACACACATTTTACGAACAAATTACATTCCTGAATCACTTGTTGATAGAATTAACATTGAAGTAAGAAAAGCAATAAGAAAGAAAATTTTCATGCATAATGCTAGTCCAACAAACTATTTTCACCTCCCAATCACCTATGGCGGACTTGGTATTCCAAGATTCGATATCTTTGCAGATGAAATTCGAATCAAAACAGCCCTGTATCTTATTAACAATGATAATGAACTTCTTAGAGAAGTATATTCAGAAGGAATCAAACACGAAAATTCGATTTTTAAGGAAATGAACAGATCAATGAAGAAATACAAGATCAGACCTCAACAATTTAACAATGACGAAATCTTTCCAAAACTCAAAGGAAAGAATTTTACTATTTACACTGACGGATCAAATCTCAACAACTCAACAGGTTTCGGCTTTACCGCCAAAGTTAACAATTCCCAAGAAACCCAAGATTTCTCATACAAAATTAACAGCGAATACTCACATAACGTTGCTGAATTATCAGCAATACTCACATCACTAAAGATACTTCCACCTAAATCTAAGGCAAAAATTCACACAGATAGTGAAATATCCATCCACGTTTTGAAAAACAAAGCCTATAACGGAATTTTTAACTGCTTCAAGCATGAATATCAACAGGTCATTCAACAATCCAATCTAAATATTCAACTAATCAAAGTTAAAGGTCATGTCAACAAAGGAAACATCAAAGCTGACGAATTAGCTAAGAAAGGAGCTCAAGAGCACAACTATTTTGACATTAAGAAGCTATTTTCGAACCAAACCATCCTTGCCACATCTAATACCATTATTTTCGACATCAAAAAATCCATACAAAAGAAAAGATATGATGTAATGTTTAGCCAATTTGATAGAGATAATTCCAGTCTACACCTTACCAAGAACTGGTCATCTATCAATCTAAAATTCATCAAATCTAAAATTGACACAAATACTAAGTGGTCAATCTGGAGAAACTTAACAAGCAACCATATCAAACAACATAAGGAAAGACAATGCGCTCACTGTAAATGCCCCGGAACTCTAAAACATTTCATATACTATTGCCCTAATACTCAATGCTTTAGGGATTTTTTCTACACTAAATTCCTAGATATTACATCAATGCAATGTATCCTCAACGATTATCAAGAATCAAGATACTGTGAAAGAAGGAAAGTTTTCATTATTCATCATGACGGAGTAATGATTCGAGATACTCAAATGCCCAACTTTAAAAATTTACCAAATATTTACCAAAATTGGCCTGAAATCCAAACAATTCTCACCCTACTAGTTGGTAAATGTCACACCAAGTATTATGAAAACTCAAGGTTTAAAAAACCAATTCAAAAACAAACCCCAATCCTCACGGATTTACCAGCACCAGTGGTGCTAACAATAAACTAATTAGATTTTTTTGACTGTGCACAGAGAAACTTCAATTTCGAAGAGCTTCATTTCTGGAGATGAACGTCGCCTCACTTAATTTCCAGCTGGAGATGATGAGAGTGAAAAATATTAATGACCAACTAAAACATTCTAACTGTTCCATATTTTGCATATTCTACCTTTCCTTAAGACTCATTTTCCTTCATTTTTGAAAAGTTTTTTTCAAAAACGATTCCAATTTTCTGTTAGGAGAACCCGACAAATTTTGCTTGCCTTCAACTAAGTGAAAAAAGTCTCTAAGTCATCAAAAAGTATCATCTATTTCAATAATTCCTTTTGTTTCACCTCATAATTATTTCATGTTTCTCCTATTCTTTGTCGGATTAATATCAGCAATCCTGCACAGAAAAAAATGAGCGAATCAAAAAACACAAATGCCCATCAAGACAATTCCTCTTCCGATAATAAATTCTCTCCGATTGAGCAATATCAAAATAATATAATAATGCAGCAAATGTATTTTAACGCTCAACCTGTTATGGTATCTAATAGAGAATATATCCCAGAAAAACCATGTCAAGATTTATTACAATTATTTACAAAATGTGAGAATGAATATCAACATAGTAAAGCTGATATTATGTGTGCAGAATTTAAAGAATCATACTTAGAATGCAGAAGAAAATTCAATGCAATGAAAAAAGAAATTGAGGCTGAAAATTTAGTTAGATCCAAAGTGTTTTATTTTGCTGGAGAACATGTGAATATTGTTTCGGCATCCAAACCTAATTCAGTTATCAAAGGCAAAATAGCAGAACAATAGAGTGGACACATGTTTGGAAATAATATCAATGACCGAACAATTTACTGTTCAACAAATTTAGTAAGAGTTTCAATGGATAGATGAATGGTATCTAATGTTCCCTTCACGGAGGATCTTAATTGTCTGGCGTCTGATGAAGTGAAATTACTTTTATGATAAAAAGATAATTATTTCTTGTTATTAGAAAATCCATTCCATTCAATATTTGAAACGTACATGATTAAATGATGGCTTCCGTCTTCCGATGATGAATGTAAATTTATATTTCGTTTGACTTTTGTTGATAATTCATGATCCACAATAATTGTCTGGTACACAATATTTGCAGACTCTTCGTCGCTTCCAAAGCCTATCGAGCAGTTACTGCAATATCATGTGATGATGTTGTTGTCATCGGCAATCCAGCAATGCACTTACTACTCAAAAACTTCTTCGGGATGAGTGGTTGTCATTTTTATTGACCTGGAACTTGCAACGGTTGGAATAAATTCTTTTCACCCTTTTTAATAGCAATCAATACAATTCGAAACTCATTCTAGTCTTTCTTTTCTTCACTGTTCACAACAGAAGGTTCTTCCTCTGTTTTCTGCCTTCTAAATCTTCCAAAAAATTCTTTGGTGCTTCCTTTCATGTTTTCGATCGATTGTTTTCTTTCTTCTCGCACCTTCTCTTTGTATTCAATTTTACGTTCTGTACTTTTATTGCTGTAATATGCGCCAACAGCAATGCTCACCAATGCAACACAAATCATGACAAGTCTGAAATCGTTCATGGTTACTGAACCAAAGCCTTTTTTTCCGTTATTATTATTATTAGAAGAAGATGAGTCCTTCAACAGCGATTTGTTCCTTTGGGAGAAGTATCTGAATTGATTCGACAAAGCATGATAATTGTTACAAACTTTGTGGGAAGATAACTTGCTTCGGAGCAATGATGTTTCTTTTGAAAGAAGTGCAAACGAAGAAAGCAAGTGCTTGCGAAGTATTTTAGACATTTTTTCGAAATTGATTAACTTTGGTCAGTAAGAGTTATTGATTGGTGAAATTGGGTTGTCGGAAGAATGGATGTATTGAATGAATTGAAGAATCATGAACATGCAGAAAAGCAATCCACCACCTCTCAAAATGGCATCATCCTTTCAGTAATGTCAACCTGTCATCCAGCATTTTGATCATAAAAAAAAACCGTTAAATAGTTTGTGTCGATCAATATTGATCACTTCACACACACAAAGCGTATTGAATCAAACTATAATCCCATCATCTTCATCATGACTGAAATTCCCAAACTCAATCTCTCTCTCAAAAAGAATAATTCAGAACCAAACAACAACAACAACAACTGGGGTCATTCTCGGGTGAGCTCGTCTGATACTAATTCTGATGATGTCATGCTTTCACCCCGTGGATCTTCAAATAGTGCTCATTCAACAGGAACAATCGGTGTGAATGGTGGCATTAGTGTGATCTCACAATTTGTGGAACCTTTAAATCACACAAAGAAGAGTAATGCCAGTATTCATTGGAGATGTGTTCATGTGTTGGAACATCCTGATTTTGAAATGAAGTAAGTATAATTGGTGATGATGATCGTGTTGTGATAGTGGTGGTGTTCACCTTCCTATGTGTGTGATTGTGAATTTGATTGTGAATTTAAATATATTTTGTAACACGTCTTTGTGATGAATGATATCATTAATTCAACGGCCGAATGAATAATCACAACCATTTCAACTCATTGGATCATGATTCATTGATGACTCAATGCCGTTGTGGTGCCTTCCTTTCATTGCACGAAATCACGCACAATGAATTCATGACCATTCCATCATGATGGATTCGTCACTGCACTCTCCAAATGAATTGCCTCCAAAATGCCCTGCACAAACATTAATACAGTGCCTTGGATGACGAATCATCTTATCATACCTCTCTTCAAATAATTCCCTTTTCAATTGTTGATGCTGTGACACAGAAATCTCGTTATGCATTGGTGCATGGTTCAAAGAGAGGTGTCTCAGTATTGGAACTTGTTGAAGAATTAACACAAGCAACAGGTAAGCATTTTAGTATACGACTGAAAATCATCATTTCGATTAAATGTATCTTCACTTCTACAGATAATAGAACTGGCACTCAATGGATCATTAAATATCACACAAAATTAGAATCGAATGGTTTTGGCTCGAGTGCTGTATTGCTCAAAAAGAGTAGTAATAAGGAAAAACTCATCTTTTTTGGAGGTTATTTTCATGAGAATCAAGAAACGACTGATAAATCTTCCTTGTTTCAGTCTCAACAGCGTTATTCTAATGAAGCAGGTATGTAGAATGATGATATTTTTGTTTCAAATAAGACTCATACGATCTTGTATATTTTCAATATGTAATATATTTGTAATAATATCAATATAATATATTATTTGAAACAAATTATTCATTATAATTGCTATTGAAACAAATTATCATTCTCTGATCCATCATACACAAAAACATATGTTAGTGAATCAAAATAGAACCTTAACAAGTCGAATGAAGAAATTATTCAAATCTTCAAAGAATGATGTTTCCGCATGTCCTCATCCTTCCAACATCTTCTTTCAATATAAATTCAGTAGTCATGAATTCAAGTTATTTGCGGCAGGTGAAGAGAATACATCTTCCAATACCAATGGAAATGGAATTTCAAAGAAATCATCATTTCTTAATTCAAACTTTTGGCCAAGTGCTCATGCCAATCATACCGTATTGGCTGTATCGAAAGATTTATTTATCTTTGGAGGCAATTATTTGAAATGGAATGACCTTACACAAGATTCAAATTCTAATAACAACAACAACAACATCAACGATCCTCTCTCCTCATCAGTAACTGATACATCGAAAAAGACTACCTTTGT